ATTACGGTCACCTCGTGGAGTATAGCCCCCTCCCGGACTATGGGTCCCGATGATATTGTTGTTTCACTGAGCCCCATACCCATCACTACGTTCTTTTGCGACTTCGGATCGTATTCCTCCTGCAGGATATAGCTGTAAATCACATGTTTGCGCCAAATTTTCTTTTTCTTCTCCTGCGCCTGTATGGGTTGCTGCGACATTGCGCAAAAGTTCATTTCTATAAAATCTATAAATATGATCGTAATCTAAACTGATATGTGGAATCGAAAAGGGAATTTTCTATGTGACATTCGTCTCTAGGCAAGCCTTTAGATTGCCATTAGATTGGGATTCAATTTTTATTCTGCACCTATAGCGCCGATATCCAAAATATTGATGGGTTGAAAAGATAACCATTCAACCACCAAGCATTCATATCTGAAGATGTGTACATATATTCAGCAAAAGTTGGAGTTTGCTACCAGTTGCCTCCTTCACTCCGTCTCTTGGCAAAAAATCCACTTAATCATGTTGAAAAGCTGTTGACAAAATCATTTATTTTCCAAGGTGACGGCTTTCACTGCTCCATCTGGTATATGTGCGTCGAAATGTCATTAACTTCCGGTTGCCAATGTCTTCTTAACTTTGCAGAGACTTCGAATTAATGAGGAGCTTGGAAAGGAAACGCTAATCTAATCATACACTAAAAAAAAGAATTGCTTAACACAAAATACACTATAACACAGCAATAAAAAAAAGCCTTTCTAGCCTTTTCAATTATGCAACACCTCTCACAGACCCAACCCTCTATATGAGACCTACTTAAGGGGCGACCTAGCCCAAGTTGTGGCTCATTTGGGTTAATGCTAGCTTACATCATGCCCATCCATGCTCACCCACAAGAGATCCCCTCCACTCCAGCACTCCACTCCACTTAAAAGGCCATTCTCCAGTCCCATATCATTTTATGTCAACTCATCGCGGAATCCCAAGCTAAATAATAATTGTACTTTCAGTTATGGCGACTCCATTGAACTGGTCAGTGAGGCGGCTAAGTAGACAACGAAACCACCAGAGATGGAGCACATGGATCATTTATGGGGCATCTGCTACTGTTCATCTGGAGAAGTCGGCTCAGAACAAACGGCTCTAACGAGCTTCGTATAGATTCTTTTTATATTTGCATTTAGCTGGCGACAAATTAAAATGTTACCGAGACAACAGAATGCGAGTGGCCGATCGAATTGAGTTTCCGAACAGCTTGGGTCTAAGGCCAAAACCAAAACCAAAACAAATCAAAATGTTATCGCAGAAATAAAAAATACGCTTAAGACGTAATATCGCGAACTATTAGAGATACTCTAGTTAGTTGGCTTATTGCTTAATTTAAATTAATTTATTCATTTAAACAAAACGACACTAAACGAAAACCAAATAAAAATATTTAAGAAAATTATAGAAAAATAGCAAAAGTATCACCGTATGGAATTTTAAATTCATATTTGTTTCCCTCTTGGCCCCCATAGTTGGTTTGTTTGTATATCTATCGGAACATTTGCTAAGACGGCGTTAATCACTTGGTTTATGGCCAGAGCCCTGCATTATAGCCGTTAATTATACGCTCATGTGGACTCTTAAATATTTCTAAAATAACTTACATTGGGCTGTATGGGGGCTATGGGGGTAAACCAGTTCCGTTGCTCGGATAAGATTGTGGATTGACCTTTAACTACTTTTAATTTTGTGCGACTTTAAGGGAGATAACTATCAATCACGAAAGGGAAAGATCTTCTAAAAGGGATAAAAAAAATCAAGGATATGCTAAGAACATACTTTTAATACTTATTTCAGAACGTATTGCATATATTGGATAATAATTGTAGGTACTTGTACTTTATGATAACTTTGTTTCATTTCACATATAAATTTGAAAGGATTTTCAGGAGGAGTGCCCTTTCTTAAGCAGCCCTAATTTCTTGGGGCTTTGTGCCATTAAGCTGAAATCCAATCCCAAAACAATGTTGCTCTGTTTGGAGGCCATTAAACGAAATTCATGTGAACCCTTTTTTGTTTTAATGTGTTCAGCCTTCCTCTCCGCGTCATCGCCGACATCGTCATGATCGAGATCCTCTGAAAGAACGAAGGGCGGGGGGGATGGAGGTTGCAAGGGAGACCCCAGACACGATACTCTTCCGAAATGTGGATCGTAAATAAACGGCACGGTCTGTAGGCATTTAAAACAGCCCCAAATACTCGTAAAAACTAGACCCCAAAATGATATGCAGATGTGGCACCTATTAATGGCTACTTATGCACTACAAGTGTCCCTCTCTTTTTTGTCTCCTGCCCTGCCTCCCTTTGTGAAACGCAGACTGATGCGTAACACGACAGTGGCAATGGCAGAGGAGGGGGGCAGGTGGGAGGTGCGGTAGGCTGGTGCTGCCACCGACCTGTTCATCATTATGTCGACGGCATGTCAACCAGGCCGCTGCTTTATGTCCAGGGCCTCCATGCACACACATATCTACATACAGTTGTGTTCAATGAAATATGGCCACCCACACTTCCCTTTTGAGATATCTAGTCTTTCAATTTGACTGATACCTTACGGCCTGGAGTACCTGAGACCCCATACTACTATTTGTTATTTATGACTTTAGACACACCCATGAGGCAATGAAGGGGGTAATTTAAACAAACTAATAAATACCACGAAATGTTTAATGATGGGTTTGGACATAGGGATTTTTTTGGGCGTTGAGAAAGGCCAGGGACTAGGTCAAGGGGGATAATGGGATTGAATGGGGCGACCCAATTACTAAAAGTAGCTTATTTTAGGTGGGGGGGCCGGCTTTAATTTATGAAAAAAATTTTAAATGCTTGTAGTGAGGGGTAGAGGTGTTAACATATTTGGCCGCCCGTTGGCTAAGAGTACAGGGGAGTGGCGCAGGGAGGCGGAGGATTTACTGTTTTTGTTACCAGGTTGACACATTACCACCTAAGGGGGGGCAATACGGCCGGGATGGTTTGTGGATACACGGTCCTAGCTCACCCATAGGTTTTTAGGATTCCGGACGACGAAAAGGATCCAACTACGGGATGGCACATGGCGGGACCCATACCGGCGGGCATCGGGAGGGGGGGCGGGGGGGGGGGGGGGGGGGGGGCTCCTTGTATATCATGGAGTGCGGCGGCGGCACACCCAGAGATCGTATCCCACATCAACGCTGAATATTTTTTCGCTGCATTTCGGTCAGCGGCGGCGACCACTTGCTGAAATTTCATTATGTGCGTGATTTATAAATAAGCTCCAAGCTGCATCCCAAGATTCCCCCCTGCCTCATCTGTGGTTCCTCTTCTCCTCTTCCTCTACATGTTTTTCAGAGTTCCCAGCATCATCATCATCATCCTCATCATCGGTGGGTACGACGGTACAACAGCCCACGCACTTTGTTCCACGACGGCGCTCCAACACGAAACAACAACAACAATAAACAGCATCTTATATGTATGTTGAACTCTTGCTACATCTCTCTCCTCGCACTCCCTTGCCTCACACTTCAGTCCCCCCTCACCCTCTCTGGTTGCAGTTCATTTCGTATTAATCATAAAATTGTATTATTAACATGTTTATTTTTCGGTCTTCAAGATTCGATTACATGCATTCCTTCCTCCTCTCCTCCCTTTTGGCCATGAGTTTCGCTTTGAGTGGAAATGGAACGTGACTTTGTTGTGCAGTGTATCGAAAGTGAGCTACTTTCTAACACTAAAATGGTTGATCGAGTGTGCTAAGAGGATGGGTAGGGGTTTGGGATATTGTCATTTTATGTTTCTGCTGGATAATTGGGTTACTCGTACCCCTACCCCCATAGCCGGAGACACAGTCTCTCCAGATACGTACTCGCATGTCCCACAGCTGGTCAGTGCGTGGGATCTCGACTTGAAAGTTGGTCAAATTAGCTGGGGAAACAGTTGAGGGAGTAACTCGTAAAGTCCAGGGGATTGGGTAGAAGAAATGTTGGCAGGAGGTAGGCGGTTTTATTGTGGGAATATCCTTAGAGGTGGATTTGGCATTCAAATTGATTATATGTATTTTCCCCCTCACATACTCCTCTTTATGTTTTCTCATTTAAATCAATCCATTTCTAGAGCAAACCGATCGTTTAACTATATTACATTTCCAATTGCCCAATACATTATACCCTAAAGCTTATTGCAAAAAGATCAGTCAAGTGCTTACCTTTAATTCAAATTTAGCATGAGGGCGTCTCGGCTTAGTCACTGAAAATAGAGGTAAAAGTACACATATGACTAATAGGTAGATGCACGTATGAGAAATTCCTGTAGAGAACAGTCGAATGCAAGAATAGTTACATATTTCATCAATCTCCTTACAACCAAAAGAAACATCAAATCAACTATATTTTAGCATGTTGTTCCAATCCAATTGAGAAATCTCTAAGAGAATGTTAACTCCAATGATTCAATGATTTCTGGTCTTGCAGAAAAAAAATTTGGCAACTCGGTATACCCTTCTAAAGGTTAGTATCCATTCTTATTCCCCAAATATGAATGATTCATTTATGAGAAATCGCTGTAAAACTTTCCCATTTCCCAAATATTTCCAGTAAAAACCCCTCAAAAAGCTTCCAGCAAAACACACACAAACAATCTGGCAACTCTGCCTGTTACGCAAATTTCGCACGTGGGCGTCCCGCTTACTCACGCGTCAAAAGAAACACAAACGAAGACAAAATGCTGCCTGCCTGCGACGCGTCGCCGAAGCAAAAGCAAAAGGCAGCAACAAATGCAACAAAAGCAACAGCAAGAAAGAGCCCCACAAAAGCAGCAGCAAGTCAACGGCATCTCAACAGCTGAGAACAAAACAAACTGCAATCAGGCAACTCGCCAATGGGAAACCGGGCACCAACAAGTTGTTTGTGCCGCTGCCTCTGCCACTGCCGCTGCCTCTGCGGCGACTGCGGACTAGTCGCCTTGGCGTTCCCTTCAGAGTTTCAGTGCGCGTTTGCACGTTGAACAAGACGGTACGGTACGGATCGATCAGCAGGTGAACAAACGAAACGAAACACAACTCATCGAAGATATCGCATCAGCATCGGCATCGTAGTCGCTAATCGAGAAAATGCCTGCTATTTTGGCACGTGATCTATGACAGCTTTTAAGTGTGTGTTTTTCAAATCATTTGGATCGTCGGTTGGGGATGGGGCCGCTTGTTAAATTGTCGCTGACAAAGTTTTTGACAGTTTCCAATACCACCCAGAGCTAGTCGCAGTCCTCAGTCCCCAGAAGCATCCTCAGCATCGTTCGTTTCCATTTCCATTCCGCTGTCAAGGTGTCCCATGTCCCTCCCATGTCCGTGTCGGTGTCCGCGTCGCGTTTGCGTTCTTGTTGTTAATAGCATAAAAGTGTTTTAATTTTTATTAGCACGAAGACCGCGACAGAGAGAGGCACCGCACCCCACATCAAGTCAGTTGTGGAGCAGTTGCCGTCAGTGGAGGATCGTCTTCTCCAATAGCAACCGATCGCGTCGCGTCGCGTTGCATGTTGATTTCGTTCTAATAAAATCAGCTCCCAGAGATCTTCATCGCGTGTGTCTCCCTTCTTTTTTTTTTACCTCATTCTTTCAACCTCCAACTCCATCCCCAACTACATTTCTGTTCGGTCGAAACGGATTTATGTGTGTCGCATTCGGATATTTTGAAAAGGGTTTAAATTATCTAATGCATCCGTTTCCTTATCGATTCTTATAGTGTGAAGGCCCTACGATTGTGCGATTTGTTTGATCTTCGAAAAGGAAAATAATAATAAAAAAAAATACGAGTATACAGAACCGTTTGTTGGAGTTTGTGTGTGTGTATCGGAAAAGAGTGGAAATAATCGTAAAAATAACTCAACTCAAGTCGTTTCCATTCTAAATTACGAGTTGACAGACGCAAGTGGCTAAACAGCCCAAGGAGCTGTCTCTCTGCCTCCGACACAAAAATACTTACTGCTCAAAAGGAGAGCGGCGGCCTTGACTAAAAGGTGAGTGTGAAGGTTGCCCAGATCTCACAGATCTCGGCCTGCAAGGCGCTCAAGAGTGTGCTATAAATAGTAGGTTGGTTGGTCTAGTCTCTGGGAAAGTGGGATAAGTGCGGATGCTAAAGTACGTTCCGATTTAATTCTTGGAAATAACTTTGCATATATTACAGCTGGTGGGAGAATTGTTTGGGGATACAGGATAAGTGCACCCGAAATATTTATATGGGAATTTCGTTTAAATCTAGAGAGTCTACACTCTGAGAAAAATTGTATCTCAGGGCTCTTAAAACGAGTATTTACATCATTAAAACTAATAGCAGATATTGGAGAATCTCAGATATTTAACGACTTAAGCGCCGTCTTCCCATGAATTCTTAAAAATCAAAACGAAAAGGGATAAAACTTAACCAAATAAGCTCTTCAAATAAAATCCAAAATATCACCTCCATATACGCATTCAATACAATGGCTCCTCTCTATCAACTATTTCCCCTTTTATTATCCAATATCCGAAACTCAGTTTTATCTGTCTTTATGGCATGATAATCGCTGCATTATTGATTGGGCCAAATTATAAATATTTTTTTATATGCGACTTATTTCACCGCCATTTCATATCTGATGATAAATCACGCTAATTGTTGTTGTAATTCAAATGCTATCCGATACATATCAATTAACCACACCCAATAGGAAAACCTGAGAGCAGCAGCCTGGGGCATCTACAGAGCGCCCGACACATTAATCTATTGGTAGATCTTTGGGGTCTTATCTGCATTGGCGCCCATAAATACCAAAGTCCAGTCATAATTTATTAATTACTGGACTTTCCACACATATTTTAAAGATCCGATATAAGCCCCCGATTATGTCTCTTTGAGAACAATAATTATGTGATCATATAGGGGAATTGTTTGCCATAACCCAAATGGGGAAATATACGAACTGGTAGTTGCGGCCAAAACAGCAGCCACAATTTGTTTACTGCTTTACTGTTGACCAAATGTAGCCGGAGACAATGCCACAAATATGTATATTTGGTTTAAATACATTCTCTGGCCATATATTTCATTTGATTTGGTTTGATTTCCCCCATCAAGTGGCCTGCTTCTGCGCAGACGCCGCTCTACTGCTCTATTCCAAAGCGATTCAATTAAAAGACGCCCACAGCCAAGAGCCAAGAGCTAAAAGATCTCCATAACAATTTATAACTGCCTTTCCAAGATGTCTCTCAGAGTCTTGCGGTTATTTTTTTATTTTTATTATTTGAATATATAACGACAGGCAGTGGCAGTGGCGTCGTGACCTGAGGGGGATTTGGTCTTCAAGAAGGTTCGAGTATCGTAATTTACTTTGAACTTGAAAAAAAAGATTTACTTAACTGCTGCTTGATAAACACAGCACAATTAAATAAAAGCTCTAAATATACGAACTTGAGGAATGTGTCTTCCAAAAAGGATATGTTTCCTAAGGACAGAAAATTTTGTTAAACTGGGAATTAAGATTTTTTATTGGAGCGTGTTCCTAGTGGAGCTATGCCACTTGATGGTGGAGTTTAAAGATTAAAGGCCATTCCCTCAGCTACGTTAATAATTCATCTACGACCAAAAACTCTATAAATAAAAGTCAAAAAACTATTTATTCGCCTCCCATTCAATCCATTCCTCTATAACCCATTCAGATGACTCAATACGGCAGATATCTCTCTCTCACTCTCTCTGGCTCATTCTCGTTGTGCAGACCATATATAGAGTGTCTATTTATTATTAAAACATAAATAATATTGCTATTGTTGGAATTTCCGCTTGGCACAGCGAGTTATGGGTTCGTTAACAAATACAAATCAAGTGGAAAATTGTTGCAGCAGCAAATTAGCGCATCGTCAGTGGATAGTCATTCCAACCACCAATTTCCGACCACTTGCGGGGCACAGGGCTAACAAATTTTTTAATTCATAAATTTGCAATTTAAATAAACCTTAGTCACAATAAAAGATCAGTCTTTTCTTGTCTTTTTGTGTTATAATATTTGGACTGGCGACTGTCGGCGTCAAATGTGATTCAAACTGAATTCAAATGAAAAGTTCGGTTTAATGGTTCATCAGCATAAGTTAATGGGTTTTCGGCTTTTGGCTTAATGATGGATTAAACATATTCTAAAGCGTTTTGACAACCTCACCAACACACAAAAAATTAACGACATCTATACGCTTTTTCAAGGCATAAAATATATCATTTATAACCTGTTGATTAGATCCGAATGGAGAGGGAAGATATTTGCGTCGCTGTTTGGTTTGGCTATAATTTGATATTCTGCGCAGATATGCAAATGTCGTGGAGGAGATTGCGATGCGAGAGGTGTGGTCCGGCAAACACCTGACGATATCGTATAATTATATAGCCACCATATACGTGGCATGTGGTAGATGGTAGTTTATTGCAATTTAATATGATTTGCGACAGATTCTAGCTGCCGGCTATATCTAATACGTATTTAAAGAATGTATTTTTGTACCCATGAATAAATTATTCATCCGTCATTTCGAATTAGCATAGGCTGGAATGTACATATCTACAAAGAGTTACCTTACCTATACTTATTTTCATAGCATCTCCAGTTTTGTCTTTTATATTCATTCAAATCTCTACTCAATAATTTTTCGTAATTTTTTTTTCTTTTAATTACATCCCTCTATAAATAATTATACCCAACATTTACACTTTGTTTTCTTCGAATGAGCAACTTGTGGCAGGTGGCAATTACCATACCAGAAATGTCCATCACCCGCCGCCATTTAATTGACAGACCTTTCAATATTATGAAATAGGACTCCGACACCTGAATGGCCAATATTTCAAGCTGTCAACTACTGCATTTTTGGGTGGAAAAATAAATGTGGAAAAATCCGAATCGAATCGAAACGAAATTCAAATCGATATAAATACAGAAATCAATGAAAATGAGGCCCGGCCCGTCAAGTGCCGTTCGAGTGTCGCTATTGAACTCGACTTTGAATCAGGGTCCCCCGGGGCTTTAATCTTGTCACTTTCACGCACTCCCCAGATACTCGCGCGCACACTCGACTCGCGCGCCGGAAGTTATACAAAGTCCCATTATGATGATGAAACCAATTTATCAGGCAGCAAAAAATCAATTCAGTTCAGGCTGCAGCTCTTTTGGCCTCCAATTATTAAGTGCCTGGAAAATATTAGACAAAAGCTAAAGAAAGTTTGCTTCAAATGAAAATCCGCTGAAGAATTTCCCTAAGTGGCTTAGTTGGGTCTCCACGCTCTCGCTGCGGCACCGCACGGCTCGGCTCTCCCTGTGTCTCTTTCTTGATGCCGGGGATGCGTAGGCGCCGTCATAGATTTTTTCCATGTCAAACCAGCATCTGACAGCAGGTTTGCCAGCGGCAGAGGCAGTCCCGCACCGCGTCTCCATCTGTGGCTCGAACTGAAGTTTTCGGCTGAGCATTTAAGCGCGGCTGATTTGATTTCAGTGACACGACGCCTGCGGCACCAACGGCTAAAGCTTCGGCTACGTTGACGCGAAACTTGTCCTGCCCACACGCGACTGCAGCGTCAGCGGCAGCTGTGTCGGCAGCAACAGCAACAGCAGTCGCGCATGCGCAGTAGCTCAGCCCAGCGTTTATTTTTTTGTTTGCCTCTTTTCGTTATATTTTTGCGCTGTTTTTAAACGCCCTGGGGGACGCGTCCGCTGAGGTTGCATGCTGCTTCTTGCGACCAGCAAAAAGAGTCAAAATATTTGAATTTCTAATGCCACACGAGGGCAGTCACGAGAGTCTATCAATGAGTCGGGGGGAGTCTGAGACGGGGATCAAACCCCCGATATTTGCATACACCTCGACCAACCCTCGCTGCCCAGAACTCTCATGAAGGTTCCCCAACTGCTGCCCCCCAGGCAACGGCTACGGTTACGGCTACCCATTCGATCTGATGAAAATGACTTTTCCGATAAGCATCAAATTTCCTTTGATGATAGACCAGAAACGCCTTTTGTCACTGGCAGTCACAGTCACTCTCGTCTGGTTGGTGATGACGCTAAACTTGTTCAATCGGCTCTGTCGGATCAGTAAGGGGTCCAACCCGGGTGACTCTGGGTGACTAGTGGGTGAAGATCCCATCTCCTTGCATCTCTCTCTCCCTCCTCCTCCTCCTGCCTAACCAGAACCCCTCTGGCCTGCCCATTGATGCGGTTTTTGGTCGTCAGTTGTTTGCTTTGCGGCTTCCGTGTGCATTTGCCTTTTGCTTAATTAAATGTCAATCATTGTACGGAGGGTGTACTCCTCCTCTCGATATGCTCGTAAAGACGGACTTTGTTTTTGATTTGTCCGCTTTATTAACTTGATGTGGCGTCGTCGTCTCAGCGGCAGTTCATGTGGATATGGATGTGGATGTGAACGATGTCGATGTGATTTGGTTTGGCGTCTCCATGGCGGAGGGTCTTATAGTATGTTGTTGAATGCGTGGGCACTGGACAGAGATATATCTCTGTGTCTCTGTGTGCCTGATATATGCATGATCTATACCAAACCAATGGTATTAAAAAGTATTTAATAAATTTCAGGCCTGAGGATTATGTGTTTAGGTGTTTCCATTCTCTGAAGGTGTCTCCCGCTTCTGGTTTCTTTCTTTGTGTATGTGTCTGTGTGTGTGTGTGTTGGGGGCGGATTACTTGGTTGACATTTGGTGGGAAATGTTCTGGTTGTGGTTCGCGGTAGCCAGCGGTTGAACAACTTAACTGGCTATTAATAAATGTTTCACTGAACACTTGGCACAGATCTGAAGCACTGCCCGGGTTAAGTTCTAGGTAACCTTTCACAGAATTGATCGAGTTAAGCCTCAAGAACTTATGGGTAATGGTCGGAAGAAGATGGGATTACTTTCGGTTAAGTTTGTCATCTGTTAAGATGATATTTCAAGGGAATAAGATCTGTGCTGGAGTTTTTACTTAATTTACTGATCAATCAAGCACATACATAAGTAGATATTGTGAATGGTCGGGAATGATCGATAAGAAGATTATTGAAAATCTTAGCTAGAAGCTTTTTCCTTTCCTCACTATATTTTCACCTTATAGGTAAGGAACACCTAAGATATGAACACCCATCCACTTAATCCGCTTTCGTAATTCTTCCGTCATATGGCACATAAAAACATTAAAATACTCCCCAAATACTCTCTGCCAAGAAGTTTCTCTCCTGGCAACTCTTTTTCAGCTTTTACTGCCTGAAGGAGCTACTGAGACCCATAAGAACTTGTGGTTATTGTGGTGGTGCTCTGGTAATTGCGATTACACCCATAAACGGAATAGATCCTAATGCCACTGCCCGACGACTGACGACTGAGACTTTGTGACTCAGTGACATTGTAGCGAAGAGAACGAGGAGCAACGAGCCAGCAGCAGCAACGAGGGAACTGCTACTATAAATCCATAACTGTCAGTCAACATTTTGGACCAGTATCTGAGACGTTGTCGTTGGTTTGTCGTCTCTTGTATGGCCATAACGACATTTGCTTTTGGCTTTCTGTGTACTCTTCTGTGGCTGGGGGAGCATCGACGACCGTTACTACATTCCTGGGACACCTTTGAAACACAGACCTGAAGCTAAAGCTAAAGCTGAAGCAAACAAAATCTTGGCCACATTTCTTGTGTTTATTTAAGCATGGAAATTGTGTAATTTCTTGAAGATGAGACCTGGTATGAATTTTCTCCCAATTGGATTTAGGTTTTTGTTTGTGTAGTTTATAACACTTCTTGACGTTTTTGTGGGCTGCTCAAATTCCGAATTGCAACTGGGAAAAAAAGAGCTAAAATGCATCAGCCATTTTACGATTTTTCCCCGCTCGCTTAATGCCAATCAGTGCTCACTTATTGCGTCGAGCGGTCTTCCTAAATTTTATTTTATTTTATAGATCGTTAAATTTGTATATTACACAGAATTTATGAACACTGAAAAACAGAAAATTGCAGAACTTTAGTTGCTCTTTGATCGCTGAAGATTCATGAGAACGATAGAAAATTGTCTTCGATTTACAGAAGCCGTTGAAGGAGAAGAAGCTGTCAGATTGATGGGATTTTCTGAGGAAAACAAACAAAAGGCTAAACAGTTGTAAAAATTGTGTTGGTGGGCAAAACTTGTTTGTGCTTTATGATAATCTAATCGAATTTCAGATATTCGAGCTATTCGAGTAGTATATCTTACAACATGGCTGGGTAAATTATTCCGCAATTCATTAGGCGATTACAAAACTGGAAAATGGCAGGCGGCATCTATTTGAGCAGTAGATAGGAAACCCGTTCTTTAATTGCTTCATTTGGAGCTCGAAAAACTTCAAATCTACTTTTTGGTTCTGAAATTCCTTTAGGAATGAAACTGTAGGCTAAATCGGAGTACTTTAAAGGAGAAACTTAAATGATTACCCCATTTCTGTGCTATAAATTAATTTCTCTCACGTGAAACCCCAACAGAACTGAGGCCCATTCATAAATAAAATCGGAATATGGGACCTACTCTCGCATTACACTTCCAGGAATTACATTTAAAAAACATAAATATTTATTTTGTTTAGTTCAGCATCTACCGAAGCGCTTCTATCGACCTTTCCAGAGAACTTCCGCTCGAGGAAACACCTGAAAACACAGAAAGGCAAAATCCACACTAACTTACAGAATTAACCAAACATTTATTTAAGTAAAAAACAGGCAGAGACGAGACGAAAGAATTATTGCAAAAATCCAACATAAATCTCAAGCAGCTCAAAGAGAGAATCCACGCACATGGAAATTACAGAAAGAAATATAAAACTTTTGCCTACGAAATGCTTTATTATGATGACGCCCACAAATGGCCAAACGAGATGAAAGATATAGAGGGGGAGATCCATAGATATATATATAAAGTTATCTAGGTGATACCCGACCAAGTACTTCCGGCAGAGTGGGGGAAACGGGCACAGAAAATGGTGGTGCCTGCTCAAAAATTTCAAAAATGCTGCCCAGGCATTTCATTCGCTGTTTCGGTTAATTCTTTTCTCGTTATTACATTTTTACATTTTTAATTTGAATTTTATTTATTATTTTATGCGATTTTATACGATGCGCCTGCTGCCACCGCCTCGCAATTCGTTTTATCGGGGAATTTTATTTTTAAAACAAAAATAAACAACCACCGACCGACCGACCGACGACTGATCATCTCCGATTTTCTGCTCTTTTTCGTTTCATTTCATGCTTTTATTTATATTACAGCGGACGGACAAACTTTTGTGGCCCCTCCACTGCCATACGTACAAATATATAGTCGTACCATCCCAACCCACAGACCTGCTGAGATTGTGACGATGAATTGGACGCGCGTGCTGCTAATCGGGTTGACCGCCTTGGCGCTGACATTCGTAGAGGTTGCATCACTCTCACTGGATCCAGGTAAGTGTAAAAACAAGGCAGAGACTAACCCGTCTTCCACTCAACTCTTTTCCTCGCCCAAATTCCATTGTGCAAATGCACTGAAAGAAATAGTTTAAATAAAGTCAAGTTCGACTTTTGAAAAAGTTTAAATGCCGCTTAGTGGAATGAAACAAGTTTTGAATCATTCGATGCCAGTAGAAAGTGTAATTTATGGAGAACATCTACTACTACTACTGGATCCCCTTTAAATAGTTGCAGATGCAGATCTTGTTGCTGCGTTACAGTAATTATTCCCCAATATTACACAGTACACGGATCTGAAAGAAATCATTCTAAGTACACCAAAAACCTCTCAATAAGGATCAAATGATTTTTATTGAAAGAAATTCCCTCCAGTGTATGTATGTACATATTTTTACCGTTTCTTTTATGGTCACAAACACGCGAATGATCGCCCAGGCTTTGGCTGGCTAGCCCCAGTGTCAATATTTGCCGAGAAAACGCCCGAAACGCCATACTCGCACTCTAGTGTACTCTTGGCATCGTATCCAACTTGGCGATTTATGAAAATCTCGGGCTCGAGCTGGAGCTTGAATCCCAATGAAAATGTCGTCAACTGTCAGATAGGTTCATTGGTTGTTGAGCTGGTGACCTCCCTGAAACCCGTAGATGGTGTTTGCGGTGCCCGATCACGAGCACCAGCAGAGAGAGAGAGACTCATTCGCTTGAAGCTCTAGCATGCAGTTGGCCAATGCAATTTCTGTGCCTCATGTCCATAGCCGTGTCCATGTCGTGAAGGTCACCCACCCGGCATCATGAGCCTGTCAAAAGTTAGACAAATAACCCAGCAAATGCGTGAAATTCTATATAGAGACGTCGCTTGATAGATTCTTTTGCCCTGACAGTCCGCTGACTCGCACTCGAATGCGGATTGTGCAAATACGGAGCGGACCCCCGACTACGAGTATGTCTTTCGTATTTATTTGGGTTAACATGCCGCTGGATTAGAAACAGAAACAACCAAGGCGATCTCTCTCGGGGTGACCAAAATAAACAGTTCCATGTTCAATGTGTCCGAATGTCGTAATCTTGTGGCAGGCGCAAAAACGCAATTGCCAATGTTTGTGGATAAATAGAGCAAGTGGCAAAGTCTTTTGGTTTGCTCTCGCGATTAAGTTTTACAAACATGACCCAACCGAATTTTATTTTGTTGAATTTTCGGTATTTGTTTAGCTGTTGATTTGGTAATCGATCTGTTTGATTATCTGCTTGAGGAACGGAAGTGCTTCTTAGCAGTTCTCTGACAGCGTGAATCCACAAAAAGGGAAGTGTCTGATAAGGTGAGAGATTACTCGCGATTATACTAAAAGGAATGTTTTTAAGCGTATTTGCAGTGTCCTATTTCCGCATTCATTGATAAACAATAAATAAATTATTAAAAATAAAAAAATAGTAAATAAATAAATAAAAGAATAAAAAAATATATTGCCCAAAAGACCCCTTTTAACTAATCAGCAATTAGCTACCACTATATAATCATACTGTACTGCTTCTATATTCCATATCCCAACTTTCTTATCCTCTTTTCCCATATATCTATTTCTTTATATAATTAAATCTTTATTGTTTTTCACCCACAGTTGCCTCCGCCGAACTCGAACAGTTCATACGAAAAGGCGATGTTGTCATATCCACCCGACACATAAGGTAAGTCATCAATTAGGTTCATACTAACTTCAGAGGTTACAATATCTGAGCTCTGGGCTCTTTTTTAGACCACGTCGGAAGCTGCACATTTCCATAGAAGCCCTCTTTATGATCGATTTCCCCATGCTGAAGCACAAGATGTCCTTCTTTTTGGACCGCAAACAGCAGCGGGTTACACTGGACATTAGTGCGAATGGAGCCACCGAGTCGCGTAACTTTGAGATACCCAACATCAACGAGACGAGTACTATACGATCGTTGGCCCTACAGTTCGCCAAGAACCGCATCACCCTCTTTGTGGACTGCAAGGCGAGCACGCATCATGACATCGAAATGAATCTGGCCAAGCTCTACATACAAATGGATGATCCAGTGATCAAGCTGGTGAGTGGGGAGGATCTTTCTTCTAGTGCTCTATTGGGGGTAGATATACAACTGAGAGAAATCTGTGTCTTTCATTGACAGTTCCGTGAGCGTAAATATCCCTTGCACTTTGATGCGGACATGGAGCACTCCCTGCAGCGGGCCAATTGCCAGAAAGGTCTGCATCGTCGGGGCAATCGACGCATGCTGCGGAACAAGATCACGGAACGTGGTAAGTTTATCTGAGAGAGCTGTCTGCTGCCAGTCAGTCCACCACAACCCACCGATCATTCCAGAGAAGAACAAGAAGCGCGATGTGCGCGGCTGGTACGAGCCAACCATCTCCCGGGAAGGAGTCACAGATCATCGACACCAGGAGGTGCCAACGGACGTTGAGCGTGGAGATATACCCATTCTGCATGGCGATTGTGAAGGTAGGTTGCCCGCAACAACACAACCACAGCACCACTGCACCACCCATCGGTTTGAATCTGAGTTCCACACAGTTTTTGTCAGCAGCTGACAGTCGGTAGTCCTAAAGCAGTCAACGACTCATGCCCCAGAGGCGAGGCCTGATCTCTGAAAACTCTTCCGAATGTCTTTGGCTTAGATGACGCGTTGATGAAATTGTTTGGCTTTTCTCTTGTCCGTTGTCGTTATGTCTCTTGAGGAACATAATTCAATTAAGCAAATGTTGCAGAGTGTGGGTTGTGGAACTGATTTGAGGGATCGTTTGGTTTTGGTTTGAGCGGGGGCTTGAAATGTCAATGGCATGGCATGTGTGCGAGACCTTGAAAACGAACACAAGCCTCTCCTGAAAAATTGCAATGAGAATATAAGATTTTATAGCTAAACATAAGTTGAAATTCTTTGATCGAAGACTTATTCTTAATAGAATATAAAACCCCTTAAATCAGGAAGAATTTCACAGCGATTTCTACACCATTTCCAATTTTCGAGTAATCTGAAAACGAAAACTCAATTAGAATCAATATATCCTTGATATATCTATCATCGGTATACCTCTTAGGCTGTACAACATCATGTAAGACACATGGCAACAACTAAACTAGTTCATCGTCTCTTGGTTTCCCAAATGCACATCTGGCCTGTACAAATGTCTGACTTTGTCGGTTGCCTGCCTCCTGCCTGCCTGCCGAAGTGAGTTTTGTCAACATTGAAAACGTCGCCGCCTTAACGCCCAAACGCATCCGTTCCAAGTCACAGATCTCCGGGGTCTACGTCTCTCGATCTCGTTTTGGTTACATTTGGCAACCTTCGTTTCTATCTCGTTCGTCGTCGTCGGCATAGCCACGTAATTCATTCATTACGTTTGTGCCTTTGCGATTTATATGCCGCCCCGGACCGTACCCATGTCAACTGAAAGGCTGCTGAGAGATTGGTTGCGCGGGGCAGGCAGATCGGTACAGATCAGAGCCAGCTACCAATTTGGTGTTGTTCTGCACTGCACTGCGCTGAGCCAGATAAATAATAATTATGCTGGGTCGCCACTAGGCAGGGTACCAAACGAGTGCACAACTTATGCATGGGCTTTGTCATATCTTGCCGTTCACTAGCGTTGTATCTACGTGGGCGCCTTTACCTCTCGCTCGCTCACTCTCTGGAGCACTTAGCGGCGACTTATTGGCAAAGACAGTGTCAGTCTTCGGTGTGGGTACCACTGCTAGGGTATATATGTGTGTAGCTCTATATATGTAGCTGTCTGCAAGTGTTGTAATTAATTGCTTGCCAGATTTGTAAGGCATTAGCCAGGTAAACTGAAGATGATTTTCGGCCCTAATGAAGATCATAGGCAGGCAAATTGGTAATGAAAGATAAGAGGATTAAAAGCATTAATCATAGAAACACTTTTCATACTGGCAATTCAATTAGGGAGTACCCTGGCCTGAGTAATGTATCACAGCTGTTACTTATCTATATCTACAGTTCCCCTTAAGAAGATGTCATATTCTTCTGAGTTCTCTCTTCTGCTGTAAAGTCATGAAATCGGTATTAATCTGCTTTAACTCACAGTTTAATTTATGCCAAAATAAAATCCGCCATACATACATATATGTATATATGTATGTGTTTATTATTCTCCATCGACTTACCATTGTGCAATCCCACATTAGTGCATCAGTGACTCAATCAATCATGAGGTCCTGACTCAGAGAGAGAGTTCGGTTCGGGATGTTGGGTTTGTGGATGCTTGGCTTTGTTGGCCCATTGCATTAAGCTCCACTAAAACCCCTCTGAACGCATTAGCAGCGCTGTTCAAAGCGCCGAAGGAGTGCATTGGAGCGACAAAGCGGATTAGGTTGCAATCAGAGACAGCGAGAGAGAGAGAGAGAGAGGGTCCCGACAAGCCTGTACTCGCACTGTACTGCATACGATGTTGTGTGCGTTGTGCATGGGTTAAAATGAGTGCGATTTTTGCATTGGTTAGACCTTAATCTTGTCAGACGCTTGAACGCTTCCCACACAAACGCAGACCCCGGACCCCGTACACCGTATACCGGAGACCCTCTGTGTGCCGAGAGTCTTCATGAATTATTGTTGCTTTATTTAAAGCCTCAACTGAAAGGAACGGAACGGAACTCTACCCTCAACTGTTGTTGTTACTGTTGCTGTAATTGTCTGTGTTTTTATTCCAACCCAGACGCCCTCGCACGATCATTGAGCGATTTACTGGCTTTGGTTAAGCTGCTCCGTGAAGACGTCGCCCACCAGCGCCAGGAGATTGCCTACCTGCGTATGCTCTTGGAGAACTGTGCCGGCTGCAAGAATCCCCTATCCGGGGATAATCAGCTGCGACTGGAGCCCACTTGTCGCACGGCGAATCCTTGTTATCGCGGTAAGTGCGCTTTTATCGATAGCTCGAAAGCTTTCTATTGCATTCAAAATTGTTAAATTTTGCAAAATTCTTTCAGGTGTCGACTGTCTGGATTCGGCCGCTGGCCCAAGGTGTGGCCGTTGTCCTGCCGGCTTGATTGGCGATGGCAAGATCTGCAAGCCGGGCGTCACCTGCGCCAACTTCCAATGCTATCCGTAAGTTTTTGCTAAGTCCTGTTCCATCCTACCTCTCCCTCTCTATGTCTCTCTCTCTCTCAAGATGTTGTGTAGAAAATTAACGCAGTTTGTAGAGCTCTTAATGGCGTCAAGGGCGTGGCGATTACATCCACGTTAATTGTATTTGTCATGCTGTGGGCTCCAAGGGCTTGAAAAGCGCCGCCGATCCGGCCAAAAGGTTCTCTCCTCCGACTGACTCTGCAATTATTTGCATTTGGCCTTAATGGCAATTTGATGTTGTTTATGGTTTGATGATCTAGTCAGGCCACTAGCTTAATCAACTCCTTGACTAGCTAGCACCTCTCAGTCACACAAATATCCCCATCCCCATTCACATCCATATCTCAATCTATATCTATATGTGTGATTGATAAGCAAGTGATGCGCCCATTGAGAGGGGATTCACATTTAGAGGTTTATTTACTTGGTGAATTCTACGAATAAATAAACAGAACAGAACAGAGAATAAGTGGAGTGGAGTAGAGTATGCTTACACCCAGGGAAAAAAGGACGTCAGATTCGAATATTTACACTTGAATTTAAAATTTCACTTACAAGTTGATATTCATAAATTTCATATTTAAATTAAATTAAATTGAATTCTACTTAATTTCCATTAAGTTGTATTTAAAAATCCGAATATTTAATTTATATATGGGTGTGTTTTTTTTACAATGCTATTTTTCTCCGAGTGTAAAAGTTTGTGTAAGTCATTTGAGTGATTCTGAAACCAGTTCCACCTCTCGCCTCTTCCCATCTGATAAGCTTCGTAGATCGTAGATATGTCAATCCGAATGCGAAGAAGACTTCCTAATCCCTTGTCGCTTCGGGACAGTTTAGTCGAATCAAGCTAGTGTCGGGAAATATGTATTCAAATGATCTTTACGAAGCACATTTACTATCCAGCAAAAGATCTCTTTCATGTGTTTGCGATACAAAAATGGGAGTAGGTCTTATCTTTGCTGAAATGTATTCTCAAAAACTCCCACCAAATATGGCTTCAGACAAGGAAAACCTTTCACTGCACATAAGTTAGACATCAAGCCACCCACAGCCCCCATATTAAGTTATCATTTTCAACAACCGGAAGAGTCTCCCACAGTCGGAAATCCATAAAATAGTTAAAGATTGTTCTTGGCTCTGTATCTGTATCCGTATCTGTGTAATGCCAAATTTGTTTCAATCTCAATCATCGAATTATGCAAAAGACCCTCAGCGCAGCGGTGGACCCTAATAAAAACATAAATTCTGGCACTGGAAAATTTCATAAATATGTTAAACAAAACTGAAACAAGTTATGCGGCGATGTAACGGTGATGGAACTCAAGAATATTGGGTTGATGCTATTGTCGAACAAAATGCAACAAAACCCTTGCAATACAGCAATCCACAGACCTGGGAGACCTAAGATGTGAGAGGTCTGGACCACAAATGGCACTTGAAACAGCCGCATAAATTAGTTAAAATGAACCCGCACCTTTGCCATAAGAACCCCAGACCCAGATCCAACTCCAGACCTTCGAAGCTGAGGACTGACTGACTTCATTGTGTCAAAACACTTAAAGTGATTTCTGTTATTTTTTCCATAGACTGGGGGACTGGGTAGCCCTTTGGTAATGCGAGAAGCAAGCGCCTGTGTGCCCTGGGCCACGCGCATAGGAAGCATTGGACCATAAATTTGTGTAAATTATTGAAAAGAGCCCCCACAGACCCAGAGCAGAGACCAAAGCCTGGCCAAAGAACCACCGAGTGTTGTAGGTGTCTAGGGATCGGATTGGATGGGTATGGTTTGGGTTTGGTTTGTTTGGATTGCCGAGAGGTAAGGTGCGCCTCTGACCGTATTTTAATTTGCATAAAATTGTTTTAAATGTTGTCACGATGCGTCGATCGCCGCCGACTCGTTACTGTCATCTTTCATTATCGATGAAATGTGGCCAATGTGTGTGGTAAGCCGCCACAAAAACTGAATCACCATTCCCCCTACCTTTTTCTTTTACTCATCTCCCATTCCCCCAATCATTTTAATTTAGAACCCACCAAATGTCATCTGAGTCAAATGCGGCTGAGAATCATGGCTGAGAACATGGTCAACGCTTTGTTTGTTTCCACTTTGATTCTAAAGTCCATTCTTTGGTGTCGTTCGGAGTCGATCGATTCTATTAAAAGACCATAAAACTTGTGCTAACGGCATGCACACCTGTTGTTGCTTGTCCTTTGTTGCGCAGGTTATCCACAGTGTTTGTTTTAATAGGGGTTATGCATGAACATCCCATCCACATCCCTGTGGTGCCCCTCTTTTGTGTTGGAGTCCAATATTAACCGAGGAGGGGTCGGTGGTCGGTCCCTTTAGTAGCGCTCTATATTGATTGAAAAATGTTCTCAGGTATTCCAAGACCTTATTAAATAAACATGAATGGGGAGTAGAGTAGAGTTCTAGGGATTCCTATACTTAACATCATGTTGGGTAAATCCCTATCTGATCCCCCCTTTTATCGCTTAACGCTCTGCCTTCATCTTCCAAATAAAGATCATTCGCACACTCATAGCACTTTCGATTCCACTCTCCACCGGTTGACCACCTGAAAAGCCAATCAGCCCCAGGCCGATGACAGTCGAGAGGCGCCTCCGCCCCAGAAATCAGTCTTCCCTGCACACACTTACACTTCTGTTGTTGAATTTAGAAAATTATGCAGACGATGAAATAATCAGCAGTGCAATCAAGACCAAGGGGAGATTATATTACCCAGCTAGAGATAGATATGTGGATGGGTTATATTGGAGAAAGAGATTCCGATTTGAAGACCGATTGCAGTCTGCAACATGTGTACGAGGCATGCTGAACATTTTTCGAGACAGAATTCCATTTGATTGTGGCAACTTTCCCACAGAATTTCGAATCTCTATGCATATTCCCCCCCTCTAGTTTTTTCTCTTTCTTTTGGTGGCCCAAACAAAACGTTTACGGCCATGGCTCGAAGTCTGGCTGGAAAAAGCAGGAAAACGAAAGAGAGGAAGCAACCGGAGAGGCTGGTTCACAGCTTCGAAAACATCAAAGTTCGGTGGAACGGTGGAACGCATATCTCAGTGGGAATCAAGTTCGCCTACGCATCAAGGAAAAAGTGGATCCATTGATTCCAAGTCGTTGTTGTCGTTGTCGTCGGTGGGTTCGGTTCGGTTCGTTTTTGTTGTTTTTGTTGTTGTTGTTGTTGCTGTGGCTCTTGACTCTGGGGCTACGGCTGTGGCTGTGGCAGCGTTTGACTGCTTGAATTCAAATTAATAGTTGACTGGCAGTGAATCCAGCTGGGGCCAAGTTTATACGCTGAAGTATATATTTATTGTGATTTTCTTGCTGATTTCGTTTGAGTTTTGAATTTTTTGAGTTTGAATTTCGTTTAGTTTTGGGATGAAATTGTGTTCCTTGGGTAATTGTTGAATATTTGAATAAAGATACATTTGCATTCCCCTCACCAACTAATTTTCAATTAGAAAAATTCTGTACAAATATTACTCAGCTAAAGTCTACTTAATGTTAATTATTTTTGACTGCAATTTTTATCTTCAACTAAATTCCCAAAAGCTCTCACCGCATAAACCTCATATATTGGCACATTGCCGTTGTCTCTGCGGTTGTCTTGGCCATGTGCAGGCGCAGCAATGAAAACAAAAACAAGCCCATGCCCAAGCCCGGGCCAAGTCGAGATCCGCAGCCACAGCTGAAGTCGGAGTCAGAGTCAAGCAACCTCACAGATAAGTGGCCTGTGGCAAAATAAACGCCGCTTTATGGCAGTTAGCTGCAGTTTGTCCAAAGCGTGCGCCATAGGAGGAGAGGAGGTGGATTTGGTGCATGGAATGGATTGAGGATGGTGGCACTGCATGGATCCCCCTGCCTGGCTGCCTGCTCCCCCAAAAGGGAGCCCAGATACGAGTGGCAGCCAAGTGTGTTTCTTGGCTCTTTTGTTGTTAGAAGTAAGTGCTGGGCATTTGCATGGCATGCGCTACCATTAGAAGCAATTTGGGTGAGGGTTAATGGAAGCTAGGAAGCGAAGTGTAGAAGGAAACCCATAAGAGTTAGGGTTACGATCGATGGTAGACCATTGAAAGAACTTTAAGAAGGACTCTTAGTGGGGAAATGAGTGGCTAAAATCAATGATTAGTTATCTGCCAAACCCTGACAAATCTCGTACGTCTATCATATATAAATTCCTTCCACTGTAATCCCCCCAACCAGAACCCAGGCACCAGATGCAAATGGCCTAAAAGCCTTTGCATGCTTCAGAACCATGTTCACACATTACTCAGGTCCGGGCCCTGCTCCTGATGGAGGAGCTCCCTTCCAAGGCTCCTTTGGTTGGTGTTTGAACTGGTCTCGACAGAAAAAAAAAAAAGGGAATCACAAGAAGAGCAGGGACCAGGGACGCAGAGGCAAGCCAGCAAATTGGAATTATGAATTATGAATGCGTGGTTAATAAAAAGAACGTCCAAGAAGCAGGCAGTTAAGGCAGAACATCGAGAGAGCCGAGCCCCAGCCCCAGCTTCAGCTTTAGTGAGATCCCAAAACTCCGAGTGTGTTCGTCATGCTAACTATGGGATAACCATGGGGGGATGGAATAGCTGGAGATGGACATTGGGCGGGGTCAGTGGCAGAAATGCTAATGCGTTCCTCGATGCGCTCGACTGGATATTTTCCCAGCACTCAAACGATGCCGCAGCAGCCACAGACACAGACAATATGGTCGAATGAACTGAAACAAAGCAGAAAAGCGCAAAGTGCCAGGGCCAGTGTTAGTGCCAGTACCAGTGCGAGGAGGAGTCGGAGGAGGCGTCTGGGAACATAGCCAGAAAGCGAAAACCCCTACGCAATATCCAACATGGATATGGCTATGGCCATGGCAGTGGACAGCAGCGCGCCTTGACTCAGACCGCTTGCCACTTAAGTACTTAACACTTTTTGCTAATTGCGCGTTGCGCTGCCAGTTGGAGGCATGGCAGGCCTATGGTCGAGTCCGTGGTCCCCCGTTGTGGCAGCCACAGCCGAACCCCCAAAATGCTTACGCACAAACTCTGCAGTCCGGTACTCCGGACAAGTGTGTTGTTGCCCACCATGGATACGCCAAAGCCGAGAGCAGAGCCCGTAGGCTGATGAGTCTCATCAACTGACAGCGCCAAAGAATAGAAAAAACAAAATTTGAATCTTTTTTTTTTGCTACTCAGGTTTGTTTTTTGTTAAGCCAACAAAAATGTTGTTATAATACTCTGCCCTAAATGGGAGTAGGGAATGTGATACAAGACTTGGGGCCAATTTTAATAGTAATAATATTCCCTTTATTCTTCCAATTAAAAGATTTTTAAATCTTTTAAAAATAATATATGTATATTATTTGAACACACTTTTCCCTGTACCTTCTTTGATCTTCCAACCTTTAATTGTGACACTCGGAACGAGAGAGAATCGGCTTGGAACTCGCTCTTTCCTTTTTGCTTTGCATATGCATTAAATGAGGGAGAAGGGAGAGCGGCTTCGCGCCTTTTTTGCATTTTTTCGCACACACACAAACAAAGAGACCGCGTGACCGAATGAAAACAAATTCAAGACGCCAGGAGCACGCATGGTACCCAGGGCTTATTTGCACAGGAAATTAATTAAATAATGAATTAACACACTTGTTGCACTGCACTTTCAGTTCGTTGTCATTTTTCTGCCATTTTTATTTCCTCTCCCTCTTGGTACGCCTCTGCACCACACACACGCACATTATCTCGGATTAAACACGTTAAGGTCATGATTTTTGATATTTTTCACTGCACTACACTAACAAAAATTGCGCGACAGTATTTTCCGATTGATTTCCACGATTTTCCCGCTTTTCACGACCCGAAATTGGCAAAAGAACGTGGAGCTGACTATGAACGCGTGCAAATGGCAGGAAACTGAAAATAGAGAGAGGAGAGAGCGATGTAAATGCGTATGCAGCTTAGTACTCTCCCATTCCATGCTCTCATTTTTACGCTAGTATAAGAGCATCATTTTTGTCTCTTTTGTTTACCTCACACACCCACACACATTAATGGGTGCAACAAATTAAAAATGGATTTGTTTATATAATAATAATTTTGCGAAGCTTCTTATAATAGCTTAATTCCATTTAAGGGTATTCACACTGTGACTATATCCTTCTTGGTGGCTTAAACTTCCCTCCATGATTACTATTTACTACCGGGCTATGGGCAAGCAGGGAAGTTGGGGCCACGTCCAAGGGTCTCTCTGTAGAGCCCTAACTCTGACTGAGATTTCCGGCAAGCGAAAAAAGGCATTGTGTGCTTAGCCATAAAATATCGGAAACTATGGCTTCTGGGTCAGTTGGGCACGGTAGTTGTTCTGCTGATGGGTGATGCCCGATGGGTGATCTTCCTAGAAAATTGGACTGCTGTGAGTTATGTTCTGTCAAAGTGGGCTGCTGCAAAGCGAGCCTGAAAATTAAGTTTCAACTGGAAGACGAGGAGGATGCAGATAAAGCTGAAGCATTGCCCAGTGGACAGAGGGTAACGGGTAACTGCAACCCGTACGAACAGAACCGTACCAAGCCGAACCGAAGAGACCGATGCGAACTAATGACCATGTCATGATATGTAAATATTTTGCAAAGCCATAAGAAATCCCACACTCTTCAGCATAAATAAGAGACCCCTGTATTTGGGAGAAATTTACTTACATTTACATGCCAATGCCCATGTCCATGGGCCATGCCATGCAATGGAGCCTGGATTTTGTTGTACATACTCGTACTTTTGCCATGGGCTATCATATCATATCCATATCTCCCATCCTACACAACCTACACACAGCCGGAGTTTTGCCTCTTTTCTCCTTTATTTATTTGTGTTTCTCTGGGTTTTAATAAGATTTTCTTGTAATTGTAATTTGTTTTCTTTGGGAACCTGGTCGGTGTCGGCTCTTCCTGTACGGTTACGGGGGATCAACGGAACCCAAAAGCATCCGAAAAAAAAAACTGAGAAGGAGAGGAAGAGGGTAGGGTAACCGTACCTTCTGGCACATGTCTTGTCGCTTGTCGAACTGCGCTTTGTCGGTGCGCTTTGCTTTTGTTGGCCCCATCATGTCGTCCCGTCCCTCTCAATAGGGGTAACCTTTTCTCTTTTCACAGATCTTTCTTTCGCTGGTCAAGCACTGCCTTTTGTGTAACTTTGTTTCCACTAAACATCATTAATAAATTTGCCTTTGTATGGTTTACCTTTCTGTATCCCCCCATTAACATTAACAGTCTTTTGTTGCTGTTTGTTCCTGACTGTCAGTATTAATAATAATAAACAATATGTGGGGTGAGAGGGGGATATGAGACGCAGCACACAACACATCCTCTACTGCCCGATCCACTGATCCACCATTAACCAACTGAATCTGTGTGTCTCTTCTCTTTCCGTTCTCTTTGCAGAGGCGTTCAGTGTCACGATACCGTGAACGGAGCCCAGTGTGACTCCTGTCCGGTTGGTTACGAAGGTGATGGACGCACATGTTCTCTACGTAATCCTTGCCTGGACACACCATGCCCCTCAGGTAAGTCGTCCAACCCAACCCAAACCAATCGAATGGAATGAAAATGGAATGGGTTCTTTTCTCTCTTCTGTTTTTGTTTTCTTTCCCCCACCACCCGCGATTAGTGCTCAAGTGGAGTTTTGTTTGTGGCAAGAAATTGTTGGACATTTTGTTGATTTTATGGCTAATTTGAGTTTGTCGTGCCACTATTTGGAATCGTGTTCTTGTGTGGGTAGCTATAGGATCATATAACTGGGAACTAAAAGAGTGGCAGGTTTAATTTGATTCGAAATTTTTGGTGATTTAAATAGACATCAATCGTTCAAGGGAAAATTGGGGGGTTCTATAAACAAAAAATATTCGAGATTTCATATTAACAACTTTAACAATTAACACACCATTTTTGTTGTTAGATCAGATAAAACTTGAATATAGAATAGATGTACACATTTCTGTTTAAACATTTTTAAATTTTAAAATAAAAATCTATTGCTAGCTGTCCGGAATCCACTTGCAGGTAATATCATAAATTATTCAAACAAACCAAGTTCCTTTAAATATTATCCAGTTTGGGGCTGTTTCAAAAACTCTGCCTTAATTCGCTGATATTTCAGTCCATAATTTTCCATCAGTATATATACCCCTTGAATCCGACTGTAGCGCACTCAATTCACACGACTATTTGATTTATTAAGACCCCACCACTTTGTCTGAACTCTGGGACTGGGACTGAGACTGAGGACTCGCTCTGAACCCTTTTGATTGAATTAAAGACGAAAACCCTCGACAAATTATATGGTACGAAGAGTAATTTCTGGCTTCCCGCGAATGTGTGAAACGAGGCAGCTAATTAGAGCTCAGTCCGAGTCCCAGAGTCATCGTGTTTGAGGCGTGTTGGAATGTTGTGCGGCCTTCCTTATATAGTATGTCAGGTTTGCTTAGCTAATTGATTTTGGGCGGTAAAAGTTCAAAGTACAAGGAGATAAATTGGCATTTGGCTTTTGGCATTTGCCATTTGGAATTTAGCAGTAGGTGGAATATATTAGCGAAATATGATCAATTACATAAACGATTAACTAATAAATAATTCTCATTTGTATTAGGCAACATTCACTATCAGAGGCAGAGCCAGTACACGGCCCGCAAATACTCGGTCATAACGAACTAATCCACAGAGCGGGAGAGCAGCGTTTCGACTAAGACATACGAGAAACATATATATATTCATATACATATATGATTACGAATTAAAAAACAGAAGAAAGTGTGCACATAATGAATTACTACCTATATAAAATAGTCATAAGTTGTAAGCTCTATTCGATTGGCAAACGGAGGAATTTTCAAGTATTAGCAGTCCCCCCCTACCCACCATCTTCACAACAAAACGAACAAAAATATGATACACAAAGATACACCATGTGTACAAGTTTAGAATACTATATCCCCCCACTCCCCCGTACATATGTATGTCCCTCCGGCCCAACTCAAATAGAATGCCCAGAAAGTGGAGTCTATAAACGTGTAACGAGATTTGTTTACCCCTTCTACCGGCCCGGTCCCGCCCCGCCCTACTACTGTAATAAAATACGAATAGAATCTAATGAACAAAACAAAAAAAATGTATGCTGTAATGTTTTGGTATTTAATAAATAAACTCAATCATTGGCTATATAATGTACTATATCTTTGAAATCATCTTCCACTCAAATCATCTTCCCTCATCTCAACGAATCGCTTCATGTTTATACACTATCATTTTCTGGTCATACTACAGAAGAGAGATAACTTTTTTAATGTGGATTCTGCTCTGAGGGTAAGTGAGTTGCAGTCTAAATGGAGTTGCACTTTATAAAGGCTTATCATATTCGTAGTATATCATATATGTATGTAGTACGTGCAAAGACAAAGATAAGCCACGCTTCTCTTGTCTTTGGTGTGTGGGTTGAATGTTGAATAGTGTTGATCAATCCCGACATCATCAAAATAACACATACATCACATCTTCAATCCCTTTACTCACCCATCCATTGCTCATCTCTCTCTCTCTCCCTCTCTCTGGATCGATTCAGGTGCCCAATGCCTGAGAATAGGCTTTCCGCCCTACTTCCAATGCATCTCCTGTCCAAAGGGTCACCAGATCAACGGCACCAGCTGCCGCGACGTGGATGAGTGTGCCATCTATCAGCCCTGTGATGATCTCACTGTCTGCCACAATCTCAATCCGGGCTTCAAGTGTACGCCCTGTCCGAGCGGCTTTGATGGCGTCCATGCTCATGGCTATTTTGCGGACCATCTGTCGGTGGAGTACAGAAAGCAGACCTGCCTGGACACCGACGAGTGCCAGTCGGGCTACTTTAGTTGTCCGCTTCACGCCACCTGCATCAATGAGATTGTAAGTAAAGGACAGGATTTAGGAGCATTTTGGATACCTTTGTCAGAGCTAGTAATCATCACATTTCTCCTCTCTCTCTCTCTCTCTCTCTTCAGGGCTCGTACCGGTGCCAATGCAATGATGGCTTTGTCACCAATGGCACCTACAGCTGCCTGGACAGATCCTCCGTGGCTGTGTGCCCGGATGGACGCATCTGTGACAGGAATGCCGTCTGCGTGTACTCCGACAGCGTGCACTATCAGTGCCGCTGTACCGTTGGCTGGGCGGGCAATGGCCTGATCTGTGGACAGGATCGAGATCTCGATGGTTGGCCAGACCAGTCGCTCGCCTGTCCCGAGCTCCACTGCCAGCGCGACAATTGCCCGGATCTGCCCAATTCCGGGCAGGAGGATGCTGATCTGGACGGCCATGGCGATGGCTGTGACGACGACGCCGATGGGGATCAGGTGCAGAACAACAAGGACAATTGTCCGCTTGCCTACAACACCGAGCAGCTGGACGCCGACGGGGACGGTGTGGGCGATGTGTGCGACAATTGTGGACACAAGTTCAATCCGCGGCAGCTGGATGCTGACGGGGATGGTTTGGGCAATGCCTGCGACGAGGATATCGACAACGATTCCATTCCGAATGAGGTGGACAATTGCCCTCTGTTGAGGAATCCCAATCAGTCGGATGTGGACAACGATGGGGTGGGCGATGTCTGCGACAATTGCCCCACGATACCCAATCCCATGCAGGAGGATCGGGACATGGATCTGGTGGGCGACGCCTGCGACAGTGGAATCGATGGGGACGATGATGGCATCCAGGACTCCGAGGACAACTGCCCCATGGTGAGCAATTCGGATCAGCTGGACACGGATGGCGATGGCAAGGGCGATGCCTGCGACGATGACATCGATGGCGATGGTATACCCAACTACAGGGACAACTGTCCGCTGGCCAAGAATCCCAAGCAGCTGGACTTCAATCGGAATGGCAAGGGCGACATCTGCGAGGAGGATGAGGATGTGGATGGCATCCCAAACATCCTTGACAATTGCCCCAACAATTCCATGATCCATCACACGGACTTTCGCTCGATTCGATCAGTACGCCTGGATCCCGAGGGCGAATCCCAGCTGGATCCCAATTGGGTGGTCCATGCCAATGGCACAGAGATTGTCCAGACCCTAAACTCGGATCCGGGCCTGGTCGTGGGCGACGATGCCTTCGGCGGCGTTGACTTTGAGGGCACTTTCTATGTGAACGATGACACGGACGACGACTATGCGGGCTTCATCTTCAGCTACCAGAGCAATCACAAATTCTATGTGGTCCAGTGGAAGAAGGGCTCACAGACTTATTGGGAGTCGAAGCCATTCATTGCCTCCGCGGAGCCTGGCATTCAGATCAAGCTCATAGATAGCCACACGGGCCCGGGGTCTATGATGAGAAACAGCTTGTGGCGCGACAGTGACACGCCTGGGCAGGCGCGTGTGCTGTGGAAGGACCCGAGGAATGTGGCCTGGAAGGAGAAGACCTCATATCGCTGGTCTCTGGTTCATCGTCCAGCGATCGGGCTGATACGATTGCAGTTGAGTGATTGCCTCCCGAGTCATGAGTCCAGTCCATTTGCTCAGCTCTTGTCTTTTTTATTCCCACACAGAATGTACGAGGGCCAGAGTTTGGTCATCGACTCGGGCAACATCTACGATTCCACGCTCAAGGGCGGACGTTTGGGCGTGTTCTGCTTCTCCCAGGAGATGATTATATGGTCGAATCTAAAGTACAAATGCAACAGTGAGTAGCCCTATAAATAGCCCTCAAAATGTTCTCTGACTTTGATATACATACGTGTGTGTGCCTTTCCTTTCGTCTCTTCCATCAAACAGACCACGTCGACCCTCTGATTTACAAGGATCTGTCGGATCACTTGAAGCTGAAGGTTGAGCTGCAGAACTGATGGACTTATCACCAGCCATTGAAAGCTTACATCTGCCATGAATTTTAACCAAATTAACTATGTAAAATCTATGTAAAACCTTATGCAGTCTATGTTAATTAAAGAGTTTTTCGACAGAGTCGAAAGTTAATAACTAATTGGTGGGTTTCCTATTGAATTTTGTGAAACACTTTCCAGAGAATTTGGCAGCACTGGAAGCAGGCAACAAGATAGGATAAAAGTTTTGCAGCACTAAAATGGGAACAAACATTAAAAAGCAAAGCCAATTTTCTACAATGTGAGTGAATAAAAGGCTAATATTAATTCATAAGCTACAAATGCTAAGGCTATAAGATCTATAAATTAAATAAATTGTAATAAAATTTCATTTATCTGTAATCTGCAACCCTTGATACGTATATCGTGCACATATTCTCCTGCCAAGTAGGCCATGAGAATTATTATCATTCACTTGCAACATTTAAGTCCGTGCGGAAGTGGCAGTCAACATACAAATGCCAACCACACAAGGGCTGTGACAATTTTCAACAAAAAAATAAAACCAAAAAAAATAAATAGGCATAAAAAACACAAAGCAAAGCCACTGAGTGTAATTCAATTCGATCTCGGTGGGCTAGTAAAATTCAGTCATTTACATTTGACCCAGCCCTGACCATAGTCTCGTTTTGTGTAAGTCTGTGAGAAAACTAAATTTTCGTAAAATTCGTAACGAAAATTCTAAATTAAATCCCAAAACGATCAGGACAATGGCAATGGCCAACGGTGCAATGAAAGCGACTCCATCCGTGGAGCAAGTATCTGTAGCCAATACCTCGAATGCACAGAAACGCAAGTCCAGTCATATTCCTGTGCCCAGCTCTAAGCTCAGTTATGTGAAGCCCCGCCAGTATAAGAGCACCTTGAAGAAGGACAACTCGACGGGGAACTGTAGCAAGGGCAGCATTAGCCTCAGCCCCGGGCCACCAAACGATGATTCCGGCATCGGAATGGACCACTCAGTGGAAGTCAGCGAGTGTTCGGTGATTAGCTGCCCCAGTGATCTGACCGAGACTGGCAAAGCCGAGCAGGAATCCCTGAGAGCTCTCCAGCGAGCTGTGGCTGAGATGGAGGCAGATCTAAACATCATCGAAAGCGATGGGGATGCCATCAGCGACAGTGATGGCGATACCGTTACTGCAGAGAATGTGAATCATTGCAAGGACCCAGACCCAGAGAAGGAAGTGCAGAACGCTGTCATAGAGAAGGTAGACCAACTGCAGCCAGAGTCATTGTTACCGCCACAGCAACTGCTCGTGGTACCCGTTGTACTCCAAGAAGAAGATACTCCGCAGGCGCCGAAATCCCCACAACAGCCCCATGAAATGGTGGAAGAAATTTTACAGAACCAAAAAGGATTGAACTCCGAAAATGAGCGCGAAGTGGTAGAGGAATGGCTGCAGAACCTCATCCATGGTGCAGTGGAGGACGATCAGATGCCACCACAGGACCAACATGACGATGTTCTACCATCTACTTACAAAACAGTAGAAAAGAATGAGCATGAGGATGTGCTACCACCACTCATGTCTCATCCAGTTGAAGACATAATGCCTCAGGGGCAACACGACGAAGAAAAAGCTATCGAGATGGCAACATCGATATCCGTACCAGTAGGAGAGATTCAAAAGGAGGCAGCAGACGGTATGTAACATTTGGTGAAACGCCAGCAACTTGAAGAGGTGTTCTACTTCTACCACCTCCTACCAATACAGCAGGGATAGTGGAGCATCTGCAACTTGGACACTTGGACTTGGACACTTGGACCGCACTCACGTCGGAGGCAGTGGAATCCAATTCAAATACTGCTGAAGAGGTTATAACGCAGGAGGAGCAGCCTACTGCAAATGCGCTTACCACAGCTGAAGCGATGATGGATTTGCAAGAGCAATTCCTCGCCAACACCAATGGAGACGATGAAGAGTCTGTCCATTCCGATTTAGATGGCCGGCAGAACCGGATTCAAGACCTCACCTCGTATGTGAACGACGGCATGACTCTGAAGGGAGATACGTGTGTTAGGGTAATAGTATCAACTAAAAGTAGCTTGGAAAATATCTTGCAGCTGCAAGATGAGCGTCCACAAACTACGCTCAACGAGATGGATGAGATAAGCGAGCTGCAGCAGGATCAGGACTACGGGCAATTACAATCCAATTCAAATGCAGTGGAAGAGATCCTGGAGCTTCAACAGGAGAAAATGGACGAAGCAAATGGACTACCCAGTACATCCAAGCAAGTCGTGGGATTGCAACAAATGCAGCAAGTGGAAGAGATCCTGGAGCTACAACAGGAGCAAATGGACGAAGCAAAGGGACTACCCAGTACATCCAAGCAAGTCGTGGGATTGCAACAAATGCAGCAAGTGGAAGAGATCCTGGAGCTACAACAGGAGCAAATGGACGAAGCAAAGGGACTACCCAGTACATCCAAGCAAGTCGTGGGATTGCAACAAATGCAGCAAGTGGAAGAGATCCTGGAGCTACAACAGGAGCAAATGGACGAAGCAAAGGGACTACCCAGTACATCCAAGCAAGTCGTGGGATTGCAACAAATGCAGCAAGTGGAAGAGATCCTGGAGCTACAACAGGAGCAAATGGACGAAGCAAATGGACTACCCAGTACATCCAAGCAAGTAGTAGGAGTGCAACAAATGCAGCAACTTTCTACGTCGTGGCTGCTTGAAAAGTTCATCCAGACGCTGGATAATGAGAAAAATGCCGAGCAAATCAAAAAGCTATTGGAAGAGATCATTAAGCTACAAAACGAGCAGCCAGAGGAGCTGCCACCAAACGCGTTGCAGCCAGAGCAACATGAAGAGATGGAGCTTTCGCAGGAGGTGGAAACTGTTTCATCACCACGCCGCAGTTGTAGCCACAGCCCCTTGCTAGGGATGGCTGGTCTAAGAGCTTTGGAAGGATATTTGGATGATGGTATACTGCGCCATCTGATGCAGCAGGAGCAGGAGGAAAATATCGTACTACCAGCCCGCAGCGAGGAAGCTCTGGTTGAGCAGGAGGACAATCTTGTCGATGTGGAGACTATCCAGGAGAAGCCATGCTGCAAGAATGCGGGTCACTTTCGTGCGCTCCTGCAGCAGCTCCGGGCTTACAAGATGCCGACGGAGATTATACCCCTTGCGCTGTTCGGCACGGCATTCTGCTTGTTTCTTTTCTTCCGCAAGTTTTAGCACACATTAACCAAAAAACAAAAAAATATAACATTAAATCTGAAATATGCAAACACAATATTCCCAGATCGAATTCATCAAAATCGCATAACGCAATGTTTTTGAGTTGCTAAATTAAATTATATTTTAAAATGAAAACAAGACCTAAATTTTGAATTTGAAATATTCGCAACAGTGCGCGAATATATTCAAGTATTGATCAACACTGCTAGCTATCGAATATCAAAATCGAGGAATATCATGCTTGTTGTGTCCGTCAGTATATTTACGGAATATTTTGGCAATGACAAGGTATATTTCGGTATTGATTAATATCAATGGATAAATACGAAGCACAGGTTATAAATTTTACTTGCAACTTACAAGAGGCATACGGTTTTTCCTAATCACTGCTTCCTTCCTGCAGTTGGTGGCTGTGGAGCAGGCGCTGGAGAATGCCACGGATGAGCAACAGCGAGAAGAACTTGCAGCGCTAAGAACGAATCTGCAAGAGCTATTGGCCCTCACTCGAGAGACAGAGTCTGACCAACGAGCTGAACAGGGGGACATTCTGGACGATGAGTTGCTGCGGCTAAAGAGCGAACTTAATGAACTGGAGGAGGCAGCTGCCACCGTTGGCGCCACAAAAAATGAGGACGAAGAGCAGGAATTGAAAGATCTGCGTGCCAAGTACAATGCCCTAATTGGAGAAAAGTGCTCGGCTCCCCACGAGCATAGCTGGGGGGCCTTGAGCTATCACAACGCGCTCATTTGTGGCGTGGACGATGAAGTAATCATCAACAGCAACTCCGTCCTGGACGTTCGGTTACGTGTACTATACATAAATCCCACACATTGCGAAATGCTGCCCTGTGCCTACTACCTCGAGGGAGAGTGCCGCTTCGACGAGATACGTTGCCGTTATTCGCATGGCGCCCTGGTGCCCGGTGCCTCCATTAAGAGCTACATTCCCCCAGATTTTCCCAGGCTTGCACGTAACTGCCCGGTGCTAGCCAAAATGCCAGATCGCCTGTGGCATCGCGGTCGTGTTCTATGCGCTAACTTTGTGGAGCAAACGTGCCGTGTACGTTTGGATAGACAGGACAAAGAACGCGAGCGCGACTTTCAATTTGAGGAACTTTATCCACTGATTGCAGAAGAGGAGGATGAACTGACCAGCGAGGACAGCGGCTCAAGTCTACAGTATGGAAGCAGTGACGAAATTGACTCGGATATGGATGATTTAGAGGCAGCGCATCGATCGCGCATGGTCGAATTAAGTTTATTTACTTTTAAGCCTACAGAAAAATTAGGCGCCTGGGAGCAATACACGCGCGTAAGTATTAAAATGCAGTTCAGGACTTAAACTAATGGAATAATGAAAATAATTGTCACAGGGAATAGGATCGAAGCTGATGGAGAAGATGGGGTACATTCACGGCACGGGACTGGGCTCCGAGGGACGTGGTATTGTAACGCCAGTAAGTGCTCATATACTTCCTCAGGGACGATCTCTAGACGCTTGTATGGAAATGCGAGAGGCCGCCAATGGAGACCAAGACTATTTTAGCGTTGAACGAAAGCTGAAGCGTGACCAGCGCCGCCAGAACAAAGCCAGTGAGAAGGCCTATGCTCGGGAGACAAAGCGTACGGATGTATTTTCGTTTCTCAATGGGAGCGTGCTTGGCAGCGGCGAAAGCGGTCACCAAGGCCGACCAAAAACAAGCGATCTGCACCAGCACTCGACAAAAACGCTTAATGTGGAAACGGTGCGAGTGGCCGATGACATACGCCGCAAGCAGAGGGACATTGCAAAGGTAAAACAGTCCCTGGATCGCAATGCCACCGATGTCCAGCTGCAAAAACGGCTGCATATGCATTTACAGAGCCAGAAGCAGGAGCTGGCCACGCTGCAGGCCCACGAGCACAGACTTAGCAAAGAACAGCATACGCGTAAGAATAAAATGTTTGAGTTTTAATAAAGTTATATTCCTTTTTAGTTCCAATTAAATACTTCAAAATGCACCCGCTGTAATTATGGCTGTCATGTACTGCTCTAACAAAGCCTGAGCCAGATGTGAACCATGCTCCACCGCCAGGGAGTAGGCTGTCTCCCCGTTCTCATTGGTAGAACTTAAGTCTAAGTCTTTTGCCAAAAGTTCATTGCAAGTATGCGGATGATTGCCGGCAGCTGAGTACATTAGAGCTGTATTTCCCACAATGTCCATGTGTGAAGAATGGGCACCGTGCTCCAAAAGGTACCGTACGATGTCATTATGTCCTCCGGCGGCTGCCAACAGCAGAGGAGTTACCAAGTCTGGTGCCATGCTGTTTACATTTGCCCCAACTGACACAAGCAATTGCACTGAGACCAGTTGGCCATACGAGGCGGCCCAATGAAGCGCTGTGAACCCATGAGCATCCTTGTAGTCAATATCTTTCTGCCTTCCTAGCTCCGCAGTCACTTGCTCCTCCGTTATCTCACCTTGACCAGCTCGCTCGTGAAAGGAGAGCGACACTTCCACGGGACAAAATGTGGCTTCTGTGTTGCCTCGCTGAAGATTGGTCAGGACGGTCTGGGGACGATAGGGCAGGAAGGCACTTTTGCGCTTAGCATCCAGCAATAGCATGGAAGTGGGCGCCGCTCGCACGGACTCATCTTCATCGGAATTTGTGTTATTTTGCAATGTGTTTGCAGGCGCCACCATTTGGTGTAGATTTTATTTACTAATTTATTTTAGGATGTTGTTGTTATATACCGTAATATACCAAAAAAAAAAAATATGATATATATATATGATAGAGACATCGATAACGATAACTCATTATTCCATGTTTTGTTTTCGTTTCTCTTTTAAGTTTTTTATTTGCAAATTAATTATGTAAATTTTACCATATTTGTTGGCGCTGTGTTCGTGTGTTTCGTAACAGGTTTTTATTGTGTCGCAGGGTTTTTTCTCCAAAAACGTCATACACCTGTTGCGCCTAACAAATCATTTTCAGTGCAAACCTGCGTTTCGCCTTTTTATGCCCTTTACTTGTACAAATAGTACTCTGAGAGAGGGAGAGAGAGACCTAGCTTGCAAAATTAATTGCGTCGAAGTGGACTAGACTCGAAACAGCAACGCCAATACACTAATATGGGCAATACGAGCTCAAAAGGCGAATCTGACGCCAGTGAACCTCCTTTGGAAGGTGGGAAACAGAAACATCATCACAAATCCGCCACACAGTCATCGTCGGTTCCCTCTCACAATGGGAGCTCGGATGGTGGCGCAGCGAATAGCGGGAGCAGCAGCAACAACAGTCTCAAGGTACAACAACAATCGCAGACAATGACCAGATCTGCTTCTGGGGCAGATGTAACGGAAAAGTACTTGACGCAGCTGGTGCCAGTGGAGAAGTTGGCAGAGATTTTGAGGGAGCAGACGTCGGCCAAGTATGGAATTAATGGCATAGTGGCAGATGTCTTTGTGGTGAGTAATTGCCATTAACTGATAACAAGAACTGATTGATATAAGCTGTTTTCTTCCAGTCACAAGTCTTTCCACATTACGCCGATCTGGGCCATCGATTGTTCCAGCTTATGCACACGGCCTCCAAGGCCACGACGAAGCACTTGGGCACAGTCGCCTTTCGCCAGCAGTGTGAGCGCTTCCTGGGCATCATGGACGATGGGAAAACTCTTGAGTGCTATATAAAGATGTACGCGCAGGAAGACAATCCAGATTTTATAGATAAGACGGGCGTGACTCGTCTTCTTCACATATGCTATACGATTGCCATGCAGCACTCTGGAAACGCAGTGCTCTGTACAGCCATCAATCGCACATTTGGTTCGGTCACCAAGTCCATATTTCTATGCCACGACAGCCTGAGTCTGGGCTACGTGTGCCGGTGGTTTGAGCAGAACCTTATCCGGCTTGTGCTGCTCGTCCACAAGTATTGCGTGCACACGCTGTCCACCGCCTATCGCGGCCTCGAGCAACAGTCACTGTCGTGCGGCATTGAGCTCCAGACTCCGGTTTTGGAGCAGCGCAATCCTTTCACTGATACAACGGATCACAGCGGAATTGGTTCTAACTTCTCGGACTCTCTGATGCCGCTCTCACAAGCATGGCTCTTGGCTGGAGCTTTGCCCCCACTCTATTCCAAACCACAAACCATTGCGCCATCCCCATCTAACAAAGCCAACAACAGCGCCTCGTCAGCCGTCCAAATCTTCAAGGAGAAACTTTCGATGATGCCATCCCACTGGACTCTTCTGTATGATTCCAACGAGCATGGAGTGGGTGCCAACCGCTTCTTGCACCACGTTCTGGGCTATCGTGGACCGACGCTGGTTCTACTCCACACGAAGGACGAGCAGACCTACTGCGTTGCGGCACCCAGTGAATGGAAGGAGACTCACCTGTTTGTGGGCGGCGAGGGCAGCTGTGTCATACAGCTATTGCCCAAGTGCGTATCGAAACAGATAGCCTTTGAACCCTTGTCTAACTGTTTTTCCGTTTCAGATTTGTGATACTGGAGAAGAAGCCCAATATCCTATACCTGAACACCAGCATACGTGGTTACCCCAAGGGATTGCGTGCTGGCGCCGATCCTCGCAAGCCAATCATAGCTGTCGATGAGCATTTTGAAAATGTGGACTGCAAGGGCTTGGCCGCGGGTCTCATTTCCATAGAGGTGATCACTTTTCAAGTGTATATTTCTCTGTACTTTAATTATATTCATGTACAAAAAGCCTTATTTAACACAGTATATATATGTGTATATGCATATGTGGTATATGGTGTAAAATTCATAGACGTACATATGTATGTTTGTATATTGCATACAAACGGCGTAATTTCCAGTCTAAGCAGTTAAAACCACACACTTGGGCATCCTACGAGTGCCCAAGTGTGTTTTTACGATGCACTTCAATTTAGTCTACGTTTCTCCTTACCCAACAACAATTTACCAACAACAACAAACTTCACGGTGCTCCCTTTTCTCGACAGGTGTGGGGCTGCGGCGACAAATCATCACGTGAAGTGCAATTGGACATAAAGAAATGGCAAATAAAAGAGGCCGAGAGGCAGCGAACAGTCAAGCTTACAGCCGCCGACTGGATGGATCATCCGGATCGATATCTACTCGAGTTGGGCGGCAGGCAGAACTATAACAATTAATTCGATTTCTTTCTGCTATTGCAGCTGCGTGTATGTGGACATATATATGTATATAGTATATATATCGCAAGTCTGTTCAAAAGCAATTGGTGTCCCTTCCACATCGAAGAACGTCGCGTAGAAATTTACTGGGAATTTCTTTTAAAATTATTCACACGTAGCACGAGAAGTAATCACTGGACTGAATTTGTTTTTAATTAATGTTGATTGATATTCGGTTTTACTTTTTTTTCCTTCTACTCTTTCTATCAGCGTTTAGTATTCAATTTGATTTATGTTTGGAACGTGAATTCCGTCTATACGTTTAAATGTCTTCTACCTAGTACTTATAGCTGGATTTTATTTAAGTCTCCGCCAGTTCTGTTGCTATTTTAAAATTTTCCGTTTTTGTTCTATATTTTTGTTAAAATGATAAAATGCAAGTATTATGAAAAGGCCTTGAAATGAAAATGCTTAAAATAAATGTTACAAACAAAATGGTTAACTCAACTTTTATCCCCGCTCTTATCAGCCAAAAATGAAATCAGTTCGGATAAATGTCTGTATTTTCTCGGGTAGTGGACGATAAGACACGATAAGAAGCCCTGGTTCAGAAAAGCACCAAGGTCGACATGGCTGAAGGTCCAAGGTTCTAGAAAAGCAATTTTATGCAAGCTAATGGGAATGTGATTCAGATATAGTAAGGTGAGGAATTGGTGTATAAACAACTTAACAATAATCGAAATATTCATTGTCAATGCAATACAATTTAGGATAACGCAAATTAAAAATCAAGAAAGAAGTATTCGATTATGTGGAGTGCAGTGAAATAAAATAATGCAAATGATACAAACATAAAAGGCGTTGGCAAATATTTTCCAATATTATTATTGTGACGTATATTAGTTTTACAATAACAATTTCTATTTAAACATAAAGTACGCCCTTTTCTGACCGGCGATAGTCACAAAATTCACAATCGATTCAAGCGTTTTTCAACTACTTGCCCTAGCGGATATAAGTGTAAAAATGTATAATTAAGGAGCTCCAATAGTTGATAACAGTATAACACTAAAACCAGCTAAGAGCTAAGTCCTTTATGGAATACAGGATGTATGCACGTCGTATGATTTTTCGGGAAAAACTATGTATACGATTGCTATAGAAACTCAGTTGTTGCTTTTGAATTGCAAATAAAGGCCACAATTTCTAAGACCCCATCCGATGGGGTTGCGAGAAAGGTTGCTTTGAATGAGTATTTTAAAACTAATATTTGCATTTGCCAAATCTGTGACCAAATGACTAATCGACTAAATCAGATTATTTGGAAATTAATAAATATAAGAATGGAACTGAAGAATAATTCAAGTCAAATGTGTCCCTCTTCTAGGGTCTAGGTGATGTACTCTCTATCGCGGCGGCGCCGTGTCGTGGAGGCAACAACCACGACCGGATGCTGTTCTTCCTGTTCGTCAATATCGTCATCGTCGTCGTCTTCGTCGTCATCACCACCTGTTGAATTTGACCACTCGGATGCAGTTTGATTGCTGCACGTGGCGCTGAATTTTAAACTGCTAGACATGCCAAATGAAACGGACAGCGAAGCGCTCAATGACGAGGCATTCAAATTTTGACTAACATCTACACCATCTTCATCTTCAAACGCATCGTCGATATGCGGGTGGTGGTGCTGGTAATGGTAGCGTTGTCACCTGCCTGCTCCCGCTCCCAGCAGAAGTGCATAGTCGTCGTTTGACTCGGGTATGGGGGCTGCTGATGAAGCAGCTCCAGCGACCGGCACTAGGCGCAAAAAGCTGCTTCCACCAGCGCCCACAAAATGCTGCTGCTGCTGATCGCGTTCTCGCTCGCGCTCCCGTTCTCGAAGATGCTGAGTTTCACGCTGACGCGGTGACGGCTGTGACCTCGCACCCGGCAAGTGTAGTTGTTGTTGTTGGTAGTTGTTGCTATTGCTACTATCACCAGCCCCAGCTGCGCCTGCTATGGGAAATTGAGATTGGGCGTGAGTTTGATATGAATCGGTGAGGGTGTTCAGCTGCCCCACATCGACGGACACAATTAACCGACTTGATGTGGCCCCATACATGTTACCTGATTGATTCGAACTGCCGGACAGCTGCTGATCCTGCCGCTTGCTGATTAAGTACTCCGATTCACTGCTGGAGCGCCGGGGACCCCGTGCTAGCGGCTGATAAGTGCTGCGACCCTGAAAACGGCGGCTTAATGTACTACCCACCACGCCCAAATGCTCGGTGACATCCTCTTGCATGTCCGAGATGTCCATCATGGAGAGAAAAGCACGACACCAGCTATGATTGGGATTGTTCCAGTACTGCGGCGAGTTTATGTGGAACGGATGATGCGGAAAGCTGTAGATGTGAGCTACGGCAGCGATAAACATCTCAATGCAAATGAGAAAGTTCTGAAAAGGGGTTAATTACTGTTTCAGACTGATCCGCAAACATCTCACTGTCTACTCACTTGCAGCATGGATGCCAGATTGGTGTCGCCCACATCTGACCCGAATATATCCTTGATAATGCCATAGTACACTAGGACATTAAGAAGCACTCCCTGGCTGTGATCGAGAGGATCCGAATATCAAAACTGAATTCAAAAGATCAAGCCATTTAAAAACTTACAAGAAAGAAAAGAACACCACCGCCTTGATGCACAGAAACTTGGGAATGGGCTTCATAGGCTTTAGATCCTCCTTGTTAGCACGATAGAAGAGCACAAGGCAGTACATGGCCACGAATTGGGAGATGTTGTTAACGACTACAATGTACGGGAATGCCACATTGCCAGCGAACTCCCCCTCGCCATAGACGCCGCACAGCTCACAGATACTAATCGAAACGGTTGGGAAGAAATTCGGAGTTACAAGAAGTGTATAAGGCAAGCCACGAGATTCTTTGGCACTCACACAGATATGAATGTGGTTATGGGCCGAACCACGGTGTACTGAAGGATACCGTGCTTGCAGTTATGGATGAATTCGCGTCCCATAATCCAGGGACGCATGCAGCAGAGGGGGAAGAAGTGATTCACCTGCGGCTTGTATTCCATGGTTATCTCCAAGTCCATGTTGAGATTCAAGTAGTTAAGCAGGTACACCATGAAGTTGTAGATTACGTACGCCTCATAGCATTCGCGCAACGAGTCCACGTAGATCGAGTGTTTCGGAAAGAACAAACCAATCCACTGTGAGACAGTAAGTAATAAACTATTAGATTTCAGATACAGCTGCGCTCAATGCTATCTTCGAGGCAGAAGCAGACTTGTGGTTTCTGTTTCTGATTCAATTCCAGTTTCGCTTTCGTCTGACCCACTTACCGCGTTCAAAGCGTAGATTGGCACCATCCACAGTATACGTATAATATGCTTTTGCAGAATGGGTTTCGTGAAATGTATGACGTGTTGTATGATGTGCCATATTGACACGGGCACCGCCGATAGCACAAACAGTCCGCCAATGAGTATCAATTGATCGTTGCGCTGAAAACCGTCCTTTACCGAGTTCACGATGAGCAGGGGCACCACAATGATCGCGAATATGCCATAGGTGACAATTAGCAGCGGGCGTATCCAGATGCGCCAATCCTCGCAGAAGTGACGTATGTCCAGGCGACACATCTTTCTCTCCGGACTTCTCTCTAGAGGAGCTCTCGACAGCGATTTTTCACAGCCGAAGTTTTGCCGAGTTTTTGCTTTCACAACAAAGCTGCCGTTGCCGCCGCCCTGTAACTGTTTTCGCTGGGTTGTCGTTGTCGTCGTCGTTACCGTTTTACTCATTAATTTATATTCCCCGGCTTTTGCACCCACGCAACTGATGGCTTTTGCGGCACATTTTTAGGTATATCTTCCTTGCAATGTAAATCCTCAACGTGTTTATTTATTTGTGAGTTTCTATATCTCTTTTGTTACTGCAAATGCAGGGCTATATATATGTGGATTCAGTGTGGCCGTTCACTTGAAAGAAGTGCTGTAAATCGTTAAACTGTGTCGGTAAACGCGATAAATGGGAAATTCCCACGTACTAAATTCCCCATCCCCCCTTCCCAACAAAGAAATTAAGAAAAATATGTCCCATCTTTGTATACATGTGTATGTATGTACAGATGCATGTGCAATTATTATTGCCTAATAATAAATACGTTTGCCCACATGCAACCCGAACTCTGCACAGCCCAATAGACCGCCAAATGTCATATGAATACATACACACTCATAATGTGGTTATTACGATATTTTATTAAACAATACTATGATTAAATGATTATTGGGCCAGAAAATAAACAAGTTTATGTTATATTTGGGTGTTCAAATTTTACACACATGCTTATGTGTATGTATGTACCTACTGCTCTACTTTGTTTTTATTATTTTCCAATTAATTATAGTCCCAATGTATTGGTATCGCCCGTCGCAGTCATATACACACAGATTGCATTAAGTTTAGATTTTAAGGGAAATTAAAAATAATGATTTCTGTTATATATTTAGTGGATAAAGAGAATTCTTAATTTTCTTCATTCCTACATTTAGAGGAAACAAAGAATTCTTCATTTTCTTGCGAATACGATTACGACAAAAGCTACACTATCCCGCGAGCTATGCTATGTACAACTAATTCATTAGTTTTTCGATTTAATTAATTGTTGTGATGATTCAAAAACAATATCGCATCGATTTGGTTTCCTGTCAGCATCGAACGCTTATTGAAATCATATATCTGCTCTCGAAGAGCCTTCTTAAAGCTGAGGGTCACCACGCCGGGCACACTCTGATATAAGGTGGCAAGATCGCGCAGCGTTGCATAAATATGTCCCATCTTGAGCCACCACTCAATGGGGGACTCGTCCAACTGAACGATTACCTCATTGCGATAACGTTTTAAATCAGTTTCCACAGTACTGTCGGAATCCCGCTTGGGGCGGTTTGGGATCTCGGCAACGTCAAACAAAAGTTCCAGCTCTGTGGAAGAGTTCATAATAATGAACTGGGGGATCCAAAGATGCACAAGCATAGAATACTTACTCGACTTCTTAGCATTACTGCCACCGGCGCTATTTCTTGCTTCTGTCTTGATGTTAGCCATTGGCGAAGTGTTCACAGAGTTAGTAGCGTTTACTTCTGTTGGTTCGCTATTTGATCCGCCGAACGTTTTGTTGTATTTCTGGGTCAGCATACGGACACATCTATCCAGGTTCTCAATGGTGGTCAGGCGATGGAAGCGGGGATCGAGCAGTGCAGCGCTGGTCAAATTGTCGTTGGATATAACGTAGCTCTGGAGCACTCCAGCTATGGTGCGCTTTATGCTCATCATGAGGGAATCGTCCTGCTCAACAATGCCAAGTTTCTTAATCAATATCTTTGATGTTATGGGCGACAGCATGCTGCACAGCGGAATATCCTCGCCCCGCAAAGTGTCCAATGCAATCTAGAGAAGATTTTAGCTTATAAAATGATATTCAGTTGTCGATTGAGTTGAGAGAGCCTACCACCAAAGCGCTGAGCGCCTCTGTCACGGTCTTGGCCGTCAGCACTAGTTGATCCATGTCTTCGGACCACGATATGGATTCAGTAAAGAACTTCAGCATCTCATAAAGGGTCCAAGGGAAATTCTCATTGTACGAGGGCAACTCCGATACCTTCGAGCTAATCTCGGCCGAATGGCGCTGGATGATGTCCTTCACCTGCTCTAATAGGGAGGACACCTCCTCTATGTCAAACACTCGAAGCAGACATTTGTCAATAACCGAGACATAGCACAGTACAATGGGAATATCTACAATTCGGATACATTAGTTAACTGTACATTTTACGGTATACGCATTTCGGACATACTCTTTTCCTTTAAATAGCTGTACAGCAAATCCTCTTCGTCGTCGTAATTGATAATTACCAGAGTGCAGTTGGTCAAGTAAAAGTCGGTTAGCAGATCATCAAAAACGATGTAATCATTGTATTCCACTGTCGCATACATGGCGCTGCGAACGGACTGGGTCTCCTCGTCGAGATAGTGGTGGTATATGGTGAGGAAACGACGCTGCTCCACATTAGTCCAACGCTCAAAGGCTAGCGAAAAGGGTTTCTCGGCACTAAACTCTCGTGTAAGGTGTCCAATCTCCAAGAACTTGGAGGCATGCATCTCGGTCAAAAGGGAATCGACCTTCTCCGGATCGGGCATATTCGTAGAGTTGCCCATGGCCTGACGTATAAAATCGCTGAAACCCACATCGTAGAGCGTCTCCACATTGCGCACATCCCTTATGACAATGTCGATCAGAGCCTCTGCCAAGTTGGCTATGTAAGGCGAGGAGTAGCCGCCATCCTCGTGCTTTATGGGCCGAGTGTGGTGTAAAGCAGCCGGAGGGCGTCCCACTTTTCCTACCTTGCGCTGAAACTTTGGCTCCACAGAAACCAAGCGCTCCTCCTCCTCGACCAGATTATCAGATTCATCGTATGTGAACGGCACCATCGACTCGTAGAGTAGGGTCTGAGACGATGATTCCTCTTCGGCCTGCATGGCGGCGGTGGCAACGGCGGCCTCGTCCATTTCGTCGTCAGATGCATTGTCATGATTGCGATTATTAATAAATTCTAGCTTCACGCGTCGTGTGGAGACATTGCGCTTCGAGAGTGGCGGATGGGTGACGTTGCGCGGCGTTTTTCTCGGCGGCACTTGGATGTCGTGTTCCTGGCAGAGGTCCCTGAAAAGATCTTTGTGGCGATGCTGCAAGTGGGCCCGCAAGTTGGTCGTATTTCCGTGGTTGGTCAGCACCTTGTGGCACTTGATGCAGACCACGTTCTGCTTGGTGATTACCTCGTTATTGTCGTTCGAGGGAAAGCCAAAATAGCGCCAGTAGACGCTCTTCATTTTCGGCGAGTACAGTTTGGAAAAGTTCAGCTGCGAGACATCTTCATATTTGAGCTCGTTAACTGCAACAGGGGACGCGGCGACCTCGTCACTCATCTTGTTTTTGATAGTTATTTATTTTGATTATGATATGACTTCCAATGCGAGAAATAAGCGCGCAATTTCTCGATTATAGATAGACAGTTCAATAGTCAATAGTTCTGTATCAGAAGTACAGTACAGAGTTGCCACGCGACACGGCAGCCAATCGATACGGCAAATGCTTTAATTAAATGCTTAAAAATGCACGAATAAGCGGGGAATTATTTTTGGTTGCTTTTAAAATCTATTTGCAGCTGCAATGCAATTTTAATCCGACTAACACAAAGAATAAGTCTGAATTGAAAACAGTTTTGGTTAACACTGATTGCATCACCAATCGATAGCTGGGGAAATTTAGCCCTCGCTGAAGGGAATTTTGAAAGGGAAATTTTCGTTCATTCTGCGGCGTGAAGTTGGTTGCGATTTCCTTTTTGATTCGTTGTTGGGAAGAAAAGGTGCGTGGATTTTTGTTCGCCATGAATTTAATAAGAAATAACACTAACGTGACCCTTAAACATTGTAATTTAGTTCGTAACGTTTGCGGATACTATTTAGACATTAATTGCTCCATGAAAATGTATGCAAAAAGTGCTAGATTGTGTCTCAAACAAATAAAATATGCTCAGCCACGTGGGCCAGCCAATGCAGTGCCGCTGCTTGGTTATGCCGCAGCATTCGTTCACAAATACATACATTCAATTAATATTAACGAAAATTTGTACTTCTCTGTTGCAGCCAATTTAAACCGCCAAGATGGGTAAGGGAAATAATATGATTCCAAACCAGCACTACCACAAGTGGTGGCAGCGTCATGTGAAGACCTGGTTCAACCAGCCTGCGCGTAAACACCGCAGACACGAGAACCGCGTCAAGAAGGCCAAGGCGGTGTTCCCCCGCCCAGCCAGTGGTGCCCTGCGCCCCGTGGTCCGTTGCCCCACCATCCGCTACCACACAAAATTACGTACCGGCCGTGGCTTCACCCTGGAGGAGCTGAAGGTGAGCTTAGCACAGCAAATATATTTGCAAAAAACATTTCAAATTGTAGTTTTTCGTATCCACAGGGCGCTGGCGTCAGCGCTAAGTTCGCCAAGACCATTGGCATTGCTGTTGACTTCCGTCGCAAGAACAAATCATTGGAGTCGCGTCAGCGCAACATCCAGCGCCTCAAGGAGTACAGAAGCAAGCTGATTCTGTTCCCCATCAACGAGAAGAAGATCCGCAAGGGTGAATCTTCTGTGGAGGAATGCAAGCTGGCCACCCAGCTCAGGGGACCCATTATGCCCATCAAGGCCGAGAAGCCCGTGGTTGAGTTCCGTGAGGTTACTCAGGATGAGAAGAAGTTCAAGGCTTTCGCTACTCTGCGCAAGGTATGTTTTTGCCTTGTTAATTAGTAGAAATGCGTATTTTACAAATTGAACATTTTTCAGGCTCGTACTGATGCTCGTTTGGTTGGCATCCGCGCTAAGCGCGCTAAGGAGGCAGCTGAGAGCGAGGAGGGAGCCAAGGGCGATCCCAAGAAGGCCAAGAAGTAAGCTGCATCTGGCCCTGAGAGTTCTGTCTTTAACAACAACCAGAATAAATAAAATAAAATTAGTTTTTTCTTAAACGTGAATTTACCTTGCAATTTTTTATTAATGAGGCAACACTATATGCGAACCAAGCTATCAATATTACGACTCTGGTGCAAACTGATCATCTTAATTGATAGTTTAAATTTCATGATTAACTTTCCATTTCTGTTTGTCTCGGTATATTCTAGCTTGTTAATTGAGGGTACATAGTTAACAGATGAATTAGCCCTTTTCAGTTAAGACATTAACAAAATCTAAAGTTATGATAAGCGGCCATATATGTAGAAGAGTTTTTCTTCAGTTCTGTAATCAGAAATCATATGTAATCATATAATCAAAAATCGATTCGCAGTTCGGTGCAGATGGTTCAAGTGCACCCATCCAGATTACTACAAAAATAATAGCTATAAAACTGACCTCAAGATCACAGCATTCAAGACTTAATCGGCTTGGGTTAATTGATGGCGCAACCCTGAAGGTTTTTTCCATATGCCAGAAAAAGACTTAAATCATAACCAAACACTGCATCCACATCCCTGCAGATGTATGAATGTATGCAAAAGCATAATTTCTCGAGTGGAGGAAAAAAGGGTTGCACTTTCTCTACCCAATAGCAGACTGCGGACAAGCCAGTTCAATTATCGGGTGGTACGAATGTCGATGAGGATGCTGGAGAGCAACTGAGACCCAAGCCAACCCGCACCTTGTGCCTTGTTTATGAGTTTCACTGATTTCTATTTCACTTAACCTTGTTTACTCCTCTCTGGGTCCAGGGAAGCACAAGGGATGGGTAGCTTGCTTTGGTGTCGTGTCAACTGCATTCAAATTTTTGTTATTGAAATTTATGAGCGCAAAAGTGATTTTCCACATAGTTTTCCTGCCACCCCTTGATTTTTTTTGTGGTTTTTTTCGGGTTGTTGTTTCTGCTTTGTTTCTTTCTTGTTTTTGTGCCATGCTGGTGGCTACTGGGGTATATCGAGAAGTGGTTGAATCGGTAAACAAGGAAACAGGGAACAGTTTCGCTGTAATTGGCAATTGTTTTTCTATTTTTGTGTATTGTATGTCACCTTTTTGCAACATGTGCGCTTTTGGCGACAAACCAAATGCAGATTTTCCTGTGCGTTTTATTTGTATTAAGGATATGGATGCGGTGGCTGCCAATGACAATGTCGCTGGCGGAAAGTTAGTGGAAAGATTGAAATTTAATTGATCTGCCCCAATTTAGGGCCTTTCCCCCGTTTTCTTGACTGTAAAATCGATTTTCTGTTAAATCTAAAGCGCTCAAATATCAGAATAATTGATGTTCAGGTTCAGTCCTAGCTACTGATACCACCCCATCTGCATCCTCTGCAACAGCAGTGGTCTAATCTGCATGTGCTGCGGCGACTGCATGTGAGCTGTGAGTGTCCTTGCTCTGTATCGAAGGATACAGATGTACATAGACAAGGATAATTACAAGTACGAGTATATGCACCATAAACGCAATCAGTGCTTAATGATCCATACGGCAATAGGATTAGTGCCTGCCGCCAGGCATCGAGGCAAAAACGCAGATAGCGGAGCAGGACCACTAGCTAGGAGAACAAGAAACCTGTGCTGGCTGTGATACTGAATATTTTCAATAATACTCTCACTGATTCTGATTAAAATTTGCTTAATTGCAGACTTAAGAAAATTGTAAGGTTGGCAGACTATGTCATATGCGTACTATATCCATCAGACATCATCCCTTATCTCATCAGCTCTGGAGAGCACTCCATAAATTGTGTTCCTAGCTAATCCATGACCTTCCCAATGGAAGTGCATTCCTCACTCCTCCCTCGACAACTACAGCGCAAGCAACAAAATGCTTATTATTTTTCCATAAAAAACCACCCAAAAAACCAAACAAATTAATCAAATATGCAAATAAGCGGGAGAGGGATAGGGCCATGTTCCCATATTTTCACGCATCATCTATCAAAAATTGGCACGACATAAAAAGCGCAGGCAATGCAAATGAAAGGACGCTCATACTCATGGGATGGATGAGCACGCTATTGCCTTTTCAGAGCCAATCAAAGGGCCAAACACTTGGGTCGGGTCGATTATGAGATCAATGGAAGGAGAACTATCCTAGGAAAACAAATCGTAAAAAGCAAATTGCAAACCCGAGCTCCGGACAAATGGCCGTGAAATATCAAAATCGAATTAGAATCACAATGGGCGGAAATATTCGCATATGCAAAACATAATTGGCGGAAAATATGCAAATGAGGTGCCACTGGAGGCGGGAGTTTTGGTGCGCACTCGTCAGTGCAATTGTTTTGTTTTCTCCCACCTCCTTCGGGGAGTTGAATGACCTTTGTGAGGGACCCATTAGAGACTCTTTTGACCCCTTTAGCTTGAGGCAAATATTGGAAAAATTGGCGTGAGGTTAAAAAATAACAATAACGATGCACTTGGGGTTGGGGGCCCCAGAACATTGCAAGCCAATGCACTTAAATTAGAGGCAGGGGCGGAAATTGCGAGTTTGATTATTGATTTTGAAATATTTTATGTGTGACAGAACCAGCACGAGCAACAGAAGAGCAGCACAAACAATCAAACATTCGTTCTACTTTCATTTGAGATACAGTTGCCAGGAAATCCAAAAAACTCTGCCAAGAACCAGCGATGTGCAAAACTAGTTTATAGAAGGATTTAATTCTCTTTCATTGGGACTGCGCTGCTGTGAAAGTAATCTTCATCCTCCTATTCCAGCATTAATGCACATGGCGCGCTTTCATATCATAAAAAAAAAAACTTTAAATGTGTTTAAGTGTTTACAGGCAGCAGTGTGGTCTGTTCGACTCCTTCGCCCGTCTGACTGCCACCGGAAGAGCCAATCCAGAAGTCCTGTAAGCCCAAAACAATTACGCAACTGTCCAAAAGTACAGAAAATTAAATTCCGGACACAGTCCACAGAGCCACAGCCCATTTTATCGTATGATCAGAAACAGACAACAGATTTAAATTTTTAACTAAAAAACACATGTTCGTATATGTATTATGTTCCAGAGAGGGCACCACCACCCATCCACCAGACGAGCACAGCCACAAGTGTAATTACAAGTGAAACATTTGAATGCTTTGAATGGCGCGCAGACCGCTCTAAAATCAAGTGTCTGTGTGTAATGCGATATTTAAATTTTTACCCCGAAAAAGTGTGTATAAAAAACGGTCAGATAGGACATGGATCTGTGAATATGGACTGCAGCGAGCGTAGAGTGGTGGGTTGTGCCCTAAACCTGCTAATGTAAATACAATAGAGAGCTACTTGAAGTGATCCCTGGATCATTTACTCACGCCATCGACCACAGCAACCACCCTACAGCCCTACACCCCTCCCTCACCATTAAGATGAAGCAACCCCTTGCCCGAGCCGACAAAAAAGGTCGTCGTCTGACTTTCAATTAATCAAATTATCGCGCGCCCGTTGGGGGATGGGAGAATGGGAGGGTGGGCAGCCGCAGCAGCAGCCACTCGAAAATTGCAGATGGGAGGACAAACATTTGTCCACTTTTTCAATTTGCACAGGTCAACCTTTTGGCTCCGGATCGGTTTTCCGTTCTTTAAACTTATGATTGTTGCTTTTTGTCGCGTGTGGCTGCAGCCAGCGTCAATAAATTGTCAAAATCTGTCAAAAATTTTAATGACTGTGTGACGGATAATAACCGAAAATCGATTTGTTCAAGGCGGGCTATTGATTTCGATTGAGTTTGCAATTTAGTTTCTATTCGAACCATTTTTGAGGACACTGTTGCGGACATTTTTATGAATTGCCAAACGAAGACCAAACAATCGACTCATGATCCGGGGGCAATATTAGAGTTTTTAACGTCAGTCGGAAATAATTCATCCAGCTGGAAAATCCAGGCATGTGGGCGATGGTCCTTTGAGAGGAGGGTGAGAGTTCGAAGTTTGAAATATTTTCACTCGAAAAAAACTGGAAGCCCCACAACTTCCATACCCTGTTCCCGTTGCTTTTACCTCGCCAAAACGCAGTACGTGGAACCTTTTGCACCTGTCGATTGACGCCTGCCAGTGCAGGACTTCCCCTAACCACTACCGAGGGGTGAGGACCCAGGAGGTCCGTTCGATTTTGTGTCACAAAATCAGTGCCGTTGTCTAACTCTTTGGCTCAATTGCTCCGCTCTACATGAATATATATCTCTGTAAACAGGAATGAAAGGGTACAATAACATCCGAGCGGTAAATGACAATGACAACAGCAAAGCGCAAACCTCAACTGCATCCCGAGTCAATGGTTGTATAACATGCATAAATTATCGTACAACTGTAACAGTCGAGCATATTTCACTTCATTAGGGGACAACACCACCAATGATATGCCCTTGGTGTGGTCTGGTCTGGCTGCCCTGGCCTTAACCCTTCTATTCCCGGACATACATCCATGAAGCATATGCAAAATAATGCCGCATCATTAGTGCTTGCGGCGGTGGCAACAACAATGGGAAAGGGTTGCAATTGGAGCACGTGTCGCGAAGAGCCCGCTGGACAGGACATGGGAATCGTGGTAGAATCTCTCTGGCATTTGCATATGGCGATGTTCACATCAGGATAACCTTTTGTGACGCTGAGGTTAAGAAAGGCAAGCGGAGAAACCAAGAGAAATAAAAAAAAAAGTCCCCCATAATTCCCAATACGCGCATCGTTCCCCCAAAAATCTGTTTTGTTTAGGATGCCACGCCTCCGATTCTGATTCTGATTTCTCTTCTTCATCGGCCTGAGATACGAGTATTTTCCCACAGGCAAAAGCAAAGGAACCGCAAAAAGTGTTGACCTTGTTAAGTTTTGGCAACAATCCATCCATGGGCTGGGCAAGCCCAGCAGTTCCCAGTTGCCTGCTTGGACAGAGTTTGGACGGAGCGTGGTAGCTTGGACAGGTACTCACTCTTCATCTACTCATAAGTCAGACCGTCAAAGAGGAATCGAAAGAGTACCTCATCCTCTGGTGAGCACGAACACACAGCAGTATCTCAACATATCTCTAATAATGATATCAGAACACGCTCTATGTAGTTACAGCCCTTGATTGCCGAAAGCTTCCCACCGAAAAGCATTTGGGCTCATCTCAGGCCCTTTCCACTTGTCAGGCAGAGGCATCGTGACACCATCTTCGAGCTGCGGACGCAACCTACAATGAGGAAGATCTTCATCCGAATCCTCCCCCTCCCTCTCCCACTCCCACGAAAGAAACTGGAAAAGGAACAGAAAAGCGCAGTGCTGGATAGAGAGCAAAAGACAAAAGGAGAGAAGAGCGACGTTTACTCTTTCTCTGTCTTCTCCCACGAAACTATAAATACACCAACAACAGCAGCAGGAGACTCCCAGAAGATGCCATGGACTTGATCCAATCGCAAGTCCAAGGCATATGCATATAAGAAACTGCGACAATGATGATCATCATCATTATCATCCGACCAGCGACGATGTGATTGAAACAAACATCTTATTATTATCTTCGACCGACCGTAGGAACGACCCCGAGCGACCCTGATGTGGGGAACGAACGAGGAAACAAGGAGGAAAAAAAACAAAGAGTTTGCAAAAATAATTCCCACGCTCTCAGGCCAGAGGTAGAGGCAGCGGCAGCCTTTTGTCGTCGTCCCATATAAGGCAACGTCCTTCCAACGCCTTTCCAACTCTCGCCCTCCTCCGCCAGCACCTCTTTGCAGTGTATGTCCATGTCCATGTCCATGCCCTTACCCCATCGAAGATTGTGTCGAAATTTCTGCGGCTTTGCTTTCGTTGCGACCAGCAGCAACGCCCTCCCTCAATCCATTCCCCATCCCCACTTTACCTTGTTGTGGCTGAGGGGCTGGGGTTGTGATGCAGTTTTGTGATTGATTTCACTCTGGTCATGGCCCCGCATCTGAACTGAGCCCGAACCGAACCGATCCAACCATTCGGGGCATAATTTCTTAACTTTCACAGCCCATTGAGCTTAAAAACTCACGTCACACGACACCCCGTCTGAGGGAAAGACAGCGGACGAGGTGGAGCAGAGGGGTGTCGAAGACAGGTTGACAATTGACAGGTATCAAGTGGTTAGGGCTCATAATTATAGTTTTTAGTAATGCGTAAAATGTGTTTTTGTCGGCAAAACAGAAGATGAGATTTTCGGTTTGGAAACTCCTCAAAATTGCTTGCTGCGGCTGTGGGTACTCAAGTGTGCTGGTCTTTTGCCTGACATGAGGCTCCTCGGCTCTACCAGGGATACCTTTCAAATGTAATCCAAGCAGTAGGAACACCAAAACCACAAAAACAGATGGGAATGGGATCTAACCCAAGTGGCTGCCCATTGAACCACATTGTTTTAAATTTCATTAATGTGCCGAAAAGTGGGAACTTTCAATACATTCAATGAGAGCTGAGATGAAAGCAGAACAGAGCATGAGAGGCCTGGGTGTCAGAGTCACAGTCCCAGTCCTCGGTCCCCATTCCCCATTCCCCATTCCGCAGTCCAAGCAATCTGTGCTTTTGAAGATCTGCGCAATTAACTTATAAAGGCTTTTGATTATGTTTCACAGTTCCCGCAGAGGCAAGAGCAGAGGATGCGATATCTACCACCACAAAAACACACCAGAAGCATAAGCATCACTACCTACTCGCACACCACCACCGAAATGGTCGTCCAACAGGTTAAAAGGCACCATCCATGCTGCTGCGAGGGCCGCTTCCTTAGTTGCGAGGGTTGCTATCCACCACTGCGTCGGTGGTGGTGTGGACCGACGACGCATCGTATAACTGTTTAACTATATCTACCATGTGCCCCGAGTGCGGATGATGGTGAGTTGCAACTCCCGACCTGTTCTGTCGATGAGCTGCCCTGCGGCCCGTCATTCGTTCGCCACTCGCGCTTCTGAACGGACGTGTCTTCGAGTTGAGTTAAATAATATTTGACGGCACAAATCAGAATCAGAATCGGTTGAAAGTTCAAAAACTTCGCTGTGTGTCGCATTTTCAATTGAAATAAATTGAATGCAATTTGTGAGCCGCTACCGAGACTGCAATATGTTTGTCTAACTCCCATCAAGGAATCTCTTGCTCGCAGATTTTCGCGTGTTTGTCGAGCTTCGAGACGCTCTAATCAACTTCAATCGAAGCCATAAACAGAGAAGTGCCATCCAATCCCATACGAAATGGCTGATGAAAGTCTGCACACAATGCCGCTGGAGCACAACATAGACTATCATATTGTGACATTGTTCGAGCGCCTCGATGCGATGCGCAAGGAATCGTACGGGAATGCCACCAACAACCGCCTCTCTAGCACCCTGCAGGCACCGAAGCGAAGCATGCAGGCGGAGATTCGCACTCTGGAGTTTTGGAGGTGAGTGCCCCGTGCCTTACAGAGCAGTTCTCCATTCTTTGTGTCCCGCACTATTATGTAACAGTGTCTGTGTCTGCGCCTTCTGTCTGTTTCGATCTTAAGTTCGTATGTGGGAAAAAAAAGGACTCTAAGTAATTGAAAATTAAGTGTTCCTAGACAGCAACACGATGATAATTTCCTAACCAAATATTTGCAAAGTAGTTGACACTGAAACTTGTCATTTCCACAGAATGTGCCAGAGAATGAGGGTCCCCTTCACCTCCTCGAGATGGCCTTCACTTCGGAGAATGTCGAAATAATTAACATTTCATCACAAGTTGATGGAGTAATTAAATCTTTGCCGCATTGAATGGCCTACCAGGAGCAGGGTGCCCCTCTCGTTTTGCTCCTCCTTTCAGCGAACAAATTCCAACTAAGCGACGTGACGACTTTTCCCCCTCCCCTGCACCATTTCTTCTTTCCTTCCCTGCTCCCCTGCTGACCATTAAAATCGAATATTCGTGGGGGGACAGAGAGCAAGAAGAAAAAACAGCGAAAATTTATGGAAATTCGCGGAGTTCAGTGCAGCTGCCATCCCAGCACAGTGCCCCTCTGCTTGAGAGGGAGGTTTGTTTGATTTTTCGTTATCTTTTGAGCTTAAGGCGAATACGACAACCCTCCCGTCCGTCCCTCACTAGCCCCACCCTTGCTTAATTGTCCATGCAACAGAAGCGGGCATTGTGCAACTGGATTTGTTCAATATTTACCACCAGAGTCCTCTTTACCCAGTACTCATGAAAAAACATCTTCTCTCTTTGCAGATCCATCATCAGCGAGTGCCTGGCCTCGTTCCTGTACGTATTCATTGTCTGCGGAGCCGCTGCGGGCGCTGGCGTAGGTGCCAGCGTCTCATCCGTGCTTTTGGCCACAGCCCTGGCCTCCGGCCTCGCCATGGCGACACTCACGCAGTGCTTTCTCCATATCTCTGGTAAGGCAACGGCAACATACAACACACACAACAAACAGACAATAAACAAGCCTGGCGACAAGTGCTTCGTGTCGTTGGGGACTCTTGGACTTGCGTGGGAATACCCCGGTTCGGTTTTATCCACAGCCACAGCCCCAGAGCGAGGAAGGGAGAGAACTTCAAATGAAACACAACAGAAAAACGAAAAACAGAACCACAAGAACATCATTTTTTTTATAATTTTCCAAAAGGCATTGCACTCGCAGTGTCCCACCGTCCCACCTCCTAACTCCTCTTATCGCCTTTGGCGCACTTGCGGTGCCACCGACTTGCACAAAGTTCTGTTTCTGTTCTGTTGCGAGCATATTCCCCATATATTTGTTCATTTGCGTTGACATTCGAGGCAATTAAACGGTTCTACAAAAAGTAAACCACAAAACAGGAGAATATCTGGCACAGGAGCAGAACGGAGCGAAGCGAATGGAAACATGTGTTGCTGATTTGCCTCCCCCAATTGTAGGGCAAGAACCCCTGCATTCCCCGATTTCCCATTTTCACAGCCAATTGGTTGAGCATTAAGTTATAATTCTATCTTCGAGGAGCAGGGGTGCAGCAGAAGTGTCAAAGTGATATTTAACGGCTTTCAGTGGGGACCTTCCATTCCAAAAAACCATCGACTAAAGTCAAACAATTTTTTCTCTTTATTTTACAGGCGCCCACATCAATCCCGCTGTGACTCTGGCCTGCTGCGTGGTGCGCAGCATCTCCCCCATTAGAGCCGCCATGTACATGACCGCCCAGTGCGGAGGAGGCATCGCAGGAGCTGCTCTGCTCTACGGGTAAGTGGAGAGGCCTCTGAGAGGAGCCAATTCTATTGGAAATTCAATTTCCGTTGTGGGGGAGAGGGCCTCGTTAGATTGAATGCACATTCCAGTCTCCATCTTTGTGGTTAGAACAACATATCAATGCCAGTAGTTGAGGAGGAAATGCATTTAAGTCGGTGCATCCTTTTGACCACAGCAATTTGCATCCATGCAATCCTCTGCAAGCACACTGCGTCCCGCAGCTGTTTGACGATTTACTCTACCAAAAAGTAAACTCCTTACAGCTTCGAATTAAATCCAGCACAGTGCTCTCTCTGTCCATGTCGTAAATCAAGGCGATAGGAGAAAGGGCATGGGGAGAAAGAGAAAAACGGACAGATGATACGCACTTTGGGCTATGCGATGCGATGACTGTACAAAAAGGACACTTAGCAGGAAACACGAAATTCGTGTGTGTAGAAAAGAAGAAATAGAAAATTGTATAAATAGGATATGCAGGTAACCTCAGGGCTATGCTGTGTGTCCTTGCCAGAAAGATTTACGCATACATACAAAATAGGAGGGCATCACCTGCACGGGATAGAGCGGGAGGCGGACACGCAGGTAGCTAGAAGTCGTCGTTTCGCTTATAGATATAGAGAAACATCTGCCTCTCCTGTTTGCGCTGTGATTTCCCATTTTAAAAACGTCAGCAGCAGCGGGAACGAATGAATTTCTGCCTAGATAATGGTTCAAGGATCTCCACATCTACACGCACTGCTGTTGGTGGTTTCCCATTCCATAGCTAAATCTCCTGCCTGTCAGGGTTTCTCCTTTGTATCTCTGCAGGAAAGAGGAGTAGCAGTAGTGTCCTATAGAGGTAAGAAAGGAAAGGAAATATCTGCGCCAGCGCAGCATTTGTCGCTTCAATTTTGTGTTGTACATTGAACTTGTTTTCTGTGTGCAGATGTGGAGAAGAGTCGTTCTTAATGGCTCTCTTCTCAGCCTGTGCGTCTGTAGTCCGTTGTCTGCTCGACATCTGTTTTTACCCTCCTCCGATTCCTCTTTTTTAAGTGCGTTGGCATCTTTACTTTCTACAGATCCGATCCCGTGCAGGCGGAGGAAGGAATCGGGGCGGGGGCAGGAGAAAGAGGACGCAGAAAAGAAACATGTTTCAGCTGCTGCCGCTGCGATCAGGTTCGGGTTGAGCTAAGTTTTTTCTTCCCCCGATAAGCATTTTAAGGGTACAACGAGTTCAAATTGTGTTTTAGTCGAAACATATGTTTTATATTTCCAAAAGAGAGAGAGAGAATTGGACTCTGTCCATCTGCCTGTCTGTTTTTGGCGCTGATGAATTGGTTTGGATTTGGTTTATACCTGTATTTCGTATAAAAATCCTGTATGGAATCTCCTCCCGCTTTGTTGTATCAACCTAACGACCTAACAGTTCACCTAACAGAATCCCAGGGCCCACCCCGAGGCTTCTCTAGCCTCTTTTCACATGTCACTTAGCACTTACCCTAATTGCGCTGCCACTTGGATATGCCACATGTGGCTATGGAGACGACATACGAGTACACATAGCGAAGCAGATAAAAAGTCTTCCTGTACTTCATAATCTTTTATGAAGCGGATAACGCTTGAAAAAACATTGCGGGACGAATACAGCGACAGACAGGCGGACCGACAGAGAGACAGACCCGCAGCACTTCTTGAGGAGTATCGATATCCGGCTTATGCATATTTGAATAGTCTTTAAGCTGTACTGCCTGTACTGCCGCATCGCATCTTAATTTCGATGATTTCTTCCCCGATTTTTTCTTGCTTGGTTCCAAAGAACGCACGTTGAGCACGTTCCAAATATGTGCCACAGGAGAAGGCTTTGAAAATGATAAAGATAAAAATCAGGTAGACACCGAAGCCGAAAGACACTGAAAGCAGAAAAACATAATTAACATTTCCACTGGCCTTTGTTCGAGGCTGCGCATGCGCAGGACGCCTCATGCGGAAACTTGAAATCAAACACGTGTCGTCTCCGCTCTACTGCTCCTTTCTGGTTGGTCAGAATACAGACCCCTGAACGCAGCTGGAAACTGCTGCTGGATGTATTCACGGCACGGCACGGCACACCTGCCGCCTGCTGCCCCAAAACAGAAATTACTGTATTCCGAAGAGATACACACAAAAACAGGATTTTGGAAGCAGAAATTTAAATTTTAAATACCCAACCGAAACGGACACAATCATCGAACACCGCACACCATACACCGAGGAGAGCAGGTCAGCAGAGAGATGGTCAGTGGAGGAGCAGGAGCAGGGGTATTGCCTTCGTTATATGATGCCGTTCGTTCTTTCTGTTGATTTTTATCTAGCATGGAAATGCACTTCCTGCACTTGAATTTGCCCAAAAGGAAGAGGGAGAGGCAGGATGGGAGAGAAGGAATCGAAATCGAAATCAATTCGTGTCACATGGGTAATTCAATTACGGAATCCGCTTGGGAGCGCATCCGTTCCCCTTTTATTATTTGCTTCTCTCACCTCGGCTTATCATGGGAATGGGAGTGGTATCCTGCTATAGCTTCCGGGTTGCCTATCCCCTGGTAGCCCCCCAATCCTGTTCACAAGTGGTGGTCCAGTTATGTCGCCCACACTCGCAAGGAACATAGGCAGATGCAGAGTCAGAGCTGAGGTCATAAACACTCTTCAATAAATGGAGTAATCATATAATAGTCATCCTGGTTACCATAGAATGTTAGATATCTTCAGAGTTTAGAGGGGGGAAAAGATTTCTCTATCCCATCCTCAGTTGCACACAAAATTCTAGTTTTCAGTTTGTTATTAGTTATCTAATTTTTATTCCGTAAACAATTTTCGAAGGAAGGACTCTGCTCTACTGATGAGCTCAACAGCACACACACAAAGTTGTGCTAACATTTTGCTATTTCTCTTGCCATTTCCGGCTACTTAGTTGCTTTCTTAATTTCCCTCCCTGAATCCTGATTGCATGCTGTATGCTGTAGAGCTCGTGGCTCGTGGGAGGGCAAGTGGTTTTCGAGGTCTGTAAAATTAACACTTTATAGATTTATGAGCAAATAGGCACTCCTCGCCATCGTCGTCGGTCGCTTCACCACAAGCTGTGGAGTTCATTCAATGGAAAAGTGTTTTCCAAAGCGATCAAACTTTCATCATGGCCAAAATTTCCTCATTGAGGATTTTCGTGGGGAAGTAGAATGCCGAATGTCTCATATCCCACAGCTTAGGGCCATATAATACCCGCTAAGACGGCAGGTACTCAGACAAATCTCTACCATAACTTGCACTTGCCCCTTTGTCGCACCTCAACCGCCGAGTCTGGATGCCACTGGACAGGGATGAAGGCAGTATTCGAGTTGGGAGGTTGAGCGTTCTATTTGCTCAGGTACTTTTAAGTGCATTCTAGCAGCATTTATTTCCGGATATTCGCAGTTGCTCAAAGTGGGGTTGTGGTAGATTGCTTCCAGGTACTGAGTACCGAGTACTTGCCACGGAATGTAGATTGAGTGGGGCAGGGGAGGGCAGGGCGAGCAGAAGCGTTGAAGCAGTGTGTGAGCGCTTGATAAATATTTGCTTGAGCAGAGCTTCTCCTCTCACTCTCTTCCTGCCAACGAGGAGGATGTCTAATGGAGTTGCATTCCTTCCCGATAGCAGACAACAACAATTAAATGTTTGAGAAGCGTAATATTTCCATCGGTATCCGAATTATCCAAGAGGTTAATTTTTCATAAATCGGCCAAGCCACTCACTTTTGGTAGCCAAAACTTTTACAATCATAATTCTGTTGAGCCAGGACCAGGACTATGACCAGATGCATGCGTGTGCATGGGGTTGCTCTTGTTTTAGGGTGGAATGTTGGAGGGTTGGTTCGCTCTAACGGGCGATCTGTCAGAAGTGTGTTAACAATAAATAATATCAATTGGCGGCAAAACTTCGAACAGGAGTTAATCAGCAATCGAATAAATGTACTCATTCTCTATTTGTATCGTTCCTTTACCAGGGTCACTGTGCCTGGCTACCAGGGGAATCTTCAGGCAGCCATTTCCCACAGTGCTGCTCTGGCCGCATGGGAACGCTTTGGCGTGGAATTCATCCTGACATTCATGGTCGTGCTCTGCTACTTCGTGTCCACCGATCCCATGAAGAGGTTCATGGGCAACTCTGCCATGTCCATCGGTGCCGCCTACAGTGCCTGCTGCTTTGTGTCGGTAAGTATTTGACATTGATAATGATAGTGGAATGCCAGTCAGAAATCTCAAGAAGCACTGGACAGCCGACAGCCAGAACAAAACGAAAGCCAAAAACAAGACAGAGACTGAAAGCAGAAACAGAAACGCACCTGCCGCTGACTCTGTTTAAGAATCGCATCGTGACACACAGGTAGAAGTGATTCCAAACGAAAGAAGACAAAGGAAGGTCGCTCGGGTGGGGGAGAGAAAATTATTTTAGCAGACACAGTCTCAATCGGGGGCATTTTTAACAGCTCCTGCCAGTGAATTTAAAGAGATAATTAAGGAAGCCGATTTAACTAAAGTCTATATTGATTATGGATTGAATTACGTGAGAGCCCCTTGCGAATAAAAAATGTAAAGCCTCAGATAAAGATTAAGCAAAGAGACAGGAGCAGGAGAGACTCCTAAAAACAAGAACCTCCTTACGAGTATGATTCTCATTCGATTCTCTTCTTGCAGATGCCTTACCTGAATCCTGCTCGCTCCCTGGGTCCTTCGTTTGTGCTCAACAAATGGGACAACCATTGGGTCTACTGGTTCGGGCCTTTAGTGGGCGGCATGGCCTCCGGTTTGGTGTACGAGTACATCTTCAATTCACGCAGGAGCCAGCGCCACGCCAAGGGCAGCATCGAAAACGACTCCAGCTCAATCCATTCCGAGGACGAACTGAACTACGACATGGACATTGAGAAGCCCAGCAAGTACCAGCAGTCGCAGGGAACTTATCCGAGGAGCCAGCCCAATGGCAACGGAGGCGGCGGTGCCTCAGGCGGACAGCATCCGGCGCCCAACATGGGACAGGTCGCGGGAGTGGTGGGGGCCGTGCAGGGCAACTACTGTCAGAACCTCTACACTGCTCCGCCGCTTTCCTCTAAGTATGAGCAGCAGCAAGAGCCGCTTTACGGCGGCACACGGTCCCTGTATTGCCGCTCTCCCACTCTGACGCGCAGCAATCTGAACCGTTCCCAGTCCGTCTACACGAAGAGTAACACGGCCATCAACCGCGACATTGTACCGCGTCCTGGTCCTCTGGTGCCAGCCCAGAGCCTCTACCCCATGCGCACCCAACAGCAGCAGCAACAGCAGCAGCAACAGCAGCAGCAGCAGGCGGTAAGTGCCGCCCAGTCCTCCCACCTGCAGAACCAGAACGTACAGAACCAGATGCAGCAGCGCAGCGAGAGCATCTACGGCATGCGGGGATCTATGCGCGGACAGCAGCAGCCACTCCAACAACAACAGCAACAGCTACAGCAGGCAACCGTGAATGGGCAACAGCAGCAACAACAGATGCAGCCACCGCCACAGCTGATGGCCGAACAACAAAACAACCACCAGCAGCAGCAGCCGCAAGGCTTCCAGCCTGTCTACGGCACTCGGACGAATCCAACGCCTCTCGATGGCAGCCACAAGTACGACCGACGGGACCAGCAGCCCCAACAGCAGCTGTACGGCATGACGGGTCCGAGGAATCGCGGCCAGTCGGCCCAGTCGGATGACAGCTCCTATGGCTCGTATCACGGATCGGCAGTCACTCCTCCGGCGCGGCATCCAAGCGTTGAGCCGTCGCCGCCTCCGCCACCAATGCTCATGTATGCCCCACCCCCACAGCCTAATGCGGCCCATCCACAGCCCATCCGCACCCAGTCGGAGCGGAAGGTGAGTGCTCCCGTGGTAGTGTCCCAGCCGGCCACCTGCGCCGTCACATACACAACATCGCAAGGACCCACACCAACTCCCCAGCAGCAGCAGCAACAGCAACAACAACAACAAATGATGATGCAACAACAGCAGCAACATTATGGAATGCTACCGCTGCGGCCCAACTGAAAGCGGCTTTCGTGGGGTCCAGTGACGACCCCGCCGCCGGGAGCAATACACGCCCTCGCGCTACACCCTTCGGGAACCATGACCCTGCACAGCTGCAGCCTAGCCAAGCAGAGCAATTTGTTTTAGTTGTATTCGTAGTCGATAACGAAGAGAAGGAGCAAGCATCCAAAGGAAGTGTACGCATAGTCTCAGCCCTTAGTATATCCTAATCATAGTTTAGCCAACTCCGACGTATAGCCAGAATGGATTGTAGAATAGTTTGTTTTATTCCGAGCACCAGAAGGAAAGAAACTCTCACCCAGCAGCAGATGATGGGTAACAGTAACAATAGCCGTAAGATATACACGTGAACTATTCTAATTGCGGCTACACATTTATACTAGACTGAAAGACATCACTCTAAAGAACTTTATTTATTTCTTCTTTTTTGTTTTTTTATAACTCAATATTTCGTGTATCGATCATCAGAATCTTCCAATTAAAACGAATTTGTTTTAGTTTTTTAATTTTCATGTGTATATAAATTTCATTGTCTTAATCATAGTACCTATTTTTAGTATATTCCTGTCATTGGTATGCCATTAAGCTCAGAAGTTACTCTATATCTGATCTGTAACTTATATCTGTACTTAGTGATAATTATTATAGAATATGTATGTGACCAGGTTTGGTAATATAGTAATATAATATATATATACATATATATATAATGTGTATCAATGTAAAGGCGATATCCCCTACACTTTATCCACAATATTCCGAAATTCTGGTTCATGGGCCCATAATATCTAACATCAGAGGACAACAGAAAGTGTATGCAGTGCATTGACAGTTGCCTCTGAATGGAAGAACAAAGCAAAATTCTGCCTAAGCCGCAACTAAGGCGCCCCGAGGTGCTTGTGCCGAATGACATTTGTTTGCGTTGCACTAGGACGAATGGACGAACCAAGGACCTTCACGCCGCACGTCATGTCTCTGGGGACCAAGTGACGCGCCATTGCAGTCAGGCGCAGTCCAAGCTGTTGTTTTATCAACACATTGTGTCAGCTAAGAACCGACTTACTAGAAATTTCGCGACGGCAATTTACTTCAATTAATTTCAATATTTCATATGGTAAATTAATGGAGAGATGACGAGAGCAGTCACAACGGAGTTAAGGCAATAAGCGGATACACCCGATAGGCCTTCTTCCAACCCTCACTTCTTTCACCCTCATTAAAGCAGATATTATCGTATTATATCGTGAAAAATCTCTCATAAAATTGGAAAATTGCTAAGCAAACCACAGAATATGCAAATAGGTTGATTCAGCAACCGTCGAGGGTGCTTTATTGGTGCGGAGCATCAATCAAATAAGTCCATTCAGGCGCATGATCCACAGACAATTTGTTTATATAGCGAATAAAAAGGGAAATTCTACTTACATTAATATCGCGTCAGATCGTTGCCGTTAAACATCCTGGTCGGTTAGATTAAATCAGCATGGAAGAACTGCAACGAAAAATACCAATAAGAAATGAATAGCAGTTGAATGCCATTAATTTCATTTTACCCTTCAAAGATCCGACAAAGATTGTGGAGACATATTAAACGAACATACGTAACACACTCAATCTAAGCAGCACTTTTCTCACAGACATGGCACAGACTGGGCCTAGGCCCAGTCGGCATCCTGGCGAAATACATACGCGAGCATACGGTTGATGTTACTTGCAAAAGTGCACAGTAAGCAGTAAGCACCCGCACGCTAGACATGCATATTATAGTGCATATATTTAATAAATAGTTTAACTACGAGCGCGGACCAGCAACGATGTGCGTCTTTTCCCGCCATTTCATGCATGTACTGGCGGACTATCGAATGTGTGTGTTCCCGCTTCACATATATATGTGTGTGTGGGCTCGTTGAATCCTTATTCGCGATGTAGTGTTTTACAGCGCGAGAGCTTTCAGTGTTTTGAAAATAAATTTTAATTTGAAATAAGAAAAGCCATTTCATAAGCATAATCTGCAAAAATTACTCTAAAATAATTATATGAGCGGAAGTAGATGAATGGTGGGAAGGGAATTTAATATTCGTTGAAATTACTATGAAGCTGAAGAACTCGTCGATCACATTTCGTACACATTTACGTTTTATGCTTTTGCCGCTAATGCTTAGCTAATCTTGTACAAAATTTATTGAGGATTTGGATTGAATTATTTTTCCAGGGCTGAGAGGACTAACTAGCTAGTAATATTAAACCGAATATCAAAATCGAGGAATATCAATGCAGCCCGTTAGTATATATACGGTATATTTTGATAATGACTAGGTATATTTCGGTATATTTCTGATGGTAACACGGTACATAGTCCGCGGTCACACTGAAGCAGAGTTGCATTTTCAAATAGAAAAAAAAATAGAAGCTGCGGACGAAGAAAAAAACTAAAAAGTAGTCGACTATATTTGTGCTTCAGCAAATAAAATAATTTGTTTGTGCGCCGTCAGTTAAAAGCAGCAAAATAACCAAGTTCAATATACGCCTAGACACTATAATGTCAAAGAACAAAAAAATGTCGCTATCGGGCGGCGACACGACAGAAAAATTTATTTACAAACCTAAGGATTTGATATGGTAAGCTGAGGCTGAGTGCCAATCCTTCGTGTTCAGAAGACAAATTTGTGCTTTTCTAACAATAAAAACAATGTGCATATAATAAAAAAAACCCCTATGTTTTCGTGTCGAGTTAAAGCAACAGCAAACACATAACCTCAATGGTCGCTCGGTTAGCGCTCCAAAAAAAGTGAAGTGTGTGTAAAAAAGGCAATTAGCGCATGTTGGAAAAGCCACGCACGTCTGACAATTTGGGTTCTGATTACCCTTAAAGTCGCGGCAGTCGTATAAACAATATACATATATATGTAATTTTCTAGTTTATGCTACCGCAGTTGTGTCTGCTGCGACAGCGACGTTGACGTCGCTGCGTTGGCGTGTTTTCGCGCGCTCTTTTTGTAGTTGTAGCTAAAAGAAAATAAGCCCAATAGAAAATTGTGTGCTTCTACCATAAATAAATGTGTATTTTTAATATATTAATATTTTTTTTCAGGGCCAAAATGAAGGGCTTCACACCGTGGCCAGGCATGGTAAGCGGAATGTTTACGCCGCGTCGCCGTCGTCGTCACTGCCTCTGCCTCTGCCACTGCCGCTGTGTTTGTTTTCGACTGTACTTTTTTATGCAGCACGCCGCCTCTCTGCCACTGCTGTTGCGTTGCTGTTGCTCCCGCTGCCGCTGCCGACGTCACAACGCACTTGCACCCGCTTTGTTAGTGACATAAAATTTGTTTCGTATGGAGCAGAGCACTGGTTGCTATCAAATCGCGGACTAGCTTTCATTATGTACAGCCCCAAGCACTCACAGCGAGCAAATGTATCTACATACATGTGTATATGCAGGGAGCAAACGACGCGCGTGTGGGCTGAATCTTCCTTCGTATCTTTTGCAAGTGACGCTCGTGAAAAGATGAATGTAGATATCTTATAGCGCCCGCCGATGCACAGTGAGTCCATGATTCGGGGTAATAATGACCAATTTTCCTTTAGATTGTAGAGCCGCCTCTGGACCTGCTCAGCCAGCAGCGTCGTGCGAACACCAAGTGTGTGTTCTTCTTTGGATCGAGAAATTTGTAAGTAGCGTAAAGAAACTAGTTCACGAGTATCTAAGCTGAGCTAATGTGGGAATACTCTCATATTCAATCCTTAGTGCATGGATCGAGGAGAACAATATCAAACCCTTTGAGGGACCCTGGAAGGAGGAACTGGCCAAAGTAAGTAAGCCTGCTGCCTTTCGGCACGCCATGGCAGACATCGACAAATACATTGACGATCCGGCTGAGGTGGACGACCAGATAAACGAGAGCTGTGGTGTTCCCAATCATGCCACCGAGGCTGATTTTGATAAGATTCGGGATGCCGTGGATAGCGATGAGAATCCTGTAGACACTGATGCCGATGCCAACAACGGTGTGGTCGTTCACGTTGTCGGCAGTCCGGATGTAGAAGGTTCCGAAACCGTAGAAGGGGAAAACAATGCAGATTCTTCAGCCTCACCTACCGTTACTGTTGCGACGCCGGCGACAGCAAAATCCCCAGGGAAACGGACACCCAAGGCCAAGTCGGTTTCTGCCGTTTCCGCGACCAAGGCGGCAAAGGCTTCCACCACAAAATCCGCACAGAAACGGCGCATCTCTGCTCATCAAACGCCCACTGGTGCAAATGCTAGTGGAGCACCGAGCGCTAAACGGGGCAAGCGTGTTGTATCGGGAGGCGCTGTAGCTGGCAACTTTGATGGAGCAAGTTCGTCCTCTCCTACGGCCCGCCGTCGCGTTGAGGTTGATGCGCTATTGGCCTCACTAGCTGCGAAGCGTGCACCCAACGCCATTGCCTTGCTAGATCGTCCAGTGGTCACGCGGCCTGAGACTCAGGCCATCGACATGAACTCGCGCTCCAATACATTAGCCGACCGCGACATCGTGCCGTCGGAGTTGACTTTTGGCTTCCTTGGATTAGGCATGATGGGATCGACTATAGTTAAGGATTTGATATACACAGGGCACAAAGTTGTGGTCTGGAACCGCACTATCGACAAAGTGAGTGGTTACATGTGTAGCTAATACTCTTGAATCTTCATAACAATTATTTTGATCAGTGTCAGCCATTTGTCGAAGCCGGTGCCGAAGTCAAAGACACTCCCATGGATGTGGTGGAGGCGGCAGACATCATTTTCTGCTGTGTTTCGGACCCCAAAGGCGCCAAGGATGTAAGTTGAAAATGGTATATATAATTTCTATTGGGCTAAATAAAATTCTCTTTGTACACGTTTTCAGCTCGTTTTTGGGAACTGCGGCGTACTGCAGCTAAAGGATCTACGCAATAAGGCGTATGTGGAAATGTCCACCGTAGATCCAGACACATCCCTGGATATTGGAGAGGGCATCAAGCAATGCAATGGGCGATACCTGGAGGCACAAATCCATGGCTCGCGTCAGGAGGCAGCCGATGGTATGCTCATCATACTGGCTGGCGGGGATCGCACGGTATTTGAAGAGTGTCACTCCTGCTTCAAGACCATAGCGAAGAACACTTTCTTTTTGGGGAGTAAGTAAAGAATCCCACCGTCTTATCGGTACTCTACCTTCGAATGTGAATGAGCGTTATATTAAATTTGTCCATTGTTCCCCAGCAGATGTCGGTAATGCTTGTAAAGTGAACTTGATTTTGCAGACCATTCAGGCTGTGAGCCTAGTAGGACTTGCTGAGGCGTTAGCACTGGGTACGTGTATAACTGAAACCACCGACTGGAGCATTTAACATCCTGTTTTCATCACATTTATTTTTCAGCTGATCGTTTTTCCATTTCGTTAAACGATATCATAGACATTTTCGACTTGACTTCTATGAAATCCCCGCTGCTGCTGGCCAAGGGCAAGGGTATGTAAATTCCATTCTTTTCACGTACACTATTGTTATTGTCACGTTTGGTCTACTCTTTCAGAAATGGCCAAGGGCGACTTCAATCCGCAGCAGCCTTTAAGTCACATGCAACGGGATTTGCGTCTAGTGCTGAATATGGCAGAGAATCTGGATCAATCGATGCCTGTCACGAGCATTACAAACGAGGTGTTCAAGCACACCAAGCGCTTGGGCTACAGTGAACACGATTCGAGCGCCGTATTCGTAAGATCCAGATTTTAACATTTAGTTAACACAGCTACAATTTAAACTATATTTTATCATTTAGTTTAAATCGTACACCGAACAGAACTTACAGCACGTAGACATTGACGCAAAACCACGCTCACCCACAGACTCACATACTATACTGACAAAGTGCGTTCAATGTGCAATATCAATGCATATTTGTATGCGGATATTTGTTGTAGCTGTTTCAAATGAAATGCTGGAGCAAATTACTGCATTTTTTATTGATATTGTCATTTGTAGCGTTATCCTAACCATTCATATCTCCCCCACATACAAAACTAGGGTTACTGCTATGCAGATCAAAGTTTAAAGAAATATTGCGAGCCGATCAAGGTAGTGGCATGCATGCTCTCCACACCTGAACACAGCAAAAACCAGGGCAATTGCATGATGAAGGGCTCGGCTGAAAAACAGGCGCTGCACGGTCAAGTGTTCAGAATCAGCAAGTGACAGATCAAGAGGAACATACCAGTACTCTTACCGAAATACCTTTGGCAACTTAAAATTTTACAGACGAACCCGATTCATAAATTGTGCAGTATATACTTTTTTGATGTTTTCGTTGTATTTTTTACTTGGTTTTTTTTTGGACCGCGTGCTGGTTATGCGCGTTGCCCAGCAATGAATGGAATGAAACCCCGAGGAAAGAAGCAACAATTTGTATTTTAGGGCACTTGGTTTTTTACTGTTATGTATGTGCATGTTGCTTCCCACATAAGAATAAAGTAATGCATACATAATTTTAAATGTATAGAAATACCACATGCAAATAAACTGTACAAAAAATACTTGAGGAACACACAAATTTTTGACGGTAGTATACCAAATCCGGCTGAAATATAGTCCGGTGTGCAGCCAACCGTTTTCAACTACTTATTTATGCATTTATACAATCATTTTATCCTTATATTTTTTGTAAAACATAACCATTTGATTGAAATGTACACGCACCCGGCACAAGCAACACATTTTAAATTTTTTGTCATAGAATAAATAGTAAGCAAACGAGTAATAAATACCACGCATGGGCGTGGGCCAACGACAGTTTAGTAGTTAGTTGTCTCCTTTATAATAATAAATAAAACTGAAGCCTAACATACAGAACAGTAGCTCACGGTAAACTTTGAGCGCCAAAACTGGCGAGGGTCAATATTTATAATAATAAGAATATATAATAAATAAATATATTTTACTTATTATTTAGTCTGTATTTTGTTGTAAAACAAAGATTAATAAAAACATAATTTTAATAGTAATCGATGTAAGAAAACGTAGATGTTTTAGTGACTTCGCAAAAGGCTCGTGCGTTGGTCCCCTGGGGGTGGTCGTTTCGCACTTCCGTTGACGCCATTAAATAATGGAATGATCTTTAGGAATTATCTCGGAATAATAGTGAATAGTGAAAATTCAAGTCTGAAATGTGAATGAAGTATGTGGTGAGGTGTACGAAATAATGCCACATTAGCAACACTGCATACACTTTTATTAGTATATTATATTATTATAGTATATATATTAGATTAATATATAATGGGGCGTATAGGGTATATCCATATCCATGCTCAGCTGAAAACGGCCGAACAACGACAATGACGTAGCATTCCGAACACACGTTCCATACAAATTTTGTGTTAAAATTATCCAATCATGTAGAAAATTGATTGATTGGATAAAATTATATGCTAAGTGCCGACAGTCCTAGCTAGCTATTTGCTGAATATTGAATCGAATTTTGATAAACCGAGGAATATGGATCATGAAAAGGAAATGATAAGCCAATGGTCGAATAGTGGGTATGCACTGTCATAAAGAGATAAAAGTCGGTTAACGTCGAATTTCACTATTATTTTGGTCTTTTGCTATAGGTCTGTATTTTTATATATATCTACCACTAGTTCATTTCTCTTCTTAATGCTTTCTTTCCTGTAATTACTATTGAAATTTATACATAATTTACTTCATTTAAGTACTCATCTTTCTCAATTATTAGGTGCTACTATTGCACGTAAATATTAAATTAAGCCCGCTGTAGAAAAACATGGTAAGAGCTAGACTTCATCAATCAATGGCTATGACAGGAACATAATATATGGGACTAGTCTAAATTAAAAGTTTTCGTATACCCCGTGTTCCAATAGGTGATATGTGGAATGCCATATTTCATTTGTTCGCACATGCGAATGTGGATCGTACGGCATTGCTGGCGGTCGTCCATAGGCTAGATCCGATGGTGAACGCGACGCTGATGGGGATCGACCAGCAGATCGCTATCAGCGTTGCGCCTGATACGTTGATCCCGGATATCCGGTTGACGGTGGTCCCTGCGGCATAATTTGTTTGGGATTAACACCGCCCGGTGCTGGTGCGCCCGGCTTTTCCCTCTGTATAATTTTAGAATATATGTTTGTTACAGTTTTTTGGATATATTCTTAAGTATCTTAGACCTCACATCCTTTGTCTAGAGGCTGGGTGTGGAACGTGACGAACTGGAGCCAGAGCGCGAGTCTAGCGCAGTCGGGTCGGTAGTCTTAGCTCTATCCAGGGGCACTTTCCGAGCTGCACGTGTTATGTTTATCTTAATATTAAATTAAATATTAAATAAGATTAAATGTACTTTTATATACCGGATATACCGTAAATATACTTTGAACTCGATTTCGACGTCAAAATATTTTTTTTTGATTAAATCATCGCATGGATGACAGGGTTTTGATCGCAGCTGTGTTGCCACATTGATCAGGTACTGGTGTGTGACTTATTGTCCGATTATTCAGGTTCGGACGCTTGATGGGCCCAAGGTGTGTCCTCCAGAAATATGTGTTTAGTGAGATCTTGAGAGTTTGACAAACAGATCGAAGAGTGTAAAACCTCCGAATGTTTTGTTTAAAATTTTTTTTGTAAAAATTGTATCTTTTTTGTAATTTATTTATACATATATATATTATTTTTTTTTTTTTTAAAGGCCTCCCCTTTTGGCCTGCACAGACTTCCTGTCAGCGAGCTTGACAGGCGTTAAAAGTCATTTCCCTATAATTTATTAATCTAAAATGATTTATCACAAAATGCTTAAAAGTCCATATTAGCGCTTTTTATAAACTATGCCAGCTCTCTGAGGTGGAGTGGCTCTTTTTTGATCAAGAGTTCATTTAGATCCGTATAATATTTAAAAATTCGATACTTACCCCTAAGACGGACGAATCTTTGGCATTTAAAAAGCAGATGTTCAGCGGATTCTGTGACATTACATGACTCACAGATATCCGAATCAATCGCTTTAATTTTGTATAGAAAGGCTTTATCGTACGTGTGTCCTGTCATCAGTCTGTTTATTGTCTTTATGCTTTTTGCATTCCATTTTAAATTATAGTGCCATGGTTTTTTGGGTATGTTTGGAAAGATCTCGATTAAACTGGTGCACTTGTTACTACATTTTTGTTTATACTCCTCGTTCCACTTGTGTTCTAAGGAGTTTTTAATTTCTCTTAAGGCTTCTTTCACACTAAATTGAATGTAAATGGTTTCCCCTTCTCGTATGGCGTATTTTGCTGCCATATCAGCCTTTTCGTTTATCGTTACCCCTTTGTGCCCTGGAATCCATAGAATATCCAGTTTTTGCATGCCTGATGTGTCGATAATATTGTGAATGTCTCTTACTATGTATGAGTCTGTTTGTTTATTGTTTACTAGTTTTATCGCTCCTAGACCATCACAACAAATAACAGCTTTCTTGTATCCATTATTGGCACATATCTCACTCGCTTTTTTAATACCTATCAGTTCGGCCCCTACAGATGAAAGCCTAGTTACTGTTCTATATTTATATATATTTCCACTGGGTAACTTTACAATTCCTATACCACACCTGTCCTGCATGACCGATGCATCTGTGGACAGAATATTCCAGCCTTCTTTTGAATATTTTTCCAAGATTTCAGAGAATCTGGCTCTGATTTCCTCCCTCGAGTATTCTTCTTTGTTCTTTGTCATTTCTTTTTCTCTTACATTAATCTTTTTACAGTGTTTATAATTATCACAGCTTTGTGAATTGTCGAAGAAAGTTTTAAATTCTTCTAAGTTACAAGTGTAACTCGTCTTTGCTTTTGATAGTCTTATGCTTTCGAACATCCTGGGATTCAGCTTCTTGACCTTGAAAAGTTCTTTGGCTGTAAGCCACTTAGCCCTGAAACTTGGAGGCATTATTCCCGCCAACACAAAGATTTCGTGCTTGCTTGTATCAGGAGGCACACCTACACATCTTCTCAGCACTCCTGCCTGTGCAATTTCCATGTCTTTATTGGACCCAACTCCCATGTCAGAGAAGCTGGTAATTGCATATTCTTGCTTGCTTCTTATAAACGATTTGAAGATATTAACGCTAGTCTTAGGTTTCAGTCCCGACTTGATAGTTGTCGCTAATTGTATAAGCCTACTACTTTTCCTAGTTACTTCTTTTACCATTTTTATATGACTGGTATTGGACATGTTAGAACTTATAAGCCTGCCTAGAAATAAAAAGTTTTTTTTCACTGGGATTAGAACATTTTTAACTTCTATGTTCAGAGACCTTCCACCTTCCCTTCCCATGTTCATAATCACAGATTTGCTAGGACTGAAACTGAAGCCCAGATCGCCACATAATAGGCTAAAATCGTTAAATTTGTTTTTCAGATTTGCAACTACAGCCTCATAGTTATACCCGTGTGACACCAATATAAAATCGTCTGCAAATTGCATGATTTGTGTATTGCAGTCCCCTACCTGATGTAGTCTTTTGCTGTAGATATTAAAAAGTAGTGGTGAAAGACATGATCCCTGGGGTAATCCTCCTTGCACCACTTCTACTGCACCTCCCAGTCTTAGCAACCTAATGGACATGAAACTTATAATCCAGTCCACATACATTTTCGGAAAACTTTCATTTTCCATTAACATCTTTAAAAAATTCAAGTTTACACAGTTGTAAGCGTTGTTTAGGTCAACAGCCGCTACTACCACATGCTCCTTGCTTTTTTTCCTTGCAGCTACCTCATTGATCACATCATTAATGCACATTGCAGCTGACTTATCCTTTTGATACGCATAAGACCTATAGGGTAGAATTTCGTTGTCCTGTATATATTTTTCAAGCTTGATTTTAATAATGCTGTTAACTGTTTTGGCCAGGACCGATATTAAGGATATTGGTCGAAAATTTTTTATGTCTGATAGATCTTTGTTTTTTTTTGGGATTGGCGTGATTGGCGTGCGCCACTCAGCTGGTAATTCACAGTTTGCAATTTTGTTGTTGTAGAATTTGACTAATTCTGCTTTAGTGTCCCTGTTTAATGCGTTGAGCATCTCATAAGTGATCTTGTCAAAGCCTCCTGATGTTTTTTTGTTTCGACCTAGGACCATTTCTAGATCTTCAAGAGCAAATTTCGGATTCTCGTTTTCTTTTGATGCATGCAATGTGGCATCAATGCTTCTGGCTTCAGCAGGCCTTTGTTCTTTTAGCCATTCTAAGTACGACCCAGCTTTTTCTAAATCAAATTGTTTTTGAGTTTCTATGTTGCAATTTTTAAGGTTAGCTAGAAACTTCCAGGCTTCCCTAGTATTTGCCTTCACATTGAGCTCTGTTAGTTTCCTGGCGTAGCTAGTTTTCTTTGCAATTTTGACTGCCTTCTTCCATTTGATTTTTAGATCTACTGCCTTGCAATAATTCTGAAAAGCTGGCTCCGAACATGCCTTTTTTTGGGCCTCAGAGAATTCGTTAAATAGTTTGGCTAACCTCTCATCCCACCATAACTTCGGCCATTTGTTGTCAACTTCAAAGGTAGCAGCATTGATTTCATGTTTTTTTTTATATCTATTTTTCCCAGTTTTTTAATTAGTTTGTTTTTAGCTAGAAACTTACTTAGCTTTTTTCCTCTTCCAATCAATTCAAAACTTATAGGGTGGTGGTGACTGCCTCCCAGAAACAGTTTCTCACTGTAACGAACCATGGTTCCCCATGGTTCGTCACAACACAGGGACACCTGTCTTTAAATTGACAATATCTCAGTGCTTTAATTGTGGCAGAATTGGGCACACTTCGGCCAGATGCAAATCGGCGAGAAGGTGCAACAAATGTGGAGTGGGAGATTGCAACGGAACATGCACGGTTTTAAAGTGCATTTTATGCAATGGGAAGAATCATTCAGCCAGGGACAGACTTGTTTGCCCAGTATGGGAAAAAGAAAATGACATTAATAAGATTATGACAATAAAGAAAATAGAAAGAAAGGAAGTGCTAAATACCTATTCAGTCCATCAGAATTATTCACAGATGGAAAATTATGAGGTTAATTTTCCCAAATTAGACGTCAAAATATCCCGTAAAGTATATAATATACCGTAAGCGGTATATTTCGGCGGGTTAGACGGTATATTTTATTGCCAAATCAACGGTCACACTAGTCCGCGTGTGTGGCAGACACTTTAGTATCAAATCAAAAAAATTATTAAAACAAACTTGATCTAAAAGGTTGTAATTGTAATTGTAATACCGAGGAAGCATGTCGGAAAAGAAACGTACGCGTCGTCGCAAAGATGTAAGTGCTACCCAAGACCAAATTGCGTCTTGAAAAATGTGTTTTGTGTGCATATGGTAGTGCGCCGTCCAATTGGCGTGCTGTTTTTGATTTTTGTTTTGATTTTGCAAAATGGCCAAATGTTATTTTATAACAATGACCGTGGTCATTGATATCTTATATGTGAGGATCATATGGCCCATTTATTTCATCTATGGTTCTTCATGTTCAGAGGGTAAATTCAATGCAGTCCCTGCCACGCCACTCATGTGTGTGTGTGTCCTTTCCTCTGCGAGCCAGAGTGTGCCCCCTGCATGCAACCGGCTATAATTAACTTTCCCCCACTGCGCCCTCTGGCAGTGAAAAGAATATTGAAATTAAATATATTTGGTGAAATTCCGTTGCTGTACTATCAGTACAGTACTATCACTTCTTTTCCTGAAGTGCAAATAAACAGCTGTGCGCTTGTAATACATCTGGTGGCAACGCTGCTGCTAACCATATATTTGTAAGCTTGTCTTGTAAGCTGATCGTTCGCTCTCTCTCTCTATCTGAATTACCCACACTTGTCAGGTGCACCAACTTATCAGCTGCTGTTGTTGTTGGGGAAAGTTTCTATAGGCACATGTACAATATATATGTGTGCGCGTTTGTGTTGATGTTGTGAACGAGACTCGTTTGACCAGACACTAAGCGTTGCTAAGATTCAATACTTTCTAGACCCTCGCAGCGATTGCAACACGTCACAGCTAAGAAAAACAATTTTGGACTGGGAGACGGTTTATAGTGCTTGATAAGTTTGCTTTATTTCCGAGTTAAATAATCATCTGTGTGTCTGTGGAAATGAGCGAGGACGAGCGGTTTGACGGAGATGCGGAGGAGGAGCAGGAGATCTTCGACGATGGCATGGTATTAAGAGAGGGGTTGGGGTCTATTAACTTTTATATGTAGGCCAGAAACACTTGGAGCCGATGAGAGTGCTTGAGTGTGACGGGAACTTAATTTGTGTCGTGGCCTATATTTGCCTTTGCTACGTCGATCGTAGTATGTGTACATTGACATCCCTTTTTTTCAGGAATACGCCGAGCCCGGACAACAGAAGGTGGAGAAGCCATCGAAGGACGAGAAGAATGTCGCCAAGTGGCTGAAGAAGAATGTCAAGACAAAGAAAACCAAGTTCTTAAGCCACGTTGTCGAGTATTTCACTTCGAGCAAGGCCCTGGATGCTCTGATGAAATCGAAATTCACCGAAGGCAACAATTCCCTCTTCACAACCCGTGAGCAGGCCGTGGAATTCATGGACGTTATGCTGGAGCACAAGTTTTTCCACCGCGCCAAAAAGGTTCCCGTTACGCTGGACGAAATACGGGGAAAATCTGCTGAGAAAAAGGGAGAGATTAAGGAGAAAGAGAAACCAAAGGACGATAAGAAGGACACCGATCTGGAAGCTGACAGCGGCAATGGCGACGGGCCCTCAGCGAGCAATGAGAAAGATAAGAAAGAGAAGAAGAAACGCAAGATCCGCCTGGATATGCATCCCGAGCAAATCTTTGTGGATGGCTCTGAGGCGTATGTTTGGATCTACGATCCCATACCACTACACTATTGGATATTCGGCTTCATTCTACTCCTGGGCGCAGTGGGCATCTGTTTGTTCCCCCTCTGGCCGCCACTGCTTCGCAAGGGCGTCTACTATCTCTCTATAGCCGCGGCAGGCTTTCTTGTTTTCATTCTGGCTTTAACTGTGGTGCGACTAATTGTGTTTACCATAGTTTGGGCTTTGACTGGTGGCAAGTTGCATTTCTGGATCTTCCCCAACTTGACCGAGGATGTGGGCTTCTTCGCCTCCTTCTGGCCCCTTTATGAGGTATGTGTCATACCAAAGGATACTTTAACAAAGCTCAAATTTAAAATACTTTTAACAGAGCAATTATGGAAGCGATGCGTCCAGCTCATCTTCCAAGACCGAGAAGAAATTGAAATCAAAGTCAAAGAAAAAGGAAAAGGACAGTGACGCCGAGGATACAGCTGTGGATGCAGATGGGGACGCCGATGGTGATGTAGATGCGGAAGTCTCCACTTTAGAGCCCGAGAAAATTGAGCTTATTAAAGAGCACGATGCCGACATGGAGGTTCGCAAGCGTCGCAAAGTCGGAGCCGACGAGTACGAAGACGATGATGTGGACGAGGAGCCACATGCTCAGCCCAAGGAGTCCAAAGCGGGGTAAGCTGGGGTCCGCTTTTTATTGACAAGGAATCTTGATGTGTTGCTCGAATTTATTATTTATGATTGTGATGATGTATCGGGTTTTGTTTTGTATTTATGTCTTGTCCATAAAAACAAAGAGCGCATCATTAACTTTAGCTCATATTTGTATACTTTTTTTTCCTTAATAAATATTATTGTATAATTTCCATTAATTGCATTAATCTTTTTGGTTTTATATGCTTAGATCGCGTTCATTACAATTCCAATTTAGTTTTTTTTTACAAGAGCATGCCATTTGTAAATACATGTAATTTCGGATAAGTGATGCCTGAATGGTTATGGTCGATGGTTCTTAGGATTTGTATATTTACTATTTATGATTATGATTATGAAAATCAAAATTATTATTATCTAAATCGATTAACGACATTTAAAAATATGATTATTATTTTATTAACTAAGACCAGTTTTATTTTTGTAAATTAAGAAAAAAAGAGTTGATTTCATGCAGCTATCGAAATCAAATTGTCGTACCCGTTGTTCCCTTGGTAGAGCCTCTGGTTGAGTTCATGGTTTGTGATAATTTAGGTGTTGGGATGTTTTCATACTCAAGATCAACTTTTCCCTACGCTGAGTAAGTTTCCTTTTATTATTTTTGTATAATTTAAGCTTACGCACACAGATTTTCACACTTATCCTTGTCAATAAGAGCTTTCAAATGTGGCCTTTCTTCGTACCGTATTCGTTGTCTGCTGAACTACTAACTGATCCTATCTATTTTCCCTTTCAGAACACCACGCAACTCGGAATCGGATTCGGAAAGCTCCAGCAAAGATTACGAAATAATTAGTTCGAGTGAGGTGCAAAACGTTGCTGGCAACTAAGAACGGAATTAAATCATAATATATAGATTTGATGATCCACACCACATCTAGCTAATTGATAAGACATACATAGAACAAGAATCACACATCAAGTACATACAGCAACACACTCATACTCATGCGCGACCATCTTTGCGTGCATGATATTCCAAGTAAAGCGAAACATTGGATCTGACCTCCACGGCACAAGTCTCCGGGTCTTTGATCGTGAGTTTTCATTTGATAGTCTTACTTTTATTATACGGCATTAGCTGGGTCTCTCTCTGATCGTGAGTTTAAGGTTGATTTTCAAGTTTTGACACAAGCATTTTGTCTTTGTTTTTTGGCTGCAGTTGAGTACATATTGCGTATTGTGTAGCCGCGTTTTTATTATTAGCTGGCAGCCAGTACACATGTTTCTGAACTGTTTTAGCCAATTATTATTTTTGTTTTGACTTATAATTATGTAAATGTATAAAAGGAGCACCAGGCAAGGCGGCCTTATTTATTTGAGTGCAACCAACAATTGCAATTGATAATAATATTAACGAGTACTGCACGTACATATTGATGTGCATAAATACTTACTTTTAATGTAATTAAAGCAGAACTAACATCTACATAAATGAAATTAGTATTGTAACACGCAATTAACTATTATATAAATAAAGCTAGGCAATTCTGATCTGATGTGAGGGGCAAGAGTATTTGAGCGTTTGCAGTTCTTGCTCGAACGTTTTATTAAAAAATATATATACAACTCATAATTCGTCTTTGAAATGTCGTTCCATGTGGTCCTGCTTCAGCACGGATAACAGCACTCGGCATGAGTGTCGTGGCCAGACCAGGCCCAAGAGAAGAGCAGATCCGGATAGCTGCAAGATCGAATCCAGTGTATCACTATTCTGACCGTCCGAGTCCCCGCTAAATACTCACATAAATTATGAAATAAGCAAGCCAGTACATCATCCAATAAGCCAAACTCGCGATTCCCGTGATGAAAGCTGCTACGGGATTGCGATACCGCACCCGAATATCTGGCGAGGGGTTGCGTCCGATCTTGGGATATACTGATGATTGCATTCTTCTACGGCTTGCAGATCTGTACTAAAAATGGGAGCATCGAATCGTATTTAAGGTTAGTGTTCTGTGAAAATAGAAACGATTGAACAACCAAACAAAACTGGGAAAACAAACAAAACTCCTAAAGGAGTATGTAACGTCATTGAAGCTACCTCTCAAATTCTCTGCCAGCGAGTCTGTGCAAGGCTCCGCAATCATCAAACTTTTTAAAAAGATTCCACGTTTCTTGAAACCAATTTTTAGAAGCACATGATCTCAAGAGCTGTGGATAAAACGAAGTGGGTCCTGGTAAAGTCTCGTAGAACTATGGTCAGATGTTTCTTCATGCGGAGTCAGAAGCTGAATTGGCTTTGTCGTCATTTCTTCTAGTTTCACCTTCAGCAAATACTCTCTATGTTGTTCTTCCTCCGAATTCGTCTTGGAAGGATTGGACTTGGTCTTTACGAGCATATTGAACCTGCGCTCCAACGAATGCTCTCTCCGTATTCGTCTTCCTATCTTCACCTCAAGATGATCGGCTTTCGATGGAATATTGCCATACTGTACCACATCCTCCTTGTGTTGCATCAGGATATCTGGATTTGCCATTAATGATAATTCCGTAACTTCACACAGTCCATCTTTTGTTCTCAACTTTCGTCTATTGTATTTTATTGAAGGAACTGCAAAAATGGGCGGACTACGCCTCCAAATCCTTTTAAATTTTCTTGAGAAAAGATTCATGTGCCTTGGTGTGGGAGAGTGAGCTACTGGTGTCTCAGATCCGCTCGTGCTCACATCTTTATTTCGCCTATAGGAGTTAGCCATTCCAGATTTGTCTATCGCGTTGGAATTTATGTCAGGCATGCGGAACTCATAGATCGCCACATTCGTAGGTTGATCCGACAAGGTGGTCTTCTTGAGATTTTCCATAACATTGCATTTATGAGTAGCCATCTTAGGCTTAATCATCTCGCCACAGACATGTGAAACGGTTTCCAAGGTGTGGATCCCTCGCCAATGGATTGAGACTTCTGTCTTTATGCAGCTATGCGACAATATATGCGATTGGTTAGTTCTTCCGTCTGTGGGCACGTATCCATCGGGTGTTTTATGGAATTTCTCTTCAAGACTGCTATCCTCTGAGAAGGAATTTCTTAATTGCCTCTGGTCTGATGCGGCTTTAGAAACGTGTGTGACATGGTGCTGATAGGGTTGGTTGCTATTTACATTTTTAACTATTTCCTCGCTGTATTTAATTGTTAACGGAACGGGAAGACTTTCGAAAAAAGCAGGATCATGGTCTGCTACTGTCTGTGATGAGCTTGAAGGTTCTTTGTACATACTCAAGTTATGATATTTCTTGGGAGATTCCTCATCGCATTTCATGGGTGTGTTTAAATTATTATCACCAAGAGGATTAGGTTTATCTTCTTTGATATTTTTGATGCAGGTAGGCTTACGGCCCTCCAATTTTTGCTCAGCTATTAAAAATCTGGGAAAACTGTGTAAAGTTCTATGGAGTGTACCAGTCTTATCGGGTACTGATACAGAAGGCTGTATACCAAACAAATTTTTTGAGAGTGGCATCTTGATTATTTCACGATAGGACCCAGAAACTTTTTTCTGGTATTTTCTAGGCGTCTGCTGGACACTCTTTGCTTTTGAATCTTGAGTTGGCATAACAGCATCGGCTGCGTTTCTGTGATGTCCGCATTTGTCACACACTGGTTTTGCTCCCTCCCGCTTCCTACCGGTTGTCCTGCACAACCTATCCCCGGGTACATGCAAGATGTGGGGTCTGCTCAATTTCTTTGATAGGACTTTTGAATACTTTGCATCGGTCTGATATTTATTTGAGGAAATAACATGTTCATTTGTCACATCATTAATAGGAGGGTTGGCTGATCCATTAGACTCGGACTCTAGTTCTCCGTTCTCTGCAGCCCCATCTTCTTGATCGATGTTCATCAGATTCGTAACTTTAACATGTCCAGTACTGGAGAGTCCCAATGCTTTCATCATTTGTTCACCTTGATCCACAATTAACATTTTAAGTGTCTGCTTCTCTACATGATCGGTCTTCTTTTCTGCTTTTACTCCTGCCTCTTCAAAGTCTAATAAATTGATTGTTTTTTGGGGGATGGGATGCTCATAGCCTATCTTGCATATGCCACTGATATCTCCGGAGTTGCGGCTGTCTGAGGATGTAACTGTTGCAATGTCATCGTGTATGAGCGAACCAGAGCTAACGCTCTCTTCCGAGCCAGAAGAGGGCAGCAATAGGAGCGGCAGATGTCGATCGGTTTTCGTGTTCAGCGCCATGGGCTCCTGCAGCATGAAGCGGGCACTGTCTAAGACCAGTGCATCTTCCGACGGTCCCTCGTAGTACTCAAAGGGGCAAAACTGACTTTCCATTTGGTTGTCGGCGTTAATCGAATCGTTACTCAGTCCGCCACCTTTTGCACGGGCTTTTGATGCCCCTTTTTCAACCAAAACAGAGGCCAACACTTTTGACAGCGGCGGTAGCGTGCGGCTGGTGCTAGTGCGGAAGATGCTGCTTCGCTTGGAGATTGCCCCGCCAGATGGGTTCGTGATGGGTGTGCTCAGAGGAATATAATCGCTGACCAAACGTTTTCCATTCGTGGGCCAGAGTCGACGGGATGATTGACAGGGTTGAATAAACACCTCGCGTGCCATGGCCACCAGATTCGTAGATTCCTCGGGCGCACGCTCCCACATGGACCCGAATGTGTGTTGCACAGACTGGGGAGATGAAGGCGATGATGGTGGCGCTGCAGTTGGAGTCGGATCGCGATCTGGAGTCCGTACCCCACGGCGCCACTTCGGTAAAACTCCCATGGGCTTTGGAAAGTGTCCAAAGCAGCCCGAGTATACTTTCTTCTTACATTCTCCGACTACAGTTTCGTGTTTGGCTCTTGGTTTGGGCATTCCCCCGCACTTGGAGCAATTTTTCTTGCAGTTGTGCATTAAACATGGCTTCTTGGCTCGCATGGCCACCTTGACGCGGGCAGCACCTTGGAGTGCCTCCGCGGACCGTCGTCGCTCCAGAAGCATCTTCTGCCGTTTGTTGGCTGCGGCCTCCTCTTCATCGCTGGAGCTAGGATCGGTTTTAGGGCGCCGCTCTAGTCCACACACCTCGCAGCGGAGGTTACAGTCCAATGGAATGTGGAGCACTGCTCTGGGCAACTTCTCGCAAAGGCACCACTCTTTGACGAACGCTATATTGGTGGTATTGGCGTTGGCCATGGTTTTCAGGAACAGCGAGTATAACTTATAGAAGCGAATCATAAAAGAAAAATGTGATGTGACGCTGTATTTTTCAAGTGTTGAGCAAGGCCGGTTTGTCAGTGCTACCCATTTGAGCCGAGAATACAGTAATGTGTTGTTCGTATTTTAACATTGTCGCCACTAGACTTGACAGAAAACCAGACTGAGATAAATATAGCATCAACAGAACGTGACTAAAAAGCCAAACGAACCATGTATTTCACTCGCTCATACCAACTACTTTCCCCATATTGTTCCATTTACGTCACAACAAAATAAATCCAATCGACTCCTATGTTATCAATGGTTCTATCACGAATTTGGTAGTTGAAGTATTCCCATTGCTTTTCCCTAATTAAATTGTAACCAAGTTATTCACTCTTGCAGGGCTTAAAATTTACTTGGCCTTCTTTGAGTTTGCTGTAATTGAACTTTCCTATAGCTGTAAATATGTATGTATGTAAATACGAGTTCTTTACGCTCACCGGATTAGGGAATTTAATTAAATTTCTATTAAATTTTTAATGTAAGAGTATGCATATATCTGCTCTTGAGTATTACTGCATTTTTGGAGCTATTGTCCGACTTGAACAACTCTTCACAAACTCTTCGACTGGTTGCGTCCTTCGAATGCTACAACAGTATATTGTACTCGTATTAAATATAAATGTACTTTGCACATTCGCTCTCTTCCTACGCAGATTAGTTGCATGCCAGTCTAAGTGAAATTTCATGTTTCATATGCAATTACTGGTGGGGTGGTGCTTGTGGTTGTAGTGCAAAGCACACATGTACACGTACTCTGCATGTATTTATTGACATTCTGCCTTGGAATATGGAATCCATGGAATTTATTTTCATTTTTCCTGTTATAAGTATTCACAATGAGACTCAAGACAGAGCCCACATATACAAATTATCGAAATCATCCTTACCTTCGGCACCATCAGGATTAATTAAGTAGCTGGAACTTGATTGATTGGCCTAATCCCTTGACTCTCTCCGTTTCCGTCTGACTTTCCCATTTCACCGTCGCTGGCAAAGTCAATAAACACATTAAAAGCACATTGGCCTAGACGCCTCACGAAACATTCTCCATCTTCGGCTCATTGATCAGCGTATCCAAAGGCGATGCACAGTTAAGGCGTTTGGCAGGAAATTTATGTACTCAAATCAAGCGAAACTATAAATTATAGAGCAGTCGTTATCCCGTAGCGGGCCAACTAAGTATGTATTGCACGTCCCTCTGTCCATTTTGAATTACAAGCCAGCTGTCCGGGATTTATGTGCGCCATTGGCCATAAAAATATTATTCCCAGACGTCTGCAGCCCTCCGAACACGGAATACATTCGAATCGGCGCCTAATTGTTCACAATAGATTGTATTGAAATACAGTTGGGGACAACGAATACGACTCCGAATACGACGCACATGCATATGTGCATGTACGAGGGAGCAACAAAATTATTTACATTTTTATTGCGATACTTTTAGCTTCATTTCATTTTCGGCATTTTCCTTTGCCCTGGGATTCTCGCTTCGTTTCCTCCACAAACCTTTCCGTTTCTCTAATCATTTCTCAAAAAATTTTTTTTCGTGGGTGAGGGTTACTTGATGATTTGAGTCCGGAAGGAGGCTGGGTGGGGGTTGTAGGCGGAAAGAATATTTTACATGCAGCTTTAGTCGTCCAGAAAATTACATATTCGAGGTGACCATTAAATTTTTTCCAGGCTCCGGCTTCTCATTGGGCGATGAGATATGCTCGTACTCCTTCCCAAATGAATGGTAATGAAATGTACAGTTATCCAGAACAGATACTGCATGCTGGCAACTATTTAATTTGCCATAAAACTGGGTTCGGGGTCGTACAATACATCCCATTGCGACTTCAGTTAAACAAAGAATGAGCAGATACTATTTCATCAGAAGCTTGGTCACATTCCGGAGCATCATTTCCGTTCGTTTCGTTCGCTGTCAAAGTTAGCTCTGCTACTCCAGTGGGCACGAGTCCGAGGCAAATTCCGACTGTATATTAAATACTTTCCATTAAGTTTAAAGAAAATTTTAATTACAATCCCGTTGCTTCCGCCATTTAACACAAAAACAATTTCCGCCGCCCATACATATTTTAGATCAAATATATTGCAACTGCTGCATGGCTCGTACAGTGTGGGGCATATCGGGGTGAATAGGGATGGGAATTGGGATTGGGGATGGGATGGGTGTGAGGGAGTTGCCTAAATGGTTTTTTTCTGCTCTGCTGCCATGAAATGGGAAAGTCAGTTCGTGAATACGTGACTTGAGCGTGTCTGTGGCCGATAGCAGAGGGGAGATTGCAGGAGAGGGCAGACTGCTGGGATGGAGCTGGCCTCGTGTGTGCATGTTGCACAAACGCATCCTCTGTTTACTTATTTAACACAATTTTCACATTTCATAATTCAAGTTGGAGGGTTAGAAGTGGCAGCCACCGCACTCAGCATGATAGGTGTTTGGTGGTAGGCAGTGGGCGGGAACTGTTGGGATACGCATGCGTAACCTCGCCTTAGGGTATAGATGCTGGTCTCCTGGCAATCTATTTGCCGTTTAATGGTGTTTTTGTTCTTGTTTTTTTATTTACTTATTTATTTATTTTGTTCGAGGCAAGTGGAAAGCGTTGTCGGGGATCTTCGGCTGCAGCGACAACCTTGAAAAGCACTCAACAAATAAAAGCACCAAACACTACACGCTTCGCTCACAATTATAGAACTATATTATAGAATTATATCTGATTATTGAGGCAACTCACGTATCCGGCACTGAGTCTCGCTCACGGGCCTGACTTATGGTTCCTTTGAACACTTTGAGTCTTGCAACGGAAAACTTGGTCCTGATGTTTGCACATTGCACAAGGATTGAGCATGTGCCTAGGGCTGTATAAATCAGCTTGTAATTTTGTGCATGTGACGAAATGCTGTCCTGGATTGAATTTGGCTGATTCCAGAAATGGAGAGCCCCTGTCTTAGAGGTTAGCTGACGAAGGTTAACGGGGAGGGTCTCAAATGGAACCCAAATATTGCTCTGACCATTTTTTATACAGTTCGCTGCGAGAGCTACTTGGGTTTTTTCTAGCTGGTCCGCAACTTCTGCGCTCATAAAAGCACTCCTAAAGGTAATTGTTTAAAAACGGTTTTTATTCAGTTATGGCGCAGGGTCCACACATACACTGTCCGTAGCCCATAGCCCATTGCCCATAGATCGCATGTCTAGTCATGTGTGCGCCCTGTCCATGTAAATTTAAGCAACTCTCCAAACTAACAACCGACGCAAATTGCTGCTGTTGCGGTTTATTTTGTGTTGCAAAAATATGCAGTACCCATACCCCCCTGTCCCCGCTGTCTGTCTCCTGATTCGCCCCTATCCCCGACATCTGCCTCTACAGCTCTAGTCTTCCACTTTCCGCTCTGGCAGCAGAGGTGGGGACTCCTCTTGTGGCGCATTGTTTGGCTTGACTTTTTGTTGCCCATTCCCCGAACGTTGTTGCGTTTGTTGGTTGTTGTTTGTCGTGATGTGTGTTTGGCTGGGCTTGTTATTTTACCCAAAAGCTGTTAAATTGCTTGAAACAAAACTGGGCTGGGCGGCGTGGCCGGACACTTTATGAGAAGAAGCTGCTATGTGGCCACATAGGATTGGCCACTGGCTGAGGGAAGAAAAGGGTCGAGCTACGGCCATGCCATTAGGCCATAAATATTAAAGCGGGTGTCAAAAGGAATATGTGGTGCGAAATGCTTTGAATGCTGCTTACAGCCAGTGGATGTTGCGGAACGTGCGATTTAACAATGAAATAAAAGCAGCGCGATATGAGCGCTGCCCCCACGCCAGCCGAGGGCAACTCCACGAACGTGCCCTGGCTTATCCCTTTGTGCTAGTGATAGTGAAGAGCTTCAATCGAGCCATAGTTTCCCTAACCCTTAACATAAATCAAAGCGAGGATATGCGTGGATGTGTCCCTCATCTGGCAAACCGATTGTACCGATGTCCCAGGAAGTTTCCTTTTAACAGAGAATTAATTAAAATATTTCGAAAACTCGCGTGCTCACCTTGAACGAGGCTGGGATTATACCACCCATAAACATTTTAATCAAAAATTTTAGCAGAACATAATGAAAACTTTTTTCGAGCAATGGCCAAAGGATTTTTTTTAGCTTCGTAGCCCGAATGTTTTTTTTTTTAACAAATTATTCAAGACCAAGTTTCTTTCTTAGTGATGAGCCCTTTTTGCGATGTTTTAAAAAATTACGGAGCCCATTCCACGGCAGGCAGTGTAGCCTGACATTGAACTCCGGAACTAGTGGGACGAGTGCGCAGCGCGGCGGATTTTTTATTAAGTTTCAAACGCTCAAGAGCGTTTGCATTTTATCTGGCTGCCAGCCTTTGAGCGGGCTTGAGCTTAACTTTTGGACTACTCAAAGTATCGAGCCCTTCTTATTTGTTATGAAAACTTCAAGTTGGCTACGGAATAGGAGGAAGCAGCCCGGCACGGCACAGCAGAGCGAAGCATACGACAAGTGCAGCTCTCTAGCTTAACGTCTATGAAAAGCTTCTCAGGAACATCCCTTTGACTGGGAGTGGGAAAGGCAAAAAGCCATGCGTACGGCCGCCTCGACTCAACTTGACTCCTTTCCCCAGCGCTACTGCTTCCTGCGTGTGTATTTCTGTGTTTCTATCTGTGTTTCTCAGTATCTGTGTGTGTTTGTGACGGGGGTGTTGGTTTTTCTTTTGGGGTGTTTGTGTGTGTTTACCACTACTTATGTAAGGGGAAGTTGTTGGCTTCCTAAACGGATATACCGACTTCAAATAGTTTTTTTCTTCAGTAAGCTTCATTCTTTTATGCTTCTTTATTCCCTTTTTGCAGTTGTTGTGGTTGCACTTTTTGTTTGGTGCCGGCAACGGTACGGTATTCTTTTCTCCTTTACTTCTCTGCAGGTCTGCCTTTAAATTGCGGGCGGCATCGGGATGCGTTTGCACGTGCCTGAGGTGTGCACTGTGGAGCCAAGCCAACGCAGCACGATGCAATGATGAGTTGTGGAATATTCTCGGAAACTTATACTGCTCCTGGGTATCACTGAAGCTTCTCGATTTTGCGACCCTGGATGTTGCTGATAGGTACGTGTGGTGCGATCTTGGGTCGGTTGCTACATTTGGACCGAAGTTATCTGTGGTCCACTGTTCCTGTTATTGGCTCGAAAACCTCACTGGCATAAGTGCTAACGGACAGCGCCGGCCCCACTGCCAAGCAGTAGTCGTCGAATATGCTTAGATACCCTCTGCTGTGTGCTTGGTTTTCAGTTCACTTTGTTGTTTTATATTTACTAACAGACACTTGAAGTTCATCGTTTACTAACATATTTCACATCACATTCTGGGGTGGTCGTAAGCTCGCCCCATCCTGTAACGCAAAAGTGCTTATCACTTTATGATACGTTCGGTTCAGGTCAGGAGAAGATTTCTCCTATCTCTCTCTCTCTTGCTTATGAAAAGCCAAATGTGGCAATTATAAACTTGAGTTTCAGTGTTCAATGGCCGTTCTTTTGATAAAGCCATTAGGATATTCTATACGGGCTGGCTGTTGACTGTTCAGTATCGGCATTGGACCGACCCAACATTAAATAAGGAAAAGCCAAAGCATCTCGGAAAGTTTAAAATTTTAAATATCCTGCTCGGCATTTTTGCTTAATTACAGCTGAAAGAAAAAATTGCAGCTGGAAAAATTTGTGCTGCATAAATTCGTTTCGCTTATTACGCCACCGCCGACACGCAGTACAAAGCCTCGAAATGCTGGGCAGAGTAAGAGCAGCCCTCTCGAATGGAAGGGGTGTCACTGCATAATCACGCCTTGACCACCTGTCCGCGTAGACAGGGCCTGTCCCCCGTCCCTCTCCATATTCGAACGACCTCATCCGCCGCCCTACCGACATCGCCATGGTCATTGCAGTGCATTTAATCTCGGTAACGTTTCCTTTGGCATCGAGGACGCAGCCTGTGTAGCCTGTGCAGCCTGTGCAGCCTGTGGTATGACATTTCCTACCTGGAGCCCCTACCTTCGCTTGCCCAGACCCCCTTTCCTTCCCCTTCCTGCCCATGTGTAAGGCGTGGCTGAACAACCCTTTGCTGTTAGCGTCGTTGTCGACGTTGTCGAAAACAAAAATTAGTCCTGCTGTAAAATGTCCAAAGGAAGTGGCAAGGACCAACCGACCGACTGACTGCAGTAACCGACTCTGGCAGTAAAAATTCGTAATGTGCAGCTAATTAAGTTCAAAGCATAGTTTCAGGCGCTGGTTCCAGTCGGTCTAGTCCTCATCCATTAAGTCCGCAACCACTAACTGCCTTTGCAGTGTACGTTATAGTTGGATGGGGGGGATGATAGTAGTGTGAGCCAAGTTGATGGTCCCAATCCGCTGTGAAGTTTTGTATGATTGGTCCTGGCATGTCCTGTCCGCCCACCTGTGATCGGAGTTGGGAACTTTGTGGCTTCCATGTCCTTTATTTATATGAAAATAAAATACCAAAAATGGATTCAATCGCCAGTCCGCAGTAGAAAGGGAATCCATTTTCATGCATATCTACGTCAGGCAAGAGCGCCAGGGGTCGCCATGGAGCTGGTTCTCCTCAAATTGTATCCAGAGTAGAGGGTTGGCGGGACGCTTCCTTGGAGTGTATATATGTTGTTCAAAGATTCATGGAACTTGGTCGATGGACAAGGTGGGGCCTTTTGGAATACTGACCTCTGCTCTTGTATGAAATTACTGATGAGCCAAACCCAAGACTCGTAGTGAAAGGTTATGGACAGGTTGTCAGGACGTGCTGTTCCCCGGCAAACTTTGCCTCTGAACAAGCTGCCTTCTATAGGTTGGCACTTCATTTTATAACGCACAAAACTGAATGTACTCCATTGTGCACATTAAATTTATAATTGCATAGATTGAGTCTGCATTAAAAATGCAAAATGCGTTCTATACCGCCGCAGATGCCGCACCTAGTGGGACCAACACCCACTCCTCAGCACCGTGCCGTGTTGGGCGAGGCGAGTAACTTCATCAGGGGCATTAGCAAAGTTTTGTCGCCGCCTTATTTATATGCAAACTGTACGCTCAGTGCATAACTCAGACTTCGCACCACAATGCGACTAATTGCCACCGAGCTGAATTTCAGTAAAGAGCTTTTTAAACTCATTTCGAATGCTGCAAATGCCACTGAGTGTTGATTAAATACTTTTGCATGCTCCGTGCGCCATGCGCCAACCGTCAAGTGCCTCCTGATAGGGGCTTGTGGCAAGGGATATCAGTGCTGGCCACTCCTGCTCACTTGTCGTCGCACTACAAGACAAACATGGAACAGTCGCCATTTGGCATAAAGTGCTAACAAAACTAAACAACGACACAACACGCAACTAGTTCGGGATCAACTCGCCTTATTGCTCCTGGGGGTATGCAACAATATTTGTCCTGCAGTTGATAAAACTGTCCTTAACTGTTGGCCTGGTTGAGGGCGATGGCGGCTCGTGATGCTGATGGTGGGCATGAGTCCATTTTCAGTGCAGTCCCCGACCATTGCCGCATTGTCGTTTTGTCTGATGAGTTTTTAAGTACAGACAATTACAAACGACAACCAAGAGCAATCATGTAGCCGCATGGCAGTCGCTCGCTTGCTTAGCCAATTCAGACTGCCTGTCTTCTATTCTTTCTCCTTTCGTTTGCGGTTATTACATTCTGCTGGGCAGTTAAGCTGCGTAATTGAATTAAATTTCGTTTTAAAATGTAAAAGGCTTCAGATTTGGTTTGTACTCCTTGATGGAATTTGTATTCCATGAAGTAATTAACATTGGTTACAATCCCTGAAGTTTGACTCTTGAGGGCAGGAAAGGAGATTCTCAGAAATAGAGATAAGTCTAGCAATGAACTCGGGTAAACTTTTTGAAAAGCAATATGCTCCAGCGACATATGAGTAAGTACTCGTATATATGTATATGTAAATTTTAAGTAACAATTTCAAAGAAAAAAAAGGAAAAAATTTACAAAAATATTTTCACCTGTCAAAGAAGTTGAACTGCATGGAAATGGATGGAACCGAGCTGGGAAAATTTTTGGAGAGTCAGAGTGTTAATTGGTTGCGGGGATTATCGCGGGGTCAGATCAGTGCTTGTGACAGGCTGTTCCGTGCCCTGCGGGACGACACGGAACAGGAGTCGACGTATCGCGTATCCCGCTGCATGAACTATTTGGGACTTCGGCCTATGGTGTCATCTTCCCGAATCAAGACCATCATGAAAATCAGTCATGGCAGCGAACTGGCCTTTCTCTATTTCCTTTGGGAGGCAGAGTACAAGCCGATCAAAAACTCTACCGATACTGAGGGCGCCCATACAAATTTCACGGTCAACGAACAATTGCTTCTCTCGGCCATCGCCCACCTGGATATGCCGGCCACCTTGCGCGAGTTGGACCGACTGCTGCCCCCACCCACGCACTCTAAGAAGTTGCGACGCGGGGGCTGTACTAAACTAAGGCACGAATCGGTAACACAACCTAAGCCCAAACGCGGTGATAATGTGACTCCATACTTTGCACCTCTGCCGCGGCCAAAGCTGTTCAAGCCGACGGAGAAGAAACAGTGGGGACCTCCCGAAAGCAAGCTGCGCTTTCCCGAATACGCCAAATATAGGGGGCTGTACGAGATCCCAGAGGAGAACTCACGATGGTTCTCTCACTACCAACTTTCCCCAGGCAAGCGGGTGATCAAGAAACTGCTGTCAGACGAGCTAAACCGTCTGATTTTGGACCCCACTATAATGGGCGTTGAGGAGGGGGAGTCCTTGTGCCACACCCATCGCCTAATAAAAAAAGCAGCGGAAAAAAAGCAAGAGGAGATGACCCACGCAGTTTTCCAGAGATACTTGTCCCTACTCGACGTATCGGGCTCTATCCTAAAGGCATCTCGCAAGCGGGTCATACAGAATCTAGAAAGAGATATCGAGTGCGCAGCCGACAAGATCCGACATTTCTCACGGCGAAAGTTGATCGAAGTCAGGAAAATTCGCAGTGGGAAAGTGGACGGAACTTGTCAGCTGTGTACTCACCTCGTGAGCACGCCTCATATGAAGAGAGCCGATAGGGCCGATTTGTCGATCCTTTTGGGGTCCGATTTGAACCCAATAGCCCATCCGCTGCCCCAAGATGATGGGCTGGTAAAAGTTATAGAGCTGCAGGGTCAGCATCCAAAAGGCCAATGTGGAGCCGGAGATTGCAAACTGGTGGAAGTGGGCGATATATTGATTAAACCAAGTGAAGAGGGAAACCAGCCGCACAAAAGAAAGACCCGTAAAAAGTCCAGCCTTATAAAGATTAAGAGAAGGGGGCGGTCAACCCAAAAGGGTTCCAAGGTTCTCACCACTGACTTTAAAATTCTCACTGATCTCATTCCTCCCTGTAGTCGTACTCTACAGTGTCCACGTCAAGACCCGGTATACCAAGAGCCAGACTGTTTTACAACAAGGACCGACCATGGCATAGAGTTTGATTACTTTAAAATATTTATGATACCAGGCCTTCTTGACGTTCAAGACGTGCAGCCGCAATCGGAAGACTTTCCCGTGGATCTGGAGGATAAGCAGCCGCTAATCGAGAAACTTTGCATTGCCGCTCTAACCAGGAGCAACGGTGCGAGTCCAAGGCCACATATAGAGAATGAATGGTCCTCGAAAGCTGTACTCAAAGCGGCCGCAAGCTGCGCTATGGGAGTATTTAGAGAAAATGCGTCCTTAAAAGAAACTTCAATGGCAGCTGAAGAAAAAGGGGAGCAGGAGTCGAGGACGGCGCAGAAAGTGAAGCTCATTAATCCGGACGACAGGCAACAGATCGAGAGTCTGCTAAAGTCAGCCCTGAAGGTCATGAAGCTAAATCCCAACTATGTTCTAGCGACATTTCCCAATGCGCACAAGTTGCCCATGCTGATAGACTGGGTGTCAAATCGCTATGGAAAGGTATACACACGCAAGGAGATGCAAGCTTTCGTCAATACCTCGCGTCAACTCATTGAAAGGATCGGTCAACGGGAAATGGCCCGTCAGAAAAAGATGCTGAATGTGAAAACCCGCCCTGACAGTGGTTTGGTCAGCTATGCCCACAAAAAAGCCCTCATATGCCAAGCCAAGCAACTGAAACGGGAATACTACGGCCAACTTAATCAGCTGGCTCTAGAGGAAACGCGTCTTACTTGGCTGGCGCTGCGCGGTGACTCCCACCTGGGTGGATACATCGGGGACACCTTCTTTGCCTACATGCCAGCTAACGAAGCTGACCTGAAGCGTCATAATCTGTGGCAATCGCGGGACTATCGCGACATGGTCGAAAACCGGCTGATCAGTGAGCGACGCCGTCTTGTATAAGATCGTGTATAAGAGTCCGAGATGACAGTGTGGAGCACTTACATCACGTCATACATAGGTATTTACTTGTGATATGCTGCATACTGCCCTCCTGGGCCACTACACTATAATATTGATTCAGGAATAGAATGCGTGAAAGAAGGGAGGACTGCACATTTCCAGGAATTCTTGATAAGCGGAAATAACAGAAATGTTTCGCCAACGGAATGGGGTCGCTTTATCTCCTGATCTGATTAGTGGCGGACCCCAGAGCCAATGCACCGAATCAGGCCATGCTGTCATTGTTCATTGAAAATATCCAATGAAAATTGTCATTTAAATTTTCAGTCGCCTACTTATGTAAACCAAACTATGTATAATCCCAATTAAAAATGCTGATGCCCAACTAAAGGGACTTATACCAGACAAACAGACTGTCTGACAGACAATGAATTCCAAACATGACCAAACAGAGGCTTAGTTACAGATTTTCAGCTATCTCGCAGTTCCCAGACTTCCAGGGCCGCTCCTATCGGTTTTGGGTATATGGAGAGCTCTGTGGGTCGCGCCACGCACCGCTGTTGCTCATTAATTAAAAATGAAAAAAAAGGGAAATCACCAACATGCAGGCATGACATCAACGATGCAAACAAGAGGCAAGCTGCTGCCGTGTAATAGCGGTCCAGTGACGCACGTGACGCGTGTGGCATGGTACTGACAATTCCAAATCGACTCGCTGACAGGCATATGACGCGGACATGCCCAGGACAGGGCAGATGATTCAAGCGCGTTGGTGGTTGCCCCCAGAAGTTTATATATTGAATCAGTAAAGCATGTGACAGGATTATGATATAAATCATTGGATACTTTACGGCAATCGATTTAAGTAAAAATCTTCAGGGCTTAAACCAGTAAAAATGTATCAGACAGATGTAACCTACATATTTCAGAATAATTTGTAGGTTCTGTTGGGTACTCAATTGATTCCAGATGCGGTGAGTGAGCAGCACCCAATTCAAATCACAAGCATATCCCCAGGCGAATGTATTGTTGCGGACACAGCAGAGAACTGTCAGATAACCGACGGCTAATACAATGAGTAAGACCACCCCTGTTCAATAATACACCCTGGAGACGGTTCCCCCATTGCCAGGCATTATATTCAATTACACGACAATAACGTGGCGCTTAGGGCTCTGCGGTTCCCAGAAATTGAAAATAATAATAAAGCGGAGGATAGATAAAAAGTGCAAGCTGAGGCGAGTCTCGGGGCGGGGAACGTGGACGGACCGTGCACAAGGACTTGGACAAACTATCAGCAAGAAATTATGATTAGCTTTTGGTAAAGTTTTCGACCGCAGTCAGCAGTTAGGTTAGCAGCCAGAGAGAAGCAGACAGACCGCACAGCCACTTTGAAACTGCCACCGCATACGTTGCGGGGCATAAGCTGGATAGACGGACGTATTGAAGCGGGTGCCATTGAAGTGTACGGATTCCCAATGGCGTCTACCAAACACTGGCCCGGACCTTGGGACCTCGAAGGACATAAACTAAATTTCTGCAAGTGTAACGTTTTAATTTCACTCATGATTGTTATGAATTGTTGCTTTGCATTGTGTGGGCGCTTTGTATAATCGTTGCTAATGCGTCCAAAATTGTGCTAAGCGATTTCCATTTCACCGCATTTTCTACCCTCTATTGAATGGCCGGCGGCCCAGCATATTTTAGAGTTTAAGCATCCAAAGTGAAATAGAAAATAAGAATGCTTTTTTTCCGACTTATCGCAGGGTTATGAATAGGGGCGATTTGTGTGTCAGGTTTGAGATTTGCACTTGCACGAAGAATTTCTTAAATACGATCCATCGCCATTCACGTCATTCCACTTAATTATTCTATTTACATATAAAGCTCGTATAATTTTGGTTGAAATCTTACTTCAATTTGTAACTTTTGATGTAGCAGTAGCAGCCGGGGGACGAAAAAAAATAATTTGTCACAATTATTACACACAAAATGACAGGCAAATGAAAACCAAGGAGCTGGAAAACGAGCCCGGAAAGGTTGTGCCCAAGGAGACTGTGTGGCAAGCAGAGCTTTGACAAGTTAAATGTGTTTTGTGCCTGCACAATGATGCAGCAAACGTAACCTGAATATGCAGGAGCGGAGCCACCTATAGACATCCAGGCGAGGCAAGGCCAACTTGTGTACGACATTTTGTCATATTTTTCGGTTAATTTCAAAAATGCAAATCATCGATGCCTGCCCGAAATGGAGCACGTCTTTTTGACAAATTTTCCATTCCTGCTCGAAAGTGCCCGTTACAACTTTGTAAAATCTCCTGGGTAGCTCAATTTCCGACTAAAATTTTGATGTTGTAGTTGGTTCCATATTTGTATTGCCCGTTGCGGTTGATAATGTTTCCTAGGAAGGGGCTCCCATTTTTTTAAAGCGTTTAGGAATTGTTGATGTTAGTGGCACATGGTTCAGTGGGCTTGCAGAAATGTTTTGAAACGAAAACTTGGGTTGTTTCATTTGCATTCCAAATTACCTTTACTACATTTTTAAATTATTCTCTTTAAAGTTAACTTAAGTTTACCTGGATAATATAATGTAGGTAATAAGGGGGGCCCCCTGGAATCCACTAAAATTTGATGTTGTAGTTGGTTCCATATTTGTATCCGTCGGTTGATAATGTTTCCTAGGAAGGGGCTCCCATTTTTAGCGTTTAGGAATTGTTGATGTTAGTGGCACATGGTTCAGTGGGCTTGCAGAAATGTTTTGAAACGAAAACTTGGGTTGTTTCATTTGCATTCCAAATTACCTTTACTACATTTTTAAATTATTCTATTTAAAGTTAACTTAAGTTTACCTAAGGATAATAATAATAAGATAAGGATAATAATATATTAAAAATAATAATGAAGAGATGATTAAGATAATGAGAAAAGCTTTTGATCGCCAAAGAGAAAAATATGCAAGGTTTGTTTAAAGACGAGAGAGTTTGATAAAAGCTTTTCTAAGCCACACTTAACAGTGCAATAACAGATATACTCTCACGACCACTCTCTCTCTATTTTTGTTGTGAGCGTCTGGTTTGATCGTGATTGCGTTGTGGTAAATGAGTATTTTTCCCATACAAAACCATTCACTCAAACCCAACGAAACTGGAATCCAACTCGAACTTGAGCGTCTTTTACTCCATACAATGTATGCTTATGTTAACGGGTTTTAATAAACAATAAAAGATTGGTTTAAATCCGTTTTCAAGCTTCAAGTGGGCCCAAAGCTTGGTGAGTGCAGTACGACAGCGGACGAGGTAAAATGGAAGATGAAAATAGAGTGCAAAGTGAATTTCAACTGCTGGCGTGATGGGAAAGGCTTTCGGATTTCATTAAAGTGTCTGAAAGAATTTTAATTGGAGTTTTTAAATTAAACCATCTGTCTGTGCAGGTTTACGTCGGCTAATAAAATGGCGCTTTTGAAAATTTGCATATTTGCTCTGGCTTTGGCTGTGGGTAAGTCTGAAAAAGCTCTTAATTGCATTTCCCAATTAATAATACGTCATTAACACAGTTTGCTGCCCATAAACCAATATTTCAATAATTTATTTTGACTTTAATGCTCTGCACACAATCGCCGTCTAATTGTTGAACCAAAAGCAAATAAAAAATCCAACGAATGGAACAATATGCAAATGTTGGACTAAGCCAAACATTTGAAAACTTTTCATGCTCCATCTAAGCTAAAACTTTGTTGTTCACATTATTTGTGCCTTTGTTTATATTCATATCTGCCCTCGAATCATGTCAATTTGTGTGTGATTTGATGGCAGAATACACGTGTAAATATCTGTACGTACCAGACACAAAATCCCCGCCCCTGTCTATCGTGTGTATTGTGAACCTTTTTGTAGTTGTCAATTTGCATAGCTTTTGGTTTTTGGTTAGTTTCATGGCCCTTTCAAAGTGCAACAGGAAATTCGGGAATTTAATTTCTGGCAAATTTTATGCTCATTTATTGTGTGAAAGCTCATTAAAAATTTGTTTGTCTCCATGCCCAAATATGCAGAGCATTAAAATTTTAAATTGTTAACAAATTGATATGCAAGCAACTGTTGCGTGCGAGGGCGTGAGCGTGTGCGTGGGCGTAAGCTGAATTTTGTAATTACATTAAAATGGCCACGAAAAACATTGAAAATTATGGCAGCTCATAATTGAATGTATTGCAATTCGAAGCTGCTGCACAGTGCGGGGACACATTCATATGAAAATGGCATAAATTAAATCTATATTCAACTGAGGGAGAAATTCGTCTCTTGTTGCGTGAATGTGAAGCAAAGCTCGTCGAAACAATGGAAAAGTTTTAATTTGATTCAAACTCATGTATGCAGAGACTTTATAATTTATTTAGCTTTCGGGTTGTGTTGACATATTATCCTAGAATACGAACAATGTCTGTCGCGAATGTTGGAGGGAATTTACCATTAAATTGCACAAATTTGTAACCCCTCCCAATAGCTGTCTTAGTGGTGTCTATTATCAATCTCGCATCAGTTCAATGAATGACTTGAAAAACGTTCTTCAATCTGTTTATTTTTAATCTTTTTATTGTTCATTGAACTTAACACGCATGCTACATGCTCTCTCCAAAGATAACGGCGCAACACCCACAACGTGTGTGACTTGAATTCAACAGCCGAAAAAAAACGGAGCACAAATTAAGTTTAGCACCATCACATCACAGAGGATGCCCAAGCCCAGGCATAGACACTCAATTAATCTAGTTTAACCGGACTAAAAACCAAGTCAAACGGGCTGGGGACGGGCTGAACAGGGCCCTCGTTTTCGACAGACTTGTTGACAAACTGTGAGAGCGGCTGTCAGAGCCGGGTCCAAGTCGCCAACTCAAACCGCATAGGCCATTCTCTGCGACTCTCGTCTTGACACACTCATATACCGCAGCCAAAAAAAAAGACCCATAAAAAAAAGACAAATTTCCAATCACCGGCATACCGAAAAAGAAAATGACCTTAAACATCTACAAATTTGAGGGCAGAACCACAGTTTTAATGCAGTTTCCACGGAAGATGTGAAATTTCACATAGTTAGAGAAAATGTTTAATTAGAAAATTGCAGCAACTTATTTAGTCATGTCGCTTCCTTGGCCTGAGGTATTTTCCCAAGTCATTTCGCTATGACATTTTGAGCATTTTTTATAACGCCCCTTCCATAGAGTATTAGCCACCTCAACTATGAAAGCTAAAGCTACTTTTTCTTGTTTTTTTTTTTTTGCCAGTCCTGGGCTAGTGTACGAAACATGTTTCAATGACAAGCGACAGCAGCAACAGCATGAGCAGCGACACCAACGCCGACTTGGTATTTCTGTTATTGCTGCCGTGGCGTGGTTCTTGTTGTAGTTGTTGCCTGGCTTAAATGTTGCCAAGCACTTCACGCACTAATTGCTGTGTGGAATTGTTTCTTTATTAACGTTTAATCGAATGTCAGCCAGTCTACGTCAGCATCAGCAACTTGGTGTAATTGTTGTTGTTGGGTGCGGTGGCGGAACGAAAATTGAAATCGTCTTTTCTTGTTTCTCAACTCCATTTGCTTTTAATTTTTTTGCAAAGCCTGATTGGAGTGGTTTACCTTGAAAAGTGTTCCGTACTCCCTGCCTGTAGATGCAATTGTTGCCTGTGTCTGTGTGATTTTGTAACTTGTCGGAAGTGCATTGCTAAAACATGGTTTTCCGCTGATTGAGCTGTGTTTGCAGTCATCTCTTTGCTCGGTTCAAGGCTGAGGTAGATCAAAGCCGTCGTAGCCCACAGCTGATGCGGTTCAAAACAGCTGCTTATTACCATATAAAATACTATCATAAAGATACTTTCACTTTTAAGGTCGCTTGACCGCTTAGCCTATGTCGCAATATTGGCCAACGGAGAGAAAAAGCCAACGAGCAAGGCGCTAACTCATATACATATCTGTAGATGTTTATTGAGTTGATCGAAACGGGTTTCTTGCAAACAAAGTGGAAAAGTTAAGCTTAAATAAATAACAAAACAAAACGTGCAGGCTGCACTGAGCAAAATTTGTAACTGCCTTGATTTTCAATTAACTGGTCTCTTCTCATCACAGGCATCACAACAACGATCGCACAGCAAGCGAAGTATCGTGGACAATTCCGAATTGGTGCGGGTCATCCTCCATCGATGCGCCATTTTCCACCACGCGATCGAGACCCGGTCGGGGAGGCGGCAGTTGTGCCCAAGCACAAGCAGGAGGCGGTAGAATACGAGCCCAGCGAGGAGTGCCCTGAGGCGAATGGCTTCTACCCGGACAGCAAGCAGTGTGATAAATACTACGCCTGTCTGTAAGTGTCAAGTTGTCAATTGTCAAGGAAGTAGATTGGTTTGGCATGTCGGGGTGTATGTGTAATATTGTATGCTGGAAGCTTCCAGTGCGACTATGAGCAGAAAGATTATTTGATTGTTCTATGCACTTGCAGCGATGGTGTACCCACGGAACGCCTCTGTGCCGATGGCATGGTCTTCAATGACTACACGCCTATCGAGGAGAAGTGCGACTTGCCCTACAACATCGATTGCACCAAACGGTCCAAACTACGTGAGTATAGAGCCAAGTCTGCTTAAATTGTAATCTGCCGTAAACTTCCCTTCCTTACGTATGCGCACTGCAACGTGCAACAAAAAAATCACACAACATGTGCTATATTTAAACCGGCCCCTGCTTCAGTCACCGTTCTGGCCGAAATCAACCCATAAACGCGCTGCGTGCCCGCACTTATTTGCTCGTTACTTCTGGCTGCGTTTTTTGTTAACTTATTTATTATGCAAACGGCATGCGAGGCGGTTAACCTAAATTGTTGTCGTCAATAGGTCTTTGGTCGCGAGGCTCGAGTCTTCGGCACGGTGCTTTGTTTTTATTTTTCGCTTCTCAGTAGACTTGTTTTATTCGTGATTTTATTATTTCCCTGGTGGTGTTGGTGTTCCACCGAAATTTTAAGTCCAACCATCCCCAATTGGCTTCCCGTATAGCTTTAAACATACCATAAAGAGATTTCTTTGACATTTGCCACGTGTTGAAACTTTTCAACAGAATACTTTATTAAAGGTTTCCTTTCCCGTATCATACTTTGCAAAGTTACTCGTGTACAGTAGAAAGGAGATGCTTTAAGAACGGTATAACAAAACTTTTTTTGCCTAAAAGTATAAAATGAATTCTGTCTCTTGTGTAATATTAAATATTAGCTCAAATTTAGTTTTTAAATAAATTATTAGCCACCCATCAAAGCAATTAGCTTGTACATTGTGCAGGCCCATTAGCAATTTCAATTACCTTTGTCTCTCGTTGACATATGACTATACTAAGTATTCCATATATGTACATATGTATTCACCAAAATATACACTGTGTGTATAACATTTGTGCAGGCCGACAGAAAACGTAATGTATTTGTAGACGTACAGAATGAAAAGGTTTCCCTGACCAGGATGTTGGGAGCATAGAAATAGTACGACCAAAGACAATATAACAATAAGATGCGTAACGCTCATACATTTCAATTGCCATATGCAAGCCAATTGTTCGGCAAGCGATGAAATTCGCGCCATCTCGCTCTCACAAATTTGATAGCGTAAAAATCTAAAAATAGAATGTGCTTGCATGTGTGATTACACACATAACCAGCAAGTGCGTACTTGTGCGAAAAAAATTTCAAGAGAGCCTGGAGCCAGCTCTAGAGCCAGACTGAAAAATTCGTGTGCAAAAATTTCGTATGGCGCTATGCATCTTATTGTTATATTGTCTTTGGTACGACGGTAGCTGTGAAATATTCTGTGTTGTAGAAACGCGTTTAGAAAAATGTATGCGACTGTTTTGCTTTGAGATTTTGAAATGGCCAACACATTACCCCCCACAGAAACTCCTCAGTCCTCGCAGCACTGTCCTCGAAAGAATGGATACTTTGGCCACGAGAAACCCGGTATTTGCGACAAATTTTATTTCTGCGTCGATGGCAAGTTCAACATGATAACCTGCCCGCAAGGCTTGGTTTTCAATCCCAAGACCGGTATCTGCACGTGGCCCGATGAAGTGGGCGTTACTGGCTGCAAGTCGGAGGACATCTTTGAGTTTTCGTGTCCCAAGGTGAATGAAAGCATTGCTGTAACCCATCCCCGCTACGCCGATCCCGATGACTGTCAGTTCTTCTATGTTTGCGTCAATGGCGATTTGCCCCGCCGCAATGGCTGCAAACTCGGCCAGGTATTCGACGAGGATTCAAAGAACTGTGACTGGGCGCGGAAGGTTCCCGATTGGTATGACCCGTAGATCTGCTCGACTTGGTCGATTAAACCACATTCCATGTCTCATGCCTCCTCTCTCTGTTTGTTTTGTTTTTTTGATAGCGCTGACTGGTACAAGGATCGTTTAACTGATGCTGAGCTCGATGAGCTTGAGAACCCGAAACCGAAGTCCACAACTACCAAGAGGCCGCCTCGTGTTCGGGGCCCGTCAAGGCGTAAGCCCAAGCCTAAGGTGGTCAAACCGGAGGAAGAAGAAGAGGATAAAGTCTAAGAGTCGACTGTTTATTATTTAGTGTTCCACTGAACTGCACAATTAAAAGCTTGTAGGAGGTATAACTAATGATGCGGCGTCTGTTTTCCCTAATCCGACTGATTTACAGAGCCACTTCACAACAATTCGTTAAGCCCCATCTTCAATGATAGCAAACAGTATCGTTTGACGCCAATAGGCAATCCGCAGATAGCTGCAGAATTAGCCCTTTCCTCGCAGAGCCGTGCTAAATGTAATATGCAAGGGAATTTGTGTGAGGAGAACTTGATGGGGTGCCAAAACGACAGGATTTTATGCGCATACAGTGTGCACAATCCATGCACTCTTCGCTTCACCCTGGAGTGCCATTCCTCGTCCTTCACCCCTTTCTCCCATCCACTGACATGATGAAATCCCGCTTGCCCTGCCCGACTCTTCTCTGAGAGTTTTTCCAATGCCTGCAGCGCATAAATTCAATTTGCCGATGAGCGTGCACAAAAGTATGCAACAAAATGGCAACAACTCGACACAGGCACTCGTACACACATACACACTGTGGGACATGAACATGTGTATGACGTTTGGCAGACAAGAAAAGCATTCGATAAAACGCATTGAAATTGCATTGTGAAAATTGTGAGCAGTTGGAAGGCGAGATTTACAGTGGCCATTGCCTGAAATAGGGGAACAAAACGAAAGCGGACAGTCATGGCAAGAGTTTGTGAGGAAGATCTGGAGGGAAGCGAAAGGGTTGAATAAAGAACGAAATCTTATTGTTTAAGCACTAAAGTAAAATCTCAGAAAACGATGACATTTTACTTGGCAATGCTTGAACATTTGCTTAAATGTATTTATTCATTCGATTGGCAACTGATTGCGTCCTGAGACCGGTCGGGGTAACGATAAATAGATTTTGTTTTGTGAATGATATAAGCTGGAAATTGGTAATAAGACGGATGGGACGGACTGGGATTCCGTTGAGATGGATGCAGCCAAGGAGAACTGGTGCTGAAATGGAATTTTTCTACTCGCTCAAGGCTGACCAGTTGGTCAGATAGGTTCCTATGTTGTGCTCGTACCAATCCAAGCTTAAAGCACAGCACCGTCATTCCAATTCTTCATTGATTGGCATACAAATTGAATACGGTCTAGAAATAATCCAAGTGCTCCCAAGATACGGCTGGTTGTCTCCTGTCGGTACTTCTCCTTGATTGACCGGCTTTTTTTTTTTTTTGTTAATGAGCCACAGCCACGACCCATCTAACGGCGACTTATGACGCGGTCACTCGCATAGTGCACAGCCCACGTGACACAGACCGCACCACACCCAACTTCCATTAACCACAAAGCGAGGCAATGGACAGGAGAAAACGCCTCCGGAGCATCTGGTTCTAATTAATCAACCAACACACATGTACGAAGGTATGTGCACATCTGTGTATGTATGCGCAATGAACTCACACAGGCTCTGTCCCCATATACCAAGCTCGCCGTGCTGTCAATAATTTGGCACGTCCTGTAACCTCCGCTGCCCCACGTCGTTTGCTTCGTGTCAACTCGACAACGGCCCCTCCCTTTCGCATCCACCACAACAAGCGCTGTCTGAGGGTGTAGGTCCACAAACAGGTCCATCTAAAAAGCATTTCGTCGAACCCAGCTCCTACTTAATCAAGTGTAACATAGACATGTCCAAGTTCACCTGCCGTTTGACATATTGCGCCGCGGCCTGGGCTCTCCTGCTTCAGTACCTGACTAGCTAGTGCCCCTGGCAATGTCCTTGTTGGAGACCGCTTTGCTTCTCCGCCTACTGGTCAGCATGCGTTCGTATCAAATGTCAAATTTGACATAAACAAGTGTTTACATAATGACAACAACAATTTGCGTAATTGTCACTGGCAGAAGCACCAGCAGCAGCGATGTCCAAATGGGGATGGACCGGCGGGCAACGGCGATGGTAGACAAACAGTCAAAGACCCCTGAACATTCCCTAAGGCAGGGTGAATCAGAATCACTCTCTTTTGATTGAAGATGCATTCCGCCTGTGCTATAGATTTTCTCCATTGTCTCTTCATTGTCATACGAGGTACTTGGGTTGTTCGCGTGGGTGAATAATTGATGGGGAAGTGTTGGGCTTGGCGAGGTCAGAAAAACCTTTTTCGTCGTATTGCGACTAAGAGGTACACAAGTCTGAAGGTCAAGATGTACTTTGACTTAGATAAGCTCTCCCAGTCAGTTCCTAACGCCATTCCCTGCAGGGATAAGAAACAATCAAATTTCACAAGTGTTCAGCCACCGATGTAACCATGTCTGGTTTTCTTCGAGGACCAGTGCTATTCTACCCACTTATTTAGTTTCTTTTCATTATTACCAAAAGAAAACGAGGTATTGTGCCTTATGCTCGGGAAAAGTTGATTGTTTGGCCCTTTGGCTATTTGCTTTCTTGATGAAATAATTAAATGTCATTCATTGAGGTCGTTTGCCGTTTATTCTTGGCGTCTGTGCTTCCCTTTTTTTAGCTTCCTGCTCTCGGCTTCAGACCCTGCCCCGCCTCCAGCCTAGTGTAATTGTTGACCACTTTTGTATATCCTTTTTGCGCCTTGTGCTGGCTAATTTGTGCAGACAGCGCCTGAGGGGCGGGCAGCACGTTCGGTTCTTGTTCGGTGCGGGCCCTGCTTTTGATTTCAGTTATTGTACGCATGTTAAGCCCTCATCTTCTTCCGCATCCTCGGCCTCAGCGTCGTAGGTTCATTAAACTTTTGGCCGGGCTGCGCATTTAGTTTGCTAATTAAGTGTTGCATACTCTGGGTCTCTTGGGTAGCCAAAGTTTAATGAACTAAACGTCTGTGACGTCACACCTGACGCATCTTATCAAGGAATTTGCATATTTATAAGTGCGACGTCAGATACAGTCACAGCCGCAACAGACAGACAGGCAAGGAAAACGTCTGAATCAGTTTGACATCCAATTTGCTGCAAAAGTTTTGGGTCTTGGCCAGTTTTCAATTTGATGAAAGCCGTGAATACGGTCTACATCCCTTGCATTTCGTTGGTGATGCTGCAGAGGCTAAAGTTTGGGCAGACTTTATTGTCCTGCCAAGTGGCAAGACGAACCGCAGGAAAATCAATTCTGATCCTAGTAAAATCGCGCCTCAAAGAAACCCAAGTGCAGGTGGCACCCAGTACACCCAGAAAGATATACTATGACCCCAATATGGGGATAGTGACTTTTCATATGCCTCTATGCTTTTCCCAAGCGGCCCAAAAGTCTGCTGTTATGTTGTGCCAACTTTAAAACTGTCAAATGGACAGCCAAATGCCAACCCAAAACTGTCAAAAGTTATGAATTTACCAACTTACACTCAGCCAGTCACTGGCACGCGCAGCTATGCTTGTATGCTTGAGTATGGGCATAGAAGTATGGGATGGGCATCCTCTGGATTACAATTAATGCGAAAAAGCAATTTGAACTGGTAGCTGGTAACTAGTACAGCTACCGAGAATAATGCTAGTTGTCTGTATTGTGAGCCAGGCCAGGGCTCGCCTTAGGCATCCCATATAAATCATATGAATTTATTATGATGATGGCATAAATCATAGAGCTATGCAATATATAAAATTGCACCACTTTATGCTTTTTGCTGGTGTCGTGTCGGTTCGAAGCAGCTTTTGGGTGGGTGGTGGTGAGGGGGGGGGGGGAAGGCTCGGCATTGTTTTCGTTGTTTAAACACCGCAAAATATGCAATTCAAGCGATACCAGTTGACAACTAGAACCAGCACCATAACCAGGACCCTGTCAACGGTTGGTCACTGAACAGAGTGCACCGCTGCGGCGAAATTTTTAGACATTTCTGCACACGTGTTTGTAGTTGTGCTCTTTCTCTCTCTGCTCATACCAGGCTGGGGGTCGGGTTCGTCGGTCGGTGCTAAGCTCAACATCCCAAACATTTTTGCTCCATAGAAATGAATTTCTTTGTTTTTGTGTGCTGGGTTTAAGCTTGGGGGAAGCACTGTGGCCGCTTCCGGAACGGACCCGGCCATTGCAATTTGTTTTTAGTGGCCTCTTTGTATTGTAAGTATTGTTGGAGCTGTTTTAGTTTTTTGGCGGCTGTCACTTTTCATTGCCCTGGCATGTTCATAATTTCCATGTTAATATTGCCCTTGAGTCACAATTCAGCAATGAAATTAGAACGACTGTGCGCCCTGTGGTCCCCGGCAACCCAACAAAAACATGTCCATTGCAATTAGCATATGAGCAACAAACCATACGTGTATGTAGCAGGGGGAGGCGGAGTTAGAGAGTGAGTTTGTGGTGAAATTGTGGTCGTGACCATGCTTGTAATTTATGAAATTTCAGCTTAGGGACTTGTGCAGTCATTCGATGATGAAGGCGGTTAGCGCGAAAGCCGCATTTTTAATTGGATGTATACTTCTGTGGATTAGGATTGAGAGCCACGATGATAAAGTATCTGCCAGGTTGGCCTCGACTGGGACCTGTTCCAATAAACGATTTAAATAATCTTAACTATCCAACAACAACAAAAAAGAAAATAGTAAAAAAAAAATGTGCTCTTTTCCAGTTGAACTAAATATATTGGTTTTGATTAAATGGGAAGCTTTTATTCAATGTGGTTATGTGTACATATATTCTGTATATTATTTAAATTCAAACATATTATGCATATTAATTTTCATTTTCACTTTTCCGAAACCAAACATCAAGCTCCCTACAATTGCAAACTTTTGTGCTCCCAGATGGCACAGCAACAATAAAAGCGGCAGGAACATCCACAACTTTAAACATCCCCATACACTAGCCGAAAACTGGGAAACAATTTCCAAACAAAATATAAATTCTGTAGAGTTCTTGTGGGAGCATTTAAAAAATGTATGCGGTCAGTGACTGCTGTTGCGTTCGCCCCCTTTGTCTCTGCCGTTTCCCCCATTGCTTTTCCTTTTCTCTGCCACACTACTGAGCCTTGGCTCTTTCTCTCTCTTTTCCTCTCTTCCCTTTTGCGCTTTTGCAGCTTAATTTAAAACAGCACAGAAATCAATACACACCTACTCTACTGGATGGGACACTGAGATACTCTGAAAAGTTTCCTTTCTGCTCTTCCGAGTGAGATAAGCGGACGGCGAATTGAGCAAATGCATTTCGTTAGTTATCTTATCATAAACCGCATAGAAAATGTAAATTTTCAATTCCAATCGACTGTCGACGCTGTTTGAACTTCCAAATTGTATTATTTTGTTTTCCAAAAACACGACCATAACTCTTTAAGGTGTCGGAGTCCAAGCTCATGCGTTCAGCATGCCCCTTGGGGCTTGATGCCTTCCTCAAAGTCGCTCGTCAGAGCTTTCGAGACAGCGCGGCAGCTTAAACTATGCAGCAGCAATCTGTGCTAACAACAAACTTGGTCGAGAGTGTGTCTCCGCTTGACTGTGCTGCATATTTAAAGGCGCTTAAGTGCTGGCAAAAAGTGCAACCTGAACTTGAGTGGAAGTGAAAACGGAAGGAGCTTAGTAGAGTGGGGTGGACATGAGGGCACGAGAACAAGACATGCGTCGTCATCTGACACATCATTCATGCTGTTTTTGAGCCCTGATTGTTTTGAGTGTCTGGCATCATCCACACACATGCACACACACTCAGAAAAATACACATACACAACAATAGTTGTAAGAATTGATTGCATTTGTGTCTGCTACCAGGAGTCACCCCCATTCAGACAATGTCGTTGGCATGGTAAGTGCAGAGTCCTCCGACGCCCTTGTTTATGCTTAAAAAGCTCCAGAGCCCTTGCACTTGGATGCTCTGTCACTCGAAAACTCACATTCGTTCGTGTGCTGGGCTGCACCCTTACTGGCGACTTACCCTGCCTACCTCCTTGTTTCGCAAATAGTCAAACAATGGCAGTTTAGGGCCGTCGACGCCTCCGACAATCGTCAAGTGTGACAGATAATCACTGCACTGGCACCAGAAGCGCCACCCGGCACCTTTTGCCGCTTTAAATATTGACTGCTTTGCATATTGATTGGCCTTTGTCTCTGCCCCAAGGATGCCGTTCCTGATGCTCTCCGGTCGGGGCAGCCAACATGCCAGCGACACCTACATCCATCAACTTTTTGACACTTTAACATCGGCAGCAGCATCAGCAGCACACGCGGCAGGCACCATAACAGCATCTGCTTTTGCTCCTGCAGTTCATCCTTGCTCTCGTTCCCTCACTTTATGGCTATGAAAAACACTTTATGCCCTGTTCTGTTGTGCGTTGTGCGTTGACGTTGTTTGACATTGTAGAAATTGCTTTTAATTAAAATATTCCGCGCGGCAAATATCAGCGCATTTCAGCCAGCTCTGATGGTGATGCGGGTGGGACAAACAATATGCGAATGGGTGGGCCCTAGCTCAAGCCCTAGTGTAACGCTTTTTTCTTCGCGGTGTCGCATCCGTTGCTCATATACTCGTTCTTATGTACATTTTTATGTATCTGAATAAGCATAAGTACATATGAGCGTGTACATACGATGTGACTGACATTGTGCGTCTGAAGAGTTTATTAGTTTAATTTGGGATACAGGGTTAATATGGCTTGAATTTCATTTTTAATTGAATTCAGGCATATAACTCCGACATAATCTAACCCTTGAGTTTCCTTTGAGCATTGCTGTTAACTTTTTGCAACTGACATCCCATTGCAATTAGCTCGGGTCTTCCCCTGGCTCATCCCAGTGCAATTTATGTTGATTAGTTTGTATCTTGAAGTCGACTCAAGCTTAATGAAAGATTTTTTCTGGTGTGGGTGCTATATCAGTACGCACTTTGCCCCCTCATAGTATTTTTTCATTCTGGAGCAGCACTAAAATCCGCTTAGCAACTTTATAATTAGCCAGCGTTGGCGTTATAGGCGGCACATTGTACACTCGACTCGTTGTCAATGGGTCACAAAGCCGTCCACTTGGACTGGGTGCTTTTGGAGCTATGGCCATTGATTGCATAATCTTTAAGCTCGGCCAGCGACAGCATACGAAAGGCGCAAGACGAAAGCGGACTGAGACTGAGAACGGAGAAAAAATCAATGGAAATAAATCACTGAAAAGCGTGCGGCAGACTCGTAGTCAATTTTTTTCCTCAACTTAGACAAATGCCACGTCCGTTGACGCCACCCGACTCTCCACTCTAATCGTATCGTTAAATTGATTAATTTCTTTATTTGTGCAACCGATGGAAAATGTGGTCGCCTTGTCCATTTCGTTGGGAGGGGATGGGGACTGCAAAAGGGGTTTGACTTTTGCCTAATGCCATCAAATTTCGAATTACCGAAAGTCCTTGAGATCTTTTAAACGGCTGCGTCTGTTTGATAGAATGCCAATTTGCACAAAAACGTTATTATGGGAGCACCGGACACGGTCTCAAGGCGTCAAACATCCGATCCTCTTAAACAAGATTCGCACGAATTCCACTAAATCCACTAAACAGTAAAAATTTGTTGGTATTTGCCATCTATACTTTCTTCTCTTCTTTATTGTTGTTGTTTTTGATAAATTCACTTCTGAATCCATAACGTCTGCCACGCCCATGCTCCCCAAAGCCTATACCGACCGGCGGCGCATATTTTGATTTCAGTTTCAACGCCAATTTTGATGGATTAATGGAGCTGGGGCGACATTTGTTGTCATTGTCGGCATCTTGGCGTCAAACAAAGGCGTGGTAATGGATAACGACGGCGGGAGGAGTGTGGGCTGGGGCTTGCCAGCGATTTGCTTCGGGTCGTTTGTCTTAGCCAGCGGGCCTGAGGGAGGCAATTATGAAGCTGTCCGCCGTGCGATATGTGTGTACTATATTCATAGAATGCGGAAAGGTGATTATACGCTTGGGGTTCGCGGGGCTCTCTAATTTTGATCGATAATCCAACAGCCTCTACAGTTCCTGCTTGATTGGCCGAAAAGCTGTCCGCTTTCGGTTTTCAACTTAAAGGCGAATGCGAGTGCAAGGAAACTTTTGGACCAAGGACTCGGGACCACCTTGACTGCATTTCCATCCGAATGGCTTGCTCAATGGCCGAACGCACACCCACACTCCTATAAAATGTTTATGTGCGAGTGAGTATTTGTGCACATGCACTGGCATTTGTATTTGTCTGCCACCCCTCACGGCCTTCCAGTTACCTTTCACGCCACTAGCTGTGATTTCGTTTTGCATACTCGTACGTACGTACACCACCATGCTGGCTCATCCTCATCCATTTTGTCCTTCCGGCCAGCACACACCGATGCTATGCTCATTTCGCCAGCGCCAACTAAAAATGCATTTCCTGTCAAGTGTAGAAAGGAAATGATGCGATGCTCTCCGGCTTTAACGTGCAATCAATCATTGCCGTACCTCTTCTTGCCTTATCCTCTTCGTCCCTTCAGCCCTTATCGTTTGCGGTGGCAAAGTCAACGAAGTCGGGTTTATTAAGTCCTGCAAATAGTGTTAAGTATTTGTCAAATGTGAAATGTCAAAGAGCGCTCTCCTGTACTGGCAGGTTCCTGTTTCCTGGTTATCCACACATTTGATTTTAATTGCAATGCTGATAGGCAATTGAGCCCTGTTCCTCTTCCTGTTTCTGTTTCTGTCTCTGCTCCTGCCACTGTCCTCTGTATGACACGGCACCAGTTACTATTGAAGGGCCATTTCCGCTTCTGGCGCGAGAAATTGAACGAACCCATCCCCATCGAGAACTAATGTTTGAACAGTTACAAAAGATATATTTTTTTTATAGTTATTCATATAAGTATTACTGTATCGACAACCATCAAATAATGTTGAGATAATTTGGGGGAATCAGACGGAAAAATATATAAAAGGGGCATATCAGAAAACTTGTAGTTTTCATGTAGGCAATTTTTAAACCAATAGCTATTTAATGAACGCAAATATTGAATCTCTGTTTGCTATATTTTCAGGTTTAAGCATTTGAGTGCCATATATGCATATCTTCTGAATAATTATCTCTCTGTCTGCTGTATTGTATGCCTACGCATCTGGTCTGTGGTACGTGTTCGGACACTGTAATCGGATGTTTATGGCTCACACCAACCTCCGAGACGAATACAAAGGCCCACGGACGTTTCACGCACTTTCAATTTTGTTTGAACAGCAATCGCTGTTATGTACAGCCAGTCGTCAATTTCAGAGGAATATTCCAATAGGCCTCAACATCCTTGAAGTCGCTTAATTACATCGATTCGAACCGCTAAAATGAGTTGACAACTTTTTCCTGGTCTACGGGGAATTTCCAAGAAAACCCTTCAAGGTTCTTTTGTATTAATTAAATCCCCTCTTCCAATGACCCAATGTTTCCGTTCTCGTACATTTTCCCTGATGGAGCAGGATGGCGCAGCTGGTGCTCATTTGTGGGGGCTCTCAGCAGAAACTTTTGTAATTTGGGATTCCTTTCAAACTCTCAAATATGCATTCACACAAAATTTGTAAGCACTTTATGATATGCGTACCCTTTAGTGTCATATTTGACCTCAGAGTGTCCATTGAGGTGTGTCCACAGAAATAAAAGGAGGGCTGTAATTAGTAATCCGCTTTGCTCGGACTTGTGTCTTTAGAGCTTTGTCTAAGGCACTTGAAACAGTTGTTGAGAGACGTATCATACTACCATATCATATGTAAGCGAACTGTAAAGAAACTGTGCCAATGTCTGCTTGGGGGACACCCACCATAAAGTAAACATGAAATGGAACAATAATAAATTTTCTAAAAGGCATGTGTAAAAACGAAAACTAAAAATCATGCCGCAATTGAAGCAAACGCTACTGACATATAAACGGAATCCAAAGTGAAGACAGAGTGACAATTCCCCTATATTTTTGCTCAGGCGTGGCAGCAGGTGGAGAGGTGTGGGGCGCGGTAAGGGCACTTCTGAGGTAACCTGGCAATACGATGTCGGTGAATTTCACGCTCCAATGGCGCGCATGTCTCGAAGAAAAACAAAATGAGTGTCAAGTGCTAAACCCAAACCGTGGTGTAATGTCTGCAGACGCCTGGGGGGCCGTGAAAAGGTGCTGAGTTGACAATGGGAAAGTTAATTGAGTAGTACTCAAATCGCAATTAATTACTCCCTCCCCCCAGTAGGCCTACAAGGAAGCACCAATGAGCTGAACTTGAAATCAAAGCTCGAAACGAAAACGAAACTGATACCGTACTATCTGAATCCAAAATCGATTACCAGTACCAGCGCGAAAAAAAATTTACCGAGACCAGTTTGGCCGACAATTGTCAAATTGTCAACTGACATCACGATATACTTTTGTACCAATTACCGGTTTGGCCCAGCGCAACTTCTTATGGATAATTCTGGGGCAATGCCGCCTCATATAAAGTAACAAGCGACGGGAGTGAACCGCATCATTAAGTCAACGTCGTTCGCATCGCCAAGAGTCTGTGAACTCCATCCTCATTCCCAACAAACACGGATACAAAAGTCCAATATTCGCTTCGACAGTTTTGTGTGGAACGTGTCAGTCAAAATGCAAGCCAAAGTAAGTTGTACTTCAGGAATCGAATGATGTAAGGATGTCGCCTGGTCATTCCATTTCAACAGCTCATGCAGAACGCAGCAATAGCTCAAATCCATTCCAATCATAGGTTCTTACGGTAGTTTCCCTTTTGGCTATCGCCGGTTCCTGCAGTGCAGGATTCGCGGCCACGTACGCTGGATTCCATCCGGCCACATATGCCACTTATCAGGCTCCAACAGCTGTATATCAGCAACCGTATGCCACTCCAGTATACCAACATGTAGCTCCAGTGCTGGCCAAGACCGTCGTGCCGGCGGCGCCTGTGTACACAAAGTCCTATGCCCTTCCAGCTCCATTTGTCAAGGCCGTTGCCAGTGTAAAGCAAGTGGAGGTAGAGTCGGCTCCACGCTACGACTTCTCCTATGGAGTCCAGGACTCCCTGACCGGCGACATCAAGAGCCATCAGGAAACCCGCGACGGAGGCAATGTGGTTGGCTCGTACAGCGTGCTAGATGCTGATGGCTTCAAGCGCACGGTGACCTACACCGCTGACGATATCAACGGATTCAATGCCGTTGTCCAGCGTGAGCCTTTTGTAGCCTCCCGTGCCGCCCCTGTCGTATCTCTGCCTGCTCCCATATACTATCCCCAGCAGACGCAAATCCACCAGCAGCAGCTCTTCGCCCCTCAGCAGGTGGAGGAGCAAGGCGAAGTTGTAGAGGCACCGACACAGCCCGAGGTTGATCCCACTCCTGTGGATTATACTGAAGGAGAGGATCAGCAGCAGCAGCAGCAGCAGCAGCTCCAGCAAGACTACCCGCAGGATCAACAGTTTCCCCCCTACGCCCCTGTTTCGCCAATGCCCGCTGCCGCGGAAAACAACGATGACTCCGATGTTGTGGAGGCGCGCTCTGCTGCTACAGTGGCAAGTGCCAACACCACCTCTACAGTCGCCCCAGCGCCTGTTAATGAGGAAAACAGCGGAAACGAAAAAAAGACGGCCTAGATTGTGACACTCCTGAAATTTGTTGAAAAAATTATTGAAAAATAAATTGGACACGAAAAAAACTCAATAAGAATATTTAATATAATTGTCGTTTAACATTATTTAAAAATCAAATGCGCATGAGCCAGAACCGTTAAGCCTTAATTTTAAATAGTAAGGCGAGATGTCGGCGAGATTTGCAGATTCAGCCAAATCAGCGGAGCTGAATACACACACACACACACACACATGAGGAATGAAATTATGTATTTGCATTTACAAGGAGAGACAAATTGTACAAACAAATATGTATGTTGATTTGTGATCGCTTGTTTTATTTTTGCCTGACTTTATCTTCCAAGACGAACACCCTTTGTTTTGCGATTCGAATCTGGCGGGCAATCGCTAGTTTGCCGATCTCTCTCGTGACGAGTAGTATCGATCAGATTCGATCGGTGAACTGAACGAGCGAACTAGTTCAAAGGCGAACCTATTCAGTCAATTAAACGATACCCAACACTACACAGGGGAAAAATATCAAATCAAAATGATATTTAATATATCGCCTGAAAAAGATCCGATATACTGAACCTAGATTGCTTTTCAAACTAAACGGTAAAGGGCAAAGCAAGCATCGCAATTTTCTGCTCATTCCCCTCATTCAGCAAGTACAAAATTTGTTGTGAGATAAAAAAGAATCGTGTAAAATTGTAAGTGATTTTAACCAAATAATACAAACGCTGAGGAACACACGCTCACACTTGCAACGCGTTTTGCACACACTGTGAAGGTAAGTTGGTCAAAAAAAAGGGACACCTATTCAGTCCTCTTTGTGTACCCGTCCGTCCATCCGCCCATGCGAAGCCTGAGCAAATGGCGGCTGGCTGCAGCTGTTGCTTTGTTGTTGTTTCTTGCCTTGGCCTCTGAAAAGCCGGTCTTTCTGCCTGCGTCTTCGTCTCTGCGCCTCTCCGCCTCTGCGGACGGTCTGCCGGCGTCGTAGCATACGGAAAAAGGAGAAGCAAAGAAGGGGAAAAGAAATCAAAGCAGCCCTTGTCATTTCGTCTTCCTTTTCACACGTCTTTGCAACATCATTTATTTCAGTTCTTCATTCTACACTTGTCATTCGGAGTAACTGGAACAGATCAAATTATTTTAGAACAAATTTTATTGAATCCAAATTTTCGTCATGAGTAAAGCGGATGCAAACACACGCCAGGGCTCGTACAAGTCCAACACAATCAATACACAGGTATGTGTCGCGTCGGTCCATGGCGGGTCGGATTTAACCTCACTTTTTCTAATCTTTAGGACTCTCGCATGCGACGCCATGAGGTTACCATTGAGTTGCGCAAGTCCAAAAAAGAGGATCAGATGTTCAAGCGTCGCAACATTAACGACGAAGACCTCACCTCTCCCCTGAAAGAATTAAATGGCCAGTCGCCGGTGCAGCTGTCGGTGGATGAAATTGTGGCGGCCATGAACAGCGAGGATCAGGAGCGCCAGTTCATGGGTATGCAGTCGGCACGGAAGATGTTAAGTCGCGAGCGCAACCCACCCATTGATCTAATGATTGGCCATGGCATCGTCCCCATATGCATTCGATTTCTTCAAAACACCAGCAAGTAAGTAATAGCAGTAGATTAGTGCATGCGGTGCATTACAGTGACGTGACCCCCACCACAGTACCATGTTGCAGTTTGAGGCAGCCTGGGCTTTGACAAACATTGCCTCGGGAACATCCGACCAGACACGCTGTGTCATCGAGCACAATGCGGTGCCGCATTTCGTTGCCCTGTTGCAGTCAAACTCTATCAATCTTGCTGAGCAGGCCGTATGGGCTTTAGGTAACATAGCCGGCGATGGAGCCGCTGCTCGCGACATTGTAATTCAACATAATGTCATCGATGGCATTTTGCCGCTGATTAACAACGAGACTCCACTTTCATTTTTGCGGAACATTGTCTGGCTGATGTCGAATCTGTGCCGCAACAAGAATCCTTCGCCGCCCTTTGAACAAGTAAAAATATTGCTGCCAGTTCTGTCGCAGCTTTTGCTTAGTCAAGATATTCAGGTTTTGGCAGACGCCTGCTGGGCTTTGTCATATGTCACCGATGATGACAACCACAAGATTCAGGCGGTCGTAGACTCGGATGCAGTTCCTAGGCTAGTAAAACTTTTGCAAATGGATGAGCCCAGCATAATTGTGCCAGCACTGCGCAGTGTGGGCAACATTGTCACCGGCACAGATGTGCAGGTCAGTAATCAATCGAATGGTACTTCTGAATCATTAGCTAATGTAAATTGTTCTTTACAGACTGATGTTGTTATTGCTGCGGGTGGCTTGCCCCGATTGGGTCTGCTGCTGCAACACAACAAGAGCAACATTGTCAAGGAGGCTGCTTGGACTGTAAGTAATATAACAGCAGGTAATCAGAAGCAAATTCAAGCAGTCATTCAAGCTGGCATCTTCCAACAATTACGTAACGTGCTCGAGAAGGGCGATTTCAAGGCTCAAAAAGAGGCCGCATGGGCAGTGACCAACACGACAACATCGGGCACCCCCGAGCAGATTGTGGATCTGATTGAGAAGTTCAAAATATTGAAGCCATTCATTGACTTGCTCGATGCTAAAGATCCACGCACCATCAAAGTTGTGCAGACTGGCTTGTCCAACCTCTTTGCGCTGGCCGAGAAATTGGGCGGCACTGAGAATCTTTGCCTCATGGTCGAAGAGATGGGCGGATTGGATAAACTGGAAACATTGCAACAACACGAGAACGAAGAGGTGTACAAGAAAGCGTACGCAATTATCGATACCTACTTCAGTAATGGTGACGACGAGGCCGAGCAAGAGCTTGCACCCGAGGAAGTAAATGGAGCTCTCGAATTTAATGCAACTCAGCCAAAGGCTCCAGAGGGTGGCTACACATTCTAGGCCAATTTTATCACTTTAACTCAAAAAGTACATATACTATGCAACGTACATATTCCACATCAAACAACATCTTTAAACTTGCGACCGCGCTAGGCTCCACTTAGTGCCCTCTTAGTCATCTTCTAACACAGCACAAAAATCCCCGAAAATCAGAACATACTCAAGCAATTGGAGAGGCATACATGACAGACACAGACATATGTTTTTGCTTACCTATATCATTCTCAAATCAGCATGACCTTCTTTGGGTGATACGTGTGTTTATTTTCCACTGCCACGGATTTACTGAATCTCTGGTGATGCATTTTACAATTACTTCATCTAGGTTTTAAATCGTAAATGCAACCGTTCTACTCAGCTGTGCTGTTAGAGCATTGCCCTGTGCCGATTATATAGGCCGTCTGAATGTGTGCGCCTGAATTTTTATTTGGACCGTTTCAGACATTATTTTAGGTTGTTAGTATTTATTTATGTATACAGATTATGCTTTTCCATCCACCTTCGCGCAGGCATTACAACAATTTATAACCCCTCACCTGTGCCCTCATCCTCGATTCGTAATATTGTATTGTTAGTTGATGAATAAATAATGAGTTGTTTGAATGATTAATTGTATTCTTTGCCCAATTGTTATCCATCCAGAATGTATGTTCATTTCATTTTACCCTAAATTACGCTTTGAATATGTACTGTCTAACAAGTCGATGTTTCTGAGTAATGAAGTTTTGTGCAGTCGACGTTTCTGATTGATGCAGTTTTATATTATAAAATAATAAATAAAATGTATATTAAAAGAAATGACGTGTACATATGTACATGTAGAATTGCCATCGTGTGGTGTGTGTATATATTCCTGATCTACGTCGTCAGATGTCGCCACTCAGACATGTAGTTAAGCTGTAGATATTTTTTAGAAAAAATTACTTAAATTGTCTTGTTTGTTTCGGAGTATGTTCCTTATATGAATGATTCTGTCATCTAATGAAACATCGGAGGGAAATGTAGATTTTTCAAGAACACGGCAGAAAAATGTATAAAGAGATTGCTGTTGAAGTCTAATGCAGAGAATGAAACAAATTCAGAGAGTTTTTATCGTAAGTCTACAGCGTTTGATGCTCCTTAACTATAAGTAAATTATTTTTAATTAATAAATGTTTTCTTTTTTTTAAATTAATTTTAATTATTTGAAATTATGGGTCCTGTGGCGATGGATCAAATGTACACTCCGCACAGTTTTGGACTAACTTCACTGCTTCTTCATCTGCAGCTACAAGCAAGTACAAATACACTGAATTACCCATATACGCGCACATCCACCCCATTCCAGATTAGATAAAATGATTTAACAAGCACTATGGAAACAAAACGAACCGCACAGCTCAATTCAATTCAATTCAATCAAAACAGACGGGAATGAAAGGAGGCAGTATCAAAAGCATCCGCGGCAAGCAGCGGTCCAACACAAAAACCAAACTCGTGAACGGTCGACGGTCGACGCTGATGAACACCCACACCGAATGCAGCGGCAGTCCACAGTAAGTCTTTTTAAATTTAATTCACAGCAAACAAATTATAAAAATAGATTAAAATGTAGCATCGGAAAAGTAGTTGCCGAAAATTTTAAGCTGTATGAAGAAATTGGCCAGAGCTAGAGCTTTTCCCTCAGCATTTCCTAAGTGTCGTCATCGATGAGGCGGGTGTGAGCAGCGCTAGGCAAACTTAATTGGTTCTTTTTGTATTTTTTTTGTTTCCGAGCGCGAGCATTTAGTCGATTTTTGTCCGTAGCTACGTGCGGTCGTGGATCTTTACAGGCACATACTTTATATAATTGTCTGTTTTCTGCTCAGCATTACCTCGAAAGAACTTCTAACAATATTTCTGAAGGTAAACGCGTATTTTAATTAAATTTTTTATTTTAGATTTAATACCACTTCTACTCAAAGTGGTGCATTTGAAATTTCAAAAAGTAATGAAGCAGCTGTGATGCTGTGTTCAGAATTTACTGCTGCTTGAAGTGTTCACAAAAACTATTGTGGTTGATGATGCCACTTCGAGAGCGATTCCATGACCTCGCACGCAGCTTTAGAAATCCCGTGAGGATTTGCCATATGCCACCAGCCATTATCGTTGGATGTGCACTTGCGCTCTATTTTGCAATAGAGACTTAAAATATTCTTAGAAAAAATTATGCTACAAAACAACACATTGGACAAAACCATGATGTAGTTAATTTTGTAAAGAAAGAAAACAAAATTGGCGCACATCCACTTTTACCGATAATATAATATACCCCCTAACTCTTTGAGTACGGGTATAAAAACGTCTAGTATTAGAGGAGCGCTACCTATACAGCGAGAGCAGTGACGTCGTTAGAGTAGGCGGATCCGTCAGTGTCGGGGCGCTTGCGATTTTTAAGCGGAAAACAGTTCGTTTTTATTTTCCATTTGGTGGGGGGTGCCGTTTGTTGATAGGACTATTAAGCGAGCAGAAAGAGTGCGCGTCGCATAGAAATAGCCATGAAATGCAACTCCGGATTGGTTAAGGGATTGGGCCGTAACCGAGGAGAACAGACCAAACCAAAACTCGCGTGCAATTAAAATTCGCCACAAATATATAGCCAAAAAACTGTCAGAAAGTTTTCTACCTCGGCACTTCCGTTTTGTTTACTTGCCGAAAATAGTGCCAAGTTTGGCCTAGAGTGCTCTTGCTTACTATATTTATTTAATCATTTTTTTCTGTATTCAATGTGTTTTAATTTCTTGGTGCCTTGTTAAACTTAAATTTTGTTATTCCGAAAAGCCCTTTAGGGACCACTACCAAAGTTTTGCCTCTTGGAGGTGAATTGAAAAGGAAAATATTGTATCGACTGGCGGTGATACAACTGAACTATGTATGTTGAGGGTTCTATTTTCACGTTCTTTTTAATATTTTAGTTTAACGACCCATGGTTCGATCAACGTTTATGTTACTTGTGTATAAACAACTGCACATGTGTTTCAAATTATGCTGAAGGGGATTCTGATGTTAAGAGTTCTATTTAATAGATAATATGGTGTAAATAGTCATATAAATATGTATGTATGTATGTATATGTATACTTAGATTGGAAGCATGTCAAACGATAAATATATCATATCATTTTTTACAGGATTCTATCGCAAAGGAAGCATATCTGAGACAAATATGAGTGAGCCGCCCAATCCCCCTGTGAACATCGCTCCTCATGAACCAAATCTTGCCGCGGATATATATCACAGCATTTCGTCAACGGCCCCCGATCAGAATGTGGTCATATCGCCTTTGCTCCTGGAAGCCAGTCTAGCACTCCTCTACCTTGGCTCAGATGGAGCCACCGCAGATGAAATCCAGAAGCTATTGCGGCTTAAGCAACGCTTCCCCAGCAATGCCAAAATGGCCAGCTATTACGCTGCGGAACTTGCAAAAGTAACAGGCGATGCGGATACCTACATTGAACTACAGAACCACTTGCTAATGCAGCCGAATTATGGATCCAGTCCTGGAGAGATAGCTGAAGATTTTCAGAAAATTGCTCAAACATATTTTCATGTGACGTCCGAGAGCATCAATATGGAACAGACCGAGAAGCTGCGTCGTCACGTGAGCGAACATATTTTGGCTAGCGTTGGAGGCGGCAACTGGCAATCGACTCTTGTGGAGAGTAGCCAGGCGGCCAAACTGCTGCTCTTGTTGGCGGCGAACCTCCAAAGCAAGTGGTTTCTTCCCTTTAGTGCATACCGTACGGGTCTCTACGAGTTCCATAGCAACGGATGTCCCGACTCTTCGAAATCGGTGGCTATGCTCTTCGACGATGATATGTTTGTTAAGTACGCTGAACTGAGGGAACTTAACGCTCGTGCGATTGAACTGCCTTACGAGCACGCTGAAGAATTGTCCATGTTGTTAATCCTGCCCAATCAACGCGAGGGACTCGCAAAACTGGAAAACCAGTTGCGCGGAATTGATATGTGCGCATTACAGCAGTGTATGCAAATGGAGGGAGTCCAGGTGCTGCTTCCGAAATTCAGTATCGATTTTGAGTGCAGTTTCCGACAGCCGTTGAAACAGGTCAGTAGAATCGGACTTATCTTCTTCGTCTAGTGATGCGACGATAAGTATATACATATGTATGTACCATTATAATATTTCTTAAATATATATATTTATAGATCGGTTTTGAAAAGATATTTTTGGCATCAGCGAACTTTAAACATCTGCATCCCTCCGGAAATCTGCCCGCTGCCGACGTTCTCCAAAAGTTGCGGATTAACCTAAATGAGTCTGGTTCTGGGTCAGAACCACCCAGAGTCGCAGCCGGTATGTATAATATACATATATGTATATTTGATCAAAACCTTAATAGGCAACTTATGTCATCCCCTTTTATTTTTCATCAGAGTATAAACCCATTGTGATCAGCAATTCCTCCCGTCAAAAGTTCTTTCGGGCCGACCATCCATTTTTCTTTGCCATACGCAGTGAGAATGTCACTTACCTGATGGGACACGTGGTAGGGTTTTAAGGCGCTTTGTTGGAAATAACTACAACGGTCGTGCAGATTCGTAGAAGGTAGAATTCAATTAAATCTTTTATTATCTTTTATAAACGTGTAACATACTGCATTTTTATGGGTTTTGTTTATTTCCTGGTGGTAAATAATCCTATTTGGTGATGGTTGTAGTACAATAACAATATTGGAGGTGTGTGGTTAACGGGAAGTATTTTTATAGATCAAGTACTCTTCAGTGATATATTCGGGGATCCAGTTGGGCTCTAAGCTTTTCAGTACGACAAGACACCTGTGATTGCTCGGAAATATGCATATTTGGTATACATGGTATATGTACATCCTTGTCATCATTGAATTGGCATTTTTGTAACGATGGTAACGATGGTTGGGTAAGTCGCTTAAGAATTGTAAAATATAAATATATTTATATTTCCTTCACTGGTTTTTGGAAATTTTGACCACACTTGAGACTACTCCCGAAAGCCTACTAATGCGATGTAAGTTACCAGTATGATTTGAATAACAAAAGCTTTATAGACGACTCGTTTGCTTTACTTAATCCGATTCCTATTTGAAAAGAAAATAGCGGTCTCTTTGGTTTCTCTATAGTTTTTCTAACAAGAGTCTTGAGTTTATTTAAAGATATATCTGTATAATTAATATTGTTGCAGAAATATTCCTGTTATTCTTATTAGTATTACAATTATTGTATATTGTAATTTTGTATATCTTAATTGGGCTTATTTTGTGTTATGACTAGGAAAATTTTAAATGGAATCAAAAACTTTTGCACACTTTAGTGTTCTCGCTCTTTAATTTATCATTTTCATATGGTTATGCCAGTACCCTTTTGTAAATCTAGCTAAAAAGTTACCTTTTGTTTAAATTCTCTCAGTTGGTTTTTATATCCGATTTCTCCTAGTTAACTTTGAAATCTTAATATGAATATAATTATGCTTGATGTCGAAATAACTTTAAATGATATTATTCCAATAATGAGAACTTAGCATACTATATAATTCGCCGACTGAATCTGACAGAGTTCGAACAGAAAAATATTTCTGACTGATATATGTACTTGTATAATGGGGCTAACCTAGGATTCAAATTCAGATGGTTATCATAGTTTTCCCACATGCCATGTGTCAGTTTTTAAACCACTTAAAATATTCAATTAATGTTAGTTAATGCATAAAAACAGAAAATGCAAATGCAAAGCTCTGTGAAATTTTCATCTTTAGGTTTTTCTAGTATAGTATTTACACCTATTTACATCTGATATTCAAAATCGAAGCATCGTAAATGCATCTTAGTGTATTAGAATATGCCAAATAGAATAAATGTTTCAGCTTAAAAGTGCTCACTTTGTTGCTGTTACTATTTCTGTTGATTCAGTTGTGCATCGTCTGTAGGACCTTGTTGGGGAAGCGGTGGCTCTCCTCCCTCCACGTTTTCCAAATTTCCCCTATTCAGTAAATAGTCGAGGTCCATGGTTATGCGATCTAGCGTGGCATCATTGCCACCACTGCCACTACCACATCCTATTCCACCACTTTGAGTAGAAATAGGTATTGCAGCCGTCGTTGTCGCGGTGCTGGTCGAGATCACTGCTGTCACCATTGTGGGGAGCAGAGGGTCGAAGGTCGTCCGTGACGTGGGTTCCAGAATGGTCACTCGCTTCTGTGTCTTGGGGTTTGGTGTAGGCAAGGACATCGAAAGTGTGGCACTGGAAATCCCAGAACCGCTCAAGTTGCCACTTATAGTCGGCGGTGGGGGCATATGATGAGCTGGCAAGCTGAGTATTAGTGAGCTGGGCACAAAATCTACATATGGGTTATGTTGCAGCGGAACATAGTGAGAAGCGGACATAGCCGAAGGCATTATGGCGCTGGTATGAATTCCAATTATGCTATCTGAAAGGAGATTTATAATGGTCATCGTAGAGAAAATCATTTTCAATACACTCCCATTTGCCTTTGTATTTCTACTGCTTCGATTGGGACAAGTAAATTCTGTTTTCGTACAGGTTTACCTACCTGCTGCTACACCTTGAATTATATCCAGTGTCTCGACACCCAGAAAGTCCCCGCATGGTCCCGAACGGAAATGAGTTGGTTGTTGATGCAACGTTCGTCTTCCAAGGCTCCCTGTAAGTCCCCCCATCCCCATGCTCATCGTGTATGCATCGTATGCATTTCCTCCACTAAGTAGTGCGCAGCATCGTGTGTCCGGCGAAGGTGCAACAGTCAGTGGCAGCGTTTGACGGTCACTGAGGAAGGTCTCCGTCGAACTGCCAATTGTAACAGATGCAGTATTTGCTGCCTGGCAACGCGGAACCGTTGAAATGATTGTCGACGGCAATTGCACGGCAGTTCCAGTTACTCCGGACAGCTCCAGTCCCACCTTTGATTGGAGGGGTGGGACGCTTTCTCCAGATGAAGATGTCTGAGCTGCTGCTGCTGACAATGATACCGCACATTCGCTCTCCTTCTCTTTGTCATGGTTAGTGTAGACTGTAAAAGGATTTGGGTTAGGCGTTAAACTAGTGTTCCCATGGCGATAACCTACAGCTTAATGGACTGTTGACGTTAGCCGTTGTAGTGCAGTATTTATCGTCCAGGCTGCTCTTACTCGTGTTGAACTTTGTCTGCTTTAACGAGCTATTCTGACTGCTACCGTTGCTGCTCAGGAACGGTGGCCCCCGCAGTTGGCTTTCAGACCTGATGACAAAACAAAAGAGGATTCCAAAGCCCTGGAAATTAAGGGGATTGAATAATGGTAGTGATTGTTAGTACATATAGTAAAACCTCCATTAATTTTGCGTTGACCCTAATAAAATTCGAATATCAACAATATGGGGCTTATCAAGGCGATTGAGTCATTAAATATTGGAAGCGACTTCAATTAAAGGGAACCTTTCAGAGTGCCCCAACATAACTACCAACATAAAAATCGAAGCAACCGATTACGAAATTATATGTGTGACCAAAAGGCAACCATAAATCGATGGTGAAACATATGGAACTGACCAGTCCACTAGAGCCATTGTTATTCTTTCTCAAGAGTGGAATATATTTAAGACATACACAAAATTCCATGCTGGGATTCTCGACTAGAATTAATTATGAAATTAGCGAAAAAGTCTTTTCTCCGGCTTGTATTGATTTCCCTTCCATGTACCGGAAAGACTCCTGGGCATTGCACAGAGCAGAACTTTTCATGTCTGCTTTAGTCTCTGCTTAAATAATTAAAGAGGAACGCAGACTGAGCATGTCCATGCCCACAATCAAAGTGATTTTGGTGCACATTAATAGCCTAGACCACTAGCATGGAGAGGGTTGTAGACATTGCGGTTTCGATTCAAGAAGGGGCTCGACCTAATTTGTTTGTATTTGAATTTTAATGTGCCGAATGCACTCCACATGCCTACTGATTTGCCGGCTCCCCACATCAAAGTGGGTGCGTGTAATTATGTGATTAGTTTTGCAAGGATACACCTACCCAATGACTTGGCTTGTGTAGATAATTGTTTACTTAATTGGATTGTGAGTTGATTGTATGGCGTGCGTAGAGCGTTAAATGGTTTAATTCAGCTCTGATAGAAAAAGTATATAAGTGCCAGAAAAAGCAGCGGTCTTCTAGCTCCTTTAAAAAATCCAAATACTTTTGCATATGTACTCGTATATTGTATCTTTGCATTATCGCCTGTCCTATCCTTGGAAGTGGCTAAAACGAAATTCTTGTCCGAGTAGAAGTTGGCTCTTGAGAGTCAAGGTGGAAAAGACAAGCGCACTTATTTCATTTGCACAGCAAATCAACGACGAGTGGAATAAAAAGAAAACAATAACAGCTTGAGGACTTGGAAACCAAAGCCAAGTGTCAAAGCCAAGGGCAAAACAAACACAAAAAAAAGGCTTCTTCCGTCACTTTGATCTGGCTGTTAATGCAGTCAGCGCGAGCAGTTGCTGCCGTGCGTGGTTTTTGTCGCACTCTCCCATACTCTCCGTTGTTTTTGCATGCATAATTTCACCGTCACCTGTAAAAGTATGCAGGCTCTACACTTTGATGATATATGCACATTAAATAAGACATGGAACGTAAAAAAGAAACTGGATTTGCATAAAAAAACCCACGGAAAATATGAAGCAGAACCCCCAATAGTTTTAGTATTGGGAGCTTTGCTGCTAGTTTCGAGCAGCAGATACTTAAAATTTGGACTCAAATTGAACTTCTGACATGTAATCCAATCTTATTAGCAGTAGAAGTACGAATATTTGGGTAGTGATCCCTATATGCTCAACGCATGTGTGCAGTTCTCTAGACTTACCAATATTATGCACGATATGCCAAACAGATATCCCCATAAGGTATCCGGTAATGAATTAACATAAACGATGAAGAACCCATCGGTGCATAGCTTAATGAGCAGCAGTCCGCCTGCTCTGTATAATAGGCCAAGTCTGTTAAAATACGGTGATGAAATAGAGGAGGAGAGGGATAGATAGTTCAGACGACAAATATTTTTAAAGTCTTATCGCATTCCGTCTTATCTATATTCTAGTTTTTTTGACTTACCGCCTTTGCAAAGCCAGATTGAATTTATCCAACGGATGCGTATGCACATTGCGATTTTTGTGCCACAACCACAAAAGTTTCTTCATTAAAATGGAAAAGAGCGCAAAGAAGAGGAAAATTAAAAGAAAATCGATGCAAACGAACAGGATGAAGCTCAGAGAAGGCGACAACGGCGTCGACGTCGATGAGAATGCCGCTCCGTTCAGGCCGGAAGTTAAAGCCGCGGCCTGTCCATACCCTGAGGTGGAAGTGGAGGTAGTGCGGCTCCAAGTGGCTGGCATCTGCTGTTGTTGCTGTGGCCAAGTCGAGGCCGCAGCTACTGCGACTGCCATGCTGCTGTCACTGCTAGAGCCACTGCTGTAGCTACTGCTGGCTCTGATTGATGATGTTGACGTGGCCACATCATCTTCCAGCCCAATTGATGATGTCTCAGCTGGAGTGCTCGTTGCATTCCCCAGCAGCGCTTCCGATTCCATCAGTAAATTATCGCCATTGAGGAGCGAATGCGTATAGAAGATACCATCAAACTCCGTTGGCTCAACATCGGACTTGCTGGCAGAGTCATCCGAAGACACAGTAGAGAGAATGTCCAGCCACCAATGGCGGGGCCACTTGCCAATGATGCTGCAGATTAGTGGGGCGGCAACAGCGAAAAGAAGCGGCAGCAACCAGCTAATGCCGATGGCGCCACGTATGCCCGCCGCTCCGCTCTGGTGAGAGGAATCGCTTTTCACTGGCAAAGGCCTGCGATTGTTGCTAGAGTTTGTAGCTACCACCGTAGCCCCCACGGAAGACTGGGTGCGAATTTGGATAATGTTGCTTAAACTCTCGCGCTCGCGGCGTCTTTTGTCCTGCCTGGTGGGCGTCGCCGGCTTGCTGCCAATTTGCAGATACTTCTTGGGCATCAACTCCGTGTGTATGACCAAAGCAACCGCAATCAGCGTTGAGACGCCCAGCAACAACAGCGATGCAAGCGAGCTGCTAATGATTGCGTGCCAGTTCTGCAAAGAGGAAATTATGAGAGAACGTTTATAAGGAAATGGTGTACTTTGACGGGTGAGTTGCAACATCGTAATTTTTAATTAAATATAAGAAGTTATCATCGCGCCGCATCGGCAGCAGTAACAGGCAAAAGACCAGAAAAATAAGTTATTTGGTCGTAAGATTTTTTACAACTCAAACAATGACATCTCGACATACATTTTTTTATTACTTTCGTTCCTGTACCTAAAAGACTCGGCCCTTAAGACGGAACATTAGTTATCAAAAAGTTGTAAACCGTTTTTGGATTATATTTTTGCAGCTCCTTATTTTTCCAACAAATAAGAGTCCGCTAAAGTCATATTCATATACAATCCGCTCTTCTTAAAGGACTCTGTTCTGTTGGAGTATTTTGTCTCCGGCTTTAAGAAGCATATTTTATCTGCCACAGAGGTGACTAGAGCCGATGGAGCTCATAGAGCCGAAGTCGGCTCGGAATTACTATATTGCCTGGTATTGCGATCCTCATAGCATTCAGGGAAAAGGGAAAAAAATTTTGTCGACTTTTTAATTTTCAATTTACAATACGAATGCTTCCACCTCGTCGGTTTACCGCGGAATATTATGAGTTAAGTGCGCTTAAAAGCTTTTGCTTTTCATATGTTCTACTGCAGTGGCACGCCTCGTGCTTCATGGCTCACGCCCCTGCCTTAAGGGAGGGCGCAGCGCACGAGTCGTATACGTAATTTATGTTTTCTTATTTATTTATTGTTTTTTTCGTTTCGTTTAACTGTCGTGCTGAAATTGTATTTTATTTATGCACGCAAATATATACAATAAGTAAAATGAATATTTTAATTGTATTTATTGTGGCATTGAGTGGGCGTGGGCGCGGCATGGTCTGGTCGCTGGGGTTGACGGCTGTCGCCGATGGCAGCATCGCCTCCTTTGCTCTGCAGTGACACGTGTGCCAAACCATAAAATTTGTATGTGTCCACATGCTTGTGCTTTACTTTTTAATAAAGTTGCCTTGCCGGTATGTGCGCGCAATTAATGTACAATAATAATAAGTGCGAGCGCCTCGTGTTATTAAGACAAAGTTTCCCTTTGGCGTTTTTCGGCGCATTGTGCAACATTTCATAGAGCTGTCAGTCTTTTTGACTTAAATCGTTCATTATACCGCTGCATAATAGGAGCGCACATCCTTATATGTATAAATGTATATGTCATACATATATCATACGCTATTCTTAGTGACAACTCAACTTGAATTTTACCTATTTATTTTCCCGTCTAGGCTTCAGCATAGATTTCGTCGTTGCAAGCAGGAATGCTGCACACGTCAGTAGCACAAAGACTTTCTGTATTCAAAGATACCGCCATTCAAAGAACCAAATTCTGCGTAACGCCAAGAACGTCTATATAGAAGCAAACATATCACTCTCCCGTTTGCTACATGGTAGTATTCAAAGGCATCTTTGTCTCTAGAATATGTACTGTCGTTTGCCTTTGTCAGCTTTTTCCAGAATAGGTTGGCGTTGTGAATTCCCGCAACTCCTCGTTTTCATTTTCTATTTCCCTTGCTTAAACCTTTTCACATTGCGTTTTCGTTTCTTTTGCTGGCGTAGTATCTTCGGCTGACTCTGCCTTTGTTGTCCCTTCGTTGTCGCAAACAATGTTTTATTTGTTTTTCATCCACTTATTGAGCCGTTGTTTTGACAGCGGAACTGTTTATTACTAATTCAAAAATGTTATTTCTTGCTAGAGCTTCGCATGTACTGTTTTCGCAGAGCGTTTCACGACCCCAAGGGATTGAGTAGCGCAATTTTATTCGCTTATACTTTTTACGTTTATAATTTAGGTGGTTTTTCGGGTTCTTCGGGGACTTCCACAGATTCTTGCAATGGGTTTTGAGGCTAAGCTCAAAGCTCGTGCTTTGGAATTTTACAATGCATATATTCGTACTCGCATCCCCTTTAACGATATGGTGAAACCGTTTTTCCATTAACATTTCCACCCGCCTCAAACGTTTGGGAATGTGCGTTTATAAATATTAATTTCGATTCTAGTTGGTTCCTCCGGGCAACACACACCCGCTCCTCTGCGCCCATCGTTGAGCATTGTTGACTTTTAATTTCCATCCAAGCAGCTCCACAGCCAACAGGTAAGGGAATTGTTTTCCATGAATTTTCCGTTTGGCTTCCACACAAACTAAATGTAAATTATTTGCTTTACCTCCGCCATATTACTGACTTGGTCAAAGACTTTCCAGACGACAAACTAATTTTTTTTGATTATGATTAAAGCTCCTTCTCTGACCGTGATTATTATTTGAAAAGTCGGCATGAACTCATGCCCGATTGTGTCTGAAAATCGGCTGGTAACTGGCGATATTAAGGATAAGTTCGTACTGAACGGGAAAGACGCAGCAAATAATTATAATTTAAGGGTTTGGTTAGGTAGATAATGCCGATGGGAATTCTTTCTCCTTTAATGGCGAGAAACTCATTTGTATTTCGATTGCCTTGTTCTTTTCTCTTCCACTTCTTGTGCACGCACTGCTCCCTTTTATTTTATGCAACACTTTTTATTATTATACTTTTTTCTCTCCTTTTTTTGTTCTTGGTTTATATTTGGTTTTGGTTTTCGGGTTGCTTTGCTTTCAACTTGGCTTTCCTCCATTTTATTTGTTTATTTATTTTGGGCGTAATTAAATTTCACGCTTTGGTTCCCTATTCCCATTGCAAACACTCGAAAGGCTTTGTTTTAAAGGGTCAATGGTACCAATGGTGAATGCATTAAAGAGTGCACACGTAGAACAATTTTCAAGAGGATCAGAGAAAGAGTTAAAGCTAATTCAAATGGAAAACCTACCATTGGCAGCATTTTCATGAAGCCCAACAAATATATGAGCATTACGCTCAATGTTGAGATGCAGAACTGGATTTTGAGGAAGGTAATGGCACACTTGCGATTGCACCAGATCGGCACCAGAATGAGGAGAGCCGATCCGCATTGGAGGAGACAGCAGGCGCAGCTGGCGATCACGAAGATTGGGCGTTGCGGTGCATGCGACTGCGTAATCTGCAAATGAAATTGAGAAAACAATTAGCAATTCAAATTAGCATCAGAATTAAGGCTGCTTGCTGACTGCTGGCAGCTATGGCTTAAGTAATTGTGTGCTTTGGGGACTCTTGGCAACAATTAAGAGCACACAATTTAAAGAATTGCCAAAGCGGATGCAACCATCGCAAAACGAACGGAGGTCGGAAAGCAGAGCCACCGCAGAGTGCATTTGAAGCAAGTTCATGCCACCAAAGGCCAAGTTGTTGATTGCGAGCAAAGGAAGCGGAAATGCGGACGTTGGAGCACAAAGAAAAAAAGCTCGGCTCCCAGGTGGACTGTACGGGGAGCAAGGCCATCAGCGGGAGTTCGTTTGGTCACTAAATGGCAGGTCCTTAAAGTGCTATAAATCAAAAGAAGCTTTCCGCTTTAATACACGTGAATTTCATGAATTGGAGTGCTGAATGCCGGCCGCAGCGGGGCGTGTCATAAATTAGGTGTGGCCTTGGCGACGTTGAAGTCTCAGGCTTACATTTTGCTGGCGCTTGGTGAGCATGACCACATAGGTTCCAGAAAGTGGGCAAATGCAGCGAGTTATGTTAGCCATCAGATGCTTGGTGATGCACAAGTCCGATCGCCAAGTGGACTCGAATGAGGCCTTGTAGTCGTGTCTGCATATAAAATTTGAGATTTAATAGAGTGTATATGGATGGACTTTCCACACTTCTTACCCACACACGGCCACCCAATTACCCGTTATGGGAACACTCTCGTGTTGGAAAATGATCTCCACGTGGCCTGATTCGAATGGCAAATCGAGGGGTTCTCGAAAGTTGTCGTTGGACCGATTCGACTGGAACAGCCAGGTCTGGATAATCCGTGAAGCAAGCACATAGTCGGAGTCCCTGGGATCGCTAAGAGAGAGTACGAAATTTAAAGTGTATTAAATCTTAAAAGTAGTTATCAAATATTTTATATTAGAAGTTCTGCACACGCTCCCATCTTTTATATAAATATGTAGAACATGTATGGACAGGAATTCTATTAGCATTTCCTGTTCTACTAAAAACATTCTTTTGTACTTATCATTGCTGTGTTTGTCTCTGCAGTTGCATTTTTGCATTTTGTTGACAAAATATTTTAGAATTACAGTCGGTGCTGTGATGTCGTTGTCCTTGCAGGCGCTGTGCTTCTTTACAGCAAAGAGTAATACGCTTAAGCCGAAGAAAGCCATCTTGTTGCTTGTTGCAATGCTGCACGAGAGTGACGGCTGTTTGAATTACACATATTTTTGTGGTAGGGTGGTGGTTGGGTGGGGGGGTGTTGGTGTAAAGCAAACGTTGCTTTGCAAATTATGCATTGGTGCCCATAAGTTGAGACTTACATATATGCATATGTATGTGTAATGCATTGGCACGTCGGCACCTTAAATAACTGTCTTGAACAAGTAGCATTGAATCGTGAAATGTAGGAAAAGTGCAGAAGCAGACTTTGGGTTGGGGATTTCTCAATGGTCCATCTTCGCGTCTGCTTTTTATTATTAAATTACTAATCTCATTTAAATGTTTGGTATTCATTGCCTCATGTACTCAGAAATTCTTTGATCTTTCAGCAGAACTACTACATCGAACTAATTATAAAGTGCAATGATGACCACTGAAGATAACTTTCACTCGCAATCAAGGCAACGGCGGTCTAGAAACTTGGGTCCTGTTTAACTTACCTTCCTCTTGTGTAGTATGTTTTGGGAAGGAAACTTTTTAAGTTCTTATAGGAGATTACAGAAGCAAATATTGTGGAGTTGGCCATGATATGAAGCAGACGGCTGGATAGTCCGATATCCATATAGAGTTGATCCGAAAATAAATCCTCGCTGGAAGAGAAAGTGTACGAGTGGCAGTAAATCAAGAAAATTGTAGTCACCTGCACTTAAGTCGCTTAATTAGCTAAATTAGACACTTGGCAGATTGGAGTGCGGCCAGCCAGGCAACCAGGCAGAAGGAAGCGAGTAAGATTGAAATTTCTGCCTGGGCCAGGCAGAGGTCTTCGGTGAAAGTTCTCTGAGGAGATACTCGCAGCGTTACACTTTTATGAGCCATTCTTCATGCTCAGCCCTCGCTTGTTTAATGCATTTATTATTTATGTTTGCTCATAAAATAAATTTTCCATTAGACCGAAGGCAACGGGAAATCGTTTTCTTTCGTCGCGTATATTAATCAAGCGGCCGTAAAATGAAGTTTACCCTTTGCTTGAAAAGCAAGAACTTGCATTTTCACTCGTTCTTAATTAGAACTTACTGCAAGCTTACTCCTGAGTAAATCAGTATATGGTCTGATATTTTCCCGACGATATTTTATGGTTTCATTTGGTATTACAACTTACTCGTAAATTCGTAAATTAAAGGGCAGGGTCTTCACTGATGTCATATAAATTCGTAGCGAGTTGAGTCGATCCAGTGACAGCGTGTCCTCATCGACTGTCAAAATGCTGGGAGCTCCTGCTCTGCCATCGCCATCACCGCCAACGGCACGAGTCGCCTGCAAATTTCCCGCAGATCCGGCAGAAATGTCGCCCACCGTTGCTCTCGAGCCACTGCCGTCATCGCCCCTGATGTTGGCCTGTGCGGTCAGCGTTGTCGAGCTGTCAGCTGGCGACGGCTGACTGCTGCCGCTTGTCGATGTGGCCAATTGTGAGGCCGCAATTGTCTCGCGGTTCAGCGCCGCTGATTGCGTTAACAGCTGCAGTTTTTTAATTTGCTGAAAGGAAAAAATTCACTCAAAAGCTAAATTTTATGCTGCGTGTATAGAAGAGCTATTGACATTTGAGCTATATTGAGGGTAAGGAGAGTAAGATAGATAGCAAGCTTATGAATTTAGTTAGCCTATTTTGAGTCCTTATGTAGACGAGCTCAAGCCCTGGGCCAACAATTGTATTGAGTCCGCCGATGAACTCTGCCAAAACGTACGAAAATCAATGGCACAGAGAGTGGCCAAACTCTGTCTGCCTCTGGCGTTCTGGAAAATGTTCATGTTGCCAACAAGCAATATAAAAACGCAGTCAATGAACCCTTCCATAAAAATCATAAATTGTTACATTCTCGAGTGCAGTTACAAAGCCATAAACCGAGGCCAATAAGCGGAACCCCACTACATCAACCGACATCAACGTTGGTAGAAACGAACACCAAACCCATTATTGCGGCAGTTTTTATTTTTGTTTGTGTATAGAGGAGATGTTCGATTTTCCCAATTTATAATGTAGATCCCAGTACAGAATTTTGTGTATTGAAATGGTTAAGGAGTGCAAACTGTTATTTCTTCCAACATGGTAAACTTTCCTGTACAAATCAAAAATAACACGAAAATAAACTAAAATATGTGTACGAGTATAGAAAATACATAAATGTTTAAAGCAACTAATCGAAATCGAAAACAATTTCGATTGGAAAAGTTTTTGTAATTTAACTTTTCAAAACAAAAATCTTAAACTTCAGCATCATCAGGACGGCATTAAGCTTGGCGAGTTGATGTATGCCATGCCACGCCCCTGTGCCTATTCAAATTTGTTTTCATTTGTATGATTTCTTAAAAAGGCGTTGAAATGAAACAGCAACAAAAGCTACGGAAAAGTTTTCCATGTGCAAATTTCACTTAACTTTCGACCTAGCCACGCTTAGCAGTTTACCGGAAAATCATTTGGTCGCCTCAGACTGGATGGCCTAGATGGGCGTGGCCGTTAGATCTGCACATGTGAGAAAAGGAGATTTTCTGAAACTTTTTACAAAGTTTAGCTGTGACTTTGGGTCACGTTTCCAGCGAATACTTTTTGCTAAGTGATTCGTCGTGATTTGATTTGAATTCGCCCTCTCTTCTCCTTTCTCTTTATTTCCCTATGATCGAAAGTTTTGGTCAAGCTGCCGTACGAGTAGTTACAGCTTGACCAAATCCCGAACTAGGTCAGCTAACTTTGTTTGCCATTCGATTCGGTTCGTCAATACGAAACTTATGCAAATTTAAGCTTATATCCATACAAGTGTTTTAATCAACTTTTCGGGTCAATTTTGAAATGGCATGGCATTTAAAAATGAGCAGTTTCGTCTCTAAAACTTTTTCAATTGCCATTTCCACAAAACCGCAAATAAAAGCAGATTCCCAGCCATTCTGATAACTATGACATTCAGCGAAAAAATAAATGAAAATTGGATTCCACCAAATGAAATGCCATCATACAATTTTTCATTCCGGATTATAACTATTCATCAGCATATTGATGAGAGTTATTCTGAATAGCCGTAGTCCAAAGTCCGCGTGAATATTCAAATTGTTTTCGAATACACACGTTAACCAAATTAATTGAATTGGTTCACAATTATTTAGTTAGAAGTATTGCCTAAATATTCAAAAGCTGCTTTCGAAAGATCATTTAGACAACTGAAAGCTTTTTCTGTGGAAACTATCAAATTTTTGTAAAGTAGTAAATGTAAATACATACTTGTATATTGCCTCGATGGCCATCAGGCCATGGCTATTTACTTTTCAGGGATCTACCTTCCATGCACTAATTAAACTTCATTGCGCGCGAAAATTCGATGAACTTTCTAGGGATTCGACTCACTACATTAAACTTTTTGCTCAGTCAATAAAAACAATGCGAACTATTTGTTCAACTTCGGAAAAGTACGGCGAATGCCAACACTTTTTAATCGACCCAATTATGCTGCCAAGTTTTTCAGACTGCGTCAGCTAATAAAAATTGAACATAAATTGTTTTTTCTCGAGCTTTTCGCTTTTCTGGCTCACATGGCGCATTACTATATGTATATTGAAATTCCATAACTCAACTGAACTCGGCCATAACTAAATTAATTTATATGCATTAAAAACTTTGTCGATCCATCTATTTCTCTTTAAACTTCACAGTAACTATCTGCTAAGCAGACGACAGCTCTAAACAAAACTTGTTTAATTTCCGCGTGCGCTCAGATCGTAAAACTTTAATATTACAGGGCAGAGCAGTCAGCTAATAGATTATGCTAGATGTGTCTATAAGACAACAAGTTTGAGGAGCGAGCCCAGTCAGCTCCCTGGCGTTGAAAGGGAGAATCTGCCAATTATCCTCACTTCTCGACAGCCTCTAAGAGCAGAGCGGGTCGTATTCAAACAGTTGCAATCAGCACTCTTATAAATTTGCATACCAAAATTTCAGCCTTATCCTGGCGGGGAGCCTAATAAGAAGCAGGTCTTTCTTTTACTTTTATGCCGCACTTCGTATATACAAAAAGTCTTCCCATGGAATAAAACATGAGGCACTCGACCCGCCAATGTCTCCCGGCCTCCGCCCCGGATATGAAATCTTCGTTTGAGCCGGAAACAATGGCCACCTTAAAGTAACCACAACTACCAGAGATGATGGAGGGGATGAAAGGACATTACACCAAGGCACACCAGGCTGCTTTAAAAAGTAACGAAACGCACTTTTCCCCAGCATTTGTAGTTTCGAAATTGGCCAAAATGCTTCTCCTTTTTTCGAGGTGATAAGGAAGTGGTTATCGTTATTGTGCTGCGACAAAGGTAGACGGCACTGTTTGTTTACGGTGCGCGGAGGGTCGCGTAAATTGTTTGATTGCCTCTCATTAGAGGCATATTTTAAACTTAACTAAGTGTCGTTCATGGGTTAGGTTAGTTACGTTACGCGGCTCTGTTGGAATTTCCTTTTAGTGGATAACAGGCGACGGAGGACCAGCTTCTTTTAGCAATTCCTTCCGCTTTAAGACCCTAGGCTGTGAAGGTGGGACTGCGTGTGGGTTTGATGACTTCAGATTGGCGAGCTTCTGGAATACAACGATTTATATTTAAAACCATTTACCGCTGGAGTAAGCCTGCGTACGAGTAAAATGTCAATTCATTCGCTAACAGATCACCCTTTTTTCCCTATCACATGGCCTTTGGTCTCAATCAGACAAATACCACAGGCAAACCTGAAAATTCCTCAGCATCAGACATACATATCAAAACCAAAAAAAGGTATTCATTACCAGCCAGCAGGATATCAATTCTCTTGCTGTTTTAGAAATCGGAGCATGGACTGGGGAGACAAATGTTTGGATGTAAATTCCCGCCCACTGACAGACCAACTACAGGCTAAATAAAAGTGGTAGTGAAAACTCGAATGTGCCCCATCGTCTACGGTTTGGTTCGACGGTTCAGAGTATGTGTAATAAATCCTGGACAGGGTCGGAAACCAGCCTGCCAAATATTGAATATGGCTGCAGGTTATAAATTATGGCGCCCAAACGCCCGACTGGCCCTCCATATACACTCGCTTGTAATTTATGCGCAATTGCAGCCAAAGCACCCTGGTTCTCGGCTCTCGGCGCTTGCCACTTACCTGTTGACTGTTCAAGGATTGAGCATTCTGCATGACTTTATCCAGAATGCGCAGTATAATCTCCGCGGCCATCTCACGCTCTAGTTGGGTACCTTTCAGTTGCAAGTAGGTGTCGAGCTGTAAAATGGGGAAAGAACCAAAGTTGAGACAACATAGTATAAAAGTGTTGTTCCCTCAGAGTACAAAAAGGAAGAGCACCTTCTTAGGACTCTTTTTCGTCTCGGCAATTCGTTAGGAGGAAAATTTGTGTGCGCATTAAAATGAAAAATTGTTGTTAGGCGACCCTAAAGACGAAGCAAACGAACAAGAACATTTCTTTGACTGCAGTTGGGCAACCGAAAATTGTGTGAAAAATGGCAAGCCGCCTGTCTCAGCGGCTTTTACATTCATTTGCGTGTAAAAATAGTTGCCAAGGCTTTGTAAAGAGCAGAAAATACTTTGGTTTTCCCTCAAGTGGTTGGGTGTACCCGTACCTGGCTACAGCTATTTTTGCCACCCCACTGGGCTTGAATGAGTTAAGGGCTTTGTGGAAAGAAGACAGCCCAGACAAACAATTTAAAACTCAATTCGAAATTTGTCTTCCAGGACCTCTAGCAAAGGGAGGATGTCAGGCCGCATTGGGAATTACATTGAAAATTGATTCTGATTGCAGTAGTTTACTCTTGATTAGATCAATTTAGCCAAATAGGGCAGAAATATGGTTTTTCATATTTTCTAAATGTGAATTCTGTTGCTTTCTACTACTTTTTTTTACTCACCTCATGCAACATGTCAATGAGGAAGCTCGCCTCGCCGGGCAGAAATCTGTAACGTCTCTGAATTGTATAATCAAAACAAGCTTTAAGTATGTTCGAGGAATTCGTTTGCTGGAATCCAGCACTCAAAGCGCGATATCGGTTGTAGATAAGAATCAGCTCATCGCGCACGCAGCCTGAGAAGTCGGGCAGTAACCAACTAGAGTTTCCCGTATCGCGTTGCTCGCAGATTCGTCGCAGATGGCCCTCAAAGCCTCGCGGACAATCTGTAATGATGGGTGCTCCTGGGGCACTGGTGGGCCAGTGCACTCCGTAGGTGGACTCCGCGGCACAAACGTGCGCCGCATTGCGTTCAATAACGTTGATGTAGACACTCTTGGACACAGGCCGCACACTATTGGAGACAAGGCAGGCGTACTCTGCGGACTTTTGTATATTGTTGATCTTCAGGATACTGCCATCGGGGTAGAGATCCTCCCACATGGCGGTGGCAGTGTTTGATTGGAACAGCACACCGTTTCGAGTCCAACTGTAGCCCAGCTGGGCGTATCGCTTGATGTCATCGTTGCCGGGCGAGAGGCAACGCACTCGCAGGGAATCTCCTCGCTGCAATGTAACACTGGCAGGATCCACTCTTAGACGGGGAGGTGACTTAATGTGAATGTGTAGGGACCGGCATTGCTCTACGCCCCAGTCGGTGATCTGCAGATGAAAATGAGAGAATCAGCTAGTCAAGTTTATTAGACAAAGTCGAGTCCTCGACAGGCCACACCTAATACCTGTCATCGGCAAACCATAATTCCATGACTTTGATTACTACAATCAACACCACCAAGCACACCAATACAAATACAAACGGGAGTCCGCCCCCAGCCGGACGTCCCTTGATAGCCCTTAGACCCGAGCAAACATAAAGAGTTTTGTCGGAGAGCATTGCGCACATCCTGGCGGCAGACAAGCAGCTACAAACAGACAGTCATATACTGCTGATGTCCTTTTCATGCATGTTGAAGCTGGAGAAAGGCAGCATCTGATGCCAGATCCACTTCGATGCTTGTATCTCCCAAAATATGTTTAAAAGACTTATTCGCTAGTCAGCTAGACTTTATTGTGTGTTGATTGGACATGACCAACTGTGATTATGCTCGGCTTACTATCTGACCTATGAATGTACATACATCAATCAGCAAATCAGAATTTAGCTTAATGCAGAAAATCTCATTGGATTATTAAAGAAATTAAATACAATTTTTTTATATATCACGATCAAGATTATTGACGAAATGAGAGAAAGAGCCACTACCAATAATATTCTTATTTGCTCGTTCACTCATAGGGTGAGTCAAACTATGTCTAGGCAGACTTGCCCGTAGTTGATGGCTCTCCGAGTTACGTTACGAGTAAAAGCATTTACGACTACTTGCATAGCTTAGGGAGGATGGCTACTTTAAGCGTAGTGCCATGTCGGCAATTCGCCATTTCAGCAAACCTTTTGCATTTAAGTATTTCCACGGGGTATGCAATCCAATGAATTGTAAGCTTCTGTTGCACGTGCCTCCTGGGAGAAACGTTGCGGTGGCTGACTTGGAGGCATAGATAAAATCATAGTCGTTACGACAACGACAACAAAAAATATGATGATGGGGCATGAGGAAACAATGCGGAATCGTCTCCTTGCCTTGCTACAAAACAACAAACTTCCATTTAAAATTTAAATCGAAATGAGACTACTAACGAACAGCGGCGTGTAGACGCACACCTCGGGGTCGTCATTGTTGCCAATGTGAAGGTATTACACTTGTCTGGATCGATTTGTCTGTATCTTTGTCTGATATCTGCACCCTTGGGCTCTTTTCTACAGTCGACCCGGAAATTTTTAAAATAAAACGAAGTGCTCTCAATCCAAGTCGAGGGTGGGCAGCATTTTTATAGTAATACAGCCTTATCATTTTTTTTGCTCTCCCCCAGAATCGAGAATTGTTTGCTGGTTTCCGAGTCTCACAGTCAAAAAGCGTTTTTGTAGCTAAATGCTATTTTATTGGCCCCGATCTGGGCGGGTGAAATGGATAGGTCGCGTCTCATTAACAGTCAAAGTCGTTAAATAAAACATTTTACGGAGATGGAAATTAATAGTTCATAGAAATGGCTCTTCCCAATCCAACAGAACTTTTTATGTTAATGGATATTACCAACATTGAGGATTAAGGACAAGCATCCCAGTAAAACATGGTATCTCCTAGGGTATTAGGATTAATGACCCACTGTTAAGGTATTTGACATTAGGCAGGAAATGGCATCTCTGGCACCGTTCTGAGATTATGGAAACATCAAGTGGTCTCTCTTTTGGAAATCCTTTATCCAGAAGTTCTTTTATCGATGTAGCACACTAAGCCAAAATCGTGCTCTGCCGAAATTGAACCGGATTTAGACGGAAACTTAATGCAGCGAACTTAAAGACAGCACCGCTTTGGTCGATTGTGCACGTAATGGACCCAAGGCGACGTCGTTCCCTAAGGCAAATGAATTAATTGCAACAAGGCGAACACTTAATATCAATTCATAAATAATAAATGCGCAGAGGCGTACTCCCCCATTATAAATGTTAGTCTGTGTACAATACGAGTACATTACGGACAAGTTATGGACGTAGGCATGCAGTCCCCAGCGCCTAATGGGAAAAGGCATTGGCAGGCACTTTATTGACTTGGACCTTGAGGCAAGGTTATTGAAAAGGATTCATGCTCTTGAGTTTTAGGTAAACAGCTGAGAGACATGAGAACAATCGACCTTCAGGGACTTTGCCGCAATGCCCAGCCAGCCTTCCTGATTATCGTGCAGTGGTTTCATCTGCCAAGCGCTTTGTATTACTACCCTACCCTGTATTACATCCCCCTCGACGCCTATGCTCAGCCGCCACAGTTTCCTGGCTTAGATCTGGCTGCGTCATTACGAGGAACGGAGCGACAATAATAAGTGAGCACAAAGCGGCAAAAGAAGCGACTTCGGGAACGCTAAAAAGTGTAGGGGCTGTATAAAAACTTCACGAAATCCCCTCGGTGAGCTCGGACCAGGCGCTAAATACAATGGCCTCCATCTTTTGGCCTCAGAAAGCGACAGCTTGGTGGGCTGCAGCGGGCAACAGATGCGGCTGCTTCAACGGAACGAATTTGCGTTTTGTTCTTGCAATCACAAACTTAAAGTGTTAAAAACGTTCTGCTTAAATTTGATGCAGTTCATGGAAATGGTACGCATTAAACTGCTGCCACAAACCATGTTTGGGAGTACAGGACAATACTTTTATGCAAAGACCGAAGTACAATTCAGCTAGTAACAAATTCAAATTTGATTTATTATTAAGAAACGTACACATTTTATTACAACCTTCCCAGCTCAGGCAATCACATTACCATTTGATTTATAGCTGACTTCCCGAAGTATCCTAATATTGTACATACTCGTATATTGAAAGCGATGTCTATTCATGGCACCGCAGAGTACCTTAGTCATGTGTCCACGTGTTTGGTGAGGCAACTTTCTTTCGGAAACTTTTCATGTGTACGAGCTATTTTATGTTGACAGGACAGTACAGGCCAATATTTTTTTACAGGCCATTTGCGTAATATGTTATTACTCGAGACATAAAGAAAGGACCTACCCCCACAATGAGGAAAACGAACGGAACAAGGAAGTTTTAGGTCTAATGGTGTGGAACAATTTAAAGGTCTTATTTAGTGAGCGCCTCCAAACTGAAGTAGATAGCCCAAAGAAACATTTAGCCGCGTAAGGCTTAAAATCATCTTTGAGCGCACAAAAATTTATTCCAGGAAAGAACAGTCGAAAGAATGTTTAATACCGTAGATTACACTTTAAGTGGCTGTTGAAGAAGACCATTCAACTGCAGTGGAAACCGAGAAACAACCCGGTATCTCTGTAATTTTCTCCATCCAGCACATTTTCCTTTCTGGCTAGGCTAGGCTAGTATAAATAAAAGCTACGCTATGGCGAAATTGGAGAACAGTGAACAGAGTACAGAATGAACCAAAGCCTAATTTAATTAAATCTTTGGGGGTTTCCCCGACAGATCTGTTCTCTGGCTGTGAGCTTAGTCGAACGCCCAGTTTTCTACAGTTAAGATATCGCAACTAGACTCATTAGTACCATGTACAAATTTCGGTAATGGCTGAATCTGAAAAATACCGGGGACCAAAATTAATTACAGTTATAAGCCCAATTCAACTCCATGGGGATTTATGGATCATAGCATGCAACTAGACACACATAGGAATCGAAATCGACTTACCTTGCAACTGTAGACACCCTCATCAATCCGACTAGCCTTGTTAACGCCCAGTATCGCCGTGTAGACATCTTTGTTTTCAGGTGGCAGAACAGTAGTCCAGATTTCCCTGCAGGCAATTACAAATATTAGTTGTTGCTCAACGCTTTGCTTCGGCTGTGCTAATTAGCTTTTTACTTTCGGTTTCCCCAAGTACTTGAAACAGATTCGTATAATGCCAGTCAAGCATTAATTTTCACGCCCCGAACAAGCAGCTATTTGCAACTTGCAACTGTACCAAATGAACTGAATCATATTCAACAAGCCCGCTAATTGACATCCTAATAGCAGCTCACTTATCATGGCGACGCCCCATGGCCACCCCACCCATCCGCACTACAGTCTGTGTGAAAGAAATCATAGCTAATGTGAAAACAATCGCGGATGCTGCGGTTCGAAGTCAATTAGCAGGAAGCATGTTTCATTTTCAAATGTTTTTCGAAATGCTTTCAATGCCACAATGCAATGTTGCTAAAATCGTAAATAGTTTTTGGTTTCATGGATAAATGGGTCAGTGCATAGCTGGCTCAGACCAGACGCAGATTTCTGCGATGGGTTCATCAATTAAGGCCCTCAGGGAGAGCTGATATTTTTGGATAATCAGTGCTGAGACTGAAACACATTTGTTCAACTTTTTTAATGGTATAAATTATTGAGTATGTTCAATACTTTACCGGTATGCAAGTTCACACAAAAATATCTGACGCTAAGTGTTTAAACAAAAGATACGGAATTTTAGAATTACGAATAGAAATTCCAATCGTCAGCTCTTCACATAGTTTTCCAACTGTCTAAAATGCATGCTAAGCCTATTAGACTATCTCAGGCGTCCCTCATAATCCTCAGGAGAACTGCAAATCACAGCATACGCCTGCTGTGCAGCACTAAGTAAAACAAACCAAAACCCAAAACCTTCCACCTGGCAACAACTTAAGTGCTGTTTGCGGTTTTCGTGCAGCCTTCTCTGCCTGCTTGCTTCCTTCGTGCCAGATGAGTGCATTTCACTAATAACTTTTGCGCATGGGTAACGCTGACGTCACGGCAAAACCAAGAACAACTGAACAACGAACTCCTTTCAAAAAGCCTTGAAAAGTGGCCAAAAACAGCACACGGCGAAAGTGCTGTAAAGAAACCACCGGCGTCCTTAACCACAATCTCCATGCTCACTCCAAAATCATGGTTCCGAGCTATTTACAGCTGTAGCAACTAAAAATGCGTTTTTGAATGGGCAAAAGCAAACGCATGGGTTTTGCTGGCTCCAGCATGCAAAGCACTTAGCCTACAATTTACTAATGGCCTATGGCGGAAGATTTCACCGGTGGCCAAGCCCTACCTAGCACTAACCCTAACCCACTGAACGACCGAATAGGCACCTTCAAAATCAATTAAACGGCAACGGAAGTAATAACATTCTGTGCAGGAAGTGCGTAACGGTTAAATGCAGCGGCAACACGAGAAGCCACAGTAACTACGACTACGTAGCCATAGTACTAAGTTGCTTCGCAAACAACAACCGCAAACACAGCAAAGCGCCATTGCGCTCGTTTCCAGCAAATGGCCACCATAGGAGGGAAGGGAATGACATCCCCAACAATGGCAATGGTGCACAGGAAGCAGCGTAAGCGCCAGTTACTCCACTATACCATCTCATGCACAACTGCACTGCAAACACATGGCCACTAGCAGAACCGGTCAAAAGATCAAGGGCTGCATTATCCCATAGGTGATGCGTGGGTCAATGAACGCTGAACTTGTAATGGTTAAACAAAATACAAATTGGTCACGTGTGCTACAAGTATCTAATATCGATGCAGAACCGATATCATTTTTCGTTAGAAGCATGTACTCGAATGAGTTTATCGATGATGTATGCACAATTTTAATGGCAATTTCCCTGCCGTAACCATCTCCAGCAATGCCATTGCCACCAATGACGCCTGCTGCAGGAACATTGTTGGCTATGGTTGCAAAATGCATTTTCCACTTCCCAATCCATGGGCTGGGGCTAACGCTGACCTCGCTATCGCACGCGTTACAAATAGCCCACAAAATGCGTTTGCGATGCGTGTGTGTCCGTGTGTTTCGGTACATGTGCGACGCTGGACATAAGTTCATAATGATGAAGGGCTTTTCGAATCTGTGCTTGATTTAAGCTGTTGTGCTTTGGCCCTACTGAAAGAACTCAAAACAACGCATTGGCTGCAAAGTAGAATGGACCAATTACGTCAGAACCGGCACCCGTTGCATTAGACGTCAGAAAACTTTGTTAAACGTTCGCAGATCAGTATGTCTATGGGCGTGACTAACTTTAAAGTTAATAAGGTATAACTAATACGAGTATGTACCAACATAACATAACATAAGAGGTTTCTGTGGGCTTTTTGTGGCTGAAAAGGCGCCGTATAGCCTGTGTCCCAGCTCCTCTTACACATATGGATATTCGTATATAAAATAAAATTCCATCGCCATGTTTTATGAGTTCATAAAATTTGTGTGTAGGTGTTTATTATCTTTGTATTATTTTGGTTTGTACTAGGCGCCAATAGCATGAGAAATTGAAATTGTGAAGTTACTTTTCTGTCGAATATTTTATCACCGTCCTGTGCAATACTCATAAATATGGATATCTTACGGACCAGCCCGGCCAATATCTTAAAGCTGCAGGCCGCATACCGTAACTGTAACCGTAACTTGATTAGAAATAACGGAGTCCGTCTGCTCATACACAAACTTTATTAAACGCAACTACGCATAAAAACAAAACGATGACAAAGTACGCAACCTCGTCGTTGTCCCATCGTTGGGAACGTTGGCAATTTTTCCTGTTTCTGGGTTGCGGCCTGCAACGGACCAGGGACAACAACGATTCACTTCAAGATGTAGAAAATTTCATTACAATCGTAACAAGAAAACGTGTCTCAATGGCCAAATTGGACCTAAAGGGACCGAAAGCAAATCAAAAAAAAATTAAGCAGTCGTCCACGATTTCAGTTAAAAGACGAAAGGCCTGATTGGCTTACTGGGGAGCTACAGGAAACTCTGAAACTTTGAACAAAAACAATAGACAAATTTAATGTATTAAACTCCATTTTGTGACATAAACTTCTTATTTTCGCTGTTTTAGTTTTTTAGCGATCTTTTTCATAGATTAACCCTGTAATGTCACAAAGAAAGCCCACACTTTTTGGACAAACCAAGTAGCTCGGTCTCAAAACACTGTAACCATACCCGTATTATTTACTCCTTGGCTTTTTTCTTCAATGCCATTTTTTGCTTACACTGTTTCTCGTTTAGTTAAGGTCGAAATGTATCTTTTCCTTTTTTTGCTGACAAGCTTTTATTTTCTTTTGTCTTTTTATGGGCTATGTGCCTAAGTCGAGGTGGCAATAAGGAACGATGAGTTGTGTGAGAAGGAGATGAGGAGAGCGGAAAAGGTGTTAGTGAATTTTATTTAAATTTGTGCTAATCAAAAGATGCGTGACAGGAAAGTTAAAAGCAGCGAGAAATCGAAATATGTATGAAATCGGGTGGTTAAGCCCAAATTCCCTGGAAAATGGTTTGGCAAACACACAAAATTCCCTGGAAAATGGTTTGGCAGAACGAATGATTTAGCGTAGATTTCTGATCATTTATGCGATTAGCCCTCGGCTAAACAACGAAAGAGAAATATTCATTTTTTGATAAAGTCCTTTATTGGCATACAACAAAATTAAACGCGGAAGTGTCAACTCTCAGATATTTTACTAAAGCTTACTCAGAAAAATATCGACCACGCCATATTTGCTTACGTTTTAACGATTTTTCTACGTGCTAACTAAAATTAGAATCCAATCATATTTATTTTTCGGGAATTTCTCCACTGTGCGTGTGTTCTGTGACTGAGATGCTTAAGTGGTTACTCAAGTGTTCTTTGTATTCGCATCCTTCGTTTCTTTCAAACCAAGCGACTGTATCTGACGGCCTAAAAGAGTTTGGATGGACCCTTATGCCAAAAGATACCCTTCCAGTTGCATAAAACGTTGTCAATTTCATTTGCCCGTCGCTGTGCCAGCAGGATTCTCTTCGCCACCTTCGCTTGCTGAAGCCTGCTCAATGGCTTTGGCTGCACTTGGATCCGAAATGCTGCCAAAGTAGTTTCCGGTGGGCTCAATGTCCACCACTCGCTCCACATCGTCCAGTTTTGGTGGTGCTGGCACCGTAATCATGAGTATGCCGTCAGCGGAAAACGTCGCACGTGCTTGGGTACCATCGTAGTGCCTCGGGAGCTTGTAGGTACGGGAGAATTCGCGGGTAATACATAGCTGGCCTTTGTCCGCGCGATCATCTGACTGCTTGCCCTCCACACAAATTGTGTCACTGTTGCTCGCCTTGACATTCAGCTCTGAAATCTGGAAATGATGAACGTCTAGAACTACCTTGAAGGTTCCACGGCCCAAAGAGTCTGGCTCCGTTCCCGTCTCTATAACCACGCGTCCTACCAGACAAGACCCATGACACCAGGCGCTATCGTCCACTCGTAAGTGGAAGTCTCTAGCACATACGTCTAGCTCGTGCGACAGATAGTACCGGCGTTGACGACACTTGGGCTCTCCCGACGTCCAATGTCGACGGGGTGGCCAGTGATAATGAGCGCCTCCATGCTCATGCTCGTGTTCCCAATCCCAGTCCCAATGTATGGGCATGGTTCAGGTTTTGGCCCGAAGGACCTTGGGTGCGGTTTGGTGTTGTTTCGCTTGCTTCGTTGCACACGGAACAAGCGTGTTGATTTTTGGATTTAGAGACCAAAAATAACGTTGCCCTCTGCCCTGTTTGACTCGTACTTGCTAACTGAATTTCTAAGGCCTACTCCAACCGCAGACTGCACAACTGTACGTGGCGAGTCGTACTTCAGCCATACAGCGACTGCTATTGTGCTTTGTTTGAAATCCTTTCAATGCCGCGCATAAAAATTGCTCAAGCCCATCACGCGTAGATTGGCAGTAGGGCACTTTTGCTATGTATAACCCCAAACTGTTTGATCAATATTCGTCCCAGTAACCATCCAATCAACCGCTGAACTTTTTTATTGCGCAAATGGTGCCAAAGAGCCGGAATCGGAAATAGCGACATGACAGAAAAGCACACAGTGAAACCAGTTATGAGATAATGTCAAATTTTTAGGGAGTGGAGTGGCATGGGCTTGTGCAACTAATTGTGGCGTTGTCATTGTCTCCCCACAACAGAAAAGCAAGGGCAAAAAAACATGCGGAAACCCCACTGGAAGTTGAAACTAATGAAAATCGTGACTCCCCTATTCCATATACTCGTATGGGTTGCAAGGAGTACGAGTATACTCTCAAGCAAACATACAAACATGTACATCTTTTGACTATACAGGGTGTCCATTTTGGAAAAAATAGACCTACTAAAATAAACATTTATCAACGATTAGTTTTCCCTGTATGTTCGGAACAGTTCAATGACGTTGTTGTTATACTATTTATAGGAAGAATTGCACTTTAAGTCGTTGCACCCTGTACAGTTTCAGCTGGTATTCCATTGTACTTGACAACGACAGCGCCAACGCTGCGTTGTCAGGACAGTTGCCTCTTTTGTTGCTGATATTTTGTATTACTTTTGCCCCGGGTTGAGCCAATTTGTAAAATATACGAAATATATTTTACTTATGTCTCTGGCTGGTGCTAGGGTTCTGGCAATTTGGCTGCATGGCTGCTGAAATTGAATTTTTGCTTTGGCTTTTAAGCAAGTTTGACAAATTTTCAAAAGCTAGCCAAAAGTGACTGTAATTTTACACAGCGCATCGTAACAGTTTTGTTGGCTGCAGCCAAAGACTTAGTCTGGGGTCGGATTTCGATGGTGAGGAAGAGGGGCGGGTTAAATTGCATTGACAGGCAGTCAGAAAGAAACTAAAAATCTTTCCATGTCATAGCACTAAGAGCACTAAGAGAAGCTTTGTAGAAATAGTGAATCCATGTACTCTTTAAAAGGTCAATTGTTTTGTCTTCTCACAAATTGTTGACTTCTGTAGAAAGAATCGTATACATAACATATCGGTGCAAAAGACGTCAGATGTTATATTTTCGCGTGCTCTTATTTATGGAATTAGCGATGGTTTGCCATGTGGATCATATATGTATGTATACTTGAAGTTATATTAAATGTCAGAGATCATCAGTTCCGGCTCAGTTTATTACTGACAGTAAAGCAGTGAGCAAGTTACCCAGTAAGAAAATCCCCTATTTCCAAGTTGGGAAAAGTTTTAAACAGAAACTGTGATTTAAAAATAAAATTAAGAGCTTCTCGAAAAGTGAAAACTAAAACCAATCTAGTTAGCCGTGAGGCGGAACTGCCTCAATTTAGGTGCTCAGCCAAAACCAATCAGGCCACCGAAGATAGCTAGCGTGCAGGCAGCTTATTCAATGAGGAATATTTACATAGACATAGTTGGCCTAAAACTAATAAAAGCATTAGTACCGTTGTAACACTTCATCAGCAGCACATTTGAGCCTCGGATTGCTGCTCACTCCAATATAGGGACCCACATTCTAAAGGAGACAGGATTAGTGTGGCAATTAATGACCGAACCCTGCTGGATGCTATAGATTATTTTACACATGTGTCTTGGCTGACAGCGAATAGGAACACTAAGGCATGTTTATCAAAGCTCGACATGGAAAGGCTCTTGCTAGTTTTGGTTGATGGCGCATTGGGACCTTAGAGAGCGTTAGCGACGTGATTGGAAAATAATTGCATTCATTAAGTAGTTTACGGTTGGGTCTTAGTCTGTGGCTGTTAAACATCTGTTAACTGGTTCAAAATCGGGCGACACTAGGTAAACAGTTAACCTAAGTTTCGAGCTTTAAGTTTTCCCAATTTATGTATGTTTCCTTTTTATAAAAAAAAGCTTCCGAAGGGCTCGAAAATTATATTTAAAATATACTGTCATGCTGCAGACTAATCCAAAACAAATGAAATATTGTTTCTAGCGTAGAACAACTCGGATAATAAATAACACTTCCTACGTGAACTGTTGGCTCCAGTGAAATCAAGTATTACAAATTCACTTACTTCCGGTTATTTTAGTACGCAAAAGTTGGGTCATTGGGCGGATCTAGTGTGTATTCACTTGTATAATGCAAAGTTAGTAAATGTCCAAATGAATGACTTCACTTCACTGTAGCTAACATATTTACTAATACTTGCCCCAACGTTGGGGAAACATGTGCTTGCGGCTTGTATAGCAGTAATTTTTTACACATCAATGCTTTTAAGTTGGTCTTTGGGAGCAGCTTGGCCTTTCCACGTGTAGAACTCTTGTTGCATACACATGAATGTGTATGTGTATGCATAAAAGTAATCATAAGTTCGGGCTATGATTGAATGAAGTAATGTGAAATTGGAGAAGCGGCCTGTCCTCAAGAAAGGGGTAAAATTGTTTTACCAGTATCATTCATTTTGGGGGACAGGAAAAAAAAACTTTAAAATAGATTAGGTTATCTCTTGACAACATTTATTTTAGAGAATACGGTTGAACACACTATGATTTATATTGTAGTCAGCAAAAATAGTTACTTCCAGCTATTAGTTTTTATTAAAAGAGCTAAAAACACAAGACATGTTTTTTGATGCATTTTCAAACTATTTACATGTTGTTGAATGAATTGTGAATTAACTTGGTTTAAGCTTGTGATATTCCACCATTTACCTCTGTATTTAATGACGTCTCATTTTGCATCGCCGAAACACATTTAAAGTATATGCTTTGTGGTGCGGCCGCAAGTCATATTGTCAGGGAAAAATGTTTCGTAGTTGGGCCTGAAGGAGTGGCTAAAGCTAAACTCCTCAAAACCCCCGCCAAGTGGTCCAAGTTAGCTAACAGCCCCTCGTTAGTTACGGGCATATGCTTTTTATGTAATTTACCCACACACTTACAGCACCACAGCCAAGCGAAACTGTCGTTAGCATCCACCAGAATACCATACCATACCATTCGTAAATGTTGGTTACACATGTGTTCCAACTGCCTCACACTGTTGGATTTATGATCAATCATTCGGCTACTCTTACTGCGGTTAGGTTTCATCCTGGTCTACACTTTGACTGGGCTCCGTCTATTTCTGACAAATCTTTATCTTTGGCTTCACTTATTTATCCTTTTTGGGCGTTTCATTTTTATTTTTCCAGTCATTTTTATGGCATGTTTATTGATGTGTAAAAGTCATAAAGTCAAATTGAACACTTGTGCTTAGAACATTGGCCATCCCTTACGAACTCTGCGCTCCCGAGTGTGACATTGGCTACAAGATTTCCCTTTTTTTCATTTTATACTATTTTTTTAAAACTTGGAATCAAAAGAAACAGATTTAAGGCGTTGTACTGGTCAATATATAAAGTATTTTGAACCAAAACGGCATACTGGGGTTATGTGCTAAGCAGCTGGGACCATCTATGTATCAACTTACCTCGTTGCTTTGCTTGCATTTACCGCGGCTCCATCTTTGAACCACTGAAATTGCATGCGGGATGAGCCTTGGGCTGTGCAGGATATGATAAACTCACTGTCCTCGCGCACGCTTGCATGCGGTTGATTGACGCTCAGATCCTGCAATGGAGGGACAACGCATGGACAGCAGTCAGACAATGTTACACTAATTAGACATTGGACAGTTGGGATATGGCGGTTGAGGTGTGGTTTTTGAGTTGGGGTTGGTCCCTCAGTTCCTGTCAGAGCTACCAATCTTGCTGTTCTTGTTTCGAAACGCCTGAGGTTTGTCGGCATGTTCGTCATGTTAATGCAACTTAATTGTAACCCTCTTGATGAGGTCAATTGTGCGTTCATGCAAGCCGCAATTAATAAATAATTATTTTCGTTGTTTGTGCCGAGTGTGAAGTACCATACTGTTGACATATTTATGTATATGCATATTTATTAACACGGCACTTTGCTACATGGGCTGGGCTATTACTGTTGTTCTTGTTTATGTTGCTGTTGTTTTTATTGACGCATATTCCAACACGTGCCTCAATAGTTAATAAATTATTGTTTAATATGTATCAGAAATGGAAAGAGTGCCATCTATGTAATTCGTGTGCAATTATATTTATTACACTTTTAATACTCAACCTTCCTGTCTACGATACGTATTAATAAAAGAACAATTTGACAAAAATCAATGATGGAATGCTTGCAATTGATTGATGTTCTCAGAGTGCAAAGTAAAAAAGTGCCAGCGACCAATTAAATATGTACATGTAGTATATTCATAACACAGAGTCGGAAAATTCATTAGATAAGAAATTAGATAAAAAAACGACTATGCTGCCTTTAACCAAATATTATTGATCTGTTTGTTCTTTCCATGCCAAATAAAAGCCTGTGACGTTGATTTCAAACCAAAATTTTGTCAGGCCAAAATTGGGTCGATTTTGCAAAAAAAAATTACCAGATAAATGAGTTTTAATGAATATATTTTTCTCGCTACTCACCAGCATATTCAACGGCGGATTCTCGTCGAAATGATGAAAATTAGCAACCAATGTAAAGTTTCCGATTCTTCCACGTTCCACCATTCGTGTAATAGCTTCCCGAATGCGCTGCGAGTCACCTTTGTCGCCAAAAAAGTGAAAAGTCATATCCAAGCGATCGGTGGAGTTCGAAATCAGTTCAAGATCGCTGATTTTTGTAATGTTGAAATTGCGCAACACTCGACCAAGCTGCCAAACAAAAAACAAAAATTTTTAGTCAGCTCTCTTTATAAAAAGAAAATCCATTGATCGCACATGTGATTATGATAGAGCCAAAGAACTTCGAACAGTGTGCCCAGAATATAACCCTTTTATGTCCATCTACCCTTTTCTTCTTAACATTTTCCCACATTAACCTTCGGAATCGGTCTTCCATACGCCACTCATTTATAATTTGGAATAAATAATAAAATATTCCAGCAAATAGCACCTTTGAGCATTAAGCACGCATCAGTGTACAACGTATCGGAGCGAGATTTCAAATTTCGTGCAGCTTGAGGAGACAAAAAGCAGTTGCGGCAAAGTCACCTTCAGAGTCTTACACTGCAGAGCGCTTAAAGAAACCACAGACCTTCGCCTTTTTTCTGCTGCTTTTTTCTTATCGGACCTGCCTTAAGTTGCGGGCTGAAGCATTTCTCGCTGAAACTGGCCATAAAAGGAATTTTCTTGTGGAACTTTTCCGAGCTTGGTTGCACCCGTGTGTGCTAATAGTATAATGCTGAGCTGCAAGACTTGACTCGTGGCCGTTTTACGTAAGGCTTATCCTTATTTAAATGATTACGCTTAATCCGTTTGCTCTTGTTGGTCGGTGGTCTAACCACGTCCTAATAAAATTCTCAGATGGTTGGGTTTTTTTCTGGAAGAATGTGCCTGAATATTAGAATTATTACAATTTTAACCGGAATACAAAAAGTCATTGAGCAGATTATTACACAAACACAAGATTTTATGTATCATACATAGTTTTGCGGTTTCATTTCCATTTTTCATTATCCACTCATTTATTAGCCCACGTATATGAGTGAAGGAGAAAATAGGTAATCATTTTCCAGAGTTTGAACTTTATGTGAGTCGCAGACATAACCAATTAGCGTTTTTAATTAAGACCGCATTACACTGGTACAATAGTGTGAGGAGAAAGTGGAAAGAATGCCATGGAAAATGGGGCAAACCATGAAATCAAAGCTGACAACAAAAGTCTTTTCGGCTTTTCTGGGACTTACTTCGTAGTGGACTCCATAGGTTGTTTTAGCAAAACTTATTGGTAGTAATTATATTCCCTTCTAGCGCCTTTCAGAAAGTGGCTTGAAACCTTGGAGCTTTAATTGGCTTTTTGATGTGGTTTTTTCCGCTGCACTTGGATATTATATTCACCGAATGCGAACCTAATGCAATTCTCTTGCCCTAATTAGGAACTCTTTCTGGTACTCATATAAATTAGTGGTGGGCTCCATTGTTGGGGGTCACAAAAATAGTCGGATCAACAATGCAAAGCACCAAGTAAAATCATCCCAGAAGTGAAAAGTAAAGCGCAAAACGGGCTGGGTTCTCTGGGTTTGCACTCTTCACAAGTGGCCGCATCGTCGTCGCTGGCAAAACTTTACCCGAGTTGTGTAAATATATAGTTACGGAATTAATCAGAAAAGTGCGCACAAAAATGAAGGCAGCAAGTAAGAAAATAAATATTTTCGGTTAATATAAAAGAATTTCCTGCAGCCTTCATTCTCCCATTTTTTGTGCTTCCTTCTTTTTTAATAAATATGCCGCAAAAAGAAAGATAGCAAGTGCTAAGAAAAAATGTGCAACAGTCAACGTGCTGTAAAGTGGCTTCGGTTGTTTGGCTTGGAAGTTCTTAAGAGGCTTTTTGTTTACTGTGCCGAACAGAATACAGACGAGTACGAGTAGGCCGTTTGTTTGCGACAGCTGTGAAAACTTTCTAAGTAAAAGTGATGCAAAAAAATATATGTAGAAAAAGGTATATTAAAGGCGTATTAAAATTGACTACTGGGCCAGAACTCATTATTCGAATGGTTTGATCAAGCAGCTTTGATTTCTTACTGTCTACTTTTTTAAATAAAACTACCCCCATCGAGTGCCTTGCCAAACAAACTTCGTTTATAGCTGTCTGGAAGGCCCGTAGTAAGGCCGAAGCAATTTCATTAAAGAATAAAAATTCCAGAAGCTTTAAATCTGAAGCTTTTTCAGTTACATTTATGTACATTTATATGTACGTTCTGCCAACATCGATGGCATGAACTCAGCTTTCTGATCCAGTCAGGAGCCACCAGTCTTAAAGCAGGCCAAGGCGCAGCATGAGCACTCAGGCGTCAATGATATCCTGCGCTCGTCTGCTCTGCTCTTCTATTTAATCGTATTCGTTTCGTTTTTATCTCAACTCTGTGCTAATGGCATTTTAATTTCGAGTATGCGAGAGGACTGGTGAGCCAATATGTAGCTTTAAAGCTTTGTTTGTTATTTTCCCTCTTCAGTACATACGAAAATCGACTATTCACCAAATACTTGCAGAGGGAGGTTTATATTTGATTGATAAAAGGAAGTTAACATTGAGAATATGCCAACCAAAACAGTTTGGATGGCGAAGCTGTAGCTACCGACCCATTAGAGTTAAGCGCACCTGCTATTTTAATTACGAAATTTTAATTCATTTGCTTTCTAGCAGTAAGTATGCTTGTGCCCTTTTCCAAGTACAGAACCCTTTATAAAAATAAAAGAAGGACTCATGGAAACTACTGATAAAAAACCTTCAGCTCGCATTTACGACTACCTTGTCGGAAAGCGGCTTTAATACTAAAAAGTTTAGTCTTAAAAACGAAAGTTTTATTAGACAGAGATGCTAATGCAGTTAATAAACTACTCGGACTAGTCAAGGGTAATGGGCTGCTTTTGTTGGTGGGAGAGTATTTCTACTGCTTATGCAAAACGCAGTTATCTGTTTTGAATGCATTCAGGGGTAGCTAAAAAGGAGTGCACACCGTCAGGCCCAGGAAAGTTTTAGACCAAGCCAACCAGCCAAGTTGTTGGTCGTATTCCAGCCATGCCCAGAGAAATTTAAATGAATGTCTCAGTGTCTGGTGGTGGCTATTAAGCTTTTGTCTGCGTAACTCCCGTAACTGCCTCGAAATACATTTTGCTAACTAAACGGGCCACTTTTGTTTATCCATTCACAGACTCACCCGTTGATAGGCGTTGACAGGATGCCGGGCGTAGTCTTTCTAATTGTTGTGCCGACGGCAAATTTTGAACGTGAGCTGATTTACGGTAAGTCCGGGGAACGAACAACAAAATTGAATAAGCGCTTGTGCCTAATTAAATACAAAGTGGCAATTTTGTTTACACGAACATGTAACATTCATCTAGGCGCCATTAACCACAAAATCTGCCGAGCAGCCCTTAACTCATGCTCGGTACTGATCCGTTGCCACATACACACCCACTACCTGTATGCATTGGGCGTAATTATGTTGTTTAGTGGCGTTATTAATTATTTTATGATATCGTAAAAGTGTTTCAGGGCCTAAAAGCATTCAATAAATTTTGTATGAACTCCCATCAGACACACACGGACATAAACACAAGGATGTAGATTTTTTTTGCTTTGCATTTTCGATGTGACGAACACAGCTATCTAAGGCAGAATCCTAGGAAAGACTTCTAGAAAGCTAACTTTACTTCAGGACTTTACTTTACTTTACTTTACTTTACTTCTGCTGCCAGAAAATGTAACATTAAAATTTAATTAGCCACGAATAAATTGGACGAATAATTGTGGAAGACACAGGTTGAAAAAAAGACAAGGGACGAGAATTAAAAGGAAAAATATAAGGGCATAATACTGAGGCTGGTCTGGGCTACAACGTATTTATGAGAAACATACGTCTTGCTATATACCGAAGAAGTATTATTAATTAAAAAAACTCTCAAACACTCCATTTTAACGAACAATTTATCATAATCAAACGCGTTTAAAAAATGTATATAATAAAAACTCATAAACAACAATATAATTTTTGAAATCAATGGCCACATGGAAACACGAGTATGGTCTCTTGTGAAATCCGACACGCAAAAAAGCCATAGCGAACGAACATGTAGGAGTCAATTTTTGCCAAAAGCATTAATCAAATATTTATTTAAATACAAACCAAGCCGATGGCAAAAGCCATCAAAGAAAATCATCATTAATTTAGTTTGTCACTATGGCAGCGGCCATGCTGATAATGACAATAAAGCTAAGCTGATGAGTGGTGAGTAGGTGGGCATATTGGGCGTGAACAAAGATTCTTCAAGTCCTGGAAAAAATAAGTACATTATGTCTAGGGTATATACCCTGAAGACTTTCAATGCATGTGACATAACAAAATTCAAGCAAGAAAAGTAAAGATGGCCCTGGAGACGTCTTAAAGTATGTAAAAAATGAAGATAGAAAAAGACAACAAACGGTGTATGTAAATCCATTTTAGGGAAATCACTGAATCAAATGAGTCAGACATAAATTACCGATACCTCACAACCATAGCTCTCCGAGATTTCCGAATCTTTGGGGCCATTCAATGCTAGTAACCAAGACAGAATCAAATAGGCAAGGCAGAACCACTAAAGTTATGGTCAGGTATTGGGTGGTCCAAGGGTGGCAAATTTGTTGACTTAAGAAATTTTGCCCACTAAAGAAACTATGAGAACCCAATTCAGACTTACACCCGGCCACGTTTGCGGCGGGTCGTGGGTCCTGGCTTCTAGCCTAAGCGCATTTAAGCTTTATTTCGGCATTTGTCAATGTGGCGGGATTTATATTACATTTCGATGTCTGTCTGCTTCCCTCCCAATCCTTCCCAGCTTGTTGGAATAATAAATTGTGATCCTTTTGTGTGGTTTTTATATGGACTTTGATTTGATTTTTCGCTTGCCACTTTATGTACCTTGGGCATGTATAAGTATGTACAAATGTTGCTCAAGTGGAGCTTAGATCATCCCAATGCTTCATGGGCATGTTTTATTTTTTTTGGCCCTTCTGTAAATAATAAGAATTAAATTTGAACAAAGGCTGGTCGAGCATAAAATAGACACATACTTGTATAATAACAATGATTATTTGTTTTTGGTAGCGTCGCATTTAATTAGCGTAATTTGCAGCAAAAATGAGCTTAGCGGTCAAAAGACCATACATCGTTGTCCGCAGTAAACCAAATATATATTAAACGCTTAGCTGGATATTCAAATATCACAAATATGTACGCTAATTACAATATAAATAGTTAAATGGCAATAAATTATCCAGCAAGTAATACATTCAAAAAACTTTAGTGTAGCAATTGGTGCAATAAAGGAGATTTAAAAAATCCAGGGTATACATATTTATCTACTGACTCATCATTATAGATCATATAGTCCTTCTTAATAGTGAATCAGATTAAATTTATGTATATTTCTGCATCACCTTTTGCTTAACGAATTCCAGGCACTTCAAATAAAGCTAAAACTGAGACTTCTGCCGGAACTGTTTGTAGCCATAGTCAGGGGCCCCATGGAATCCAACCTACGGTCGGCTCCGGTGGAGCAGTAGGTGTGAGTGGAGGTGGCAACAATAATCTGAACATCAATCTTCCGGAGAATAACAACACAATACTACGACTTGAAGTTGAATTACGTGACAAGAATGTGCCCAAGTATCGACGCGGTGTGGTCGGTGGGCGTGTTGGTGGACCAGGAACTGGACGTGTCGGTATCGCCGGTCGACCAGAAACAGAGGGGCCTAAACGTACTGCAGGAGCTCAAGGAGCTGACACAACTGCGACAGCTGCGTCGCTGGACAGACGTAATTTAGTGGTGCCGCTTGAAAAGGTAAGTCGTTCTCTGGGCAGTTACAAGTACCCTTCCTTCAGGCTATCGACCAGAAGGTATGGTCAAATGCGCCAAAACTTTATGTTTCCCCAATCACTTAAAGTTGGTTTTCGTGTGCGACAATAGTTTGATTTCAACTGCGACTGTGCCAGCTACCAGTATTGTAGCTTTGTTGATGCACTTAACGAGATAGAACACGACTCAAGCGCATTGCATACCTTTAGGAAACGTAAGATGTTACCTAGATATTATCATGGGGTAGATTATACTGATGAATGAGGTGGCTTAGATGGCCCACCTGAAGATTGATGAGTGCAACAATTTGGACAGAGAGTCCTCGGCGAAGGCTGAGATAAATCAACAGTCGCCAAACCATTAAATCAAATTCTGTTTAACCGTATCCCCATTGATCCAATTAAATGCAAAAGTTATAAGCTGTTGCTTGTCTTTCTTTCCCAGGTACTTGAGGAGCTACTTGTCAAGCTTGAAATTGAGCACGTTACTTGGACTACAAGCAAAAAAGGTTATTTTCATCACGTCGTTTTCCCGCTGCAAGCCGGCGACGCCTGCGAGACTACTCTACACTGTCTTACGGAACTGGGCATTGGCACTAAATTGAATTCCAGTGTCAGGTAAGTGGAGACATTGAAAGGCAGGAGGAAGTAACGCAAAATGTGCCGGGAAAGTCAAGAAGTCGATCGATCCACACTTTGCCATGCAACAGCTGGTTGACCCCTTTCCCCGTTCAGGCGCTGTCTCTTGTTTTAAGTACAAAACGCAATAAAATGCAGAATGATGAGAAACTAAGCCTTGGTGGGAGATCAGCTACTAGTTTCTGGAGGTGTATTGCATAGCCTTATTTCGATTTCTTGCAGGCGATAATATTAAAGAAACTCTAGATGGGGCTTGCCAACAGCAGAATCCCCTCAGTCGTTTCCAAATATAAAGTGTGATTGCTGAATAAGCTATATTTTATTTTCAATGACTGGGCTCATGCAATTTACTTCAGCGGGACCTTAATGAACATTTGCCTTCAAACAAAGCTCCAAATTAAATAAATTAAGAAATATACAACAGACCTCGAAGTTAAGCAGAACAATGAACTGCACTAAGTAGGACTTTAAGTAAATTAAAGATGAACAAAAGGCAAGATAGAGTATACAAAAACAAAGGCACTAAAAAAACTTGAGCAACAACAATAAACAGCTGCAGGAAAAGGGAAGATAAGTAGGTGTGATAATTATTTAATAGCATTAAACAGGAGGGATTAAAATGCCGTCGAAGGTGTGATCAGTTCCCAAGGGAAACCGAAGACAGTTAAAAGGTTAAAATGGTTTTCATGACATCGGTCAGAGTAGTCAGACAATGTAAAATTTTATCTGATTAATATGCCCACTAATTCAATTCAAATGGAAGATGAAAAATGTTGTCACATACGACATCACTCTGTAACGTTTGCAGTACTGAGTTATTAACTCATATAACATGTGTATAGTGTATATCTTCTAACAAATATGTCAAAAATATGCCCAAAATCTCCAACTCTTAATTTGCAATCGTTGGCGGCCGTAGTTTTCGCCATGACCGACCGTCCTACGAGTATTGACATGAGCTTAAAACACGAATGACTTGCTCCAATAGAATATGGTTAAGTATTTCAATTTATATCGTTCTCCTATTCAGCGTTCTGCCGTGCAGCGTTAGCTATGATGCCATCACAGATGCGGCTAACATGCGAGATGACTACAGGTAAGTGCACACATCTGTATGTGTATTGTATTCGAAAGTATTGTATTCCTCTGGCATTGTACGTAGTCGTTTGTCAGAACAAACGAGTAGTTTGCAATGAAATGTCTTTTGTCAGGGCTCCCACAGCTGTCGCTTTGTTAAAAACTAATTTTAGGTGTTCTACTACGTGTCAAAGGCGTCAGTCATTTCATTAACTTTCACTCGCAGTCGAATCTTAGTCTCACTTTCAGCGCAATCCTTTGTCCGTCTGACTGTTAGAGACGTGACATTGCCTCTTTCACATTGGCATCTCATTTTGGTTTCTTATCTTAGCGCCTCGTCTAGCCGGAAGACACTCACAGGTCACGGAGAACGCCATAGGCCTTGGCTTGTGCCCAAGTTTATTACTTCTCTAAGGTAGACTTACGAGCTACTAGGAAAAAGTATTGTTACAGAGTTTGGAGTCTAGTCGCCGGGTCGGAAAGTGGATATGGAAAAATTTGCCATTGGCTTGCTCACTGGCTTGAGTTGATATAGTTATGACATTGGCCCTAGGCACGGGTTAAATGCATCCAGCTTGGGTACACAAATAATTAAAAAGGTATTGCACCAATTACATAGCTGGAGCACATTTGTATGCCACTTGGTCCCTCCACATTAGCCGCATCTTATCCAGCTATTATTCTAGTTTATTTTATGACAGTGCTTATTTATTTGACTTTTTATGTTATTTGCTATTTACAGCGACGATGCCGTCGCTGAGGATGTCTCAAAGTGGAACACTTTTGTGGAATCAATTAAATCTAAACTAACCGTAAAACAGGTGGTAGACGGCGTACGAGCCGGGGGATCCTTGTCGTTTGACTATCTGCTGCTAATTGTTACCGCCGAGTAAGTCCGGGCAAAGAACTCAAGAAAGGGTTTTCGTAACAAGTTTGAAAAAACCAACTTCGTAAAACAAAAGATTAAGACATAATTTATCTGACCCTACACCCTTCTTTGTGCTTTTAGCTCCTTGGCCGCCCTTGGACTGGTTGAGAATAATGCACCGAATATTGTTGCGGCCATGTTGGTCTCGCCGCTTATGGGGCCCGTAATGTCGATAACATTCGGTGCAATTATCTCCGACAAGGAGCTAATGGTAAGTGCTATCTACTTTACCCATTCACATGCGGCTTTGACTTTTTTTGCTTTTCATTTTACGTACAACAACTGGTATACATAGTTTCCGAAATACTAATTTACCTCTAAAAAAAATTGCGGAAAAAATCCAAAAAAAATAATAAAATAGAGAAGTAGAGGAAAAAAGTTGTCTAAAAGCCCATTTCGAATCGGTTTCAAATAAAATTGTCAAAACCTTTTCGCGACTCTTCGACTGGTTCAATGTGATATGTGAGTGATATACGAGAAAATTACATTTGGAAAATAATACAAAATTGCAAATTGCTATGAAAGTCGTCGGTCCGTCCACTCTGCCAGCTGTCAAAATTCACATACAACCAACAGAAATATGCGCAAGTGAGGTTTGGACGAGAAAATTTGCGTCATTCCAGTCAAAATACATAGCGACATAGCGCCTGATGTTTTGAAAATTTTCTTCACTTTTGTGGTAAATGGTAAAGTTGAATTGTTTATTGACAGCGTTAGCTTGCAGGGGGTGGAGCTGCATGAAATATTTAAATGTTTTGTGAAAATTGGATAGAGATGTAACTGTAGAAACGGAAGTTTGTTTGCGAGTTGTTTTTTTTTTTTTTATCGATACATGTTTGTAGAAACTTGTTTAAATTAAAAAATAGCGCTTCACAGCTAAAAAATGGGCTTACATTACCACGTCTCTTTATTGTTACACGTGAAAAAAACTTATAAAATTATATAAATTATACAAACTCTTCCTGTTCAGAAGTTCTTGTATTTTTTTTAATCAAAAGCGGACTTTGCTTCATGAAATTCTAAGACGTGATTTGAGGATGGCGGAGAGTAGAAAATAAAAGCAGAGAAAAAAACGGACAGTCTTAAATAAATATAAGCAGGGAAAACTTAAAACAAATAGAACAAATAAAAATGGTAAAATGCTAAAATGTTCATCTGCTTCCACTTCTAATGAAGAGATGACTAAGCTTGTATGCCTTGGACTGTACCTACCCCAGAGCCAACTTGTCAGCTCGGTGTCTGCTGACACAATTTTTACCAGAACACTCATCCAACCATACCTCTTACACTTACATGTGCAGCCATAACTAGGTGTCTTGCGGGTGTTGACATCTGTGTACTTCAATTAAAATTTAATTGAAATGAATACATACATATGTCTGTGTACATCCTTTTTGCCACCTTCATTTTATGAAGGAGCTCAAGTTACGGCATCAAAATCTTTGCCAAAACGATAGGGTGACTCAGTCGGTCCTCACAGCATGGAACTAAAAACGCGAAGAACATTTCCTATATTTTGTTTTTAAAAAATATGCTATCCCACTGGAATATAGCACATTATTCAGATTTATAGTGGAAAAAAAATTAGTTAAGTTTTTAACACCATAAGTGCCGTACTGCATGGAAGAACCATATGCCCATGGCTTGTTTTTATTTCATTAAAAAAAATTTAACTTTAAAATACATCTCTGCAAAATACGAAATAGACACTGGTACAACCAACATTCAGACACATGTAGGGAAAATATTTCACACAAAAATTACCATTACAGACGATGAAAAAGTGGAAAAAGAGTCAAAATGGATGGCAGCTATTAAAAATAATTGGTAAAGACAAAACTTTAACGGAATATCCGATAAATAGTGAAAACGAGTTGGTTTCATAAATGTTTATAGTCCCAGGTATTGAATGTTATTAAATTGAAATTTTTATAAATATTTGAATGTCATTTAAAGTTGAAAGTCAGCTTCGATTGAAATTTATTTGCGCATTACCCAAACGCAATGTGTACCGTGTCTGTCCACATACCTGCAAATACTTAGTAGAGCAAACAACACAACGGAAATTAGTAAAACTTTTCAAACCCAACTTGAATGCTAGTTCGTTAAATTGTTGTGAAAACACTTTAAAGTGCATTTACTTGAAAGTTTATTTTGAGGACACTGTGTTGCCTTCAACATTTTTCCATCTTGTTAGTCCCTTGCTTAAAGCCTCTAGACCAGTTACTTTATATGCGTCACAGTTGTGTTTGACTAGTGAATGAGGGGAACGAGAATATGCCAGTGTAGGGTCGGGTAGTAGTAGTTTGGCATACTAAGACGACATCATGTGGATGACATTAGAGCATTTTTCTTTTGTGTGCGCAGCTGCCAACAACAGTTTTGCAGTTGCGTGGCTGCAAATTTGGGTTAACATGTCACGAATCTAGTCACAGTTTCTTGGCGCATCAAAGTATGCAATATTATCGCTTAAAGTGTCGCTCTTTGGCGTCTTTTGGCATTTAACTAACTGTTTCACCCCCTGTCCCTTCTTTCATTTTAGCGCGTTGGCTTTCTTTGTCTTGGACTGGGTATGTTCATCTCCCTTCTTTTCGGCTTCATTTTTGGTCTTATTCTGGGCACCACCGAAATGCCTTGGGGTCAAAATTCCGATTGGCCAACGGAGGAAATGCGCGGCAGGTAAGGCAATGGTAAGCAATGTTCAAAAAGCCCCAAATCAAACCCAATCAAGCTGAACAATTACGGTATATTGTCGAAAATACCTCACGTTCGCAACAATTCACCATGAACAATAAATTAATTCCGTTTATTTGGTCATATACAGATTGGGTATAATCAAATCTGAATGACATTTTCTGGAGTTGCAGCGACCGAATCTATTCAAATTCCAATTTGACTTTGATGTAGAATTTAATTAAGAGATATTCATGATTTGCAATTCGTTCATATCTTTGAACTCACAAATATGTCAAAGCCCAAAACAACGAGCTATCCATACGTTACAGTCCACCAAAGAAATATTTAACGTAACGACCCCATCTTTATAACAAGTCATATTCGAATTAAATAAGCCTTTTCATTCGAATTCTTTCGAATTTTCTTGACTTGATAAAAGCTTAAGGTTTGATAAAGATATGTATAAGTTAAAAAGTCTAATATAAAAGCAGGTTTGAAATCAGAGAAGATATAAACAGTATATTTTGGGCCGCCAAAAAGGTTGCAAATGCCCGCAGTGATTGGGAAAAAACATTAAGAATATTAATTAAGACTAATTACCACGTCATTCACTTCCCGGTGTCAAGAAGCTCGACGCACTTAAATCCCCCGAATTTCCAAAATGACTTAAGAGTTTGGAGAAAACTCAAAATCCATTAAATATGTTAATTATCCAGTGTCGCATGAAGCTCAGATGTTGGTACTTAAATTAGTCATTGGTAAATCTATGGGTGAGAATCTAACAAATTACTTGCAAATAAGTCAAATAATCTTAAGCCCTGGCGTGTGCTCGTTAAAAGGGCCTCCAGCCGACAATGCGAGGATACTTTAGTCTATATATATGAGCACACATTTATTACGGCATCGTTTTTTGTCGAAGAAATCTTTAAGTTGCCACGCGCCGTCTGTGTAAATCTGTTTCAACAGTGGGCACAACATAAGCTTAGGGAAGCACACGCCCCGTAACAGCAACAGCAGCAAGAGCAATAAATTAAGCTCAGCCACAGAATTCGCCGGAAGTTGCGTGAAATGAATGTGTGTCGGCAATTGTGTTAATTGCACAAAATAAATTGTTAAAATAATAATACACAATGTGGTATACTCATTTGAGCCTGACATCTATATGTGCCTAGCAGACATACATGCATACATATATAAATGCTATATGCAAGTGTATCTGTATAATTAAGTGCCGTGGTTTAGGCTTGTGCTCTATTGTTAGCCAGCTCCCACCCAAAGAGCCTATGACTATCAACAGCTTTATCATAATAATAGGTACACATAATGACTTCTTGCAGATTGCGTATGCCTATTCCGAGCATGCAATCAACATGAATTTCTTATGGTCATTCTTTGACCATAAGACAACGCCATTGTTGGCGTGCACTGAATTCAATAATTGTGTCACATGGCGCGTGCAAAAAGAGGCTTGATCAGACCGTAGGGTTAGCGAAGTTCATTTGTCAGCTACTCATTGATAACACTACTCGACAAAATCGAACTTTTTTTCCTTAGGGAACCAAACCGACTCTTTCTGATAGATTTGAGGCTTTACAAAAAATCGTAAAAAAAATCGTGTTTGGTAGTGAAATAGAAAAAGTGGCTAAGAGCGAAATTTCTCTTGAGAAAATATTCATTCGAGTAAAATATTTCTAACTAATTAAGTGATTAAGCTAACTGAGGTTTCTCCAGTTCCAGTATAAATTTTTAATTAGACCTTACATTTTGCAGAATGTTGGTACATATGTATGTATGTATGTTATTTTTATTAGGCAAATAAAATATGTACCTAAATTCTTTCTAGATTGCACACACCTTTCTTTTAAAGCATAAATATTTTCCACACCGAACCCTTCTCTTCTGGTTGCATGATGAATTATCAGAATATTCGGCTTATACTTATATTTATACTATGCGAAGTCCTTTATTGAATCTAAACAATCTTAAATCAGAACCAATAGTGACTTATGTTTTAGCACTATTTAGTTCTATGTACTACTCATTGACACAGAAAGAGGGACGAGAAGCTCGTTCCATTTTACCACATGGTAACAGCATTATTTTTAAAACGTTTTAACACGCAATCCTAAACCAGTTTAAGCAGTTCAAGCTCTCATGCGCCCTCATTTGCATGACTTTCAATATACGAATTTCAACCATTAACAATTTGTTGGATAAATGTACAATATTCCTAGCCAAATGTTTGGACCATAATTGAGCGTAAATTGCCGCCACATAACAAAGTTGTTTTTTGAATAAAAATTTAAATACTTATACATCTCAAACTCTAGCATTCATAAAATAAAACTCACACCTACGACGACCCAGCAAAGCAAAGTTGCCATTAATCAAGAAAAGTTGTTCCAAGGTAAAGAATATACGAATGAATCAAAGCCGAGAAAGGCGTGGCACAGCTTACAATACCCTTCTGTGTTTTTGGTTTAGTACACGCGTGATTCTCACGCGAGTCAGTACATAATATATATATAAAATATATTTTTTATAAGAGACAACAAATGGACTCCGTTGTTAAGACTATAGGCAAATAGCTATAAAATCGGAACATCTTTTTCTGAATCAAAAGAATCGTCGTAAGAATATGCCCCCAGTTAGGGTATTAAAACTCGTCGCAAAGTTTGCTAACATTTTTCGCGATTAAATGACTGTGACTCCTGACTCGACGAGTCCTGGGCGACCAACTTGGTTGGCGGAAGTGATAACAAAGCCGCTGACACTTGACAAACTTGCGCGAATGTCAAAAAATCTTCGCGGATTGAGAAAAAGTATAAAAAGCCAGCGTCACCTGGGAACAGAGAAACGCTCTGATCTCCCGCTGACCCTGCCTGGATAAGGCAGATAAGCAGTGTCAGCGACAGTCATCGGTTGTTGGCCAAACATTCATCTTAATGTGACTTAATTTGCAGCTACCGCCTACACACCACCCCAGCACAAATCCAACAATATACAACGGATGTAGCATTTAGTGGGAGGGTGGACATTTGTCATTTGCCTTCTGTTGTATTTTTAATTAATTTTCATAATACTTTTTTACTTTTTCGTTTGCCAATTTAGAGTTGATTTTTCAATAATTTATCTTTCAATTCACAGAGGCAATGTGCGCGCCTTGTGGATGGGCGTTCTGTGGGCGTTAACATCTGGCACTGGCGTGGCCGTGGCCTTGCTGCAGGGCTCTGCTGGCCCGTTGATTGGTGTTGCCATTTCGGCCTCTCTGTTGCCCCCCGTTGTCAATTGCGTGAGTACCTACTTTTATGTATGTATGTATTTACGAACAAGTGCAAAATGTAATATTTGTCTGAAGTATGCTTAATTGGTAAGCCGATACCTGATTTTAACAAAAGACACATCCAGAATACATATAAAGGAAAATAAATATTGTGATGGAGAATCCCACTTATTGAAGAGATTTCCCGTAACCTTGAATTGCCTTTTTTGTAGAAATTTGTCTCATTAGTAAGCTTTTACCAAAAACATCGATAACACTACTCGCAGAACTTTTTCCTGGATCCAAACCGACTCTTCTGATGATATGGGGTTTAAAATTTTTTAATATGGTTTTTGGCTTATTCTGATTTTTTTTTAGGTTCCGGGGGGGCAGGGGGGGCCAGGCGGGGGCCGAAGGACAAAGCAAACGACGGGTTACATTGGTACCTGATCGCGTCCTTTGTTCCATTGGCAGGGGCCGCCGCCCAGGGTTCGGGTAGGCAGGCGGCAAGGCATTGCTTTCGTATCCGACGGGGCTCTGCCCGGTTCGGGCCATTAAGTCGCTACACCATTCTAGCCCCAACTTTAGAAGACGTTTTGTTCCTTGGAAAATCGTGTTGACTGTGTAATCTGTGAAAGGACTGCGCAGTTGATAATTTCAGTACGTGAACAGATGGCAGTAATATATTTCCGGGAAATATTTGTATCAGGCTTAAAATTTAAAAGCGCTTCTAGATACCATTTATACATTATTATTCTGATAACATCATTCTAATCGAACTTCAAAAGCATTCAGTTCAAATGAAAAAATCACGAATAGTTATTTCCAAACAATTTACAAAATACTGCTATGGGACTCAAGCTAACTCAAGCATCCAGGTTCATACCTGCAATTCAAGTGCTGCAATAATTCATAAACCCCGTAGAAACTGCAGTGTTGTTGCAAGCTAAGGTCAGATATGTTGACATAACCGACCTAAAGGCCAGCCAAAGATTGGTATAGGAAAATTCAAGCGAGAACAGAATAAGTTTGGCCATTTAATTTTATGTTGAACCCTTGAAGTGAACCTCGCCATAAATTAGGCCGTAACACAATTTGCTGATTAATCTGAAGTGCATTGCCCAAAAACTTTTCCCCATAAATCTGCCCGGTCACAGGAGTTTGAGCAGAAAGCGCTCGGGACCAGTTCTCAGCTATTTTCCTACTTTGTGTGACGTAACCGCAACGAGTGCATAAATTTTGACCCAATTTTCAAGTGTAAATTGTGAAACCGGACCAAGAAGAAGTCTGTTTTCCAACTGAAAGCGGATGTTGCGTAAAATTATAAAGCGAGCACACACACTGCAAACGAGACAGCAGAAGGCTCCAAAGGGAAACGCATACAAAAACTTGCACATAGCAAACGGCAGAGCAAGTGCCACACAAACAAACAAACTATCCAGCAACGCCGCTTGCTGACATTTATCAATGCTGACAGAAAGACAAAGGCGCGACTGGAAGGCGTAGGCCACAAGCATGACAAAATGATGCAAAAGGCAAATTATGGACACTGGGTAATGGCTAATGGAGGCAAGAGACGCAGCCAGCGCAGAGAGGAAGCTTCGACTGAACTTTAACCGGCTAAAACAATGGCGCTGAAATCGCTTAATCATAGCGGCCACTGGAGCAAGTGTGCATGTACCGTTTTTCCACATACATATTTCCATTTTTCAGTCAACTTACATGAGTCTGGGCTGCATAAGTCAGTGGCTCGCACTGAAACTGAAGTGCTACCTGTCGTTGTTTCTTTAATCCATGTTATTTTTTTTTTTGTTTATTCAGCACAGTAAAAAAAACGTGTTACAATTAATTTCTATTTAATGCAATTGCTGATAATTTAAACAAAATCGCGCTTCATGACTCATGTACGTCAAATCCAAACACTCAATAATTTACAGAGCAATGGTCAAAAATTCTTATAATAACGAAAATAGAAAGTAAATCGAGAAATAGCTATGAGCTCGCAGACAATCGTAATCACAAACACACACCCGTACATATACAGGAGGCACGCACTTCCGGACTTGCTGAGCTGTGTGCTGAGTCATTATAATTTATAATAGCAAAGAAGAGAAACAAAAAAGCAAAAACGAAGAAAACAGGAGAATAAAAGGACGAGCAGAAAATGCGACAATGATATTTTATCTGTGAGTTTGTATGTCTCCCACACACACTGAAAAGTTATAACAATTCAAGGCCGACAGGCACACTACTTTGTATGCCAGAGGCGCACACCCCTTCCAATGCCCATTCGGAACTAAGCACGCGGCGACCTTATGACCTCGAAAGCAGACGCGCCAGTCCACATGTGACCGACCATCAGAGCAGCAGTCACACTCTTGCTCATCTGTCTGACTTTCTTCTCTTTGCTTTGCAGGGTCTATTTTGGTCACTGGCCTGCATTTGGCTTATATATCCAGAGAAGCGTATACCGCACTTGAAAAACGAGGCAATGAACTCAACCAGCTCGTATCCCTTCATCTACACGAGCTACTTGCCTACGGAATTTCTGATCAATGGCATTGTGTCCGCTTGTCTGACTATTGTGAATGTGATTTGCATATTTATCACCGCAATAATTGTTTTGAAGATAAAAGAAGTATCGGCGCCATATACTGCTAGTCCGGACTTAAAGCGGTGAGTAAATTCGTAGTTCAATTAGATAATACATAATATACTTTTTACGATCAAATGAAAAATTTGTTCAGCGAAAATTTATATACTTGTACACAATCCTTAACAATGACATTGACTTTGATTTAATTAGGTCTAAGTTGATAAATCTGTTTGTTTATTGGTTTGCTAAATCTTAGATTAAACCAATACCAAGGTTTCAAGTCCACAATGGGTAAACACATTTTCCACAACGACACATGTGTGCTCCGCCCAAACTAGCTAGGGAAATTAACTTATATTGTCTGACACTTGACCAGGCTGCACATTTAGATCAGTAAAATGCTATGGCTCAACAGAGTATCGGAAAAACGATTCATATTCGTACATTCCGACACAGTCAGTCGGTATACAAGTATTTTGGGGTTATATTGTTGTTGGCGCATTTTGAGAAAAAATTTATTCCAGTTTGGAAAGCCTTTTTGGGAAAACGATTTGATAGAAACGTCTTCTGAATTGTATCCAACACTCACAGAAAATAATATTAGCTTGCGCATTGCTTGTTTGCGATGTTTAGCTTGCAAGTGCTTCGTCCAAAATATGATGTATCGCATAATTAACTTACTTATTTCATGTTTTTTCCCCAGTTGCCGAGTGGTCAAGGCAATCTTAAAGAAAATAAATACCCTCAATTGCCAGCTGATATGACAAATGGGAAGCCAAGCTTCAGTCTTAGTCTGCGTCAGTGTGTCGAGGCCCCTTTGTCAGTCCAGATGTGTAGCTCGCTGGGACGACCTTTAATTTTCGAAAGTGGCGCAGTAAATAACTTTAAGAGAAAGCTTAAAATTTGTCTATCCCAGTCGCCAACATACTTTTGCTACCATAAACTGACCGCGAAGGAGTGTACCATTTTATTTTATGTTTTTTTTTTCCATTGCACATACGTACATACATACATACATATGTACAATGTGCAAAAACATTTTTTCGTCTATTTCAACGATTATTTAAGCACGCATACGTTCTCTAGCCACGTTTCGGGTTGTTTGTCTAGCTTTTCAAAATTTTGTATGCTGAATTCATACTCTTGCAAAGTATTTATTTTGACCAGAAGTTTGCGAGTACCAGTACAATATTGGCCATATCGACTATTGTGAACGATATTTACAATTGTACACTGGTGGAGTAGGTCGAAATCAGATTGCTATATAATCTAGCTCTCATAGTATCTATTGGCCAGAACGTACATTTGTGTAAATTTGCTAGAGCTATCCGTTCCCGATTGTTTTGTCTGTTTGTTTTTCTGCACTTTTTCCTGTGCGAAGAGTCCAATACTCGCATGCAGTGGCGACCCTGTTCTGCGACTGCGACCCTCTTCAAATAAAAGGAAGCGATATTGAAGGCCAGTCTAAGTGGGAGAGTGGGGAGAACTGTGAGTTTAAGGGCCGCTTAGCATACGCCAGGCCATGCCAGGCGGTTTAGTTTTCGTTCCGCAGACTGTTGCATTACGCATAAAATGCATGATTTCATATTTATTTGTTGTTATTCAGTATGCACGGCTTTGGCGAATTTATTTTGTTTTCATTTGTGGGGGTTTCTTTTGACAGCGGTTTATGGTTTCAAATTTTGTTTCTCTTGCAATTCAAAATGATTTTTATTAGGTTTGTGTCCGACAGATGCTTATGCTGACACAACTAGAGAAAGTTGCTGCTAAGAAGCGTCACGACAATAGTCTGAAGGATGTTTCATATAATAATCAAAATTCAGATGAGTTGAACTGAAGCAAAAGTTTTTTTAGAAAGTTATCGAAAATATTATTTAAAAGATGGGGCACAAAATAATATTTCAAGGAATTAAATTATCTTTGTTACCTTAATATTAATACACCACACAGCTATAATCTATAATATCATTTAGCTATTTTTTTTTTAATTTTTAATTACAACAGCTTTTGGGAAACCGATCTTCGCACCGTGCGCAAGACAAATCGCTCAACATTGCGAAATTCCACCGCTCGTACTCGTGGCAGTATCGCAGGGACAGGAATAGGAACTGTCAGGGGGATGGACAAGCTATTTGGGTGAGTGGTAAACATAGATAAGAGAAAACTCCTTTGCAAGATGCCTCTTAGTAGATTTTTATGTGTCGCTTAGAATTGCTTTCTGTATGTTTACGAGGGTATAAATTGGTAAACTCATGCAGTATGTCCTGCGGCAAGGAAATTTACTTCACACATTTTTCATGGAAAAAAATTTGACAAGGTAAATAACAAAAGTATTTATGTCAGGGCAAGGGAATCTGAAAAAGGTGAACGAGAAAAGTGGTACATCTATAGAAAATTTGTTATCGCTTAATTGAAATCATTTTCAAGTATTTATGGTGTTCCTGAGCTATGGAAAAGGTAAGAAATGGTCGTAAAATAGGTTATTAGTTAACTCAATAACACATTTAGATCAATGTGTAATTTAAGTAATTTTTTTACACTTTATAAACAACTAATTATCTTTAAATTAAGAACAAAATGACGACATTTCCTTACTAAAAAAAATACAAATAAGTATAAAGTTCATGTTTTTTCAGAAAAATTAATTAATCTTTGATAGAACGCTTCTATATCCGCATTGTTTCACTTGTGACCGTCCTTCTCCTTGTCCTCAGGAGCGGCCACTATCAAGGATTGGAAGAACGCGATGTCCAAATGGATAATGCCCTAGAGCGTGCCTTGGCTCAGGCCGAGAACGATGCTACCTTTAAAAAGGTCAAGCGGATGAGTTATTCGAGCAATGCGGCTGGTGAGGTGAGTTACTTTGATCTGTTTTAAACTCATTAAAAATGATTTGAATAGAGTTTCTATATGGGTTATCTACTCAAAGTAAATTTAAGAAATGTGCAATTTAATCTTAATATAAAAGTATATACAAATGTAAAAGTATTCTGCATGTCCTTGTCGTTGGCGGTTTAGCCACGACCAGACACTGTCGTAGTTTCAGCTGCTAGATAAGTTCGCAAATGGCGAATGATAATCATTTCCTCGCAAATGTGATCTTTAATATTAAATTTCAATTTGATTGATACAAACTCGTTTAAAACATTTTTAGAAGTTGAGCAAAATGGCGAAGCAGTTAACGACTTCCTTTTCCAATCTATTAGCATTTAGTTCACTGTTATGTTATACGTTGGGACTATTTAACACAAACCTATATATTTATAATTTTTTCATCAATGGCTCGATTGTCAAATTTCTTGTTAAAGTAATAGATATAATAATATTGATTCAGTTAAACATTTTTTGCTTGCCATCTATAAATATATGCAAATAAAAACGTCAAGGCAACCTGTTTATGTTTGTCCACGTCTTGCCTCATAGAAAAATATTGTCCGTAAAGTAGTCGCTTAATTTTTTGTTCCTAATGAATTTGATGAAATTTTACTTAGTTAAGATATTTTTGACTCAGACTTCTTCAATCCTATGAAAGACAAGAGGTCCTCTGACAGGAAGCTAAATGCTGCTAAAAGCTTAACTACTGTCAATTATTTGGTGAATTCAAATATAATGAACAGAGTCCAGAAAAAGTTGTCACCCATACACTTAAATAAAATAGAGAGTCAGGAAGAGCAAACGACTATGGAATTACAGATCTAATCTTAAGCGTTTAATTTGTCTTCACTTTATCGTATGAACCATTTTAATCCGCTAATGATTGGAAAGTGTACATTCCACAAGCCCGAATCCATAATTATAGGGCCAGTTAGTTGTTGCTATGCTTAGAAAAACTTTCTTAATTTCCTGTTTGAGGAATAGGCGTGCAAGGCGCTTCAATTAAAACTCGCCGGCAAGAAGCGTTCAAAAGCCATCCAAACGTCGATTGCTACAAATCAACTTCTACATAAAATTATTTTGGAGCAAGCGGATACAATTCAAAAGAGAAAGATGAGTAGATGGAGCTTTAGGTAGGATGGTACTTGAGCGGCAGACTGACATGCTCTAAATATTTAGAGAGGCAGACTACAAAATACCCGAGCGAAATGCAAAACCAACTTGCGAAGTGTACGACAACGCCCTCGAAAGCCACCCTCTCGACAGCTTGTAATCAGTTTAAAGTGAGTCCCGGCCACTAAAACTCAATTAACCCCATTTGAATGGAGCACGAGGCAATTGAAAAAACACAGAAACATAAAGCAAAAACGAAAATGAAAACGAATAACGAAACGAAGAGTGAGCAAATCAAGGCAAAAGATTAAAAACGGAAATGGTTGGCCATTGAGTATGCCACGGGAAGAGGGTCCTGGCGCGGCGGGGCATAGGAGAAGTGAGGGCTAAAGGTTGGCAGCATTTTTCACTTAAAACCTCATTGATACTCAATTACCAGGTCGGCACTCTGCTCCAGCTTGGACATAACAAACGGCGGATGCGAAACTCAGGAAAACGGAAGCACTTTGCAACGGAAATGAAACATCAATTAAAGTCGCACACCGAGCAGCTCGAAGCGGGCGCCATCGAAAGAAGAGTTGTGGCGCCCTGACAGACCTGCCAGCATTCGCTTTCGAAAATATATTGCTTTTCTTCCATTGCAAGTACGTCTGGTGGCATAAAAGAGGGAGAAAAATCACTATTTTGTATGCTCGTACGCTTGTTCAATTGCCACAAGGCCTAAGGGCATAATTCGTTAGTTTTTATTGCTTAATTGTAATTTCTCATACCAGAAAGTTTAATTGGTTACATTGAAATATTATTGATCCTAAAAACTACTTATTGAAGTAGTTTTAAAACAAGTAAAAACTCTGTGCAATCAAATTAAAATTTAAGTAAGCCTAAGAGCTATTGTAAGTTCATACATACATACATATGTACATATATCTGTTTTGTGGTGTTTATAGCTCACGGAACGTCTGGCAAAGATAGCCGGCCTCAACAGACTCAAAGCAGATGGCGACCCCGTGCAAACGAATTCAAGCAGCTTGGCTGGAAGCCGAATGAATTCAATCCCCAACTCTCAGCTAAACGTCGATCTGAAGGCCCTAGATAAGCTCGTGAGTAGTCTGCTAGAGCAACATTCTTCTGGAAGTAAGTCTGCGCAGACTGGCACCCGCACTCCACCCCTGCAGCGGATGGCTTCCAAAAAGTTGAATCGCTGGCGTCCTTTATCTCGATCGGCACACAACTATACACGTGGTGAAGGTAGCGATAATATTGGAGGGAGTTTCACGCAGCTGTTGGAGCGCAGCGAACCGCAGTCAACTTTGGCACAGCACGCACCCAACATGCCGACAATAATGGAGAGCAGCGCTGGAAGCCCAACTCAAAACAATGCGCAGCAGCAGTCCTCCCACCACCCATGGACCTCTTCGCTGGATGGTACACCAGGAGCAGTGCGTAACGTTCTCCACAATATCAGTCAGGCTGCCTCTGCTGCTACTAGGCGAGAGGACGAAGATCAACTGAATTTGACAAATAATTATATGGGATAAGTTATCTGAAACTATGTATTCAAAAAGAAGCTCATATGCATTCGACTGGACATACATATGTATTTTCATGTACTCACGCAAACTTCTAGGCCCAATTGATAAAAATTTGTGTGTAAGAGTAAGGCTTGATTTTTGCTTAAACTTAACTTAAGCTATGCACATATATACATAAACATATTTGCAATATTCTCACCTGTCTTTCCATAACACCCGACAGCTGCTCCCTCTCAGCATGTCGATAATATCCTGTTAGATTTGCACCAAGTCGCATGGTCACTTCGTAACGAGTTTTCCCGCTGCGTGCTGAATTGGGATTACTTCTCAGAACCGAGTAGCTCTGACTGGAACTAACAGTAGCTTCGTTGTAATTGTCAAAGTTGCAGCCATTGTGACAATCGAGGGAGCTCGCATTAATAGTGCATCCTAAAAAGAATATATATCACATACATAAGTACGAACAATCTGTGTCGCACAAGAATAAGAATGATATGAGGGGCAGTAGAACCTGTATAAAAGTCATAACGTCAGGTGAATATGAATTAGAAGAATGTTTCAAGAGTGCACTTGGATACTATTGCTTCTGCCCATTCCTGTTACTCCACTAAAATCGCCCCACTCTGTACCGGGAAAAAGACGCGAGGTTCGAAATCGATTAAATATAATTTTTTCATCTGCAGAAACCTCCAGGTTTTGCCTTTTTACAAGAAAATATTCCAGGTTTTCTAGAATGCTAATTTAGTTATTATTCACGATATCTCAAATTTGGCAATTACCGATGAAGACTCCCGTCTACTCTTTAGCTCCACTAAAGGATCCCTCCAGTGATAACCTGATGTTTTGCATGGCATTCCTTGCTTCTCTTTTAATGCTTTCAGTTGCAGTTGGTATAAATTGTTATTATGTTTGCACGCACTTTTCGATTAGATGGTTCGAGAGGGCTTCTAGAGGGAGAGCGACGAAGCCACCCTCCGCTTGAATGTCTTTTTATTATTTTTTGTATGTGCATAGTATTGCCACCTCAGCTGGCATCGAGTGCATTCTTAATGATAATGATTTCCCTAATTAAATTTTCTCTTTAACAACTTTTCCCTTTGTCATGCACTGTACCTCTTTCACTCGTACATATGTATGTATGTATGTACTTCGCGGAGGAAGCGACACTTTTCTGCACTGGCGCCTATTATGTTTATATCTCACGTTTAGATTTATTATTGCACTTACCCTGCGTGGTCCTCTTTATTTCGGGTATTTCACATTTAGTTCCTTTGTACCCCACTGGACAGTGGCAAGTTATGGCCGCATCACCAATGTGCCTGAAAATTACGATAAAAAAAACCGGCTTATACATATGTAAGTGAAAATATACCCTTTATACATATGTACATATGGGCCTTAAGTAATTAAATTTGATATCGGTACTACCTATTAGGTATGTACTTATATACACACATATACATATGTGTGTATGTATGCCTTCTTATTGCAGTCCATTCAATAAATAAAAACAAACAAAATCAAATCGTCTCTCTTCTTTACTGTAACTGTGAAAAAAGTTCAGTGCACAAAAGAACTGAAATGAGAGCAAAGCAAAGGGTGGAATGCGTGTCAGCTCATGTCCCTCTCTGAGAGCGCGCACCGATCGACTCTCCCAGTTTCGCTGAGGTTCTCAACAACACTGTCTGCTTGCGGCGTACATACTTTGAAACGGAGCGACAGAACTAAGAATTGAAAACTCGAAATCAGTTGTTTGATCTCGCGCAGACAAAGTTTTACAAAGAATTAGCCTGTCAACAACATAAAATAAAGCTGCAAGTGATGCTAATATGTACATATATGCATATAGACTTTTACATAAGTATGTATGTAGTTATTTTTGATTGATTCTATTGCGTTGCTAATATATAGCTGGCAGAAAAATGTAACTTAAATATGCTTGTATGTAGGAGTGTACGTGTAGAAAAATCGTTACATATACTTACTTGCACGTTCCACCGTTTTGGCACACGTTAGTATGGCTGTCTTTGCATAACGGACCATGTCCACAATCGCTGCCACTGAAGCCTGGAAAACAGGCGCAACCATACGAACTGCAAATATATATTAAAACGGGGGATGTGAGCACGGTTCGAGTTCTATTTGTGATCGCATCGCGTGTGTTGTTTGTTTGAAACTGTAAAGTTGGCACCCTCTGGTCAGACCCCACAAGTTGTCAGCCCAACGCTCACATTTATTTACATATCTCTGAGATTGCACCTTGACACAACCGATGAGCTTGTGACTAGATTGTGACTCATAAAAGTTTTATTGGATTTTTTTGATGAAGGAATTTTACAAGGTACGTGCCTAAGCTGAATTTATAGTTATTTCAAAATCATCTTCAAAACAAATCAAACACTACAGACAATATTTTAAATATATAATATTTAGACCAAAGCAAATTCAAATACTCAAATCGTCGCCTTGAATATTTTTACCATTTCAAATAACAAATATTTATTTATCTCTCTAAAACTATTGGCATTTAATCAACTCAAATTTTGTTTTCTAAAAATCCATATAAATTTAATCATTTGAGTTCCTTGACAGGCATCTCGTTGTTGTCCTCTGGTGGTTAAACTAAATTCGAACTTAACGAGAAAATCATTCTAATTGGTCGAAACATTAAAAAACGTGGCGAAAACGACATACATTTTTTGGACGCTTAGCCAGAAAAAAAATCGAACGGCTTGTTGTCCAGAGAACAAAAAACTTTGAGAAAAATGTTCATGTCACATAAGTTTTACTTCTATTCGAAAATTTATTTTTTCATTCTAAATTTTGAGTTGGGTGAGTTGGCCGTAATTATTTTAAATATTTTGGTTTATAAAGAGTCCCGTTCAACCAAAATGCATACATATAATGCTTTTTACATTTTTATCTCGCTAACTATGTTAATATAAAAAAAAAACACTTCGTATTCTCGGAATGAAGTCATTTATCATTTGTGCAAATGGAAATGTATTGCTTGGAAGTCCGCCATATCTAATATTTACCTAATATTCTGGCATTGTTCTTATGTATAGAATGTGAAGGCTTGTACGCTTTGGTTGCTATTGTATTGCGGAAATTAATTATTGCCTCTATGTTCGGACATCTGCGCAGCTTACAAGTCCATGCAACCTACTGCTCGCCATCTCTTCTATTGCTTGTTATGCCCTCTGTGACGGAAACGTTTTTTTTTCTACTTAAACTTCACATGACTGGGCTTTAAGCTTGTTTTATACTGTTGAATAAGTAGTATTTTTGCTATTTCACATGCATCTCGAATCTGTTTAACAGAATGCTGTATTTTTAAATTCATCGACAGGCGTTCGTAAGAATAAACTAGCCGGGAAAATAACGAATTCCCTCCTGCTTTGAAGCTAAACCTTCTTCGTTTCATTGAAACAGGCTTTGCATTTTTTACGAATCATTGAAAATCACCTGCAGCTGGCTTTATTCGAGTGCTCGCCAGTATCTCTAGAATTTTTTTTTCGTTCGTAATTCTGTATATTTTGCGACATGTGCACCCCAAAGTTTTTTTCTCACACAAAATATTTGGCACACAGCGTTTTATTTTTAAGGGTCTGCGGGTCTTTTGTTTAAAATAAAAATTAAAAGTACAGTTCATACGGCAGATGTAGCACTTTTTTTGGTAGAAGGGAACAGGGATTTTCATGGTTCTCCGAGAGAAGGCATTGTTTTGACTGCATGCGAAATCGATTTGAACTGCGCATTTTAAATTCATTCAAATTTGAAAAGCCGAACAATTAAATTCGCTTGCCAAAAATCTGCGACTATTTTATAGGACTCCACTCGAAAACTGCTAACAAAGCATACATATGCTAAACTGCTTTTGGCTAACCCAAAAATCACACATATGGCTTCCGTGGATACTTTGCCATATCCTTCGCTAACATTTCTTTCTCGCATCGATAAAGAAGTATAAACAGTTGATCGAAAGTGCTATGCAGGAGTGGATAAGTCTGTTATGGGTTACTTAGTTGGAAGCAGAAAACAAAATTTTATAAGGTTTTTTGACAAAAAGCCAAAGCGCAAGTACTGATGAAAATATGGAAAGCAAAAATCATAAAGTTGTGCTATACATATATACATATGGTAAGATCCGCTTGAATTAGTGTATGAGTATGTATGCTGGTCTAGGCACCTGACGATAAAATAAAATGAAATTTCAACAAATTGCTGCCGGCACGTGTGAAGGTTAAAGCAACCGGTTGAAAAAAGTAACGTCTAAACGTTGGCACTTACTTTTGCACCCTTACATATATTACAATAAAATTTAATTTGATGGACAGAAATAGGGATTGTTGAATGGTTTGTGGCGGCAATTTATTCACTCAGCGCTCGTAAAACACATACATAAATACCAAAATATGCAAAATACATATGTACATGTATTGTACGAAACGTACTCACATATAAAAGGGTAAACATACGCACATATGTATATGCAAATATATATATATTTTTTAATGTTTATTCCTTTTTTGTGCAATTCCTAAACCTTTTTTGTTTATTTAATTCCAAATTTTAGTTATGCTTTTGTTTACACTAGTAATTGTATTATCAAGCGAGAATACATATTTGGTTGAAGTTGCAGATTCGCAAATGTATACCAGTTTTGAGACTTTGGCATAAAAGTTAAAACTTTTCTTAGTCAAGTGAGGTGCGTATTCGCGACGAAGTTCGATGTGCCAAGTTAATTCAGGAAAATTAAAAGTTTTTATTAAGCGGAATTTTTTCAGAGATGATCTGACCCTAAAATAAGACCAATGTTCAATAATTGGGACCAAACAAAACTCAGTCTCCGCCATTACTCCATGTGTGCAGTTTCTCGACTTTGGATAAATAACAATGTTTGACATGGCAAACAATGTACGAGGCGCACTCATTCAAATCGGAATGACACTGACAAAGATACCATGTGGCGAGCTGCACATGCAGCGGTCACATCGATGCACTCCACCACCTCTCTCCTTCGCCCTTTCGTGTTCTTAGTCCCGCACTGAACCTGACCTCATTTGATGCTGACATTTTGTTTGCTCAGCAGCAGCTACGTTTTTTGTTATTAAAGCTGTATCAGACGCAGATCCAGAGCCGTAGGCAACGCACATTGATTGCTAAACGTTTACTACTCCTCCCATCCCTTCTGCTGCGGTTTAGGGCACACACAATTTGCCGCTTGAATGTGGCCCAATTCTGAGTCGATGTCATTGCCGTTGGTGCTTCTTCCCCTTGTTTCCCGATAACTGTGCTGGCCTTTTTAAAGGTTGCCAATCAGTTGGATAGGGGTTGTTTTGTACACCCTCGAAATGCTATGGCCCACAATCACAAACCTGCGTCCTTGGCTATAGAGGAAACATCTCGCATCTATTCAACTGAGTTTGTACTTTTTGAATATGTATGTACATATGTATGTACATATATGCGAAACGCAAACGAATATTTGATACTTTTCTACTTCTTGACTATTCTACAGACTTTAAGAAGAAGATGAAATTACTGGATCAGTTCAATATAGAGCTTTTTAATGACCCTCAAAGCGAAAACTTTTTCAATTAAGCGTCTGTTAATGAAAATATAGAGTTGAGGCAAATATCCTCCAAAAAGGGAAAGAAACCCAAATTGAATGCCCAACCAAAATGGCTTAAAACCGAAAAAAGTATTTAAAAATATAAATTGCTTACTGCTCTGTGGAGTTTTGCGGTGAGGTGCAACAGATTTTCATTGCCCAACAAATGGATGAACGCACATTTCAGGCAATACTGATTCAACAAATAAAAGTATTAAAATTCTTGTAGAAATGCAGTCAGTTAGTCGTCATTAAAAGGGAAAGAAAAAACGAAATAAAAAAGGGAATGGCAAGAGCAGACTTCATTCTGGCTAATGGCCAATTGCTTATGCCTTATTGTTTCTGCTTGCCTTTTTTCTGCTGGTAACAGTTTATAGAAAAGCAGTTTTCATGCAACGAAAATTTTCAGCACTACAATGACCAAATTAAAGAAGTGAACGGATATACGAATATTTAGTGCCTTCTGATACTTTAGATTCATAGAAATAAAATAAATTAACTAAATTAAATATTTTAAATTTAAAATCGTTAACGTAATGCTGAATTAATCATGCGACTGTACGTTAGCCATTCGACGGCGCTTTTTAAAAATTCGAGCACGCTTACGAATCATACGCAGAGCTCACGAGATAATCGAAACAGTTAATAAAAAATAGAGGCACGAACAAATTAATAAAGGAAAAAGAATAAAGCATCAAAACTGAATGACACATAAGATTTAGAGACGCGCCTAAATTTGTTCATCATCTACGAGTATTTAACTTGCTCAACAATAGAGATGATGAAAGCTAGAGCCATAGATGAGAATCCAATGCGACGTCGTGCTAAGAACAAATATAAAGTAAAGATTGTGTTGAAGGATTTCAGCTATTCTATTCGTCGCTCTCATCGCCTTCCAAACTCGGATGTTCGTGCTGTTTACAGTTTTACGTAGTGAATTATGAGACCTTTAGTTGGTAATTAAGTTACAGGCTGCTACGTTTCAGGCGTAAAATTTATTTTTGACGAACGGAACAGCGATGAGAGGTCCGAAATACTAACAACTTACAAAGAAAGTTCAGCTGTCACTTTTGTATTAAATTTTCCTTGTAGGAGCTCAACTTGCTTTCATTTTGGCATTGATATTAATATTCAATTAGCTTAGCGAATACACGGTATCTTGGCCCACCAATTAATTCTAGTTATTTTAAGTACTCATGGAAGTGAAGTGGCAAACTTTTTCTTCGTTTTTCACAAATTCCTGACAAAAGATTTTGAAAACTAGCAGCACCATACATATCGCTCCTCCGCAGCAAACAAATTTTGATTTGTTAAATCTCTCGGGTCATTGTTGTACTCAGTGCTATTTCGGTGTTATATGCTCTCGCAATTTGTAATTGTTGTCATTAAACCTTATAATTGTTCCAAAGCGAATCAATTACCTGTGTTACCTATGCGAGATAGTTCCACGTGTCTTTTATGAATCCGTTTCAGCAAGCACCTGTTCAATTAATCAAACAGCAGAACAGTCTGTCCGCGACTTGACTTGAACGGGTACATGTCACACTATACCTCATGATCTCATGCTTACCACTGCACGTCAAGCTCAATTTCAAAGCTTATCCATAAAAACCCCTTTTACCTGCATTTTTTCAGAACAAATGCATCACGCTTTTGCATCACGTCTTTCTTTTGACTATTAACGTGTATTTTCGTTTTTTTAATTTTTGTTTGCTTCTGTTTTTTTTTTTTTAATGTCGACGTCTACGCTGGGGATTTCAGGAGGCTGAAACCCTACTTGGGTTAGTTGGAAAGCCTTGAATCGAACCCGACACAAAAATTCAAAAGCCGAAACAGTTCAGCAACTTTTTCATTAGTTAATTTTCATTGAACACCAAAAGGAAAAAGATTGATGTGCAAGCAGTTAACAGCTTCAATGGCTACCTGTCTGTGATTTTTGTGTGCCATTGGCATTCCTCCATATATTTTATATTTTATATGGTACGTTTCCGGAAATTAACTTTTTCACATAATGAAAGAGCTAATTTCTCTTTACGCTCCTATATAAGTACTATTTACTCATGCCTACACTCTAGCTTACACTCTGCCACTAACCATACAGTATATGTATACTGTATGGTTAGTGACTCTGCTTACACTCTAGAAGATATTTTGAGTGGTGGAGTATGACTTTTAAATGGTTAAATTCTTCTTCTTTAACAATCCTGAAAATTACAAATCATATTTTTCCGAAAAGAAACCAAACAAAAATAATCAAATTAAAAATTCCAATTTATCACACTTATCAGTAAAAGTTTAAATTTAATATAGAATAAATAGTTTATATAATATTATCATAATTTCATCATACTTAAACATACCCAAAGTCAGCGCTGGCATAGCAATCTCCAAGAAAGCGACATTGGAGAGTATTGCACTGCGATTCCTTCACATCATGCTGCACCTCGTATGTTATGTTGAAGCCGTACACATCCAGTAAGCGATCCAGTGCACGTAAATGAGTTCCGTCCAAGGTTTCCATAGTAAACCTTATCTCCAAATACTGACTGTGGAACTGCACCCAGGAGACCTGGGTTACTTCGTCTTCAGTCAGGGTAAAAAGGCGGTGCGCTGGCACCTTGAAGTCATCAGAGTAATACATATACTCGGTGAGCTTGAGACCGCTCAGCACGTAAAGTTGTGTTAGATAGACTACTATAGATATATTTTCCTTCCCCTGAGATGTTGGCAAATCAGAGGCATCGATTATCCATATGCATTCGATTGGCGTGGAGAACCGATGTGGAAAGTTAGGTGTTTGAATGATGCCGTTTCTCGCCTTGAGCAGACCACCGCAGCCGGAACTGCCATATATGGTTCCTGTTAAGCGAGAGGGAGAGCGGTGACCCCCTAAAGCATGGTCACCCGCAAAGGCGTTCATGGAAAAGTTGTGCTTGGCCGCCGAGAAAGTCGGCGGTGGCGGCAGCGGTACGGCGGGCAACGAAAACTTTTGATCCATTCTGTATTGGTCATTCTGTTGATGTTTGTTTTCTATTTTGTCCTGAGGTGCCACTGGCAGCAGCATCACCAGAAATATCGTCGTTGATAGCCTGGCAAGTTTAATCAACAGCGACATTGACTTGGCCTTTTCTATTGCACCTCGTTCAATGTTATTCAGCTATACTTTCGCCTCGCTCAACAAAGCTATCATTTGCCAAGCTATTTAATAAGGACATGCGTGCAAGTTATAGTTTTTCTCAGTAACTCATTGACATCTGCCCCATTTTAACAACTGCAAATAAGAAAAAAAAAAGATCAAGTCAAATTTTAGTTAAACCCATTTGGACAGCTGTCGTTTGCATTTGAATAACTGCCGCTGGATCTTCCCGTTGGTATACCCATCCAACAAAACCATATTCTGTCAGCGTCAAAAAGCAATTTGAAAATCCACTAAAACTGCGGCTTGAAATGGCGTGCAGAAGCTGCCGGAGCACATCAATCATGGCTTCATGGGTGTCGTGAATCGTGGCCGGTCATAAAACAAAAACACAAAATGCTCACTTGCTTGCCCTCTTTTATTTTCTTTTCAACTTTCAAATTGTTTTCCCATATTTCGTAGGTACTCTTCTAAACTGCCCCTTTTTAGCTCTGATCTTAGATCTCAGAATCACTTAGGCAGTTACATACGGATTTACCATAAAATAATGATTAAGAAATTTATTCATGTGATGTTGGATCTTTCTTTTTCTAACGGTAGTCAACTAACGCGAATCGGATATACGGCTTTAATCTTATCAACCTCAAAAAAATGTGGGCGAAGTTCCAAAGCAATGAAAACATAACGATAATTAGACTATCCTAATCGTATATGCATGTACATGTGTACATATGTATGAATGTTCATATATGTATGTATATATAATATTTTACTTAAAGGTAAATAATTTCGATAACCTAATCAAAATGTAAAGTGCCAAATATCTTACGAATGTGGCTTTTCAGCCGCTGGATACATAAAATATTCATTGATTTGGAGAATTGTGCAATCTCTGTGACTTCTGTGGCCATTGATTATGCAATTATATATTCCTGTCGAAACGGAAATACCTACGCTAATATTCTGGAATTTTCGGTAAAATTTGACTCTTGATGTTAAATGTGTTCCTCATTGTACACACACCGTTGACTTTAAAGATTTGCCACACTTATGCATCCGTTGCGGTAGAAAGGTAGCGCGCGCGCGTTACTGCGTGTGTTAACAAGTTTAGTCAAGCGATAATTTCGCAAGCATATTCGCATACTTTAAGGCGTAACTATCGAATAAGACAAGTTCGCCATCATATTGTCGCAGTAGTAGGGTGAGTAGGTTGTAGAAGGGTGAGTTCAAGAGTGAAAATGAATTATACTTTTAAATTGCATTAGTTACCCATTGAAAGCATTTAGAATAACATTGTAATTATCTGATTAGCCTGTTTTGAACCTTCATAAAACTTTGAAATAATTTAATTTTTTTAAGATAGTTAAAAACTTCCTAACATTACAAAAATGTGTGAAGGGAATTATTATAATTTTTGTATATCCCTCCTGAGATGAGCAAAACTTGGTCGACGCCGCTGTTTTCTGGGCTCAAACGACCGTCTCGCATTTAACAATGACGCCTCGCATACCCAACACTTCTCCATAGATAAGAACACTAGGCAGGTACTTCAACTGATACCGATAAACATAAAGCTAGTCAGCCGTCGCTGTTGTCGCCGTTCGTGGCTATGCTGACGTTCGCTTCGCCAGCGTTACCGCGTCGGGCAAATTGCCAATTTAAATTGTCCACATTAAATTAGTCGAGTTATCAGCTTCCATAGCGGCAGGTGTGCAAAAAGTGCACAGGTCGGGCCGTAATAAAAGCTTTTTTCCCGCTACGCTTTATGCAGCCTTGAGGTTTTGAATAAAGTGATTCAGGCTCCAAAAAGCGTGGTGCGGAGCTGTTTATGACACAAACTGTAAAATATGACCCTTCTGAGTGCTCTTTAACACACCACAATTATAAGTGTTTTTTTTTTCTTAAATAGTTATTACATTATTTTTTTTTTGCTTGTACTCGCTTGTAAAGTCTTCAATGATACAGTGGCGGCATGACTAGTTTTCGTGTGTCGCTTAAGTGTTAAAACCAAAAAAAGTGATACAAATAAAAAAATATCCTAAAAATTAAATGAAATACTTAAAAAGTCAGAATACAGAGTGCAGTGCAGTTCAATATGTATTTTATTTATATAACAAATAGAAAACCAACGCATATATCTATCTTCGTCAATTTCCTGATACCGATATCTAATCAAAAAGATATGGCTGACATATTCTCAAACAATTCATGGAAAAATTTGAGTGTTTTAGAAAAAAATAGATCTGGTGTTATTGAATGAACTAAAATTTTATATTTCCCGAAATAGTTTGTCTTAAAACGTTCTGCACTTCTGAGACTACCAAAATAGGCCAATCGCGTAGTAAAGCTAACATTACTGGAATACCACCATACTTTGACCAAACCAAAAGCTTATCGAGACCACTTTAAGTTTTCCTTGAACAGACCTTGCTTGTTCAATAAAAAGGCATATGCTTTAACGGGAATCCAAACCTAAATAAAATTCAGCTATAGCTTCATTATGAAATGCAATGAAAAAAATCATTAAGGCAAGTGAAAACTAACATCAAGAAGAAGTGTGCTGATAAGAGCCAACGAAATGTCAATAAATTAATATAAATGAGTGACTCGTGACTTGCGACATTTGCGAATCACTTTGGCTCGGCCTTTCTCTTGTCGTAGTCGCTGCTGTTGTCGATATTGTTCGCTGCTCAACGAAGCAAATCAAAGCACGAAAAGTGAAGTAAACAAAAATACCCAGAAATTGTCACTTTTTGATTTGGAATATACATATATTCTGTTTGAAGCCTCCGAGATATCATATAAGAAAATAAAAAAAAAAATAGTTAAAGATAAAACAGTTATGTATAAATTACTAAGCGAAAAAAGGGTTTTTTTTAAATCATTATATTAGTCAATAGATCTAGCGCACTAGAACCAAGGCGGTAATTCCCACGAAATAATGCAAACCTCAGCGTTGTTTCCCTATAGGCCGATCGTTCAGAGCTTTTCAACAAACAATGAAAACCCCCGCATAAATGAAAAACAATTAAGAATTTTTAATGATAAGAGCAAAGCGATAAAAGGCAGCAAGTATACTGATTCATCGCTATAGCCCCAGAGCTAAACAAACTGAGACGTGGACAGAGACGGCGGTGTCGGTATGAACAAAAACAGGGGAATTGGTAGCAACTCGCTCTCAGTAGTAATTAATGCAGCACCAGTTGACGATGCGCATATTTTGTTAACTTTGAAACTTTTGTTCTTCAAACAAACTTATCAGATACAAAGCATGAGCTAATTTCTTTTGTTGAGGCAGTTGAAAAGTGAATGTGGTCAACATTGAATTTGAAATACGAGATGTTCAGATTCTTTGCGCTTTTCTGCAATATACAAACTAATGGTCTGCTGACCTTTCGGTTTTACACGACCGTTAAAGAGTACGTACCCGTATAAAATAAAACCGAAATAAGTATTCACTGTTCTTCCCTTTATAGACATGAAATATATAGATGCACAGTTTGCAAAAATTGGCACCAAACCCAGAAAATATATAGCAAAAATGTAAGATTTGATGATTTATGGTAATGGTTGGAATAATTAAAAGATTTCAATTGCATCAGCTGGATTTCAGATAAAGTTATAAAATAACAACTAACTATAGTGAATAACAAGATACGTTAATATACGTATAACAATTAAAAAAATAAAAACCAAGTGACAATATGGCCTGCTTTCCTCGATTGTTCCATCATCGAAGTAAAAATAAATTTACTCCCGCCCAAGATGAGAACACCGACACGATACTCAACACGCATGATAGTCCAGTGGTGAGTTTCTGCATGGCAGATCATGTTGTAGTAGTAATGATTTTGTCTGATAAGCCAACTGATAAGTTGATCAAGTGCTTAATTCAGTTAATAGAGGGCGGCAAGAAAACCCATATATAATATTTAGCCAAGCAAATCAGCTAAACTGTAGATGAGTCTTTCGACTTTAAGATACCAACAGTTTTAAAATGATAATGCAAAAGTGTATAAAAATGTTTTAGAAAAAAAATGTTAAGTAATAGGAACTATTTCGTTACTCTGACTGTGCTTTCCGATCCTGATAATCTGAAATACTTTTTCAGTCGAGGAAAATAGGGTATTGAACGGGTATTGAAAGACGATTGAAGCGAAACCTTGCTTCTCTTATCATTTATTTCACTAGTCATGACGTTCACTTTTTAAAATGTTTATAATGCGCTTGCATTATGCTTATAAAACACACAGAAAATTAACGGATGCAGGTGTGTAAGCGCCCTTTTTAATTTCATTAAATTTTGGCATGAATTTATCTTCTCCGAAAACTACCTCTGAAATTATAGGTATACAGATTTCATTTCACTAGTCATGACGTTCACTTTTTAAAATGTTTATAATGCGCTGCCTTATGCTTATAAAACACACAGAAAATTAACGGATGCAGGTGTGTAATTTCATTAAATTTTGGCATGAATTTATCTTCTCCGAAAACTACCTCTGAAATTATAGGTATACAGATTCTGTTTTCGTACATGTTTCTTCAAAATTCGTATATAAATTGTTCATACGAAACCATAGAAATTTATCTGGCCCATTTCAAACGAACTGTTCAATCTTAGCGATTTATCAACAACAAGCATACTACGACGATCTGGTATTAAATATGCAAAAATATCATAAGTATGCATATAAAAAGGTGGTGAAAGAGAAAAAACGTAGATAAAAGCATGCTAGAAACAGAAACTCATGTGCGGGCTCCTGGCAACCACTGCTCCAAATGTCATACAAATATGCAGAATTCTTAGGAGGCTATGTATAGACATACCTGTAACTGTCTCTTGTGCAAAAAACCCGCAAGGGCTATCATGTTTTTTTAGAGATGGAGATTACATAAGAATCCTTGTTGCAACTTTTTAATAGGCTGTACATTTATAAACGTCAACCTTTCGAGTAGTTTAAAGTCGACTCAAAATTTAATTAAATTTAGTTAGAAGTAATTATATTCAGCAAATATAAACCTTGCCGCCCACCGCCAATTAATTAAACAGAAAAAATGAATAATATGGTAAAAATATAATGTAATGGGGATAAAAGTATAGTTCTAATTTTTCAGCAAATTGGTTTGTACATTCGGCGCGAGGAAAAACCCCTTTACACGCCCATCGTTACACCCAGTGCTAGTGAGGTGAGTCTAGTAGCGCAACAACTATAGATACCCATTCCACATGTTAGAGTAAATGAGCTTGTTTTTTTGAAACACAATTAATATTTGCACACATGTACATATATGTTTCTTATACTTCCAAAAAAATTGATTCCAACACAACACTTGTAAATATGTACACATGCTGTTACACTAATGATGAAAACAACACCAATGCCCGCTCCGGCCACTCTCCACCTAATTCGAACAACAACGAAAAACTTGTGCACCTTCTTGTTTGTCTTGGTAAATGTTTGGCGGGATGGTTCTGGCTTTTGCTATTCTTCCACCTGTACCTTTAGGCCAAACTGCAACGGCTCAGACTGCAACCCACAAACACCGCCTCCTCATCTTCTTCACCCAGTAGTTTTCCTCTGCAGAGTTTGGCCGAAAATGGCAATTCAAAAAATACAAATAGCATGCAGAGGGAGCCAAAGAAGTTTCGCTCCAACAAGAGCAAACTGCAGGCAAGCAAAGGGAAGGAAAAGCAAGATGACGAGCCGCAGGTGGAGGGAGACTCTGTCAACGGCAATGAAATTATTGTCAGACGTTCAAATTCAAAATTAAAACCAGTCAAAGAGCGGCGACCCACAGCCCTGCCCACAGAAGCACCGAATATTGAGTTTGATGATGTGGAGGAGTCGGGAGCTAATGCAGATGGCGGTGCCTATGATAATGATGATGATACTGTAGACGGCAAGTCAAAACTCAAAGTGAATGAGAATGGCATTATTGATGAGGGCGGTGCCGATGACGTCGGCATGCCGTCAGGCACCACAACACCTTTAACGGAGGGAAATGTAAAGTTTTTCATTGGTCATACACAGGAACTAAGCACAGACCAAACAGATGATACTTTTTCCTGGCAAAGCAGCGATACCAACAACAACAACAATATCAATGGCATGCTGACCAATTGTGCATTGCGCCAGGATCGGCAAAAAGGTGTAGAGTTGCTTGAAGCTCCACCCAATGAAAAGAGTAGCAGCAATGTGTCACTCGATTATTTTACAAAGAACAGTGCAGACAGTCACCGTCGACGACGTGTATCCACCTTGCCTGATATTAACATACCACCAGCGCCGCCGATGCCTTCCGAGCTGTTGGTACCTGGAACACCTCTACACTTGCGGAAGAAACGAAGCGTAGAATGTCAGGAGAACCAACAAACAGACAACAAACTATGCCCTTTGGAGGCTTCGAATAATCAAGTAAGTAATGAGGAGTGTTACTGTTTCGCATGCGCTGAACTGCGCGGGACCATTTGTACATTTATTCACCTGCTTAACACAAAAACTATAAGGAAAACAAAAAAACACCTAAGCTACACTGTGAGGAAGAGAAGAGCCGACAAACCGAATCATTGACTCCAAAGGCTCACCGTGTGGAAGGTGGCCTGATCTATGTCCGACCGATTCACCCTATTCAAGGCGACATTGAAATTCAAGCAATTACAAAAGACAAAGCGTAAGTAAAGAAAATTTGCTTAAATAGAGAAACAAAAAAAAAAAACATCGGCTATTAACCAATGAATCCGTTCGCAGCACACACAATCTCATACATATGGCCATTGAACGCAATGATTTCCTTAATAACCTAATGGACAAAGAACGCAAGGAGATGGTTATCAATGCAATGGCGCCGGCTAGCTACAAAAAGAATAGTTACATCATACATGAGCATGAGGAAGGCTCTGAAATATATGTATCTGCAGAGGGTCACTACGATGTCATACGCGCGGGACAGCTTGTGGGCAACTTTGGACCGGGAACTGTATTTGGAGAGCTGGCAATACTCTATAATGCTCCCAGGCAGGCAACCATTAAGGGTAAATACCTTGTATTGTGAACCAAGAGAATACTAGATTGTCTGTTACATAGCTGCCACCGATGCCCGAGTGTGGAAAATAGCTCGTGAAACTTTTCGAGCCATCATGCAAATCTCCGGTTCCAGGGATCGTGAAGAAAACCTTCAATTCCTCCGGTCGGTTCCATTTCTGCAAGAGCTCGAAAAAAGCTTGCTCAACAAAGTTGTTGATCTTCTGCAAAGGGTAATAGATTTGAGCAAGACACTTTTTCTATTGATCTGTCATGAAATTCTTCATTACGCGGTAGAAATTTTATGAGACTGGGAGCTGCGTTGTACGTGAAGGCGAGGTAGGAAACGAGTTCTATATCATTCGAGGTGGAACCGTTACTATAAAGAAAGAGGACGAGTCAAACCAGGAACAAATTGTGGCAAGGCGCAAGCGAGGTGACTACTTTGGCGAACAGGCGCTTTTAAATGCGGATGTGCGACAGGCCAGTGTCTATGCAGATGCACCAGGCACTGAGGTACTAAAGTTGGATAGAGAGTGAGTTTCAAAGGAATTATAAAAACAGTCTCGATTTTAAATTTATATTTTGAAACAGAGCATTTATAAGCTATTTAGGAACTATCAAGCAACTTCGTGAAAAGCCTAATCAACGAATCGAGTCTCATGTTCGATCCAGCAACAAAAGTGTCGAATTTGATAACGAGCATGCCCAAATAGCCATCTCCGAACTAAAGAAAGTTGCTACTTTGGGCTCTGGTGCTTTTGGACGTGTGGATCTGGTTGCCTATGGCCAACAAACCTTTGCCCTGAAAATTATCAAGAAAATCGAGGTGGTCAAGCAAGATCAAATTGAGCACGTCTACAATGAAAAAAATGTAATGATTAAATGTAGAAACTCTCCTTTTATAGTACAGTGAGTATTCGAGTATGTAATCACTCTTTTTGCAAACTTCACATAAAGATATTTTAATGCAGACTCTACCGAACATACCGGAACGACAAATACGTTTACTTTCTAATGGAAGCGTGCATGGGCGGTGATGTATGGACAGTGATGTCGAAGCGGCAGTATTTTGAAGAAAAGACGGCCAAGTTTATAGCAGGCTGTGTAGTCGAAGCTTTTGATTTTTTGCACTCGCATAATTTCATTTACAGGGACTTGAAGCCTGAGAACCTCATGCTAGGTACCGATGGTTACTGTAAACTGGTATTTTTAATCAAATTTTTTTTGTGTTCAAATCACCTAATTAAAAAATATCCGCTAGGTGGACTTTGGTTTTGCCAAATATGTTCGGCCAAATGAGAAGACAAACACCTTTGCCGGTACCCCTGAATATGTAGCACCCGAGATTATTTTGGATCGTGGGCATGATCGTTCCGTCGACTACTGGGCATTGGGTATTCTAATATACGAACTGCTAGTTGGTAAAACGCCCTTTAGAGGCGTGAACCAAATTAAGATTTACCAGCAAATCCTCAGTGGTATTGATGTTATACACATGCCTACTCGAATCCCGAAATCCGCGCAGCACTTGGTTCGTCATCTGTGCAAACAACTGCCTGCTGAACGTTTGGGATATCAGCGCAAGGGGATTTCTGATATCAAGCGACACAGTTGGTTTGAAAGTCTGGATTGGCAGCGACTGAAAAATAAACAATTGCCTTCCCCGATAAAGCGACCATTAAAAAGTTGGACCGACTTGCAATATTTTGGACCGTCTGGCGTAGAAAATGATTATGAACCACCGGAAGAATTAAGCGGGTGGGACATGGACTTTTAATGCTTAGAAATATTTTAAAGGTAGTAGCATAATAAATTAAAGTGTATTCGGTTTAAGTTATTATGAGCGTTGCATTTATAAATATACATTTTGAAATTCCGGCTAAGTTATATAAGTACATATTGTTAAATCTTGTAACGTAAGTTACCTAAATATTAATAATAAATGTATATGTACGTGTGTATTCGATATATCTAAAACATATAATTTTATATACAGACCTAAGACTTAGACTAACATTAACTTTGTAAAAACTTAGACACGTTGTTTTCTATTTATCACACACGTGGTCTGTTCTGCTCGAAGTGGAGTAATTCAATCATCACCTTATTTGTATTCACGGATTCAATTAGAACCGAAAACTTGTTTTGTTTGCTATCATCAGAGCATACCGACGAATAAACAAAGAAATTCAATTAAGATTTTATGCCACTCATTGCTGGCCGAACGCAGCTTCGGCATCAGTTGATAAAGTTACATAAAACTACCTGACGGTCGGCTACCAGAAATTGTGGTAAGTCTTTCTCAATATCATGCATACATCAAATTTAATTTTTGTTATGTTAGTAAATTAGCTGGCTTGGTCAGGTTACATGACCACTCTATTTTTTTTAGGAACTTTCGCAATAGTCTCAAATAATTTCTGATTTATAAATTTTATTTTTTTTATATCATTTTATAGAATTTTTAATTTTTAATCACAGAGTTTACTGCGGAGTATAAATAAATTAAATATCAGAAAAATGCCGAACAAGTAAAGCCAGGAAACGTGCACGTCGTAAAAGTTTATTAATCAATAATTCAACAGAAATTCTGACGTTACCAAATTTTCAACAAGAAGGGAGAAGGAGGGACGTAGCACGAAGCCCCTTTTCTCTGTAGACATTCGCACTCATTTAACAATTTTATGCTTCGTTTAAGAATCGTACGAGGGATTGCTAAAAACCTCTTAGGGTTCGTTTTACCCCGTCCTAGACTCCCAGGACTTCAGTGTTTTTGGTGGGTCGAACAATTTTGTGGAAATAAAATAGCATTTGCATGGCTTTTTTAGTTAACCTTTTCTCTAGTCGTTACCCGCATCTCTGCTAAAAACTAAGCGCCGTTTTTTCCCACTTTCTCTCTTCGTTGTCAGATGAGCGCGCACAGTTTCCCATCGGAAATTATGACATTTCGTCTAACTTTTTCGACGCGGTGTGCAGTCGGATAGAAATACTGTAGGTGTCTAGGAAGTGGCATAGTCGTACATTGGAGAGGGTTGCGACAGTAGCAAAATGAACATTTTTACTTCCAGAGGAGCAGAGGAAATTGCTAAAATGTTCTTGGGTTCCTTCCATTCCCTTGGACTTCAGAGTACTGTTCTGGTGCCACAAAATTGAAATTGTGGCCAAATGTTGTCGCCACCATTTTTATTGATTTCCTTTACATATTTTTTTATTTCATTTTCTTCGCTTCTATTTCGTTTTGCTTTGCTGCTTTCAGCGGAAGGAAGGTAGAAAAATGTTATTATCAATTATCATTTATTGTTGCGGGCCATTGTGCATTTTTTCGCTTGATCGAACAAATTTTCTTTTCCTCTGTCGACATTTTCGTTAAACTGTTTTCATTGTATGTGCAATTTCGTTTCGGAAGAAGACAGGGCCGCAGAATAAGTAGCGGGATGGTAGAACAAGCATTTTAATACTATTTTCTATATTACAGTGCATGAACGAAACATAGCCGACGGAAGAGCCTTTTTGTAATATAAAACCTCAGTCAGCCAAAAAACAAATCCAAATATGCATGGCGATACATGCTGATAGCTGCTCAATAAATTGTCATTGCTTATACATAAAAACATATGTATGTACCATACACGCACTTGTAAAAGCCCTTTAGGTCTTGACCGTCCCGGTCCCATTCAGCGCATAGTCAAAGCCAACGCAACCACTGCTGCAAGCTCTAAACTAAAATTACACCCTAATGAATGGGACTACTGTTTACTTTCCTTACAGAACCTTACAGTACCAAAAGAGCAGAATTGAATTTTGACTATCAGTCTCGGCTGGCCCCTCATTTTCATTTTCTACGTAAAATTGTTTAGTATTTTGTTTTCGGCAATCAAGATGTGGTAAAAACCGTATAACTTCCTAGCTTACATTTGGTTATTATTCTGGACAAAATTATGCGAGCGTTACTTTTTTATACAGTTTTATATACACACTTAAATAAGTTAAGTTTTTTATACACTTAGCACATATGTACAAATATGTAAGCTTTGAGTTAAAACTCCATTTATATATATATATATATTATATAGTCTATATATACAGTCCCAATAAAATACTTAAATGAGTTTGTGTGAAATGTTACTCTACATCGATTCAGTCTTTTTTCTGCATACAAATTACAAAATAAATCACTACTGCCATTTCCCAAATGACTCAACGTTTTCTGTTTTAAAACATAGTACCCATATACAGTCGCACATGTAAATGTGATCACCCTGGGTGCAGTTTGAATTTGAGAGTTCAATAACGATCTGACACAAGAACACACATATTGTAGTGGACAGTCTCCAAGGGAACAGTCAGTGCTGGTACGTGCTTCCCGATCAAATAAGCTTTACAATTTTACCATTAGCAATCATACAATTCATACAAAAGCCACTACAAAAGGTCCAACCTGTTCTGAGCACGTGTGGATTCAGTAACAAGAGGAGCAATTATAAACAAGGACAAGGGTGGAATGTCCGGCGACCACTCCCACGTCGCAGTCCAATATAATCAGCTTCGGTTGAAAAAATTTGTTTACAATATTCACAATTTTGTTTGTATGTATGTACATATGTAAGACCCAAAACTAGAAGTTGACCAAAAGTTTATTGTTATGCTGGGAACAAGTTAAATTTGCATATTTTTTGTTGTAAGGTTTTTGTCCTTTTTCTGATGTTTCGAATTGGCGAACAGTAAGCCAATTTGTGGCCAAAGGAGATAGTTTTAGAAATGTTTAGGGGCCGCCGCTTGCTACATAAACACTTCGGCGTTGAATACTATGAATAATCAATGAGCTTTGTCTTCCATTGCCAGCCAAGTCGCTTCTGGTTAAAGGACCAACAACCACGTAAGTTTTGCGGACCTGCATGCTTTTAAAAGTAGCTCTTAGGCAAAATAGGTTTATGCAATATTTGTGCGCCAAGTATTCTCCCTTTCCTCTTATATAATATTTATCAGGACTAAAATCTACCTTTTTGTAGAAAATGATTACAAAGCTTATGTTTTTTTACGAAGAATTTGTGAACAGATTAGTCAATACTAATAAATAACACTGTTTAATGGCTAACTGAGCAAGATTATGTTTCAAACGAGATTTCTCAAAAGAAACTGTCGAAGACATCTATGTATAAAGATGCAAATAAATCGTAAACTCAAATGTTAATAATTACGTTTACTCAGGCAAAAATCACTTACCACGTACTGCTCTTGTTCGAATCAAATTATCTAATTTTCATGAGCAGCCCAAGCATGCAAATATTTGCTGAGCTCAAACATTTGATGAGCTCCACCGACAACGCTAACCTTTTTCCACTCGACATATAGAAATAAAGCAACAACAATGAGGTGGCCAGGCAGAAAGGTCGTTAGTTTGTTAACAAGTTCATAAAAAGACGCTGGCTACACAATTTTAGGCGGGACGGGCGGAGTGACGTTGGGCCAGAGCAAGGACTGCCTAAATACTATACGACGCGTCTCGTTGCGTATTTACAGAGCACTTTTTCCGTTTTTGCTTGTCGAGAAGCAACAGCAACAGAAATGCAAACAACCAACTAGTATAGAAGCAGTAGAGAGCTGAGGAGATTTCAGGGGAGTTCAGAGCGTCTATGTATACGAGTATAAGTATGCGTGTGTGCACAAAAACTGAACAGGGTACGAAGAGCTCCTGCGGTTGTTTGCATTAGGCAATTGACGTTTATTATTGCTGTTGGCGGTAGTAGAAAGGGCGACTGGGAACGGACTCCTGACACACACTACAAGGCATCACGCGCAACAGTTAAAATGGAAAATGTAGTTTCCTTAAGAAAATTAAAGCCGTAATGAATGCCTCATGCATATGCGTTCACATAAGCTCAGAAAAAGGGCTCCTCAATACGACAAAACATCCTTGTTTCATAAGCGTTCTGCCCAGCCCTATTTAATAATTAGTTTTTCAACAGCATACATTAAAATACATTTGAAGCGGAACCGAAAATCACTTTAAATTCAATGCCGCTTCATGGTAGTCGTGAGAAACCTGGGACGAGACGAATATTAATTGAATTTGCACAAAACAGGCATTATTAATTATGTGTATTTTTTATCATTTTCATTGTTTTTATTTTATCAATTTAATTTTCAATGCATTTTTTTTTTTTAATATTTTTGCATTGAATAAATGATAGCTATAAAATGTTTAATTTAATATCGATTGTTAGCTTTATTTTATGAAGCTATGCGAATATTATTCAGTACGTACATATATTTGTGGGATTCACCTGTAAAATGTAATTTCTTATTCCTTATCCATCAGCGTCCAATCTCTCTTACGTATGTATTTCCCACATAGCCCTGTACAAGGTCCGTACAATTGAAAAACAGAAATTGAATTAAAAATATTTATTTAACATTTATGGAAACAGCAACACTAAAACCGAAATTTTCTCTAAAATATTGAATTATTTAGTGGTACATGATGGATCGCAAAAGTGTTAATAATTGAAATACTCGTACCAAAGGAAAGTTTCAAAGAATAAGTTTTAAGGCAAATAGGCGGCAAACAGTTGGTGGCCAATTAATAATGAATCGCGAGCCAAAAGGAAGACGGGAAATCAACGTGTAGCAACTAATGATGCGTCCCACTTAAGAACCAAGAAAGCAAAAAAGCAATGGCGGCCACGTGCAACAACAAATTACCGCCGTAAAAGCGAACAACTTGGCAGATAACCAGCGAACCTATTCGAAAGGCTAAAAGTGGCCAACACGAAGGTAAAATGTTTCTCAAAACTTTACCCAAAGGTCGTTCTTAGGTCTTTTTGCTGGTTCAGCGCTTGATTAAGCACCAGAAAACCTACAACTATTCTTCGCCCGCTGGACTCACTAAAACTCAACCATCGTGAAGCATTTTAAGGTGAGCATTTTGAGGAGCATACATATTTTCATATTTTAGATCATTTTCCCTTCTTTTGTTTCGACGTGTAATTAAATTGTAAAATTAAAATTCCACTGACTGGTATGCGGTAACATTTCGGGAAGGATAGTCATGAATAGAAGAATGAAGATTTAAAATTCTTCTTTCCATTTCGGGCTGGCAATGTGGTTATGATTGTGCCTGTTTTTGTTCGAGAGTTTTACATTTGGCTGATTTCGCTAATAAATTATTGTGAGCCTGTGAAAACTTTGGCAGTATAAAAAAACGATTCTTACAAAAGGCAATGCTTTATGTTGCGCTTGCGACGTTGTTTTTATATTTTTTGCCTTATTTATTACAAATATACGAAAGTGGTCGATAATTTTCGCTTCATCAATGACACACCACATAATATTCGTTATGGCATAAACGCAATTAGATAATTAGTGATTTCATTAAACACAGTACAGTATCTTAGAAAAAATGCCCCTTGTGTGTGAGAATAACTTGCCTCGTTACTATAGACAAAAATCATATTTATATATATGTATATACATATATAAATATACTAGCTGTACCCTGCCACGTTTCGCTGAGGCACATTCCCTTTTTATGGTTAATTTCAGTCTTAAGTTTAATATATTTTATATATTTTTTGTTTTTCCATTTAATTAACCGCTTTATCTAATTCCAAGACGGTGCCAATCGACTTATAGGTATCTTACATCCTCGTTCTGAATACTGGACTGAGTCACATTGTTGAGTTAGTATACAGATTTATTCTTGGCGATAATATAGCTCGTTTCCTCAGCCAATCGTGATTCCTATAACTTGTTTGAATTTAGGAAACACACTTTCGATCAATTCTTTCCTCGAATTTACGACCTATGCGCAGACCTACTTAATATACGTGAAACATTTTATGACAATCGGTCGAGCCGTTTAGGATGAGTTTAATCACAAACACCGTGACACGAGATTTTTATATATATAGATAGTATATATAATTATGAAAGGCGCCAATGGCCTACAAAAAATCAATATGGCATGCTATTAAAGTTCACGGCGATTTACTAATGCTCCAGTTGGCTTACAACACCAGTCTTAATCAATCTGCAACAAGCGCCAAGTTCCCTCAAACTACATTTTATTCCAGAATTCAGATTGTGCAAAATCTGACTTCAAACGGACTTGAAAGTTAAATAGTGGAAATAACAGCAAACATTTTAAGCCAATAGAGAAGATAAATCGAGTAGTTTAAAGACAACCTAGGGAATACCAAATAAAATCATCAATGTGGAAAATGGTCAAAATCATACATACAGCTCAATGAAAAACTGAAATTATATAATAAATGTTAAAAAAAAACGAACGAAAGCCACTACTTTTTTACGCTCCAATTCAGTTTACTGGACATCTGCGGGTCCCGGGCTGGAAAGTGATAAGCTTTGTTTCAATCTCGGTTCCTGGGTTTCTTTTTGTTGACGTCAGATGTCTTCGGAACGCACAGACTCACACAACATACGAACCCAAATAAAATATTAATTCGGTAGATCAAAGCGGCCATACAGTAAAACAAACACATCCTCGCATACATGTACCCAAAAAGTTGTATTTTGTTTTGTGTTGCTCCAAAAGTCAATTTATGGTTTTCCACCAGCATAATTTCATTTTATTTGGTTGTTTCTCTTCTTTTTTTCTTGATTTATATGAGTGAATTATGTGAAATCGTGTATTTTCTAACGTTTGTTCCAGACATAAGACATTTTGTTGAAATAATTTTTCTCATTTATTTCATTTGATTGTACGACTCTTACAAGTATAAAAGCATACATACAAAGCAAACATGTACATATATTCAAAATATATATAAAAATATTAAAAAGAAAACGTTTCAAAGTATCGGATATCATAAAACATAATTTATATATCGATGTTAGTATGAGGTAAACTGCTGACAGCACTGACCAAAAACTAAGTCGCCCAAGCCATTTATCAAAAATAATAGCTGAGCAGATAAAGCGCGCAAAACTGCTAAAAAAAAAGGTTGGACAAAAATATAACGTCTATGGTAAATTGCAAATAGCAAAAAAAAGATGAACTATCTTTGGCGAGAGAAGTAAAAGTCGCAGTTGTCTTTCGATCATTTCGACAATGCAGTACCTGGTACTCTAAAATACTATCTTCATAGTTCTAACCTTACAGTGGCAGTAAGCCGACAGGACCTGTTTCCAGGAGTCTTAGGTTTTTGGCATATACCAAAATACTGACTTGCGACTACGAATGTATGTACATATGTTAGAAAATGTCAAACACGTCTGATGCGCTCGTTTTCGTTGCTATTTTTTTCAAATAGCTGCTATGACTTTCTCTGAAAAGGGTTTTTTCACAGGCTTGCACATTTTACCCGCAACAATTACGTCGTTGCGACACTACGAATGTGAAAAGAAGTAAAACAAATGGACGGAGTTCGAGGTATTTTAAGCCGCTTACTTGTACAAATTACAATGAACCACTTATACCATACAAAAACAAGCAAGAACGAGTCTTCTCGACTTTTTTTCTTTTTGACTCAGCTGTGCTTTAATGTCTCCCTTGATGCTTGCACACACCCTGGCATGTTTAACTCCTCAATGGTGCAAACTATTATCTAACGACCAAATCCTCATGGAATATTCAACCAAAGTTAATCTGCCGATATAATGGAAATTGATTTCCTAAGCTTGAATCTGCAAATTTTTGTATTCAGATTTTCTGGGCTTTTAATACTCTTATATTCATATTATCTCGCAAATTATGAATTTCCCATGGAATATATATATAACGATGAATATACAATTATTTGAATTATTGCCCAAAAGCTATAGAGGTTATATACGACCCAAATAAAATTATTTATTCGTATGTTTAGGTCCGTCAATGGAATCGTAGATAAGGAACAAAAATGTACTTCGCATTCGTAGCCCAGGTACTAATTAAAGTCACCAAGTCACGCTTGTGGTTTTTATACCCTTACTCGAAGAGTTAAGCCAAAGACAATATAGATGCCATAGAGAAAGCGCTCTAGAGTCTTGAGCCAGCCGCTCTCTTGCATGCATACAGCGGCAGTCGACGACTGTATGTGTGCACACGATTCTCAAGCATTCTAGATCTAGGTATTTAATATTTAAATAAAATACATATTATTATAAATCTAATACATATTTAAATAACATAGCTGATGAAAAAGGCCGCATTGAAATCGCTACAGCAATAGAAACATGGCCCTGTGAAAGTAAAAACTTAGGTACATTTTCAGGAAAAAGTAAAATATTTAAAACATGCAAAAGAAAAAATAAGATGCGAACATATTTTGCATTACCATTGCGATTAGTTTAGTTAATACTAAACTATTTTTAAAGTCAATAACTTATATAACCGTTTATGAAAACCACTAAAACAGTGCAAAATATGGTTTACCACTTACGTTACGCAATGTTCGACAGCATCGTCATACATAGATTTTCAATATATTCCTTTATATGGCGTTATGGGAGAACTTCCTTGTTTAAGGTTCACTTTTTATATATTTATTTGGCTACCACGTTATTGACTTAAATAACATTATTATATTAATATCTTAAATTTCAGGTATATCATATCATAACATTCTCTATTGATCAAATTATAAAAGAAAAGGTCAATATTACATGTGCCAACATAATCCTTGGAAAAGACAAGTAAATGGAAATGTAAGGGTAAGTAAAACTGGAACCTAAATGCTATTGTTGAAATTTCATTTGATTTAGTATGAAAATCCCCTATACTCGAATGTTTAAAATCACGTATTTTCTTAGTTTCTTAGTTAGTTCGTTAGTAAAATAACAGTTTCGATTTAAAATAAAGCTCAGTCTAGTCTTAACAACAATAACTGAAGACCAGAACTTTACTAAGTAATCACACAAAACACAGAAAAAATTAACGTTTCAGTCATAACTTTTTACTATTAAGGGTCCTAGAAAATAGTTGCAATATAAACTAACAAATAGTAGAATTTTTTGAAAACTGTCTCAAAAAATGGGCATAAAATTAACGTTTCAGTCATAACTTTTTACTATTAAGGGTCCTAGAAAATAGTTGCAATATAAACTAACAAATAGTAGAATTTTTTGAAAAGTGTCTAAAAATATGTATTTTCAATTGTAGAACGAAGTATTGTTGCGACTGACAGTTTGTAATACAAAAAACACGCGAACGAAAACAAGCATTCACCATAGAACAAGTCCAAGGAAATGGCACTGTGGGTCTAAAAGCCTGCCCGCACAGAACGTGCAAACCACTGATATACAAACAATAAAGTTCAAGGATATTACAAACACAAATTCACACACACAAATTTGTGCACATATAAACATAAATACATATGTGTAATAAAGTCTGTTTCATGCTTTGCGGTAGCACAAGGCATACGATAGGTCAAGTCGGTCTATGTTGACTTTAGAAAGCCCAGTTAATGGAGCTCTGCTTCGCGTCTAGTGTTTGCTTTAATCCATTTGGCAAATTTTAATTATGCTAATGCGAAGTACAAGCAACAATCACAAATGCCAACATACTTGGAGGTGTTTTATTTTGAAGAGTAAAAATATTTCCTTTGACTTGCATATAAGGTAGTCGTTGATTATAAGGGCACATCGCGTTTGACAGCAGTTTTTTGGTTGCCGTAGCAAGATTACACATTCTCCTACTTTCTTTTCACTTTCTCGTGCTCATGTAAAAAACCAATGAATTCAATTAATTAAATCTTCGGACTACAACGTATAATAGTGATAGCTATGGTTTCAAATGAATTGTATGATAATTGGAAGCGACACAACTATAATTATAAGTGCACAAGCAGAAATCTTTACCAGCACTACACTTCTTCCTACTGCTCACTGTTCACCACTAGACGCGACATATGTATAACGTTTCAGTTAACTAAAAACGAAATTATATTCAGTTGGACGTACGGCGAGATAATAATGAAATTTACAGTCACAGCTACACACACATTTCGTTCAGTTATAGGACACAACACAATTTATTCGCAAATCTAATTTTTTTTCGAATGTATAGCCCGAAGCAATATTCTGTTAATCAAAAGAGACGCAAAGATCACGCGTCGCAAAGAAATTATGGTTTATAAGGGAGGAATTTACAATCCGCAGGACGACCGCACGTGTAGGCAGACACCGAACTTTTGAGGATAACCTCAACGCAACAGCATCCAAATTCGCTAGACAGGGTTGTATTATGATACGAACTGAAACGACAGCTTCCGATTCATTCCGAACATTACTTCGGCTGGATGCTGTATAGAGAACATTCGCTTGGTCTCTCTCATTCTCTCTTTAATTTGCAGATACAGCGCCTAGAACTATGTTACAGATTTTATGCTCAGTTATATTCGTTCAGTAGGTCATCAACTAACAAGTAATATATGGGTGCATGTGTGTGACACCCACACTGCATATGCCATACCGACTTTGTGGATTACTTTTTGATTCAATTTTTGATTTTAGCCATTCATTTAAGTTATATTGATTGAACTGTGCAATTTGGCTCTCAAAGTCTGTTTCTCTTCGCAATTTTTGGTTGCTTTTGCATGTATATATATATTTTTTTTTGTGTTGAAACGCTCCTAAGCTTTGTGTAATGTTTAAATGTCATAGAACATGTCGCAGTATCTAGACTGGTCTAGTCATATCGCCTTTTATGCAAAAGAATAGCAAAGTCAACAAATTGAACGAATACTTTTTACAGTCTGTCTAGCTGGTATAGTTCTGTTCTGGTACACATTTGGTATGATGGGGTAAAGTCTGACGGGGTAAACAGTTACAAAACCTCATAGCCATGTCGTAGCTTGGATGGCTGGCTGTACAATACGTTTACGAGCGTTTGAATTTGACAGATTTCTTTTATTAGAGCGACAGACAGCAGCAAAGAAGGCAAGCGCTCATGCGTGTTAAATCCAAGTATGGCTTGGTATTAGAGTACAAGTGTGTACAAGAATAATTTAATAAAAACAAACTGCAACAGGAAAAAAAAACTAAGGCAGTTTAAAATGCGCATTAAGATATACAAGTTTTTATGCACTTAAGCGCATTTATATCACAAATATATCTGAATAATATTACTGAACTAAATCCAACTATAACAAACTATGTTATATATGGGCATGGGCATATGGGCATATGGTATACCAAAAAATACCGAAAAAGGTAATTTTTGCTTATTTGAATAGGTTTTCACATCAAGTTAATGAAATTATATGTCAATTTGGTAGATAAAATGTCGTTCATTAAATTTAGATAATTACATCGCAACAATTATATGCAAATGTGATTTTATCAACATTAAATTTGTTGGTCTCGGTGACCCCTCCTGAGAAATGCCCATATGTTATATATCTACCTTAAAACTTTTATTCCATCCTCCATTGCAAATTGTCCATATGGTATTTTACCCTACCCTCAAAAGGCCTCATACTAAAGGATACAGACATTTTTCTTACGAATTCAAGGATATCAAGAACCGTCACTCAAAAAAATCAAATCCTCTTACTAAAAAGTTGTTTGAATTTCTGAGTCTACTTCCCAATTCACGCTCCCAATCGTCAATTAACATTAATTGCCTGCTCGGCTAAAAGCCATCCAGCCCAAGTACTTCAAATATGCATTCAAAGTGAGCGCACAAATCATTAAAATTGGCCTGCCTTTTTCTGCCCACTTTCCAGATCCATTTAACAATCAATTTATTCGCCATACTTTTGGCTTTGTACACCATAAAACCGTATACTCCGGCTGTATTATAAAAAGTTGCTAAGTGCTATATTCCGGCATAAATTTATAAATATGTACTGAATGTTCGTTGAAAATTCATACAAGTTTCAAGTGCCGAGTTAGATATCGACTAAACTCTAACTATAATTGGCTTGATCTACATTTTATTATATGCTTTTTTGTTTTTGCAGTTGGTTAGTTTAAATTACAAATCCACGTTTTGAGTAACACACAAACATATCTACAATAGAAAACTTCTTCAATTTCGTATTATTATAAATATGTATAGCCATTCATTTACAATAGGTTAACTTAAATTACAGTAAATCTAATATATTAAAAATGATATACATACATACAAGTAAGTTTACGGATATAGAACAATATTAATGTATTTATTATGCGCAATCGCTTTATTCGAAGGAAATTCTACGACTTTGCTGAACGTTTTTGAAGTAGCCATTAAAAGCAGAACCTGAAAGCTGTTGCAGAATTTTTGGATTTCCATCCTCAATGATGCGACCATTTTCCATCACAATTAAACGGTCATATTCCAGAATAGTTGTCAGCCGGTGCTGAAAAAATATAAAAATGATCGATACAAGAACCTTATATTACCCTCACAAAAAAAAAACTCACGGCAATGGCTATGATTGTTCGGCCCTGGAATGCCTTATTTGCGGCCTTCAGTAGTGCTGTCTCCGTACCACTATCCAGAGCACTTGTTGCTTCGTCCAGTACCAAGCAAACGGAGCCGCGTAGAATTGCCCGTGCAAGGCACAGCAATTGCCGTTGGCCAGCGCTTAAGTTAATGGCACCATTAATAATAACGGTATCTGCAAAGCAATTGAGATATAAGTGACTTAGGACAAAAATAACTATTCATTTGCTGTTTTCTAGTTTTAGTTCACCTAACCAAGAAAACACAGAAAACAGTGGCCGTACCTAATCCCAACGGTAGATTCCTTTTGACAAACTCTTTTAACTGCGCCAACTCAAGGCAGTTCCACAACTGTAAGTCCGAATAATAACCATGGGGGTCAAGATTTTCTCGTATTGTAGTATTGAACAAATGCACGTCCTGGGGAATTATCGATAATCTCGTTCGCAGCTCTTCTGGTCGGATTTGTTTAATGTTCATCTCATCAATAAAAATGTTTCCACTTGTAATTTGTAATACACCGAATAGAGACAAACCCAAAGAAGATTTACCGCTGCCAGTACGACCACAGATGCCAATCTGTAGACAGAGTACAGGGTAAAAGTTAGTTAATAATCTAGTGAATACAAGAGTATTCTTAGTATTCTTCCACGCAAAACGTGTACATTAGCTGTGAAATGAATGACAAACTAAGATTAACATACATATTTTCTATACATATGTACTATATGATTAGATAATCAAAATTATTAAAACATCATCAGCGCATAACCAGAAGATAAAGCTTTGATACTCACTCGTTGACCTGATGGTATTTTTAATGTGAGGCCGCTGATAACATTCTGTGTTTGGCCTTCATAACGCAGGCTGACATTTTGGAAACTAATGTCGCCTCTTTGAGGCCAAGAAATTGGTACGCTCTGGTCTACAAAAAATTAATTTAACACTATGTAAATTGATTGTATAAGACTTAGTAAAAATAACCACTCTACATATATGCAAGCCATATCATAAACAAATTATAATAACACTGCTTACTCAATTGTTCTCCAATTGTGCCTAGTTAATACATGAAACCAATGACAAGTATTACAAACTCCTCTAAACTTACATCGTTTGAGCTGACAGGACTCTAGCCTTCTAGCTGGCTCATTAGACAGATCGACCTTTCCACTGTGTGGTGGCAGTTTCTTATCTTTAATCACCGACGTCTTTGTCGCCTCCTTCTGTAACTTGTCAGCAGCTGTCGCCGTGTGTAAGTTTAAGTGATTGCCGTCGCCGGTTGCATTGCCTGCATTTAATTTATCAGCATTTTCTCCATCTCCACCTATATCTTCATCAACATCAACGGCAGCTGTCGTTGCGCTTGGGTAAACTTTGTCACCAGCAGTCCACATTGACGTGGACAAGGACGACCTATCGACTTCATTGCTTATTTTTTCGGTCGCTTCCAAATCCGACTCCTGTCCCTTGGCATAATGTGCAATGCGTTCCACCGAGCCCGCATACATCTCCATATCAGCCAAAAGTTTTACAACCCAATTAAGGTAAATCGGCACCAACAACGTGTAGTTTATGGCCAGACCGACAAACGATGGCGTTGGCCTCAGTTCCGAAGAGAGGTCTGTCGTGCTCTTGTTAGAATAAGTTTCTGCTACGTCCCTGGCATATCTGTAGTTGCTGCAACTGATGCTTGCTGTTGCCAGTGACGTCACAATGGCCACAAAAACAATGCATCCACCTAAATAGTCCTGAAAAAATACAAATATACGAGAAAAATAATTACACAGAGCGGGGAAGATAAAGAGAAAGGAAATAGAGTGCTAAGATAATTTGCTCGAGGGCTATACATATATTAAAAGGACAACTTGAGCCTTTCTGTTATTTTCTAAATAACACGTTTTCCTAAATATTAGATTAATCCACATAAGCAAACATTACAAAAATCAAATATGTATGTAATTGCCAAATTCACCAACGTAGAGCAACAACGCTAAGGAAAATATTTAAAGCAGTTACCAATGATATGCCAAGCCAGCGGTTACTCGTATTCAGTAACGCAAATGCAATCGTGTTGGCTTCAAGACGTTTGAAGATAATCTCGGTGAAACGTGCCTGCTGATTGTATGCTCGTATTGTGGTCACACCTTGTATTGTTTCCGATAAATGCGAAATAACCGGAGAGTTAGTGGCATTTTCAATACGTTGTAATTCACTAAAAAGGACAAATAAAAAACAAATCATAAAATGATGCCAACAAAATAAAGGCTTTAAAACGGCATGACCATAAACAAATTCTAATATTAGGGGTAAGCGATAAAGTTAAATGCTGTTCATACCGTGTTTAAAACCTTCATTTTTTTTGCTTGCTTACCGCGCTGAGCACCTGTAGAACTTTTGTATTATATAGTAGGCTCCACAGATAGGAAGTGTGAAGGCAAAAAACCATCGAGTAATGCTCACATTTATCAAAATGGCGGAAATGCAGAGCAAACTAAATTGTAGCAACCTTTGACAAGTTGCGGCAATTTTCTATGAATAAAAAAAGAATTTTATTATGAGGATCAAATAATTTCGCTCTGTTCTGAAAATGTCTCCATCCACTATTCCGTCAATTTGAAAATAAATAGATAGTGAGTTATACAATAAGTCTTTTTTCCACTGATGATTTATATACATATGTACTGTAGTATGTCGAATGTCGAATTAACATAGCCAAAGATAAAACAACGCGTGCCTATCACAGAGAAATCTTCGCCAAAGAAACAAAATACGAGTATATCTGCAGGAGCAATGTGCTCATATTTTATACTAAAACAGAAAAACTATGTCAATGGGAAAAATACGTGAAGGCAAATTGGTTAACACGGATAAAGAGCAGCGACTATGGGTGATAACAAAAATAACAAATCGTACCTTATCAATGATCGTCATATCGTTGCTGAAACGATTCACAATACGTCCGAGCGGTGTAACTTGGAAAAAATGCAACGTTTTATGCAAAATCGATTGGAGCAGCTTATCGTGCAAATTACGACGGGCATTACAGCCGGCCCATTGTCCGGCCGGTGTTGATATCATGGCCATTATAATGCAAACACACGAAATTGCGGCATACATGCAGAAATAGTACGTGACTTCGTGGCCCTCCTCTTTCCTCACGTCCTGTGTCTGGATATGGACATCGCTCCAATGCTGCAGCCAAACGTCCGTGTAGACACGCAAACATTGCCAAATTAGTGCAGTGATAAAAAATACAGTGATTATGGGCACACCAGAGGCGCGTATATACATCAGATATATTTGATGCGATATTTTTCCATATTTTCGTTCAGTATCAATTGTAGATTTTGACATTGGTATCAATTCATTCTCGGTATCTGCGAATGTTTCCATATTACCCCCGCAAAGCACTGGCGTAAGTGATGTCACGTTTGATACTTCAACGTCTCTGCTGGGTTCTTTAGTAAGGTTGCGGTCTATATTTACACCTGTACGATATACATGCATAAAAACAGTTGTATTTTTAAAAGAAATCATACAACACATGTTTTTAAATCTATTAAATTGTACAACTAATTAAATTGAAAGTTTTCATTTTGAAATTCATAGACTTATCCTGAAAATATTTATAGATTAATAAAGCCGGGGAAAAGTTTTGTGCCTTGTCAAGTATGAGGGAGTATGCCCTGTAGGGCAGGTCAACAATTATTCGAGAAATTTTAATGCTTATCAGCGGGAGCTAGGAATTGATTTTAGACACATAGTTTTTTGGTAAAAGATTCTTAGAAATCTTTGTAAATTCAGATTTTGGTGGACGCTTTTCATTTTTTTTTTACAGCTCTTGGCGTAAACCATTGATTTTTTGTATTTTCGAAAGTTGTAAGGTATGGTGGCGGATTGGTGTATTCAACTAAAACATTATGTAGATGTGAAAATCATTTATTAAAAGTATTAAAAATCATTTTTCAAGCTTGGCATATAGCAAATATATTCTTGATCAGCATCAATAGCCGAGTCGATATAGCTATGTCTGTCCGTCCGTCTAGACTCTAGAGCTAGAGAAATTTTGTGTCCAGACTCATGTAATATCACACTGTTACAAGTGTATTTTAAAATTTCGCCCCGCCCCCTTCGGCCCCCACTAAGGAAAAAAATCTGTGGCAGCCACGGAAAAGTATCGTAGAGTATCATAGAGAAAATCACTTAGAGAACAAAGCAAACGTCCCCTCATTAATACTACTGCGTATAAAATGTCAGCACGATAATATACATCCACCACAGTAAAAAGGCGTTTCTGATGTGACGTTACATGCCAGATTTGACAAGTCCGCCACCATACCTTACACGCCAGGATACCTTACACTCCCCTACATAAATCATGTTTATAATTCACTTAATTGGTATAGCCTACTTTTTTCCGTCGCATTCATCAATAGCAGCTGCTTATCCAGCTTTCCCTCTAAATCATTCGGTGGTTTAAAATGTTCTTTTGCATCTGGATTATATATGCTAGTAGATGAGGAGGGCAGTGAACGACTATCAGCAACTGGAAAAGCAGAAGTAGCGGCAGATTCTTCTGAGATGCTCCTAAAAATGCGTGTAACGAACGAAAATAAGAGCAACACAAAAATATTGCATAAAACGACTACGCCAATAAATTACTCACAGAATCGAGTTGGTGGCGCTCAGTGGTTGATGATGGTGTATGGGCTTATTGGTACGCCGCATGGTCATACGTCGCAAAAACTGCTGAAAGCTGCCATGAACCTGATCCTCCGATGTTGCTTTTGTCTTTGTATCCATTTTTATCCCCAACTCTGTGTATTGAGGATTATCAATCGTCACTTCCATGGCCGGCGGTGATGACGCATTCCGCACCAGCGGCTGATGCTGTATGTTTTTTTTTGGCTGCCATGATTTTATTCGTGGTTCTTGAAACAACGATGGCATAGCCATCTCGCAGATCCCATCTGCACTGCTCTCTGTATAGCTACTATCGCTGGAAGTTAACCCGCTGCGATGAATTGGATTTCCACTGTTAGAACTTGAAGCTGACGTAGCCGTTAGCGTGCTCAGACCGCTTAATCTATGCCAAGAAGTAGTAGTCCTACCACCTCGACGATTTATCATTTGCCGACGACGTGGGCGCATAATGACATCATCTGCCTGGCACTCATCAATTGGTAAAGGTACATCATATATAAGATGGCGTGAGCCATAGACGCTCGATCGCTTTCGTTTCAAATTATAGCTACAGCAGTTTCCATTAGAAAGAAGATAAGGCTAAAAAGAAAATCATACACTGTCCAAAAACTAATCAGGATATAAATTGTCTATGCATTTACTGCTGATATCTCATTGTCCTCTTCATCCTCCTCAATGTCAACATCTTGCATATTAGCCACTGATAAAGAAACGCTGTCATCATGTCCAGCGGTATTGCTTCTACCATTTTCATCTGTGGTCACTGAAATCGAGCGCTGAAGTCCTAATTTACTCACATTCTTTAGCAACTTCCAGCGTTCAGATGCCGTTCGTTCAACATGGCTGTAGAAAAAAAATAATTGTTTGTTTTGAAAACAAAACATACTGAACTTCAATTAATATCTAATAATAACATACTCACTTTTGTAAATCATTTTGTTTCTTTGCATTTGATAGTGCATTTATAGATTTCCATTTCACGGGTATCTTTGGATGCGTTGCTTCAATGTCAACATAACTGCCGCAAGCTTGAAGACGACCTTTTTTCATAACGATTACCTGTCAGTTAACGTAATAAAAAAGAACCAACGATTACTTCTGTTTTCTGTCTAACTTGATTCTAAACATCCATAAACTAGAATTTGGTATCGGCTACGGGTATTTTAGAGTCTCTCCGGGGAAATAGCACAATGTCTGTTTCAAGACTTACGTAATCCGCCTCTTTTATGTGATGTAACTTTGGTGTCACAAGTATAAAGGTACGATTTGACTTCAGTAGCATATGGCTCACGCAATGCTGAAATATATGGTCACCGACCTCATTATCGAGCGAAGACAGTGGATCATCCTGTTCAAAAATATATATTTGTACAGATTTATGAATTTCATTTTAACAATATTAGCAATATATTTTAATTAAGGGAATCACCAAATAGATATGATTATAATGATTACTTTATTTAAAATTTATTAGAACAGCTAATTGGGACCCAACATCTTATCAGGTCGCACCCACTGATCAAAGTCATCCTTCGAAATGCCTGCAATAATAGCTTCCTCCCTGAGAGTTGTGTTATTTTGATGTGCTGCTTTAGCTATTGCAGCTGACCGCTCATACCCAACATGAGGACTTAAAGCAGTGACCAACATCAGAGACTCACTCATAATATTATTTATCCTGACTATATTTGGTTCGATACTGCTGAGGCAGTTATTACTAAAAGATTTAATTCCATCTCCTAAAAGTGTTATCGAGCGTAGCACATTTGATGCAATCATCGGCATGAAGCAATTAAGTTGAAAGTTTCCACTGCAACCTCCTATTGTAACTGCTACTTGATTGCCCATGACCTGAGCACAAATCATGGTGAGAGCTTCGCATTGCGTCGGATTCGTTTTACCTGGCATAATCGAGCTACCCGGTTCATTTTCTGTGAGTTTCAGCTCAGCCAAACCGCATCGGGGACCTGATCCTAAGAACCGAATATCATTCGCTATCTTCATTGTACTTGCTGCTAGAGTGTTAAGCTCGCCATGAACTTCAACTATGGCATCACATGACGAAATAGATTCAAACAAGTTAGGTGCATCAACAAAAGGTAGACTTGTTATTTTGGATACACCTTTCACACATTCAGCTGCAAGCCCCTTTTTAGTGTTGAATCCTGTTCCGACCGTGGTGCCGCCAAGAGAGAGTTGATATAGCCGGCTTAGACTAGTGTCTAATCGTTCCCGGCAGTTGACAAGTTGTTGCTTATAGCCGCTTAATTCTTGCCCGAGTGTCAGTGGAACAGCGTCCATTAGATGGGTACGTCCAATTTTGATAATGTCCTTACACTGATTTGACTTTTTATCTAATATATCAATAATCAGCGACAACGCTGGATACAGTTTATCGCGTAACTGCATAACGACTGCGATGTTAATAGCCGTAGAAAAGGTGTCATTGGAGCTTTGTGATCGGTTCACATGGTCATCTGGATCCACCGGCTTTTTTGTACCCAGCTGACCACCGAGTATCTCGATTGCACGATTGCAAATTACCTCATTTACGTTCATATTTGTGTGTGTGCCAGAGCCAGATTGCCATATAACTAGTGGAAAATGTTCCTCATCGTAAAGTTTGCCAGATATAATATCGTCGCAAGCCTGAGAGATAGCCTCGCACAACCGCTCTTCTAGACCGAACATTTTATTGGCCTCTGCAACGGCTTTTTTGATAATGGCCAATGCTATAATAAGTGGTCTCTGTAAACAAAACCTATTAACTTTAAATAATTACAATACTTAAATTTTCATACTGGCATGCGTTCATTAACTCCACCAATTGGAAACTTCAGTAAACAACGCATTGTTTGCGGACCATACAGACGATCGAGGGGCACATGAATGGCCCCCATTGAATCATATTCAACACGAGTGTCAGGAACTATAAGCCGCGCTAGCTTGTACATTAAACTGAAAATCTCTTTCTGATCGAACGACATTTTGGTAGAAAAATAAATAAAACAATGTATAATTGATGGGATACATCGGTAGCACTAAACTACAGACACACCAGTAAAAGATTACTCGATTCATTCAAATCGATCATTCTTATTATAGCTACATAATTTATTATCCCGGTAAGTACTATTCCTGCAGAAGATAGTAAGGTAAGGTATAAAATATTGGAGAAAATCTGAATTTTTTTTTCTCTGCGTTGCGAGCTAGCAGTCTTATTTTCTCCAATTTTCAGCCAATTCACTCCACCTTACCATTCGTTAAGTGTATTTTCCTTTCGTATTTCTCCTACCCTTTCAACATATTTCTATTACCTACAGTGTCTCTAAAGTAGTTTGCAATGAAACCAAGTACGAAAAGCTTACAGCTCTACTTCACCATTGTTTTGCCTTTATCATTTGTACATATGTAGATAGTCGTAAATAGTTCTTGCAGTTTGATTAAAAAACAGAAATTCTGAAGTTTGGTTAGTTCAAGGTATATTTACCATTATGACCACATTAGCCGAAGAATAGATCGCACGCGCAATAGCAATTCGCTGTATCTGTCCGCCTGATAAATTAATTCCACGTTCTCCGATAATGGTGAAATCGCTTTTTGGCATTATTTCAATGTCAGGCTTAAGAGCACATGCCTGTATCACAAAATCGTAACGACTGGGTCGAAAAGACTCGCCGAAAAGAATGTTTTCCCGGATTGTGTCATTGAGGAGCCAAGGTTGTTGCGACACATAAGAAATCGTAGATGTTCTGGAAGAAAAAAAATCCGAAAAAATGAGATTTGTGAACGATGAAAGTAAGCCTTTGAAACTTAAAAACAATTCTCTTGAGAAGATTTTGCGTATAGACGTGATATTCCGTTTGCCATCCACTGAAAGCTGTGTTAATGTGCATAGTGGTCAGTAAATTGCTTTGGTATAGTAAGTAATCGTTCTTTAGTATGCTTGACAAGAGTTCAATATTGTTGATTTCCGGCAATGGTACGACTAAAATTGGTGGTTGGATTGTGGACATTGTTCCCTTGTATGCCGGCATGTCTCGGAATATGTACTCCTATTCTATAGAGGCATGTCCGAGAAAGCACTAAAATAAAAGGCGTAAGTGATGCACCAGGAATCACATAATGGGCCTGTAACGTATCACCGACGCTGTTCCTAGTTAAAAACTTAAAAAAGTTTATTTGAAACAAAATATATTCATATATCATTTTCTTTAATTTGTGTGGCCGGGAACGTACATAAATAAGTCAACTATATTTGCACAGGAACAAAATATAAAAAAAAGGAACGTTGAAAACACCAATGCAAAAAAAAATATTTTTAAACTGACACAGACATTTATTACAGTAATTGAAATTATTGCACATTTTCCGTTCGCCAAAGGATGCCAGTGAAAAGAAAAGATCGAATTGGTTCACAACTTTAACTTGTTCAATGCATTTTTATATGCTTGCAATCGACCCTCCCACCACTCCGAGGACACTGCTTGATTCAGGAATAGAGTGGCGCAGGGCGATGCCATTTTTATTTTATGTGCAATAAAATTAACAACTTACACAGTCATTTTCTGATAAATTACTGAATCACGTGGTGTGCATTGAAACGACTGATAAAATAATTTGAGCGACTGCTGTGACTTCTTTCACTAAAGTAGCTAAAACTATTCCAGAGAGTCAAGGATTCATTAAGTATGAGGAGCTTATACCAAATAATTTATTGGAAACTCAATTTAATCTATTTCGTAGCTACTTAAAGACAACGATAAAATTCTATATGATAATCTAAACAATACCACAAATACTTCTGCCGGTAGTTCAAAGGCTAAAAAAAGCTATGTGTACTGGGGTAGATTGCCTACGCAAACAGGTTCAAATTATGCAATTAAATGTGATAAATGAGCAAAGAAACTTATCCACGATACCGCAAGGGGTTTCTGTGAGTAGAACTTAAAATAAGCACATAAACAGCTAAACAAATTTACATAAAAGGACATTTTGTTGTTGAACCGTGTAAGCAGACAACGAAACGTGCTTAATCTTAAAAATAAGAAAATAGACTAGAAAAAAGTTCAGGTAAGAAAATAAGCTTACTAAGAGGAATACGACTCTGCTTAAAACATCTTTAAATTCTGAATTCGATTTTTCTATAAGTTAAAACTAGTAGCAATGGTCTACTTACTTGTGCCAAAACATATTTCCCGCTAACAGTGGCATCTCCATGAGTAAAGCCGACAAGAGGGATGTCTTCCCACTACCATTTTTTCCGACAACAACCGTCAGTTTGCCCTTTGGTATGACTATCCCTTTAATATGTAATTGAACCATTGGAATGTGACTTTCCGGATGCCATGTGAAAAGACCGTCATTGATCGACACAGCAATGTCATCGGGCATTTTTAGCAGGAGTGAATCACGTCTCCAGCTATCCGTGTTCCTAGCTCGCATCACTGAGAATTCCTGATTTTTCTCTACTAAGCTTCCCCGCAGTTTTGGAGGCCTGATGGCTACGTACGGTGTATTGCGAAGCAGTTCACGACGCTGTTGTACGAGCTTCTGATGCCCCACCTCTTGAAAAAACGATGGAGAAATGGCTCCAAGCTGTTCTTCGCGACTGTTCGGTAGATAGGTCTTGGTAATTGGCAGAGAATTGTCCTCTATTGCTGACGTCGATATGGGCCGTTCTATTCGTTGCGCAATATGCTTTTCATTCAGCATGTTCTCTGTCTGTGCCGTGCGCATTGTCATATTAGACTTCTCCTGCGTTTCATACATGTCCAACGAAGCATCACTCTTGCTTAATATCCGGGCCATGTTTCGAATGCCCTCAAACTGTTTCTGTATCTCACTTGCCTCAAAAAATCGCTCCAGGCGACGCGTTGATACTCTGGCTGCTATAATAATTGGGACAGTTATCGGAAAAATCAACAGAGGAACTGTTAGCTGCTGAAAAAGGGCCAATGCAGAGAACAATCGACTAGCGTTTAAATTAAGGTTCGCCTCCCTAGGTAGCCAAACATAAACACCTAAAGTCACAAAAGTGATTAGCACTGTCGAAATATGTGTAAGTATAGCTGTTTTAAAAAATAAAATTAGTTTTGAATGTCGGCATATCGCAAATGTACTCTTACTCATTAACGTCCAAAATATGGCATCTTTGTTGAGATATGTGAGTTCCTTTTTGCGAGCCACTTGAATTTTTTTAAAGAATACCTCATCCCAGGCATTTAGCTTTATAACTTTGATGCCAATCAATGTTTCGTGTATTTTTTTTAATCGTTCATCAGTATATTTCTGTTTAAAACATCGAAAAGATATCTTTTAATATGCTCATCTAGAAATCAATTTATTTTTGGATGTGGAATCTATATATATACTAGAATAGTTACGAATATATACAAACCGCAATAACTTCGCTGTTTTTCGACATTGCATTTCCTATGAAAAATTGCAATGGCGTCATTATTAGTATACACACAATGGCTCCAATGACAGCACTGATCCCCAGCTTAAGATAGAGAAAGTAAATTACCACTGATATCTGGAAGTATAAAATTGCCCACTTTAATTCCTACATTTTTATTTAAAAGAACAAATGACATTAGTATATTAGTAATGTAATACAGTAACATTAATAGTTTATCGAATCTTAATGATTAATTTAATCGAAATATAAATCGGTTTTGATCTTTCTAGGGATGGACGTTTTAGTTTATCATAGCCCAGTTTTAGCTTATCTCGGTACAAACCTTAAATGGTATAGCCCATGCATAGTGGGCAATCCAGAAAAATTGCATTATGTTAAGTGTATCTTCCGTCATATGATTGGTAATGCTTCCGATGTCATAAGAAGGATTTAAATCTGTCAAATGAGAATTATTAGGATACTTTTATAAAATTACTTCTGGAAATGTAAATTTTAATTATTCTTTTAACACAGAGATACAAAGTTAGCTAAATTACTCGAATGCAAGATCTTCAATGTTGTAAGTTTGTACTCTGCCAAAAACGAAACCAAAATGAAACTAACTCACCGCCTACATATCCCATCTTTTCTTGAGGTGATTTCTTTGTAGAGTTAGAATCCGTGTTCATATTATCTTTGGCGATGTTTTGTTCCTTTTCTAACGGAGTAGAAGTAGAGGATGAAGTTTGTGGTATGCTATTGTTAGCAAAACAGCCGCTGCTTGCATTTAATAGCAAAGTCTTTCGGTAAATAAGACCTTGTAGGGATGTTTTTATCCAGATACCCGTCATATTAAGAATGTGTGTAGAAGCCTGGGACAAAGCTCCCTGAGTCATTGCAGCTAGTAGAACAATCCAAGCAATGCTCCAGCCATTTGTTAACAGTTCCGACCAGGTGGCATAGTAAATTCGTACTTCGCCAATATTAGTACGGAAAATATGATCCACATCACCGCTTACATTGGAGGCCAACATTAGTGCTTGACCACTCTCGCCTTTCACCACCGATTGTGTTGATGGATTTGTCGTTTGAGCATAAAGCTCTTCTATATATTGAACTATTTGCTGTATTGCAAGTGGGCCAACCAACGCAAATAAGTCTCCCGCCAGTTTTAAAATGCCGCCCAACGCAAACATGCGCCAACTGTTCTTTACATAGCAATACCATAAGGATGGAGATGAATTTGACTTTTTCTGGAAAATGATTGATCAAGAAAAAGGAAAAAGAACTTATAAAAGTATTAAAATAATATTTTTGTTGTCATTTTGGTATTTGGTGTATCTTTTACCAAAATGTGTACTTAAAGGTTGAATATACTAATTAATATGTAGACTACTACTCACCATCTCATCTGTGTAAACATACAAAAAGTGATCGTAGTGCGATCTAGCAGTATCCTCTAATTTCATTACACCCAAATCCTCAAGTTCCAGTGGTTTCTTATGGCCCAACCACAGCAAAGGGGTCAACCACCAGAAACACGATTTTGAATAAAATGTTGCAAGCGAATGTTTATATCCTATTTTTCCATTTTCATCCACGTAATTGTCACGAAAGTGCTGAAAAAGCCATTGAATATAAATTGTGACAGTGGGATAGAATTTTTTAAATAGGTTTGAAAAAGATCATCAACAAAGCTTGGGTGGCCACGTTTCATTAGCTAGTTTGTCCATTGTAAATTTAGTTTTCTATGCGATTTTTCCTTTGGCCAGACACACATATGCCTTCAGTTTTTGAATATGCAAAAATCTCTAGCTGTGTACGAGTAAAGTGCAAAATCTGTTGTACAAAATTTAGAAATAGGCCATTTTCCAAGCATAAAAGTCTGTAAGCTTAAAATCTGCGATTAACCTATTTAAAATATGAACATGCAAACGACACTGCTATGTTTTTTCTACCTCTTCTTGTTTCCCATTCTTCACTTAAACTTAATTACGTGTCGAATACAATAAATATTTTGATAACTCTTATTTTAAGCGGTAATATTTCAGATAGTTAACTTAAATTTGTTCTATTGCCGTTCCAGTTGAATCTATACCTCATTATAAATAGTGTAACCATCCAACGAAGCCAATACCAGCAGACACAAAACAGACATACCAACAAGGCACGTCTGAAGCTCTAGTAAATCCTCATAGTAAGCAACCTCTGTCAATTCATCGCAACGCAGAGCGAGAGTCAATACCTCCACGGTAATGCTCGCATACAAAAACACTAAGGGTTGAAAATATGCTTGATTATTAAATGCGAGAGTTTCATACCAAGCACCTTACACAACCTAAGACATATTGACTCACCTGTCGTCTTCTTGCACTCTATAACACGATAATAACACATAAGCAAAATTGTCAATATTGTGGAAGCAATCGCATTCCACGTTTCTCCCGTTCCTATTATAATCAAAAAATGTGTATCCCTATTCCTTAACTCAAACAGACGACTGAGCTGCCAGGCACTGCGTTGGGGCAGTAAGCTCCTGGCTAGATCCAGGCTATTTCCAGCTAACATAAGCAGTGACACAACTGCACGTAAATTGTGAAACATTAGTAATGTTTTATTACACCTGCATTGAAAAAGAAGGAAATAAAAAAATTTCGTGATATTTGTGAAAAGTTTTGAGCTTGTTGTCATATTAGAACATATTTTAGATGGTAAAATATACATAAAATATAATCATAGTTTCGACAATTAATGTGTCTTATTGATATTGTTTTTCATTTCATAAGTATCATATCAGAAGTACATGCTCGCTCGAATTCCAGTTCATTCACATAGACATACATACATCTTGGTATTGTTTTTATTTCATAAGTATACACATGTGTTTCAGAAGTACACTTTTGCTTGAATTTCAGTGCATTCTCATAGACAAAAATAGAAAATTTAAGTGTAGATGCAATTGAGATAGATTAAGCCAGGGGTGCCCAAAATCAGCTAACGCACTTATCAATACTCACAAATAAAAACACTAATACCAATAAGGGAACAGTGCAAACTCGAAGAAAAGCAATAACAAAATCATAACAAAATGGCGGTAACACCAATCAGAGAAGAGACAAAGTCGGTTTTTGCTGGTCGCATCGCATACACACAACGTAGTTAGCATGTGTTGGGCTTTCGGTATACTGGTACACAGCACAAACTGTGTATGGAGACAAGAATTGGTTTTCTATGCTAGTAGCAATTACAAAAACAAAAGAGCTCGCGGAGCAATGGGCCTGGGCACCGCTGTATTAAAGTATTAAACCCTTCATGATTTTGGTCGAGTACGTACTTGATATCATATACTCTTTAATTCAGGATATGAATTATTGGCGTATAAGTGGATTTTAAAATATACAGATATACAGGTTAGGAACACTTAGTGTTAAATTTTGTTCACTATTTTCGGCAAGAACAAACTATTTTCCTTTGTTTTTCGTATGTCTATTCACATATGCACAACCATACAGGTTAATTTTGATAATCGACAATCGATTGCAAGTAAACAGAAACAATACTATGTACATATGTATGAACGGAGTATAGAACATTTTTTTATTCCTGTTAAGTTGATTCGTATAAACTAAACCTACGATATTTGTATTTAACTTATCAATACTCACGTTTCATACTTTTTCCAAACGAAAGCACAGCCAAAAAGTAATAGCAATATGCTTAGAAAAGTAAAAAGAAGCTTAACGCGGTCAATGCCACAAACATCTGTATTTAAATGTTCATAAATCGAGCGTAAACGACCATTTAAATTATTGCAGTGTATAATATTAAGCAACTGCGTCATATTGACCAAAATATCCAAAATATTTACAGTATTTGTAATCCTTTCTGAACTTTACACACTAGATGGTATTTCCGTACCCGTACAGATATCTCTTCAAAAATTTCGCTCGATAAGTTTCAGTTTAAGACATTACCATCCAAATGCGCACGATTATTTTATATATATCCATAAATAAATTCGATTCCCTCCGTATTTACTTTAAAACTTTCTGTACACTGTAAAGACCAAAAAAAGAAATTTTTAAAGTAAACAAATTATTCCGAATTAGAAAATTTGCACTGCAATTTCTACTATTGCAATAGGTGTTATGCGAGTAGTCTTCAAAATTAATTTCGTTTTAAGGGAGCGATTTTAGTCTCTATTCAATTACTTTTAAATAGTTTTTTTAATATAAACAAAATAACAGAGAGAATTAGGTATGCGCACGATTTCCGAAAATAAGAGAGGAAGCCAACCGTCTACGGCGGAGCTTGACAGCACACTACACGTATGATCACCCGCCGTAAAACCGCTGAAATAAAGTAGAGACGATGCTACATGTACGGGATCTTGCACGTGCGCACTGAAAAAAGCTTTCCAGCACTGCGATTCTGGTTCAATTTTTCGAGTCATAAGCCAAATGATTCAATAAAATTTCAAACTACCTATCACTTGAAACAGAAACAAAAATGGTTAAGATTTTCCTCAAGTTATCCATATTGTATGGATATTATTTTTTAAATAAAATCTATTTAAGTTGTTTGTTTTTATATAAATTGTATTTAGTATTCAATATGTACGGTCTTGGGCGCAGACATCTAAAAAGTTAATCTTAATATAAACTAAACGGAAGAGAAATAATCGCAACTTCCACACATATTGTAAAGGTGACCGGTGGAAGGCTCTATAAAAAATCGTAGTGCCTGAGTACACTTAATTTCATGTGATGCAATTTGCTGATGTAGCAATCTCTCCAGTTGTTTCATGTTAGATGTATGCTCAAACTTAATTCCACATTCACACAGGTAGGCAGTTTCCTGACGTTGCAATGGTTTTATAAGGCAGACAGGGCACAATATATTGTGGTGTATTGGATCGTCTGGTTCCACGTACGTTTCCAAATTTTGTTCGCCCAAAGCATACCATTCGTTTACATCAGAAAATAATTCGTCTAGAATGTTCTGCTCCAGCTCCAAATCTTTGTCAAACTCGCTGAGCTCCGTGCGAATATATTCCTTAAGTTCATTCTGTGAAAAACCATTATTTAATATATTTCTCGAGTCTTTGGCATTCACTTACCAATTGTACTGTGCGGTTAGCATCTATTAATCTTGTGCGAGTCTCTGTAATACGTTTACGGTACTTCTGCAGGTAAAGAATAATGTAAATATAAATATAGTGTTAAAATGAAATATGATAAAATTTGCATTACCTCACGCAACATATCACGCAGTTTCGGCATGCCCATACGGTGTTTTTTGGCCACATTTTGAGCATGTCTCTTTTGTTCTACTGACGTACGGTAAACGGGAGTTTGTGGAGAACTCATAGCAGTTAATTTGCAAATGTAAGGCGGCGTTAATTTTCTGGGTGGTGCATGATATGATAATACGCTATGCTCCCACGCATATGTCTCTATGCATTAAGTGACCAAACGTGTCGTAAACGAATTAAAAAGACCTGGACCGACAAAATGAAGACAAAATTGAAGCGTAGAGGTGTCAAACCATCGAGGGCACTATCGATAGTATCGATATTTTGCTGCTAGCCTCTACTATCGATGGTTTTGAGACTATCATGATAGTATCGAGCTACAGTCGTTGCGCTGTTAATATGTTTGGATTGTCTGCTATAAGATACGAAGACACATTTGTAAACAAATCGACAGGTGGCATCTAATTTTTACTATGGACAAGTTCCTAAAAGGTTTCAATGGTTTTAATAATAATTATTAGAGCTCTCACGATAGTATCGATTGTTTTTCAAAACATACAACGTTGATATTCCTCGATTTTGATATTCCGTTTAATATTACTAGCTAGCTGGGACTCTCAGCCCTAAACAAATAATTTTATCCGATAGATTCATAAATTTTGTTCAGGATTGGTTAGTTTTTAGAATTCATTGGATTGTTTACATATTAAGGTTCAAACAAAAACGGCCAAAGCATAAAACTTAAATGTTGACTAAATGTTTCGTCAGTGTTGGTGGTCAACCAAGTATCTTCTATGCGTATGTACTTTTGTATACCTTATTTCTTTTAATTGGTGTTAAATGTTTTGTTCCAAGCTCCATTGAAACATTATTTATGATTTTATCCTAGATTGACATGTTTTTTACATATTAATGCACATGTTTGTGTGTTATAAATACATTTATCCCGGTTCTGATACCTATTATTGGTAGTCGTGAGCTGCAAAACTTTGTTAAAGTCTTTAGAACAGAGACTGGTAGTTTTTGCATTAATTGGAGCCTGAAAATTCAAACAATATCTCAAGTCCATAATATCCATTTTCCCAAGGTATTAAGGTATGCAGATTGTTGCTCATTTCGTGCCAAAGTTGCACAACAATGCTGCTACTTCATTTCCCCATGTTACTGAAATTTTTCCCATACAAATCAAATGTATTATACGGGAACGCGTATGGAATGACGTGAATCTTTATTTTTATTTACATAATTTATTATATAACATTTCTCCCCTTTGACAATGTAGGCAAACGGTGTACTATATATAAATATATAAAATGCCAATTGGAGCTCATCATGTAACGTAAAAATGAGCCATGCGTGTGACGGCCCTCAGAAATATACCGAATGATTGCTCATTTTCAAAATATACCGAGAAAAAACTAATACGATGTCACTTCAATGTAACTCTACATTAACGCATTCGTTTTGCAGCACTGTAACGCAGAGTTGCTTTGATCGAATTTTGACATTTGGAACATGGCGTACTACATGCTTCCGCTCTTTCCTTCCCTTTCTTTTACCAACGTGTGCAGTGTTAAGAGGTTAGTGGAATATTTTTTATGAAATATACATTGTATTTGAAAAAGACTGTGTTTAAATTAAACGAATTTGTGTCATTAACAGATGCCTGCTACGGTCGTCAAGAAACCTGCAGCTAAAAAGCTGCCCGCTGTGCCGGAATCAAAGCTGAAATTCAGCAAGAAACAAATCAGCAAGCGTGCCGCTGAGTCAAAGCGTCGTCTCAAGCGCGCCGCTGTTATTGCGTTGCGAAAGAAGGAAAATCTGGTCCGTGCCGAAAAGTACCAGAATGAGTACATTAAGTCTGACCAGCGTGAGATTAAGCTGCGTCGTCTGGCAAAGAAGCGTAACCAGTTTTATGTGCCGGCAGAGGCCAAACTGGCATTTGTCGTGCGTATCCGTGGGTATGTAATGTGCCACCATGTTGTACCGTACTGTTTATTTATCAACCTTTTATTATCTTTAAGTATCAACAAGGTTGCCCCCAAGGTTCGCAAAGTGTTGCAGCTTTTCCGACTGCGCCAAATTAACAACGGTGTCTTCATTAAGTTGAACAAGGCTACCATCAACATGCTTCGTATTGCCGAGCCCTATATCACCTGGGGCTACCCCAATCTGAAGTCGGTGCGCGAGCTTATTTACAAGCGCGGCTATGTCAAGCACAGCCGTCAGCGTGTTCCCATCACTGACAACTTTGTGATAGAGCGCAAACTGCGCCAGGCTCACAATATTCAGTGCGTTGAGGATTTGGTTCATGAAATCTTCACCGTTGGACCCAATTTCAAGTACGCATCAAATTTCCTGTGGCCGTTCAAGCTAAACACCCCCACCGGTGGCTGGCGCAAGAAGGCTAATCACTACGTTAATGGAGGTGATTTCGGCAACCGTGAAGACCAGATCAACCGACTGTTGCGCAAAATGGTCTAAGCGTCAGTTTCAGAAACTATAGCTTGAAAAAGAACGGGCATGTAAACATTGAACGGAAAATAAAACCATTTTATAAAACTAAATGCCCTTCAATACAAAGCAATTTGATTCGTCTTCATTTGTTTGTCTTTTATATTAGAATGGTAAATCTCAATTAATGCATGCTTTCAATAGGCAGAAGGCATTTTAGTGCAGTGTTAGTTGCACGTGTTTTAAAATTTGCAACAGCAACGAAAGCCAAAATGGAAAATTTAAAGACAGCTTAGTAGAGACGTAGTGTTTATGAGTATGTTCATCACAATCAACGCAGATTCATCGAGTGGTCGTCTAATCAATAATACGCAACAAATTTACTTTCCTATGCATTGTTTATTACCGTTTCTTTAGATAATTAAAAAAGGCGCGCACAATTCAAAACACTTACATATGTAAATGCAGATAGAATGCTAAATGTAGGGTGCCATTGAAATAAAGTTGACTATATATCAATAACGGTTTTATTAAATATATAATTGCCTTTCAGCTGGCAGTGTTTTTTTTTTTTTAATAAATCTGTATACCCACACATATGGTACAAAACAGGTCGTAAACAATGTGGTAGATTTGAATTCCAATAACATGGGAATAAGTCAAAAAACTGGATAGGCACCCTGATTAAAAAGTATTAATTTATTTTATTACTACCATGTAACAGAAGCCACCGTCCCTTTTCCAATTCTCACTGATGTCCGCTGGCATTTGTTGTCGTCACGTGTATATTCTGGACCAGACGCTGCCCCCAATACTCCTCCAAATTAAATGGCTTGAAATTTTTCAATTGATTATCAGATTCGTTGCAGTAAATAACAGGTGTGCCCTGCTCATAAACCTATCGAAATGATTAGAAAACAAAATATTTGCAAAGCAAAATGAGAAACAGAAACTTTAATGTATTGGCAAAATTTAGTACTTTACTATAATTGTCTGTTTCGATTTACGCTTACCTTGATCCAAGCCTCCCGTATGTACCGAATTAATTCGTCATGTTGAGAAATAGCCACATTTTGTGATGGCGGCAGCACCGTTGCATATAGTGCATTACTGTTTTGTGCCCCCGTCATGACAGCTGAAGGAGAGTTGTTAATGCTATGATTGCTATATTGTGTTGCATTTGTTGATCCTGCTGCAGACGTAGTGGAGTTTGCATTGTTGTTGTGGTGATGGTGGTAATTGTTGTGCCCACTGCCCTGGCGGCGTATATATGGGTAGCGTCTGTGAAAGAAAACGGTAAAAAAAAACATGCATAAAAGTGTATGTATGTAAACAGTTTTGTCGTCAAAACGGCACACACACGTCAAAAATTTCCCCGTTTATCACAATTTTACACTTGGTTTTGCCACCACGCCACGACTTTATTTCTTCCACTACTTTACCCATTATTGCGTTCCATTTTGTAGGATCTCTATTTGATATAATCTCCGTGAAATAAAATAATTTTGTTTATTCGTGAAAATGTATTTATGTATATATTTTTTTTCCAATGCTGGGAATCTGTGTGACCGTCGGCAGCGGCAGCTGTCTGAGTAGTGTAACCGTACGGAATGCAGTGCACACCTCTGGTCACACCACTGGCCGGAGCGAGACAACTAAGACACAAAAAACCAAAACAAAACAAAAACAGCAGCCGCGTAACAATCGCGCATGCAACAAACAATTGTTAAAAGGTGATAAACCAAAAACAAGCAAACACCAGCGCCAGCGTAGCAGCAGCAGCGGCAGGCGCAGTCGCAGCGACGGGGCAGTCTTCGAATGTGCTGGACAATCTTCTAAACTACTGCGATAATGGGGACGAGCTCTATTTAGCCCAGATCTACGAAAGCTGCCAGCAGCTCATCTGCCATCAGAGCTCCAACAGTGATTACGAGTCGGAATCGACGGACGTCTGGAGCGACTCTCCTCCGACTCTGACGACAATATGTCGCACAACAACAGTGCCGACGACGATGGCCTGTCCAGCACTAGCGGAACGGGCAGCAACAGCACCCACAGCCTCTCCTCACCGTTGGTGCCCGCCGCCCTGAAACGGCGTAGCCATCAGCATCATCAGCACACGGCGGCCCAATGTGCCCAATGTCCAGGAGATACTGGCCTTCTCTATCGCGGCGACTCACAGGGCGTACTGTCCAATTTGCGTGGCGAGGTTCAGCCAGAGCCCGAGCCCGAGAATGATAAACCCGTGGAAGCGCCTTCGACACTGATTAGCCGCAGCACCCATAAGTCTTCCACTCACCGGGCAAGCAATGGAAATGGCACAAGTACAATGAAGGCCAGCAGTGATGGCCTGGCCACCGATCTCAGTGCCAGCGCCATTGACCACTGAGCTATGAGTGGACTACGGGGCGCTGCGCTAGTACGAGCAGGATAAGTTTACTTAGATGGTCAAGCAAGTGAAGGACGCCGGCGCTACGACGACAAAGCCAACCATCTCCTGATGCAGCAGGAGCTCCCTGCCATTGCTACTGGTGGTCGCATTGTGGCGCGTTTTGAGGAGCTGACTCTTGAGATGTCACACTATCGTCATAATTTTCCACGCCTGTATTTATTTCATTAATATAATCATTGCGTTGTTGTGAGATTTGTACTTAATATAATCTCCCTGAAAATAAAAAATGTGTTTATTTGGGAAAATGTATATATTTTTCATAGGAAGGAACACAATTTTCGGCTTATGGTGGAGAAAAAAAGAAGGAGAAATGATTTTTATCAGAATGAAGGAAATAATAGGTGCCCTATAAACTGGCTGGTCGACTTTGCAATCTGATGATGACTGGCAGGTTCTACGAGTATGTCTGCCGGGTTTGCTTATACAGTGTTGGGATGACAGTGAAAACAATGAATGAGTTGGCTCGCGGCTGCTCCTGTAATCTATGATAATCCAGAGTCTTATGAGTCTGCGACTGCCATTTCAGGGTTTCGCGTGTTGCAAAGAGAGCTAGAGAGAGAGTGAGAGAGCGAGCGACTAGAGCGCACTGTGGCGCTAATAAACGCAGCACAGCGTAATTAAGCGGAGATATAGGAGGAGATACACCCCGAGGGTCAGAAGGACAGTTTTATCAACTCGTCACAGGTCTCTGCGGACGGGCATAACTCCGCTTATCACTGGCCAGCAAGGATACGAATGCCTCGAATAGCTTCTCCTTTCGGAAGACACCGTCTTCAACGTCACATTAAACTGCAATCCTGATCCAAAATTTCAATCGTAATCCCAATCCGCAACACCCCAATCACCTCACCCCCAGAATATATTTACATATGTAATTAACGGGGGACATATCTCCTGGCATACGTTTTTCAGCAGGAGATATGTCGCTAGAGCCTGCCAGGAGATATGTGGTCAGGAGATATGTCGCTATGCCTTCAGGGCATATTAAACTGCAATCCTGATCCCAAATTTCAATCAGAATCCCAATCCGCAAAACCACAGCAGTGCCTAGTGGTTCCACTGGAAGTTTCACAGCAGTGCCGCGCCTTATTTTAAATTTGAAAAGCGCGGACCCATTTAATTTTAAAGATTTTAAAGAAACATGTAAATACATTTGTCCGAATTAACAAGGGCTTTTTATTTCAGGGAAATTATTTTCGGATCTATTCTCTTCATCCCATTTGCAGTTCCCCCCGCCCATGAAGTGCCATGAGATATCCAGGGAGCAGTTTGGTCAAGTTTCCACGACACAGAAGCAGATAGAAAAGATTTAAACTTTCAGCGCTGAATGCAGCATCCAGAGGAGTGCCGAGGAATCTTATCAAAATATTTGGTTAATTCGATTTTTAGCTATGATTGTCCAAACGCAATTCTTGTTGATATCCAATAATCAAGGGTTGCGACTGGGCATCGCGGCTCGAAATAAGAATACACAACGCCAACCAACAACCAAAATTAAATTAAATTTTAAAACAACGTGTTCAATATTGAATCCTAAATCCAGTAAATAGTGAAAATAATTTACAACCATTTTGGGAGGGCAAGGGGCAGGGGCCTGGGATAGCTGACAACGAATGGATAACGGAGAAGCCTTCAAAGTGCCCGTGCCACCCTGCCACATGTCATGTGTGTGTGTGTGTGAGGCAACTGTGATGGAACTCCATTCTGGGGCCAACAATGGAGGCATTTATGGCCAGCTGATGACATGACTGTGTTGCCACCGATTTTGATGCTGCTGCTGCTGTTCCTGGAATGTATTTAAAGCTAAAGCTTTAGCATCTTTCCGCTTCTAGACTGCTTCGACGTTCCACTTTATGGTCGCCACATAAAAGGAAATCAAAGGACACAAAGGCAGCCTCTGCTGCTCCGCTGGGCAAGTCAAAGTGTCAGCCGTCGCACTTAATGGCTCTGCCCAGAACCCGTGACCAGAGGAGCAGCAAGAGATAGAAATGGGGGGCCGGGCGAGAGAGAGAGAGCTAATAAGCTGTGTGTATGTGTGTGTGTGTGTGTGTGTGTGCTGCACAGGGGCAGGCAACGGCAACAATCACCTCACCCCAGGATATACATATGTACACACATATGTATGTAATTCAACGTGCGACATATGTCGTGCCATACATTTTTCAGCAAGAGATATGTCGCTAGGGCCTGCCAGGAGATATGTCGCTATGCCTTCAGGGCTTGTTAAACTGCAATCCTGATCCCAAATTTTAATCGGAATCCCAATCCGCAACATTTGCAACAGGAACAGGTCCTGGAACAGGAACGGCAGGTGAGGCAGGTGATAGTGGGAGGGGGGTGGCAGGATCCGCGCAGGTGCTGCCGATAGGGCGCGGCAAATGCAGCCGAATCTAAAAACTGGATGGCAATTACCCAAAAGCAATGCATAGCTCTGGTATTCTTTCGACAAACTCATGAATGCCCCTAAAGAACTAACATCTGAAAACAGGCTTATACGATACGAAAAATATTTAAAAAAATTCCAAAGTCAAGGAACCCTCAAAACAGAGGCTAATTTCAGGTTTGGATCGCTATATCTTCAGGTATATCCATTTTATCGACACTGATCAAATGTCTTGCGACAAGCCGAACAATTCTCTTTGCAAAACGGCAGGTGATGCCGATGGATGAGAGGGGGGTGGCAGGAGCAGCGCAGTGGTTGCCGATAAGGCGCGGTGGCGGGGCCGCGGCAGAGACAGCTACTATGGCTGCAGGGAGGATTGTGCAGCAGCAGGGGCTGCCAAAAAGGCGCATGGCCAAAAGGCGAATACATTCATACATTCGAATGAAAACATTCATAAATTCGAATGAATACATTCATACATTCGAATGAATACATTCATAAATTCGAATGAATACATTCATACATACATACATGCCGTGTGTGGGAAGTGGGTGGCAGGATCAGCGCAGGGGCTGCCGATAGGGCGCGGAGGCGGTGCCGCGACAGAGACAGCTACTATGGCTGCAGGGAGGATTGTGCAGCAGCAGGGGCTGCCAAAAAGGCGCATGGGTGGCGCGAGACACGGCAGGTGTTGCCGTGGGGTGGAGGTGGGTGGCAGGATCAGCGCAGGGGCTGCCGATAGGGCGCGGAGGCGGTGCCGCGACAGAGACAGCTACTATGGCTGCAGGGAGGATTGTGCAGCAGCAGGGGCTGCCAAAAAGGCGCATGGCCAAAAGGCGAATACATTCATACATTCGAATGAATACATTCATACATTCGAATGAATACATTCATAAATTCGAATGAATACATTCATAAATTCGAATGAATACATTCATACATTCGAATGAATACATTCATACATACATACATGCCGTCTGTGGGAAGTGGGTGGCAGGATCAGCGCAGGGGCTGCCGATAGGGCGCGGAGGCGGTGCCACGGCAGAGACAGCTACTATGGCTGCAGGGAGGATTGTGCAGCAGCAGGGGCTGCCAAAAAGGCGCATGGCCAAAAGGCGAATACATTCATACATTCGAATGAATACATTCATACATTCGAATGAATACATTCATACATTCGAATGAATACATTCATACTAGAGGTGTCAAACCATCGAGGGCACTATCGATAGTATCGATATTTTACTGCTAGTCTCTACTATCGACGGTTTTGCGACTAGCATGATAGTATCGAGCTACAGTCGTTGCGCTTTTGATATGTTTATGGTATTTTTTTATGATATGGATTAGCTGCTATAAAATACGAATACAAATTTGTAAAAAAATCGATAGGTGGCATCTAATTTTTACAATGGACAAGTTCCTAAAAGGTTTCAATGGTTTTTTAATAATTATTTGAGCCTGATACTATTACGGCAGTATCGATTGTTTTTTTCCAAACATTCAACGTTGATATTCCTCGATTTTGATATTCCGTTTAATATTACTAGCTAGCTGGGACTCTCAGCCCTAAACAAATCATTTTATCCAATTCCTCAATGAATTTTGTTTAGGATGGGCTAGTTTTTAGAGGTCCTTTTTATTGGATTATTTACATATTAAGGTTCAAACAAAAACAACATAAAACGAATGTGTCGTCGTTTTGTGGCGTTACCATACTCCTGCAATTCGTAGTAG